CGAAGGGCCGGCAGGGCGGAGGTCAAGGGAAGAGGGGGGGGTTAGAGAGGGAGGGAGGGGGGCGGGCGAGGTTCAGCTACCGGCGCTCGGCTAGCTGCGCTCGTACCGTACGCACCTTGAGGGGCCGCCCACAGCCCTCCATCACGCGATCCAGCACCTCTCTTACGCGCCGCTCCTCTTCGCCGCGGCCCTTTGTCCAGTCGACACTCTCAATGCCGCGTCTCTTCTCTCCCATGCGTCTGCCTCCTCGCTCGCCCGGCTCCACCTCCGCCTCCCTGCCAAAGAGGCCCACGAGAAACTCGCGCTCCGAGGCGACGGCCTGATGCACCCATGCCAGCATGTCGCCGACGTAGCGCTGCGGATCGTGTGCGTGCACCTCGATGGGGCGCGGCAGGAACGAGGGGGCGCCTCCGCCTTGAGTGAGCGCGGCGTGAAAGGCGGCGGAGAGATTGCTGGCGCGAGTGGCGGCGAGGATCTGGAGCGCGGGCCTTTGGGGGAGGCCGCGTGGGAAGGGAGCAGTCAGAATTCGAGGATCAAGGACAACCCGCGGGCTGGCGCCTACTCCATCTTCGGGGCTGGGGCTCACCTGAGCAAATCAGGCCTCGCCTCCAGTCTCCTCACCGCCTCGCGCATCGTCCCGCCCACCTCTGCGCCCTCCCTGAACGGCTGGCGAAACTCAAACAGGAGCCAGCGCGCCATCTTTGTCTGTGCCGCATCGAGCTGCGCCGCCGAGGCATCCATAATGTCCATGCCGGCACGCATGCCGCCCTGCTCCCCCTCCTCGCGGCCCACGAGCAGCACGGCACAGTCGGAGCGGATCTGCGCGAGCCGGTCGAGCGCGGCGAATAACTCTGTGCCAATGGGAACGGCGCGCGACGTCACGGCTTCGGCCTCTGCCTCGGTGAGCGTGAAGCGTGCGAGGAAGAGCGAGAGCAGTGTGCTTTGCGAGGCCGTCGTTGTCCTGCGCGACGCAGTCAGCAAAGCGACAGCTCCTGTCCCATCACTCGGGCAAGCCTCACCGCTGTCGTTGCAGTCCGACGGCATGCTCGCGCAGGTACGCACTTGCCGAAGCCGCGGCATGCAGCCTCGCTTGCACGTCGTCTGCCGCGGCACTCATCGAGTCGACGTGCTCCGTCAGGAGCGTCAAGGCCTGTTTGGTGGCCGGGGGGCGTGAGGTTCAGCCTGATGCTGCACCAGTAGCTGCGTTGTGGTGCATACACACCTCGTGCACATTGCCCAGCACGGCGGCAAAGTCTCTGGCTGCCCGCGCGGCCTGGCGCTCGGCGTCTCGGCCCAGATGCCGCCGCGCCCGGTCAATGTCGACGGCGGCGGCGGGCCGCGGTGCCGCATGCGTGCGAGCCCGGCGCGGCGCCGAGGCAGGCGCCGCCGCCGCGCTGCTGGCGCGCGGCAGCGGATAGAGGGCGGCGATGTCGTCGAGGGCGGCGCGGACGGGCGCGAGCTCGGCGGGCGGCGGCACGAGGAGAATGTCGCGCACCTTGCGCGCCAGCGGGTGTGCGGCGGCGGCCGAGGAGGCCGAGGCAAGGCCGCCGCTGGGCCGGCGCGACGCCGACGCGCGGCTGTGCTCGGGCGACGCGGGTGTGGCCATGGCGGGCGCGGCTGTGCGCGAGCAAGAGGCGCGAGGAGGATGGAAGCGGGAGACAAGGAGAAGGAGAAGGAGGCAAGTCGAGGGAGAAGCACGTCGGTCGCCGCCGCGCGCCGCGTGATCCGTGCGCGGCGCGGCGGCCAGCAGGAGAGTCGCGCGCCGACTTGCACTCTGACTTCTCGCCTCGCCTCGCCGCTGCCTTCTGCCTTGCCTCCCAACCACCAGCACCGCACCATGGCCGCACCCGCCACGCGCATGCCCGCCGGCCCCGCCGCCGCCGCCGCCGCCGCGCCCTCGCCGCCGCACCGCCTCTTCGCCCACTCCTCGCCCGCGCCCTTTGCGCCGGCGCCCAGCAGCAGCAGCAGCAGCAGCAGCAGCAGCAGTGCCGCGTCTGCGCCGGCGCCCGCCTCGCCCGCCGACGTGCTGCACACCAAGGGCATCGACATCGCCGGCTTCCGCATCGCCGTCACGCACAGCTCCATTGCGCCCGCCGCGCACATCGACGCCCTCACCGCGCGCCTCGGCATCCCCATGCCCGAGATGCCGTTTGCCAGCAGCGCGCTGCTCATCGAGCATGCGCACAGCGGCTGGCGCTACCGCTTCGATGCCGTCGAGGCGCTGCGCTGCGTCGCCGGCGTCTCGCACGACGCCGCCATGCACGGCATCAACGTCGCCGGCGCCGCGGCGGCAGGCTCGGCACGCACGCTGGCCAGGAAGAAGGGCAAGGGCATCAAGGTGGCGTATGCCGAAGAGTGGGGACGCAGCAGGTAAGCGAGAGGACATGGGTGCACAGCGTTGGGCTCGCGCAGCACTGATGCTGCTTGCCCGCAGGGACGACCCGAGCGTGGCGCCGCAGCCGCTGCCCAGCAGCTCCTCGGGCGGCGTGCAGACGGCCTTTTCGCCCGCCATCGCCCCCGCGCTCAAAGCCTCGGCGCTTACTTCCTCCATCTCCTCGGCGAAAGACTACGACTGGACCTACTCCACGACGTACGCCGGCAGCGAGACGCCTTCGGGCACCGGCGCACAGCTACAGCTCGGCAGCGACCGCAGCACGGACCGCATCCCGACGGAACGCCTCGGGCCGGGCATGGAGCCCATTCTCTTCTGGGATGAAGTCGTGCTGTTTGAGGATGAACTGGGAGACAATGGCACGAGTGGCGTGGATGTCAAGGTGGTGAGTGATGGCGCCGCGCTGCCCTCTGCTGTCCTACGACGGCGTACTCATGGCCGCGACACACAGCGCGTCATGCCCTCTTGCCTTCTGCTCCTCTCGCGCTTCTTCCTGCGCGTCGACGACGTGCTCTTCCGCATCTTCGACACGCGCCTGTATATTGAGTTTGCGCCCGGCAGCGCCAGCGCTGCTCCCGCACCTGCGCCCGCGCCACAGGCTGGCATGCCGAGCGCCACGGCACGCCCGACGCCGGGTGCAGCAGCAGCAGCAGCAGCAGCAGCAGCAGCAGCAGCAGCAGCAGCAGCAGCGGGCAGAGGCGGCAGTGCCGCGCTGCAGCTGGGCGACGGGCTGGCACAGCTGTCGCTGGGCGCGCCGCGCAGCAGTGCCACTCGAGGCGTGCCTGCTGCCAACGCTACCACAGGCACACGCGCGGCGTCCGCCGCGCAGACACCCGCGACGAGTGCGCCGCCACGAGTGGTGCGCGAGTGCAGTGGCTGCGAGGCGACTTACAAGGAAGTGCGCGCCGTGAGTCGTTTGCCCTTCCCCCCTCATCCACCCCCCTCCCCCCCGCGCGGCCCCCGTTCACGATTCTTGCTCGAGAACCCCCGCTCATGCCCTTGCACACGTTCGGCGCCACAGTGTCTACCGGCATGGAAGGCGCACGATCTGTCTCCTCTCACCGACGCGTCCTGGGTCGCTTCGACGCTCACGTCGCTGTCCGCCGCGCGTGCCCCGCGTGCCGCGGCCGCCGGCGCGTTTGGCAGCACGGCCGCCGAGTATGGCCGCCGCAGCGACCGCCCGCCCCTCGCGGCGGCGGCGCCGGCACGTGCGGAGCCCGAGGCGCACCAGGTGCTGGGAGAGGTCGAGGAGCAGTGGGAGGGAGAAGGAAGCAGAGTGGATGTGGTGGTGTTGCAATGAGAGAGCACGCATCGGAATCGGAGAGTGCAGCAAGTCGCAGAGTAGCTTCTCTCCCGATAGCCTTGCCACTCTTGCAAGATGTCGCGACGGACCCATCGACGGGGAGAGGCTGGATGAGGAAAAGAGGGGAGCAGGGGCAAGCGAGGCAACTCGCGGCCCCGCGCGGCGAGAGCAGAGTGACGGCGCCGCCTTGCTCCACGCCCCCTCGCTTTCCCCGAACTGCCCTTGCTTGCCTGTCTCCGCTGCTTCCTTCTGCCTCAGTCGCACAGTCGCGCATTCCCGGGAATCTCTCTCTACTCCCTCACGCGCGCCCGCTGGGGCCGTCCATGCTCTTCACTCATCCTTGTGCACTTGGGTTCTATGGCTGCGCTCCTTCCTCCTGCCTGCGCAGCGCCGCTATCCGCTCCTCGCGCCAGCGCTGGATCTCGCCCTCGGTGGCCAAGATGCCGCGGCGTCCCAGCTCCTTGCGCGCCAGGGCGCGGATCGCATCTTCGTCGCGCCGCTGCGCGCCCTCGTGCGTCAGCAGCACCGTGTCGGCACCCACGACGAGTCTGCGGGTGTGGCCAGCCGTCAGCATCGCTGCGAGAGAGAGAGAGAGAGAGGGGGGGGGGGGGGGGGGGGGGGGGGGGGGGGGGGGGGGGGGGGGGGGGGGAGAGGGGAGTGTGTGTGCGGAGGGCGCCCCCATATTCCTCGCCTCGAGCCTTTCGCAGACAGAGGCCACTCCCTCTTCGGCTCTCTCCTCTCACTGCCATCGCAAGAGCAGCCTTCTTCTCTCTCGCCACGGAGCCTTGTGCGAGGCCAATCCCTCTTCGGCTCTCTCCTCTCACTGCCATCCTCAGAGCAGTGCTTCTTCTCTCTCGCCCACTCCTCTCCCGGCTCGCCTCTCTCAACTGACACACGCACCCAAAGATGGCCCAGCTGCTGGCCAGGAAGCCCTTGAACGCCAGTGTCTGGCTGCGGAAGCGCGGAAAGACGGCGTGTGCGCCCGCGATGAGCGTCGAGCCCACGAGGCCGTACGCCAGCATGCCGCGCACGGCGGCGTCGCGCTGCAGCGCATACGCGGCCGCCACCTGCTGCTCGCGGTGCCGCCGGCGCTGCCGGTAGGGCTCGGGCGAGGCGGAGGGCGCGTCGCTGAGAGAGAGGCAAGGGTGAGCGGCGACGTGCGGGCGGCGAGAAAGGGCACGCACGACATGAAGCCTCGCGCGCTGCTCGCAGCTGATGGGAGGAGTGCGAGATGCGGGCAGCGCGCAGGGGGGCCAGACGAGTCGCAATGTGGTGCAGGAGGGAGAGAAGAGGCGCGCGCGAGGGGGCGTGGCGGCAGAGGCGCGAGGCAGGCAGCGTCAGAGTCAAGATCGGCGTCAGCGTCGCAAGCAAAGGAGCGAGGCGGCCGTGCGCACCAACGCGGCCCATTCGCTGCCGTGTGAGAGCTTCGCCTTCGCGCCGCGCGCCATGCATCCCGCCGCCTTCTGCTTCGCGCCACGCTCCTCCTCTCCTCTGCCACCCTTGCGCCGCTCGCCTTCGCGCCGCCAGCAGCATGCCCAAGGCCGCCACGCGCGCGCGCAAGCTGCGCCAGCAGCGCCGCAGCGCCGGCACCGGCAGCGGCGCACGCACGCACACGCCCGCCGCGAGCGGCAGCAGCGGCAGCAGCAGCAGCAACAAGGCCGCAGCAGCAGCCGCGCCGCCCGCCGCAGCCGCGACGGCGCGCGAGGAGCAGGCGTGGCGGCGCGGCGTGCTGAGCCGCAGGGAGCACATGCCGCCCGAACTGCTCAAGTGTGAGTCTAGTCCGTCCCACACCGAGCAAGACCGGGTAGGGGGGGGGGGGGGGGGGGGGGGGGGGGGGGGGGGGGGGGGCGTCAGTTCATGTCTCATTCTGCTGGCCTGGCTGTGCTCTCAGCGCACTTGCTTTGCTCTGCTCTAAGCGCACTTGTGTGCTGTGCTCTGGGGGCCATTTGCGTACCCTGGTTCCCTGCCCTGCCATCCCTGCCCCTGCTCCCCTCCCATGCTCTCCCTGCTGCGCTGGCCACTCTCTCTCTCTGTCTCTCATTCCCTGCTGCTCCCCTGTCATTCTCCAGCCGCGTTGCTGCGTGCGTGCGTGCGTGCGTGCGTGCGTGCGTGCGTGCGTGCGTGCGTGCTGACGCCCGCCTGCCCTGTCCCAGACTGGAAGGCGCGCCACTCGCTCTTCTCGCGCTTCGCACACGACGACGACGCAGACGGCGACGGCGCCGAGGGCGAGGGCGAGGGCGGCGGAATCATGCTTGATGCGCAGAGCTGGTACAGCGTGACGCCCGAGGCGATTGCCGTGCGCATCGCACATCGCTTCCGCGCCGGCCTGGCGCAGCGGGCGCCGCGCGACATGGGCAAGGGCAAGGGCAGGGCACCGGCGCAGGAGGAGGAGGAGGAGGGCGCAGACGCACAAGGGCCACCACACGTGCTAGATGCGTTCGCGGGCGCGGGAGGCAATGCCATTGCCTTTGCCCGCGCAGGCTGCACCGGTGAGTTCTCCTCGTCTGAGAGCATGAGCGTTTCCAAGCGTGCTCTCTTGGCACGCAGCTGCGGCGAGCGGGCGTGCTCACGCATGCCCCCCCCCCCTTGCAAGTGACGGCGCTGGACATCGACGGCGACAAGCTCCGCATGCTCATGCACAACGCCGCACTGTATGGCGCCGCCGTGGCGGCGCGCATCACGCCCGTCTGCGGCGACTTCTTTGAGCATGCGCAGCGTGCCGAGCTTGCCGACTCGTACGATGCGTGAGTGTGTGTGTGTGGTGCTGGTGCCGCCTGCGCAAGAAGGGCAGCCTGGGCTGACCCCGGCCAATTTGCGCCCCAAGTGTCTTTCTCGTGAGACCCGCACCGCCAATCGGCCACGCGCTGGGCCGGGGGAGCGAGCCGCTGATGCCCTCCCCACCACAGTCTCCGCCCTGGGGCGGCGTCGACTACCTCGCCGCCACGGCCGCCTCGGGCGGCTACGACTACTTCCCGCTGCGTGCGCTGTGCGAGCCGCACGGCTGTGCCGGCATGGTGCGCGCCGCGCGGCGCCTCTGCAGCGGCACGGCCGGCAATGTGGCGCTCTTCCTGCCGCGCAGCGCCGCGCTCGCCGACATTGCCGCCCTTGCGCAGCCGGCGGGCGACGAGGCGACGAGGAGACTCGTCGATGTCGAGGAGGCGTGGATGGGACACAAGCTCAAGGCGCTCGTGGCGTACATGGGCGACCTAGCGCAGTGGGAAGAGGAGTGGCAGGCCGGCTGGGGCTGGGAGTAAGCCCCGACACAATGCACAGCCATCTCACGAGCAGGGCGTGGTGTACAAGGTGGTGTGATCATTACGCGGCGACGGCCAAATTACAGGACAGCGGAGCGCGAGGGATGGGAGGTGAATGCGAAGGAAAGGGGGTAAGATGCGGCCCCGCCATGTTTGACGGCGGAGGCGCGCGGAGAGAGAAGTAGGCGGTCGACTCGCGGCGGGCTACGCAAGTGGGCGCAAAGCATGGCTCAGGGCGCTTGCGCGGGTATCGGCCCGGCCGTGAGAGAGCTGGTGGGGAGTGGCTTAGGCGACGGTGCCGTCGTTGCTCGGGCGCACGGCGGGCGCGGGCTGCGCCGTGCCGGTGTGGCCGTGGGCGGCGTTGGCCTCGGCCTCCTTGAGCGTGCCGGCGCGCAGGTGGCTGTCGTGGGCCGTGGTGCCCTTCTCGAGCGAGCCGGGCACCTGGGCGAACTCGCTGTACTTGCCCGAGCTGAGCTGCAGGCGCTCGTAGTCGATGCGGCGCAGGCCGAAGAGGTGCACCATGGCAAAGACGGGCTTGGCAAAGATGTCGAGAATCGAGTAGAAGATGAGCTCGCCGTTGGGGCTGATGACGTTGCCGCCCTCGGCCAGGCCCCAGCAGATGGGGTAGAGCGTCCAGAGGATGCTGAGCACGAGGGCGCCCTGGAAGTAGCTCTTGTAGTAGTCGCCACCGAGGTGCTTGGCGCTGAGCAGGCCGGGCACGTAGAGGATGTAGAAGACGACGAGCATGGCGGCGCAGCCAAAGGCAAAGAGGCCCCACTTGTAGCTCGACGCCACGAGGGCGCCGATGAGGCCCGTGACAATCATGACCTCGTCGGCGAAGACGCAGGCAAAGACGGCCGAGAGCGGCAGGCCCGAGACGAGGAGCAGCTCGAGGAGCAGCAGCGGCGTCGTGATGACCCAGTCGATGTAGCGCACGTACCAGATGCTGCGCGTCGCCGTCGCGGCGGGGTAGCCGCGCAGGTACTCGACCTGGATGGGCGTGGCGCCGAGGTCCGAGGCGAGGCAGAAGTATGCAATCGAGGCCGTGGCGAGGATGGCCATGCTGATGTAGTGGAAGGCGCGGCGGCCGGGGTTCTGCGTGAAGGAGAGGGCGCCGACGCCGACGCAGCTGCTGAGCATGATGGCGAAGACGACCCAGAGCCAGTTGGTGGCGCCGTTGGTGATGTCGATGTCGGCGACGACGGGGTTGGCGGCGATGGAGCCCATGGCTGCGGCTTGGCAAGGGGTTGCGAGGGGGGTGAGGCTTGCGGGAGAGGGTGGGTGGGCGGTGACGGAGCGGAGCACGGCGGAGCGCTGCTTAAGTAGGCGTCGGCCGGAGCAGATCAGAGCAGACCCGGTGCGGCGGCTCATCCTCCAGGCCGCCGGCACGGCAGCGGCGGGTACGGCAGGAGGAGAAGGCCCTGCCTCTGCGATGACGTTGCAGAGCACATCTCGCCGCCGTGCGGCAGGCGTGTCAGCGGCGGGCGTGCCGCAGCGGCCGCCGATGCCCGGCGCTCGCAGGCCAGCGCATCGGAGCGTCGCAGCGAGCGCAGCGCCCTGCTGCTCCCACACACGCAGCATGGCAACCCTGCGCCGGCGGGTGGGCGGCGGTGGAGCAGCAGCCGCTGCAGCAGCGGCAGCGCGCGCCCCCTCTTGTCGCCCTCGCGCACCGCGGCTCCGGCTCCGTGCACCTTCATCTCTTCGTGACGCTCTCTCGCAGCGCTCCACTGCCGCTTGCTGCACTGCAGATCCGCCGCCCGCCGGCCGGCTGCTGCACGGCCATCGGCGGCGGAGTGGCAGGCCATCGGTGACGCTTAGGCAAGCCGCACCTGAGCGGCTGGCTGCGAGGGCTGCCATGCGTGCCGGCCGGCCGCGGTCGACCCTGCCTTGCTCTGCAATCAGCGCTGCTGCTGCAGCATGCGAGATGCGCTTGCCCGCCGCTGCTTCCACGCATCACGGCGGCACCGCACCTCTCTCCGCTCCCAGCCCGCCGGTCCGCCGCCGGCCGCGGCAGCACTTTGCCCACCCGGCATTCGCCCGCACCGCCGCCGCCGCCGGCCTCTCTCCGCCCCTCGCCTCCGTTGCCGCGCATCAACTCCTCTCGTCCGCTCTCCCACGTCAGCGGCGGCACAGCTCTCAAACGCCTCGCGTCGAACGAGCTGCGGCTTGGGCGATCCGGTGCGCCTTGTCCGGCCCTATGCGGCATGCGGCGCGCGCAAGCATCTCGCTCGCTGCATTCGGGAGCACCTCCACACGACGCGCGCGTCGCGCCCAAGGGTCGCAAAAAGCTAGCGCAGGCGGTGAGCGCCTCGCGCGTCATCACCTGCACGCTGCATCTGCAGCACGCCGCCAGCACATCAGTCTCATCGCCGCCCCCGATGGCGGCTGAGCGCGCGGCCGCTCCCACGCATCGGGGCGTCTGCGGCCAGCCCTCCGCTTCGGCGCCCGACGAGATCCGGCGCCGGCCGCTGCGGCCTCCTCTGATGTCTGATCCTCCGATCCGCCGCGAGCGACGCGCCAAAGTTGAGTGCAGCGTGCCTTCATCTCGCAACGGCATTAGCGGCATGCGCCTTGAGTTGTCTGCGAGATCGTCGAGAGCGCTGCTCCGAGCTGCAGCGCCGCACACAGCGAGAGGAACGACGCCGGCAGCGGGTGCGTGCCTCCGTGTTGGCAGCCGCGGACCCTTCTGCCTTGCACCGCAGGACTGGGACGCCTTGAGGTGAGCGCAGGGGCTCAAGCATCGTCGCCGCGGCCACGCTCCACTCCACCATCGACGTCGCTCTTGGCTTGCTCGCCGTCCGACGGAGCGCGGCGGTGGTACGCGACGCGAGAGGCCGCGCATGGCCGGCCCCACACAGCGTCAGGAGGTGTACCGCGGATGTCCTTGTCGGCATTCGACCTTTATCAGCGCACGCTCTACTTGATACGGCGACGATCAGCCTCCGCCTGCGCTGAGGAGGCGTGAGGCACAGCAGGAGGCAGCGCACGTGACTGCAGCCGGCACGTCAGCCGTACGAGAGCAGCGCGTCGCGCAGCGTGAGAACGCGCGCGCGATGCTTGAGCGCCGCCTGCCTCTCCACCCCACGCCCCTCTGTGCTTCCTTCTCTCTCCCGGGCCAGGCGCCGCGCCACGATGGACGGTGTCGCCTCGTCGTCGTCGCTCGCGCCGCTGAAGCGCAAGGCGAGCCGCTCGCGCTCGCCGTCGCCCGCCGCGCTCGTCTCCGGTCCGCCGTCCGACGCCGGCGGCAGCTCGCGCCGCCCCTCGGCCTCGCCCGCTCCGCCCTCGCCGGCGCCGCTTGCCGCCGCGCCCGTGCCGCCTAAGAAGAAGGCGCGCGGCTCATTTGTGCCCTGGAACGCCGCTGCTGCCGCGGCGATCGGCATCGAGGCGGGCCTGGCGGCGCCGCTTGCGCCATCACCCCTCCACGAAGTCAGCGCGCAATCGCAGGTCGGCGACGTTACGCTCAAGCATGAGCCGCGCGACGCTGATGCTGTGCGCGAAGACGAGGTCACCGCAGACAGCGCACTGCACTCGTCCGACGCGCCGTCGGGCGCCGCGTCGCCTGATGCACACGCCAGCGAGGCCGGCGCCGGACCCTCGGGCAGCGGCGCGCTCTCGCCAGCCGAGGGCATGCCCGTGGCGGCCAAGGCCAAGGCGCCACGGCGCAAGCCCACCAAGGAAGAGGCCGCCGCATCCAAGGCGAAGCGTGCCGCCGCCGCAGCTCGCGCCGCAGCCGAGGCGCAGGCGCTCGAGGAGGCCGAGGAGGAGCGCCGGCAGGCCGAGGCCGAGGAGCTGGAGCGCGAGGAGGGCATCGTCGAGGGCGACGAGGACGAAGATACAAAGGTTTGGTGCATCTGTCGCACGCAGTACGGTGAGTCTGGCTCTGCGCTGCCGAGGATGGCGACAGCAGCTGATCGTGCCCGGGCACAGACGACGAAAACATGATGATTGCCTGCGACCAGTACGTCGCGCCACTGTTGCTGCGCATCTGCTTGGGCTCACGCGAGCGCTCCTGCAGCTGCGACGAGTGGTACCATACCTCCTGCGTGGGCATGGCCGAGGCGGACGCACTGCTCATCGACCTCTACGTCTGCGCCGCATGCGAGGCCAGTGAGTAAAGCCGGGCGCTGTCGAGGCCAGCGAGCATGCGCTGACCGCCGCGAGCAGAGGTGCCCGAGCGCACGACGTGGAAGCCCAAGTGTCTCAACGCAACGTGCGAGCAGGCCGCCATGCCGCCGCTCTCGCGCTACTGCTCGCAGGCGTGCGGCATCCTGACGGCCGCCGCACGCATCGCCCGCAGCAAGGCTGGCGGCAAGAATGGCTCGCGTGCCACGGCCGAGCGCCTGCTTGGCCGCATCGCCAAGGCAGCACGGCGCACCGACGGCGTATGCGTGTGGTCTGTGGATGCGCAGGCCGCCGAGGAGTGGACGCGCCGCTTTCGCTCTACGAACGATGCGGCGCCAGTGTTTGGCGGCGACAGCACGGCCGAGGAGGTTGGCTCGCATCGTGCGCGTCTGCAAAGGCAACGAGCAGCGCTGGACACGCGGCTAGCGCGACTCGACACGCGCCTCGCTTTTCTGCGTCTGGCCGGCGAGCGCGTGGCCAAGCTGCCGCCGTTGGCGCTCGACGAGACCGTCGTGTCGCGCGCGCCCAAGAGCAAGAAGAAGAGCTCGAGCGCCGCGCAGGACGAGAGCACCAAGGCGGCGCCGCAGCGCTGTGGCTACGATGAGCGACTGCATTGGGACGACGACGTATTTGCTCGCTGGGCCGCCTCGAGCGATGCCCAGGCTATGCTGCAGGGCAGCGCCGAACTCGACGGCCATCTCGTATCGCCAGGCGATGACGCAGAGGACGAAGATGCGGACGCAGTCGACGCACCAACCGTCTGTGGCGCGGCCAAGCGCAAGTGCCGCAAGCACGGCGACTGGCTGACGGTGCGCGATGCCGACATGCAAGTCGAGCGCGAGATACTGGTGAGTCCGAGCTGTCTAGCCTTGCGACTTGTGCGCCACTCCTGACGCAAGCCGCAGTCCAACGAGCGCAGACTGCTCGATGCACAACTCGACGCCGTCGAGCTCGAAGGCGCCGCCCTGCGTGAGCGCCAGGAGGCCGCACGCCTGGCGCAGCGAGCCGCCGACGCTGCGCGAGATGCAGCACTGGCGACGGCACTGGCGCGTGACGGCGGCCGACGTGCCACGGTCCTTCCCAACGGTCGCTGATGCGCCCCCCCCCCCCCACCCGCTCCTTGTGACTCTCACTTATTGTACCACCACTGCTCCATCGTCACACGTTGCTACCCTACGCTGTGCCGTTGCTGGCTGCGGTGCCTTGTGCTCTCCGCCGCTTCGCCGGTGCCGGCTGCGCTATCCGCTCGGGCGCGCCGGCGTCTGCTCCTGAACCCAGATCCGCCGTAGCCTCGTCCTCGGAGTCTGCCTCATCCTCGTCCTCCAGCGCCGCTATCCGCCAGCCAAAGCCAGCACGAGGATCAAACGGCGGCAGCGCGTCGTGCGCAAGCGAAAGCGACGACTGGATGGCCGTGACGGCGGCGAGCTGCACGAAGCGTCAGGCGAGGGGGCCCTGCTGCGCCACACGCGAGTGCCCACTCACCACGCGGTTGCCGACGACGGCGTAGAGGTCTGGCGCGCGGGCGATGTTGCCGTCGAGGCAGAAGAAGGCGTCGACGAGGCGCGTCTGCTCGCGCGCCGGGCCCCAGCGCTCGCGCTGGTGGATGACGTAGAGGCCGAGGCCGGGCGGCGGCTGCGGCGCCGCGTGTGCGACGACGAACTCGGTGCCGCGGAAGCGGCGCAGCGCCTCCTCGAGCTCGCGCGGCTCGCGGCGCGCGCCGCCGTCGGGCTCGGCGAGCGACTGCATGCGCAGCTGCTCGTTTGTGCTGCTGCGCGCGAAGAAGGGACTGAGGGAGAAGTACTGCGACACCGTCGTGGGCGAGAGCGGCACCTGCGCCAGGAAGGCGGGGTCGCGGAAGAGGATGCCGGGCTGCGCGGGGTGCGCATACGGCTGCGCCATGGTTGGTGCGGATGCCGCGCGGCAGGGCGCGCCGACTGGCGGGCGGCAAGGGAGCGGCGCCGGAGTGCGATGGAGGTGGAGTGGAGCAGCCGCCACAGCTGCAGGGGCAGCACGCAGCATGCACTGGCCACCTCGCGCCTGGACCGCCGAGCTGCCGCACGTGACTGACTCTCGCCCATCTCGGAAGTCGGCCGCGCGCTGCTGCGAGAACGTGCGCTCTGGCCTTCAAATTCGCGCTCACACGACCCAGGGCAGGCGGAGTGACAAATTCGGCGAATCCGCCTGCTGCGCTTGGCAGACGCCCTGGAAGCGCCATCTCGCGCGCCCCTGCCACTGTGCTGGACGGTTCGGCGGCCTGCGCTGCCGCTGCACCGCCTTGCCGCAACGTCGGGAAGCATTTGCGTGGCTGCGGCGCTGCTGAGATGAGAATGCAGGGTGCGGAGACTTTGAAATTGCGCCTGCTTTGCGAGACGGTCTTTCGGGACGCCGGCATGCGGCGCCGCGCGTGGCTGAGCGCGAATTTGTCACGGGCAGCGGCCATGCGGCGTACCCCGGCCATGCGGTTCTTGCTGAGACGCTATATAGGCAGCAGCGGCCAGCAGCAGCAGCCAGCGCTCTCCTCACCACCTCAACACCCATCATGACCGCCAACACAAGCGCCGCGTCCTCGCCACGCGGGCCGCGCGCCGCGACGCCAGCCGCCGAGGCCGAGAAGCTGCCGCCCCTGGCGCTGCCGCACGGCCCCAAGGACACCCTCGCCGACGCCGAGTACGACGACGACGCGCTGCATGCGCCCGTCAACGGCGGCGTGCCCGATGTGCGCCGCGTGGACCTCGGCCTGCAGAGCAGCACGGCGCGCGGCATCATTGGCGGCCTCGGATGGTGAGTGGCGCAGCGTGGCGCGCCTCGCCAGGGGTCTTCGAGCTGACGTGTGACTGCAGGCTCGACCGCCTCCTCACGCCGCTCATCGTCGTGGCGATGATCCTGGGCGTCGTCATCGGCCGCTTCGCGCCCAACGTCAACGAGAATCTGTCCAAGGGCGACCTGCACGGCGTCTCTGCGCCGCTCACCGTCGGCCTGCTCGTCATGATGTGGCCCATTCTGACCAAGGTGCGCTACGAGGAGTTTCCGCGCCTGCTGCACACGCGCCGCCTCTGGCTGCACGTGGCGCTGAGCCTCGTGCTCAACTGGCTCCTGGCGCCGTTTCTCATGCTGGCGCTGGCGTGGGCCTGCCTGCCCGACCTGCCCGGCTACCGCACGGGCGTCATCATGGTCGGCGTGGCGCGCTGCATTGCCATGGTCATGATCTGGACGCAGAGTGAGTTGCAACACGGAGACACGCTGCCGCTGCGACGCTCACGTCCCGCTCCAGTCGCTCGTGGCGAGAGCAACATGTGCGCCGTCATCGTCATTGTCAACTCGCTGCTGCAGATTGTCCTGTTCGCGCCGCTCAGCCTGCTCTTCATCAACGTCATCTCGGGCGAGGAGGAGTTCGAGCTCAACTACAGCGACACGGCCATCGCCGTCGTGATTGTGAGTGCAGCGTGTGCCGGAGTTTCCCTGCCGGTGCTGACTCGACGCAGTTCCTGGGTATCCCGCTCGTTGCCGGCGTCGTGACACGCTTCGCCATGCTCAAGGCCCTCGGGCGCGAGCGCTTCCAGACGCGCTTCCTGCCCTTCTTCGGGCCGCTGTCGCTCATCGGCCTGCTCTACACGATCATCATCATCTTTGCCTCGCAAGCGCGGCAGATTCTCGACGACATCGGGCCCGTGTTCCGCACCTTTGTGCCGCTCGTGCTCTACTTTGCCATTACGTGGGGCCTCACGTTTGGCCTCATCCTGTGGCTCTCGCAGCGCTACGGCGCCAAGAACTGGGGCTACCAGATGGCCGTCGTGCAGGCCTTCACCGCGGGCAGCAACAACTTCGAGCTGGCCATCGCCGTGGCGGTGGCCGTGTACGGCGCCAGCTCGCAGCAGGCGCTGGCCGCGACGATCGGCCCGCTCGTCGAGGTGCCCGTGCTGCTCATCCTCTCCTGGGTCAGCCTGTGGGTCGGCCGCAAGCTGCGCTGGGACAGCAAGCACAACTTGCAAGTCGAGCAGCGCGCCGCGCAGCGCGACGAGACGCACGTCGCCGAGAAGGCATAGCTCTGGACCCGTCACTCCTCATTGTACCACCACCATGCATGCAGTCTCCTCATGTGATCCATCGCCAAGGCTGCGTGAGATGCCCGCTCGTGGGATGCGTGAGGCGGCAGTGGGGCCGGCGAAACCGCCCGTGCTTCGCTTTCGCCGGCAGACGGGTGCCGAGCTTGAGTGCTGCTCAAGCACCGCTTCGACGCCGCCGCTGCCGCCGCCTCTCAAGTCTTTGTCTTGCCGCACCGCTGCAGGTCGCTGATCCGTGCAGCAGCGTTAATCGGCCGGCCGAGAGGTTGCGGTCGCACAGCAGCACACCGGACCGAGAGCCGCGCACGTCTCGGCGCCGCGTCCGTGGCCGGAGCGAACTTCGGAGCTCGGCCGTAAGCCATGCGTGCGCACCTCGCCAGTCGTGGTCATAGTGATGACGCGCCGAGCGCGGTGCGAGAGGAGCGCACAGAACGGCACCGAGCCGCCGGCTTCGCAGCCGCAGCATCTCACAGGCCCGCACTCTCTCTCGGTTGAGCCTGGGTGCTGATGCTGTGGCGCATCGTTTGTGCACCACTCGGTGCGCCGAGGAGCACATGCCGCGGCACGGCTCCACGCACGCCGCGAGCACGAGATGCAGGGCAGCTGGCCGCGAGGCAGAAACGCCGGCGCGGCAGGCACACAGCTCTGCTGCCTGCCGCCGCGCTGGAGATGTGCCGGCCGGCCGGCCGCAAGGCATCAGGGCGCCGCCGCGGCGTGCGGTGCTCCTTCCGGCGCTGTGCCGCGCGTGCCCACACGTCACGGCCGGCGGTCAGCAGCACGCAGATGCAGCGGCAGGCCGTCGGCGGCGGTGCCTCTGCTCTGCCTCCGGCGCCGCAAAGAGGCCGGTCCGGCACCGGCACGGACACGGACACGCCTCCGCAAGCAGCGCACTTTGCCGTCACCCTCGCTGACGCTTTTTGCGGCGGCAAGCCTCGCCGAGCTCAAAAGTGTCCAGCACGCCGCAGCGCTCCCTCCCAGCCCACCACATCAACACCGCCGAGCCCACCGCCGACGCACCGCTCGCCACGCACCGCCGCAAGCCCAGGCCACCTTCACACACAACACACCGCGCGCGCGATGACCTCGCCCGGGCACTCCTCGTCGGGGCACGAGATGCACGAGGCCGGCGACGTGCTGGGCGCGCCGGCGCCGGCCGTCGAGCGTGGCGCACCGGTGCGCAAGACATCGACGACGTTCCACGAGCCGCCAGACTACCGCGGCGCCGACCTCGACCTCGAGGGCGGGCAGGGCGCCACGCGCCAGACGCGCACCTTCTCGCGGCGAGAGGCGAGCCGCATCGATAGCGCGCACTTCTGTGAGTGTGGTCTTGCGCGGTGTGGCTGGCGCTCCACTGACACGCGCGCGCACAGTCGGAGGAGACGTGGCCGCTGAGAAGCAGGAGCTGCATCTGGAGCGCTTCGCCAGCCAGAAGGGCAAGGACCAGATCGTCGTGCACTGGGAGGGCGAGAACGACAGCGAGAACCCTCTGGTGCGTTGCTTCGGAAGCCGCGCGAGGAGGCGCGCTCACTGACATCCCGCGCGCGCAGACGTGGAGCTTTGCGTACAAGTGCTACCTGACCGTCTGCGCCGCCGTGCTCGTGCTCAACTCGACGTTCACGAGCTCGTGTCCCTCTGGCATCGTCACGCAGATGGAGGAGTACTTTGGCTTTGGGCAGATCGTCGGCATCCTCACCATCTCACTCTGGGTCGCCGGCTACTGCCTCGGCCCCTTGATCTGTGCGTAACATGCTCGCGCGCGCCTGCCTCGCATATGCTTACTCCTGCGCTCCAGGGGGCCCGCTGTCGGAGCGCATTGGACGGCGGCCAGTTTTCCTCATCTCGATCTTTGCCTACACAATCTGGAACGTCGCCTGCGCGCTGGCGCACAACACGCCCTCGATTCTCGTCTTCCGCTTTCTGGGCGGCGTCTTTGGCGCCGCGCCCCTCACGACGTCTGGCGGCACGATTGCCGACGTGTGGGACGCCAAGCGGCGCGGCATTGCGCTCTCGCTCTTCTCCGTCGCGCCCTTTGCCGGCCCGGCGCTGGGCCCGATCGTCAGTGGCGCCATCAGCGTCACGGGCACGTCGTGGCGCTGGGTGTACTGGGTGTGCGCCATGTTCTCCGGCGCCTGCTTCGTCATTGTGTTCGCCACGATGAAGGAGACGTACGCGCCCGTGATTCTCAAGCGCAAGGCGCAGCGCATCCGCAAGGAGACGGGCAGCAGCATCTACGTGGCGCCCCTCGAGCTCACGCCGCTGCACGCAAAAACGCTGCTGCACGACACGCTCCTCTTCCCCTTCGCCATGCTCCTCCGCGAGCCCATCCTCGCCGCCATGGCGCTGTACCTCGGCTTCGTCTACGGCCTCATCTACCTGCAGTTCGAGGCGTTCCCGATTGTGAGTGGCCGCTGCGGACGCTGCTCGCTGCGCCTGCGCTCACACCCGCGGCAGATCTTCCAAACGCCGCAGCCGCAGGGCTACGGGTACAACGGCCTGCTGGGCGGCGTCTGCTTCCTCTCGCTCTTCACCGGCGGCGTCATCGGCTGCATCTTCTACGTCGTGTTCTTCAACCCGCGCTACGTGCGCCTCGTCGACGAGTACGCCGCCAAGGGCCAGCGTGTGCCGTGAGTATACGCTGTGTACCGCTTCACAGAGGTTGCCCACTGACACCGCTTGCAGTCCCGAGGAGCGCCTGTACGTCGTGTGCATCGCGGCGCCGTGTCTCGCCGCATCGTTCTTCTGGATCGGCTGGACGGGCAAGCCGTCGATCTCGGCCGCGTCGCCGCTGTGCGCCGGCGTGCTGCTCGGCTTTGCCATCCTGCTCATCTTCCTCGGCCTCTTCAACTACATCGTCGGTGAGTCGTCCCCGCCGTCGCATCTGCTGCTGCATGTCGCTCACACACTGCTCCGTGCAGACACCTACCTCTCGCGCGCCGCCTCTGCGCTCGCCGGCAACACCGTCGTGCGTTCGGCGTTCGGCGCCGGCTTCCCGCTCTTCGCGGGGCAGATGTACAACCGCCTCGGCACGCCGTGGGCGTCGAGCCTGCTCGGCTTCCTCGCCGTGGTGCTGGGCGTCGTGCCCTTCGTGCTCGTCGCGTACGGGCCAAAGATTCGCGCGCTCTCGAAGCACGCGGCCGACTAGCGACTGGCGCGAGACGACAGGAATGTGCCACGGACCTACTGTACTTTAACGAACCTAATGTAGCCATGACTCAGACGCTGCCTGAGAGGACTGCCGTCGAAGGCGAGCATGAGGCGAGTGTCTGATGCGCTGAGCGCTGCTGTGCTGTGGCCTCTCTCTTGGCAGTGGGCGACATCAGAGGCGTCGGGGCATGGACAGCAGATGTATGACGATGCGGTACAAGTACAAGTGAGAAGTCAGAGGTCGAATCAAAGAGGGGTCCTGGCGATGGCGGAGCGCGACCGGCTCTGCTGGAGAAGGAAAGATGCCGGCACGGCTACTGCTGTGAAGCTGTGGCGTGGCCGAGCGGCGAGCACGACAGCCACCGAAGCAGGCGTCGGGCTCAGGCTGAGAGCAGACTGCTGTCGCAGAGCAGCAAGACACTGCTCGGCGCCTATCTCCTGCGCTTGACGCGCCCGTTGTTCTTGCTGCGGCCCTCGTGGCTGGTGCCCTTGCCTACCTTGGGCTTCCAGCCCTTTGCCTTGCGCCACGTCTCTCGCCGCGACTCGCGCGTGCCGGACGTGGAGACCTTGACGGGCTCGGCGTCGGCGTCGGCCTCGTCTGCGACATCTGCGTCGCCGGCGTCTCCGTCGACCTCCATGGTGCCTGCGTGCCGTGTCAGCGAGCCTCGAGAGGACTGGCAACGGAACGACCGCGCGCGGGCTGAGGCCTGGGCAAGGCGGGCGCACCGCAGCCTTGTGCCGCCCATACATCTGCCACAGCCTCTCAGAGCCCTCCGCACCCACTCACCCTCAGCCTCGTCGCCCTGCTCAGCCTGCGCCTCGGCGGCCTCCTGCTCGCGCAGCTTCTTGCCGCGGATGCGCTCGGCCTGGCGCTTGGCGAGGGCGTTTGTGCGCGCGGCCTCGGCGACGGCGTAGTCGCTGTTGGGGTCGCGGCGCTTGGCCGTGCGTGCGGCGAGCTTGGAGCGGGAGCGGAGCGACTTGGCCATGCTTGCGATGCGGTGTGGGTGTGTGTGGGAGAGGAGGAAGCGGGCCGAGGGGCGAGGGTCTGCGAAGGCCAAATTTCCAGACGCCGCGGCGATGCTGACGTAAGCCAGACGCGCCTGGCCGGCTAGGCCGCACCTCGCGCGCGCACGAGCCTGCCTCCCCCACTCCAGACCACCAGCTCCTCTCGCCATGCCTGCCCTCAAGCCGGCCGCGCCGGGCGCCGCCGCACCAGCAAGCAGCGCAACGGAGGCCATCTACGTCGATAACTCCAACGTGCAGGAGCTCAAGGCGACGTGCGACGAGGCCGTCGAGCGCGTGCGTCGCCGTTGCTGCCCGCCTGCCTGTGCTGTCTCCGCTCACTGTGCCTGCTGCCGAACGACAGATCCTGACGCGCGCGCCGCACGGCTTTGCTGCCTCGCACCTGGCGGGAGACCTGCGCATGGCGCTTGGTTTCATCGCCGCGGCCGTCATGATCGGCACGAGCGCGTGGGCCTGGCGCCTGGAGCCCGAGTGGAGCAAGAACAAGTGGGGCTGCGGCGTCGCGGTGGCTGTGTGAGTTTGCTGCGGCATCAGGCCCGTCGCCTGCAGCGTCAAGCTCATCATCGCGCCTTCCGTCAGCTACACGGTGCTCTCGGCCGTGCAGTACGTGCTGGCACACCTCTCGGCGGACCGCATCTTCCTCGGCACGCGTGCGCGCAGCGGCGCCAGTCAGACGCTGGAGATCTGCGCGCCGCCGCTGCCAAAGGCGCAGACGGACAAGCAGCCGGGCCCGGACGGCCAGCGATGGACGACGCCGCCGGTGTACCACATCGTGGTCAAGTCGGGTGGGAAGGAGGTCAAGAAGGAGGTCGGACACTGCGGTGAGTAGCGTGTCCAAGAGCCGCGTGGCCAGGCTGCCGCTTGTCGGCGCTCGCCCGGCAACCAAGCCTCTGCCGGCGGAGTCACTCACACGCTCGTCTGCAGGCGAGTGGTTCACGAGCACAGGGGAGTTTGTCGAGTCGCACTTCGCCGAATCGCTGCAGGCCGCGCTGCGGGACCATCTGTGAATGACAAGGGGATGCCAGGATGATAGAAGCGACGCGCAGACGGCAGGAAGCAGCGATGACATGAGTATTTTGGCTTGGACGGCACGAAGGAAAAGTACAGGGGCGGGACAGCATTAGAGGAGGTCCTCGACGCGGACGGCTGCGAGGATGGGTCAGCAGCACGCTCGCCACGTATGCGCCCGCCAGCAACTCACGCATCTCGTCGATCTGCGTGGCGTAGTACTGCTCGATGTCGCGCAGGATACGCACGTCCTCGACGGTGACGAACTGCGGGGCAGCGTCAGCCGCGTTGCCTCTGCGCGCAGCGGCGTGCAGAACTCACGTTGATCGCAACACCCTTGCGTCCGAAGCGGCCCGAGCGACCGATGCGGTGGATGTAGTTCTCGCGGTTGCTGTGCCACGGGATCAGCAGGGGCCGGCAGGGAGCGTCGCTGCGCCACTCACCCCGGCAGGTCGTAGTTGATGACCAGCGAAACGTTCTGCACGTCAATGCCGCGCGCCCACACGTCCGTCGTGATGAGCACACGGCTGTCGCGCGGGTGTCAGCAAGAGACAACGAGTCGATCCGCTGCGCGACGCTCACCTCGAGCCTGTCCGGAACTCGCCCATGATGGCGTCGCGCTCTTTTTGCTGCATCTCGCCGTGCATGCTGTGGAGTCAAGTCAGCGTAGTCGCGGACGGAGGCGAGCTCGCGACGCACCTGCTGATCTGGAAGTTGTTCTCGCGCATCTTCTCCGTCAGCCAGTCGACCTAGCGAGCAAGTGTCAGTCGTCGGCAGTGAGGTGAGTGCTCGCGGCACACACCTTCCTCCTCGTGTTGCAAAAGATGACCGCTTGCGTAATCGTCAGCGTGTCGTAGAGATCGCACAGCGTGTCGAACTTCCAGTCCTCCTTCTCGACGGCCACGAAGAACTGCTTGATGCCCTCAAGGGTCAGCTCGTCGCGCTTGACGAGAATGCGGATGCTGCGTGGGCGACGTGTGAGAGACGGCATGCGCGCGCGACGCGTCGCTCGCACTCACGGGTCCGTCATGAACTTCGTCGTCATCTCCAGGACGTCGTGCGGCAGCGTAGCAGACAGGAGCACGCTGTCGGGACATCCGTCAGTGCGCGCGCATCTTCCCTCGACTCGCGCATGGACTCACACCTGCGTCGCCGGCGGCAGGTAGCGGTACACGTCGTAGATCTGGTCCTTGAAGCCCATGTTCAGCAGCTCGTCGCTCTCGTCGAGAATGAGCATCTTGATGTTCTTGGTGCGCAGCGACCGCCGCCGGATCATGTCGAAGACGCGGCCCGGCGTGCCCGAGACGATGTGCTGCCCGTGCTCCAGCTTGCGGATGTCCTCGCCAATCGATGTGCCGCCTGTGGTGCGTGTCAGCAGCAGCACGGGTGCGCCATCTCCTTGGCCCGATGCCAGAAGCACAGCATGCAGAACACACAGCCCCAGACCTCATCACAGCTCTGCCAACGCCAGGCTGGGCTTGTGGCGCCCTTGTTCCGACGCGCCAGCACCGCCCGTTCGTACTTCTGAGCGGCTGATGTCGGCAGGGGACCCGCACACAGGACGCATAGGCGACAAGTTCCAGCTACGCGCGACCGAAGCGTCCGCCAACGCTTCCCTACCACGCCGCTGCGCCCGCTCTCTCTGCCAGAAACGTCCTCGCACACCCTTCTCGTCTACTCACCGATGCACGCGTGGCATTGCACGTTCATGTAGTCGCCCAGCGCCAGCACGACGCTCTGGATCTGCGTGGCAAGCTCGCGCGTGGGGCTGAGCACCAGCGCCTGCGTCTCGCGCAGCGTCGTGTCGATGGCCTGCAGCATGGAGATGGAGAAGGTGGCCGTCTTGCCCGTGCCGCTCTGCGCCTGAGCAATCACGTCGCGCCCGCGCACAATCGGCAGAATGGCACGCTGCTGGATCGCAGACGGCTTCTCGAAGTCTGTGCAGATGTGTGTCAGCAGCTGAATCGTTCGCCTGTGCTGAGCGACCACGCACTGTAGGCGTAGATGCCGCGCAGCAGGTCCTCCTTGAGGCCGAGGGCGTCCTGGAGGTGGAGTGTGAGCCTGCCGCCTGCTCGCAGCAGCAGCAGCAGCCGCCGGGCGCGCACGACGCACAAAGGTGGGCGCGATCTTGACCTCCTCGCTGCTCTCAAAGACGAGCTTGGCATCGCCTGCGTTGATGCCGGCCATGATGGGCAGCAACTGAGTGGTGTGCGGAGAGGGGTGTGAGGGTGCGACAGGAAGGCGCGAGCGTGGCGCCGGCAGCGCCAAAATGCCGCGGCAGCGCATGCAGCTTTGTTCCCACGCTGCCGTCTGCGCCCTCGCTCGCCGCCCATAGCTTGCTCCTCACTTTCAGACTCTGCCCCTGCGCGAGCCGACACCGATGCTACATCGCCTGACAGGATACCTCTGAGCCATCTGCGGAGCGCATGGCCTCGAGCAGCCGCCTCACCTGCCGCGCAGACGCCGCCGCCAACCTGCTCCTGGCCGCGAAGCAGCAGCTGGCTTTCAGGCTGTGCCAACACATCTCCTGCTGGCGCTTCGAAGCGAGAGCACAGCTGCAGGCGTCAGACGCTGATCTCGACAGCTCAATCTCAGTATCTAGGCATGCATGGGTGACATTGTCGCTCAGCGCAATCTGGCTAGCCAGCTCTGCGGCTGCTCGCACATCTCCTTCCACTGCGCCACCAGACGTGCCAGCTCGGCGCCCTCGACGACGCGGTGGTCTGCGCTCCACGACGTCGGCAGCAGCAGGCGCGGCACGATGTTGCCCGCGGCGTCGTAGCGCGGCAGCAGCTTGGTGCGCCCCACGGCGCCGATGGCCAGCTGGCCCGTCGGCGGCAGCAGAGGCGCCGCAGCCGTACCGCCCACGGCGCCGATGTTGGAGAGCGTGAGTGTTGCTGGCCGGCCCATGTCGGCGCGCGAAAGCGGCCCAGCGCTCGCCTTGCTCTGCAGTGAGGCGATGTGCGCTGCAATCTCGAGAATGGAGAGTGTGCGCAGGTCGGGCAGCGAGGGCGTGAGCAGGCCGAAGGGCGACGAGAGGGCCAGAGAGACGTCGTGCGAGTCGCGTTGCCGCAGCTTGGCCGGCGTCGAAGCAGCGTCGAGCGTGGAGCGGAAGAGTGGGTGTTCGGGCAGCACGAGCGAGAGAGCCTTGAGCAGGAACGGCAGCAGCGTCAACTTGCTGCCCGTCGCAACTGCGAGTGACTTGCGCAGTGCATCCAGCTCCGTCACGTCGACCTCCTCAGAGTAGCCAAAGTGCGGCACGGCCCACGTGGCCGTCATGCCCTTGAACATGGCGCGCCGGATCGAGCTCATCTCGACGACTTGCTCGCCGGCCTGCGGCGCGGCAGGTGCGGGCGCCGGTGCGCCGCTGCTACTGCCGCCCTCCTTGCGCCGTGCAACGAAGCCCAGCACATCCTCCTTGGTGACGCGCCCGTCCTTGCCCGTGCCGGGCACCGAGGCAATGTCGATGCCCTCCTCGCGCGTGATTCTCCGCACAGCCGGCGTGGCCAACGAGGCGTGCTTGCCGCGAGCGAAGGGCTCTTCTGGGGCGGACGCTGCGGCAGGAGCAGCTTCTGGCTCTGGCGCGGCTGCCTCTGGTGCTGCCGCTGCGGGCTTGGCAGGCTCCGGCGCAGCAGGCTCTGGCGCCGCATCGCCCGCCTCGCCGTCGTCCACCTCGATGCGGCACAGCGGCGAGCCGACGCGCGCGACTTCGCCGACGGAGTAGCACGTCTCGACTACTCGTCCCGCATAGCGCGAGGTGATCTCGACCGAGCTGTGTCGCAGAGTCAGCACACTGACGGGCCGACAGACCGCATCGCGCAACTCACGCCTTATCGGACTGCACCTCGACGAGCGCGTCGAACTCGGACACTTCGGTGCCAGTCGAGACGAACCTGGCTCGGTCGCGTCAGCCTCTTGTAACGCTACATCAGCTGCACGCATACCGCACTCACCACTTGATAATCTCGCACTCGGTGATGCCCTCGCCGACATCGGCGAGGAGGTAGTCGACGGTGCGGCGCGCCGGCCGCGAGCTGCTCGACGCGAAGCTGCGCACGGCGCTGACGCCTCTTGAGGAGACAGGTGTGGGCACGACCAGGAGGCGGCTGCCACGAGCGGCAGCGCTGCGTTGCGAGAGCGCACGACGGGACGCGACGCGGCCGAGGGCGCCGAGGAGATGTGCTGGCGGCCGGCGCACGGCCGGACTGAGGGCGGCGAGCATGGCAGGGGCGAGTGGAGCAGGACGAGACGATGGAAGCACGAGAGGCGGCCAGCTTGATGTCTAGAGCGAGCAGGTGCAGATGGTGGTCGTGAAGGAGGCGGTGCGAAGAATGCCGCCGCCGGATGTGCAGCGAGCACGGCTGGGCTTGGCGGGGAAGCGCACGCAGCCGGCACGCGCGGGGCGTGCCAGCCGAGCGAGTGCGGGGGCGCGGCGCGGCCAGACGCCGGCCGCGGAGCCGCGGATCGCGCGCCGCCGCCGCCGCCAGCGAGCTCGGCACTGCAGCTCCCACGCTCATCATCCCCTCCTCGCTTGCCGCGCCCTTGCGACGCTGCCTGGCCGGTGTGCATCTCTCACGGCTGATCGCAGGTGCTGGAGCTGCAACTCGCACCCCTTCTCACGTACCCAGCGCACCCTGAGTGCGCCTTCATGGGGCGGGCCTCACGCCTGTCGACGCGCAAGGCAGCGCGGCGCGCTCCACCGCGCAAAGCAGCTGGCTCCCGAAGGCCGAGCGCCTGGAGCCCCCTACCCCGAAGGCAACTCAGACGGCATGGGTTCTGCAGCACATCGATGCACTACTCTGACTCCAGCGAAGATAGCGAGAGCGAGCGCTGCAGTGTTGCGGCGCGTGGCGCCGGCCGGCCGGCTCCATGAGAGGAGGCTCAATGCGCCTCCTGCGCTCGACACTCGACTTCACAGGACGAGCACCCGAATCGTCAGATGGATCCGTGGTTCATTTCATCTGGTGGCCACTACGCGACAGGGACTCAAGGCGCGAACAGCGGAAGGAAGCATGGCCTTCCCTTCGATACAAAGCACTGTTCGCTGTCTGCCGAGCTCTAGAGACGCACTTAGGCGGTGTACGTCGACGACGAGACACGACCCGAGTTGCCCTGCCAGTTGGTGTGCGACCAGCTGCCCGTGGGGCCGTCGGCGAGGAGCTGGTAGGTGTGGGCGCTGCGGGAGGCAAGTGTGTCAGCAATATGGCGACACGGTGCGGGAGGGAGACTCGACACGCACCCGAACAGGTCGCGCTGCGCCTGCAGCAGGTTGGCGGGCAGCTTCTCGGTGCGGTAGCCGTCGAAGAAGGCCAGCGCGCTGGAGAAGGCCGGCGTCGGGATGCCCCAGAGGATGGCCTGGGCAATGACGCGGCGCCAGCCGGCCTGCGCCTCGTGGATGGCCTTGTTGAAGAAGTCGTCGAAGCTGCGGGCGAGAGCATAAGCGGCGGTGCGGGAGAGAGGAGGACGAGAGAGCCGCGCATCGCGCCCGTGGCCTTGCGGCGCAGCCGCTGCTCCCTTGGTACTACAGCCTGCGCGCCTAGACCACCACTCACAGCAGGTTCTCGAGCTCCGGGTTCTTGCGGAAGGCCGTGGTGATGTCCTTGAGGAAGACGGAGCGGATGATGCAGCCGCCGCGCCACATGAGGGCGATGGAGGGGTTGTTGAGCGTCCACTTGTACTCCTTGGCGGCCTCGCGCATGAGCATGAAGCCCTGGGCGTACGAGACAATCTTGGAGGCGTACAGCGCCTGCTCGAGGTCGGCAATGAACTGCGTCTTGTCGCCCTCGAACTTGGGCGCCTCGGGGCCCGAGAGCACCTTGGAGGCGCGCACACGCTCGGCCTTGAGCGACGAGAGGCAGCGCGCGAACACGGCCTCGCCGATGAGCGTCAGGGGCTGGCCAAGGTCGAGCGCGTTGATGGCCGTCCACTTGCCCGTGCCCTTCTGGCCGGCACTGTGTGGGTGTGTGAGACAGGGCGACAGGGCAGGCTAGGGCGCGCGACTCACACGTCAAGGATCTTCTCGACCATGGGCGTGCCGTCCGTGTCGTTGAAGCGCAGAATGTCGCGCGTGCTGCAGGAGGCGTCAGCATGGCTTCGGCGCCGTCACGTTCGCCGCAGCTCACATCTCGATCAGGAACGAGTCGAGCACGCCCGAGTTCCACTTGTCGAAGATGTCGCCGATCTCAGCCTCCTTGAGGCCAAGGCCGCGCTTGAGGATGTCGCTGGGAAAGAGGGTCAGCAAGTGTGAATCCAGGCGCAGGCAGCGCCACTCGTGCGCTTTTGCGCACTGAGGCTGTCGCAGAGCAAGCGCGCGATGTTTGCGCGCGCAATGCTCCGCCGCTCGCCGCACAAGGCATGCACACTCACTAGCCCTCGCAGATGAGCTGCATGTCTCCGTACTCGATGCCGTTGTGCACCATCTTCACGTAGTGGCCGGCGCCGGTCTGGCCGACCCAGTCGCAGCACGGCTCGCCGTCGCTCTGCGCCGCCGTCTTCTGGAAGATCTCCTTGAGGTGGGGCCAGGCGGCGTCGGAGCCGCCGGGCATGATCGAGGGGCCGTGGCGCGCGCCCTCCTCGCCGCCGGAGACACCGGCGCCGACGAAGAGCAGGCCCTTGGCCTCGAGCGCCTCGGTGCGGCGGATCGAGTCGGGGTAGTGCGAGTTGCCGCCGTCGATGATGATGTCGCCCTTCTCGAGGTGCGGCACGAGCTGGTCGATGAAGGCGTCGACGGCGGCGCCGGCCTTGACGAGGATGATCATCTTGCGCGGGCGCTTGAGGTTCTTGACGAACTCCTCAATCGAGTGGGCACCGATGACGTTGGTGCCTGCAGAGCGGGGGCGCGGGTGAGCGGGTGTGCGTGACGTGCGGCAAGGCAGAGCACGCACCCTTGGCCTCGTGCTCGAGGAAGTCATCGACCTTGGAGGTCGTGCGGTTGTAGGCGCAGACCGTGTAGCCCTTGTCTGTAAAAGGGGTCAGCAAAGGTGACAGCGAGCGCGAGAGCAGATCGCTCTGAATCAGGACGCTCGTAGGGGCCCAGAGCAGCGTCACACATGACTTTTGCTGCAAGTACGAGGCGGCAGCACCGGGGGAAGGCCTTCTCGGGCGCGTCTCGCAAATCTGCGTGCGCCTCCTCCACCAGGTCCGGCAATCTCACACTCGGCCCAGAAATTCCAGATCAAGCGCCTCTTGCACACAATGCTCACCGTTCATGTTCAGGATCAGGTTCTGCACGTCGCAGAGGCGGCGCGAGGCGCGGAGACGTCAGTACAGAGGCCGACGTTGGCGCACGGTCATGCGCATGCGCATCCCACTCACCTGGCCCATGACGGCCAGACCGATCAGTCCGATGCTGCAGGGAGACTGATGTCAGCATGTGTGGTAGGAGGGTTGGTGGAGGAACGGCTACGGCGCTCTCTGCGTCGAGCTCATGCGCAGGTGCAAGGGAGATCTTCGCAAGCATGCCGAGCCAGCGCCGTCGATAAGGGTCCAGCGCGGAGGACCAGATGCCAGACGCGCTGCAGAGCCGAGTCGCACATGCACCGCAAGGCAATCGCATCACCCTGGCAAGACGCCTGGACGAATGTGTGACATGCTTCTCGAGCAGCAGGCGGGCGGCCGGATATCTCTGGCGGGCGCACGGCCCACCAGCGCGCGCAGCAGCGACGCAGCGGCAGCACTCACTCGGCGGACATGTCTGCGACAGCGAGGTGGGAGGAGATGGAAGCGAGGCGGGAGGCGGCAGCGGGAGCTGAAGGGGACGACGTCGTGCTGGGAGGTGGGCGACGACGGAGGTAGGGATGGTAGGGTGCGGGAAGGATCTCGCGGCGGCCGGCGAGACGGTTCGATCGAGCGTGCGCCGCGGCTGCGCTGCGAGCACGGCGCAGCGGCGCAACAGCACAGCAGGCACGCCGCCAGCAGCGCTGCGAAGGAACGGCCGCCGCCGCGGCGCGGCTGTCGCTGCCGGCCCTGAGCGTATCAGCGCAGCTGGCAGGCACGCCGCGAGCCATGCCGCCGTGCCCTCGCCGCCGCCCCAGCCGTGCAGCGCACCCCAGCCGTGTCGTGTACGTCACGCGGCCGGCCGCCTGCGTGCTGCAGCATCAGATCCTCTTTAAAACGCACCTGCTGCCAGCTCATCAGCTCCCCTCTAGGCATCAAGAGCCGAGAGGTCGCTTCAGAGGTCTCGCGTAGCAGCATACCTTCTCAACACGGCGGCGCCGCGAAAGGTGCGGCCTCGCTGAGCCTCCGACGAGCTGGTCGGGCATCGGCGAGATTCAGAGATTGGCGCGCGCTGACGGGGTGCGGGCTGCGATCGTCTCGCTGCAGCTGACCTGCAGCTGCAGCGCAGCCGCAGGCCGGCAGTCTGTGCGCGCCCGCCAACTCCACCCGCCGCCTCGCAGTCTAGTCGGGGCAGTCGGCCGGGCCGCTCCACCCAAGGCAGGCTTCACTTTAGCCATTACAACGAGGCGAAAGGCTGAATACTGGACCGCGCGACCATGCATCCAGAGCGTGCCCTCTGTGCTCGCTATGCCGCTTCTGCCTTGATCAGCAGGTCTTTTGGGCGCAGCAGCCGTCTGAGTGGAAGAAACGATGTGCCTGGGCCAGGCTGGAGCAAGACTTGGGTCTGGCTCGCACCGCAGGCGGCGCGAGGGGAGATCGCCGGCGGAGGGGCGTGGGCGTGCACGTGACAAGCACACACGCCGCGGCCGCCCTGCGCCGGCGCTTTACGCGCTCAGCAGTCAACACCGCGGGGCGCGTCGTGAGCGGCAGCGGGCCTTGGCAGCTGCTGCCGCCGCCGCGGCCTCCTCATCTCACCCTCACCTCCAAGCCATGGCGGACCGCTTCGCCGCGCTCGCCGGCTATGCCGAAGACGACGAGTCGGGCACCGACTTCAACTCGACGCGCGCCGGCGCCCCCGCCGGCGGGCTCACCACCATGCTCGACGCCAGCAGCGACTCGCTCCTCGTGCCCGTGGCCGCAGCCAAGGCGTCGGCCGCAGCGGCGCCGCAGCGCACCGCACCGCCGCCACGTCCGCTCTCGCCTCGCCAGACCAACGCGCCCACAGCGCAGCCGTCTGATGCGCGGCCCGCTCCGCCGCCCGCCACGCCCCGCATCGCCGGCGCCGGGCCGCGCGGCAACGACGCTCCCTCGACGCGCCGCAAGGCCGAGCACCGGCGGCTGCAGGGCATTCGCATCCTGGCCGGCGAGGATGAGGCTGCGGCTGCTGCAGCGGCGGCAACGGCCGCAGCCATCGCAGCCGACGACGACGAGCTCCTGTCGGAGGACTCCGACGACGAGCTGGCGCGCATGCAGGCCGACATGTCGCGCGCCGCCGACACGACGGCGGGCAACGGCGACGAGAGCGCCATGGTCGGGCTGCGCGCGCAGAAGCAGCGGATGCAGGGCGGCATCAGCCTGAAGGGCAACGAGGAGCGCACGCGTGCGCTGCAGGCCGAGAACAACGAGCTCAAGCTCGAGGTGGACCTGCTGCGCAAGCGCTACACGCACAACGACGCCCTGCGCGAGCTGGCCGTCGTCGTCAAGGAGCGTGCGGCGCTGCAGCAGCAGCTCCTGGGCCTGTCGCAGTTCGCCAACAAGACACTCGATGAGGCCAAACTGTCGAAGAAGATCATCAAGAAGCTCGGCACCGACACCGTCGAGAGCCTGCGCGAGGCCGCTGAGAACGCGCGAGCAGAGGCCAGGGAGGAGCGCGAGCGCGCCGAGGCGTTGCGGCGTGAGCTGGCAAGCGCGAGGCAGAACGAGGCGGGATCAGTCCAGCAAGAGGTGAGTGGCGCGTACGATTACGCGCGAGCGGGGCTGATGCGGCGCACAGGCCGAGATCAAGGCCCTGCGCGACGAGCTCGAGGGCATCAAGCTTGACCACAAAGACGAGCTGTTTGAGCTGCAGAAGGAGAAGGAGGACCTGGAGGACCGCATCGATGCGCTTGCCGCTACGGAGCGCGACCGCGATGCCGCCGAGGACCAGGTCGCTGCTCTCAACGAGGTGAGCATGTCGGAAGGCAGAGCGTGGGAGAAGGGGGCGCTGAGCTTGCGTCTATTCAGGATCTCGCGGCGCTGCGTGCGGAGAACGAGCAGATGTCCACGCAGATGGATCAGCTCGAGGATGTCAAGGCCGCTCTGACCGAGGAGCTGGACAAGCGCCAGACGCACTTGCAGGAGCTGCTTGCATCAGAAGAGGCCCTCCAGGCCGAGCTTGAGGTTGGGCGGCAGCGTCTCGAGCTGCAGTCTGAGGAGCGGGGCGCGCTGGCGGAGGACATGGAGCGCCAGCTGCGTCACGCCGAGGACTCGATTGCTGAGCGCCTGCAGCAGGTGAGTCGGAGTGCAGCGGCACGTCTTGCTGATCGCTGAGCGCTGCTGTCCTGCAGCAAATCAACGCCCTGCGCGACGAGCTCAGCGAGGCGAACGTCCATCTACAGGATCGCGAGAACCGCGTCGACGACCTCGAGCTCAATGCGGCAGAGCTCAATGCGCAGCTCGAGCAGGCAGAGACGGATCTCAAGGCCCTCGAGGAGGCGTTGAATGAGAAGACCGAGGTGAGCGGGTCTGACAGTGTGGCATTTGGCTGTCGCTGACAGCGAGTCGCAGGCGTGCGAGGCGGCCTACCGCGAGGGCGATGAGCTCGAGGCAGCGCGTGACGAGCTCGAGGCCAAGCTCAACGAGGCGAACGCCGCCATCGAGACGCTCGACCAGGAGATGGAGGACCGGCATCGCGAGGTGGAGCAGACGAATGCCGAGATCCGCGATGTGCGTAGCAGCGACCTGTGTTGGCCACACGCTGCTGACGTTCTCCCGACAGCTCTCGGAGCGGAATCAGCAGCTTGAAGAGCAGGTCGACGAGCTGAACGCGGAGCTGCAGCACGTCAATGACCGGCTTAGCGCGACGGAGGAGAAGTTTGTCGAGGAGACGCAGCTTCTATCGCGCAAGAATGCTGCGCTGAAGGAGGTGAGTCGATCATGCCGTCTCTGACGCGGTCAGCTCGTTGACTTGGCCCGCAGCGACTGGCGGACGCCGACGCTGCGCTTGCGGATGCCCATGCCCAGGGCGACGCCACGCAGCACGACATCGAGGACGCGCTCAAGGAATCCAGCGCGCTTGGCCGGCGCGTCGACCAGCTCAAGCAGGAGCTCGACGACGTGCACAGCGAGAAGGACCGCATCGAGGCCAAGCTGGACGACGTGCTGTCTGATCTGCGCGACGAGGAGCGGCTGCGTGAGAAGGCCGAGGACGATGCTGTCGCGCGTTTCGAGGAGGCAGAGAAGAAGTACCGCGGCATCATTGACGACAAGGAGGACGTGAGTGCAGAGCCGTGACCTCCCCGGCGCTCAGCTAAAGCCGCGAGCAGGACATTGCCTCGCTCAAGCAGGATCTCGCCTCGTCGGAGGCGGCGCTGCAGGCCCGCCTCGAGGACCTGGAGCGCCTGCAGGACGCACTGCGCAACAAGGAGTCCGAGAGCCGCCGGCTCGGCCAGAGCCACTCTGACCAGCACCAGTCGCTTGAGCTCGAGATTGAGCGCCTCAAGCGTGACCTCGCGCGCTGCGAGGCAGACCTGGAGCGGGCGCGCAAGGACCTCGACCGCAAGGACGAGACGCTGCGCGAGCGCGAGGACAGTCTGGCCCGCCTGGTGCGTATCGGGAGCTCGCCGACACAGACGCCTGTGCTGACGCACGACGCACAGACCACCGAGCACCGCAGCACGGCGGACAAGCTCGCCTCTGAGAGCAGCGCGCTGCAGAGCCTGCAGGAGAAGCTCGCGGCACAACTCAGGGTCAGTCAGCTGCTCAACATCTGCGCTTTCTCGCTGACCCCATGCAGGCCGTGGAGGACAAGCAGGCCGAGCTGGAGCAAGCTCGCGCGGACGTCACGCGCCTCGAGCGCGAGCTCGCTGCCGGAGACCGCTCGCTGGCCGCGGACCAGGAGAAGACGCGCAAGCAGCTCAAGGAGAGCAACAATCTGCTCATGGAGATCTACGACGATCTCAGCAAGTCGATCACTGCCGACCGCGCCACGCCAGTGAGTGGCATTTGTGCTCTCAGCCGAGCTCTGCTGACCCATGTGCCTGCAGCGCAAGGGCGCCGTGGAGCCCAAGCCGTTCAGCAACTTTGTCGTCTTCCAGGACAAGCTCGTGCGCCTCGTCGCGCGCGTTCTCACATTCAAGTCGCAGTTTGCCGAGCGCGCCAAGGCCATCGAGGAGCAGTTCGGCGAGGCGACGCAGGCGCTCAAGCGGCAGCAGGAGGCCAAGTTCCGGCAGCTCGAGAAGCTCGAGGCGACTGTGGTCAACGTGCAGGGCAAGCAGACGCAGTGGCGCGACCGCGTCAAGATGAAGACGGACGAGCTCGCCGCGGTCAAGGCGACCAAGTCGGAGCTCGAGGCGCAGCTGAGCTCGCTGCGCACGCGCGCGGCACTCAGCTCGCCGGGCGAGGGCAACAAGCAGGCGGCGCTTGCCTCGCGCGCCGGCGGTCTGGAGCGGCGCCTCGCGACGGCGCAGAGCCAGCTGACGCAGGCCGAGGAGCGCCTCGCCGACGCGCGCGTCAAGTACAGCGAGGGCGAGGGCAAGTGGGCGGCGCGCATCAAGGAGCTCGAGATGCGCTGCCGCCAGGCCGAGGAGAAGTACAAGCGCGAGCGGCAGGGCGCAAAGGAGCGCGTCGCGGAGATGAACGAGCAGATCAAGTGCGTGCCGCGAGAGCAAGTGTTGGGTGCAGCGCTGACCCTCATCTCCCCGCAGGCAGAAGGAGAAGGAGGTCGAGGCGGCGAACCGGCGGCGAGGGACCGTGGCGCACGTCGCCGAGAACCTGGCGCGCGTCGCCTGAGCTTGTGTATCGTCTCGGAGTGGCTTGTCTGCCGTCGTCATTGCTCTGTAACCTCCGTCACCTGGGCCGCGCGCTATCCATACCCCCTCTGTAGTCTATCTCGCCCTTGCATTATCATCATGTGCCATTCCCCCTTTTCGCCGGCGTCTAGACCAGCTCGACGACGCCGCCGGCGGCCTCGATGGCCTTCTGCAGCTTCTCGGCCTCGTCCTTCGGCAGGCCCTCCTTGAGCGTCTGCGGTGCCGACTCGACGAACTTTTTTGCCTCGACGAGGTTCCTGTGGGGCAGCGTGAGCCTATGCGCGCGCGTGCGGGGGTGCCATCGGAGCAGCGCTTGGCGTGGCACGGAGCGCCGGCTCGCTGCAAACGCTGCGCGCTCCTCTAGACGCCTCCCGCCACATCGTAGCAGCCTCTCTGCATGTACCTCCCTTCCCTTCCTGTTCCCTCGCGATCTCAAGCTCATGCCGGCATCGCCCCTCAAGCCAACCCTTGCTCTCTCCTCTCGCGCAACCCGCAGTGCCCGGCATCCCGGACCCCTCGTTCTTGCCCTTATGGCTCTCTCGACCAACGCACATTGTAGAGTTGAGCGCCTTGACCTCGCGGATCACCTTTGCCTTTGCCGTGGGGTCCTTGAGGCCCGCAAGGCGCACTGTGAAGATCGTCTTCTCCTTTGGCTTCTCCTCCTCGGCTGTTAAAGCACGTCAGCCACCTGTGCAAGGCAGCGCATGGGGAGCAGGGCTACCCACCTGGTGCGGCGGCAGCCGGCGCGGCGGCCGCTGGTGCGGCCGAGGGCATGGCGATCGACTCGATGCCCAGACGCGTCTGTGGAGGCAAAGCGGAGTCAGTCAGATCGGACGCATGTCGTGCGACAGTAGCTCTGCCAGCGGCGCTCCCCTGTGCGATGAAGGTCGTGCTGCCCGCCTCTGGCTGACGCCGCGCAGTGGCAGCACAAGCAAAGTAACAGCCGCTCCTCGCAGCTGCAGCAAGAGACGGGCCACTCAAAGCACCCGCCACGCTCGCAGCGGCCCGCTGCTGTCCTTAGCTCTTCGGCGAGCGCAGCACTGTGCGAGAAATACACCAGCCTTGCTCCGCGCTCCGGGGCTGCAGGCGCCTGAGTGTCCAGTCCACTCCACCGCCGCTCATCTGCCGCCATCGCAGTGCTGCCGCTGCCGACTTCCAGCGCTCCTCCGCCGCAGCGAGAAACGCACCTTGAGCAGCGACACGAGCTCGGCCGCCTCGAGCAGCGTCAGCTTCTCCACCTGGTCCACAATGCCCACGAGCTTGGCATCTGCCGAGCCCGATGCCTCGGCCAGCCGCCGCGGCGACGAGGCGAAGCTCCGGGCCGGCGCGGCGGCGCGCACGGCGGCGCGCGGTGCGAGGGTGCGGCGCGCGAGTGTGAGAGGCAGGCGCATGGCGGAGGACATGGTGCGGCGTGGGTGAGGGAGAGGGCGGTGGAGTGAGATGGGGTCTGGCTGGTGTCAGCGCGGCGCTGCACGGGAAGATGCAAGCCGGCCAGCCCACGTGACGCGGCCGGCGGACTTCGGAGTCGCGCGCCGCGCGAGCCGCCCGCCGGCCCCCTGACAGCTCTGCTCCGCACTTGCTTCTCACTAGACTGCATACCGCGGGGCGACAGACTGAGCTCGGAGGCACGAGCTTTCAGCAGTGACAGTCGCAGTGATGAAACCAACAGATGGGAGACGAGGACAAAGCTCGGCATGGATTCTCAGCGGTGCCAGCCGCAGTACAGGAGTCGAGAAGAGGCCAGAAGCACACGAGCGCACGATGCCAGTGATCAGCGGCCGAACAGCCGGAGGAGGTGGTAAAAGAAGGCTCCCAGAAATCTAACAGCGGATAGGCCGGCGACCGAGTAGAAGATTGCCTGACGAGGAGGATGTCAGCTACGTGAGCTAGGGGCATCCTCGTGAGGCGCTCACGTTCATGTACGGGTCAGTGCTTCCTGCCTGTCCACGACTGACGTTCTGGCGCACGTAGCGTGCCCACCACGTCGAGGAGAAGATGATGATGAGCCCGGCGTTGCTGTGGCGGATGTCAGCGGCTGTCCAGCAGGTGATCCGAGAGGCTACCCACAGAGCGATGTAGAGCACCAGGAGATTGGTTCTAGAGCCGCGCATCAGCCGGCTGAGGATACGGTAATGCGCTCGGCACGCCTCACCTGAATGTCGCGGCGGCATCGGCAGCCTTGACGCTGGCGCTGCGGTGGTTCTTCGTCTTGGGGCGTTTGACTGCCAGCTCGGCCTGTGCGCTCGACCAGAGCTCCTGTGCGTCCTGGGCAGACGGAGCCTTGACTTCAACGGCCGCCGCCTTGCCGTCTTTGCCGGCCTTGACCGTCGCTGATCCGAGGTCCGTCGCGGCGCCCGAGTCGCCTTTTGTACCCCACGAAATGTCATGGAGGTTGGAGAACGAGAAGAGAGAAAGTACGATGATGAACGTCGGCTGCAGCAGGAGATACTGTATGAGGCAAGTAGCGAGATGCCAGGGATCCAAAGCCATGAGCGACGCAATGAGCCAAAGTAGGTACGTCGCCGCCAGCGAGATGACGATGGCGCGGAAGCTGCTCAGCTCCAGCAGCTGGACGATGTTGTCGGTCGTCCAGCCGCTGAGCTCGGTGAGGCCGGCCGCTTTTACTGCTACGTAGATCGTCCAGCCTGCGGTGTAGAGGCCGACGAGCATGATGAGACCAAGCAAAACGGCGATGCAGTGGTAGGCAATCTGAGATCCTTGAGGCCTGTTGCCGAGTGATACTGTACGGCAAGGAGTGAGCATGAAGAGCGGACGGAAGAGAGACGCGAGACCTGCACACGAGTCGGCCTCGTCTCGGCCTGATCTGACTTACGAATGATGACCACGACAATGACGCCGAGCAGCACGTTGAGCACGACCTGTAGCAGAGCTTCTCCCTGACCGCCGAAAGGATCGGAATTTGGGTCTGACGTTGCTGATTGAAAAAGAAAGTAGAGCGCCATGAAGAAATTCGCGATGGCGGTGAGCGAGAACACCATCTGGACGAGGGAAAAGAGCGTCTGGAAGATGAGCATGACCTTGCGAAGGAACGGCTGTCCGGAGGTGAGGAGCCGGCCGCAGTGAGCAAGACTATAGAGTGCCGCAAATAGCGATCCGTTCAGCCATCTGCGTCGCTGCGAGATGAACTCGGGAAGCCGGTCGGGCACATCCGTCGATGCCTTGGCTGGCTTGACGTACTTGAGCAGCCAGGCCGATTTCTGGAAGCACAAACGCGTGGGTCAGCAGAGCGCGCGCCGCGCGCGACGCGTGCCGTCGCCTGGAAATGCACGCTCCCTCACTCCCGAACCTTCGGACACCAGCCGCCCGCGCTTCCGGCCCAACTCACTTTCTTGGTCACGAGCTCGAAGCAGAGGATGCGGTCCCTGGCGCGCATCGTTAGCAGTGTGGGCGAGGGAGCGCATGAGCCGCAGCACGGCGGCTGCTTCCGGGCCACTGGCGCGTTGAAGGCTGCAGCAAAATTCGACTCACTCTGCGAGATACATGTTGGCCTCAAAACTGCCCGTCTGCACCTTGCCGCTGTGGATGGCTTCTCCTTTGAAGTAAGCGACAAGTGGCGCACCGCTGATCGCCTTGTATCTGTATGCGCTAAACGCGCCCGGCAGCACGGCGATGAAGCCGAAGACGCTCTCCATCGGCTTGTCGAGGATGCTGCGATCGCACGAGGTAAGCAAAGAGAACCATCAAACGAGCTTATCAAGGCTAGGACCCACTTTGACATCTTGTACTCGAAGTTCTGCGCGGCGACTGCCGGATTGACCAGCAGCGAGCAGAAGCGGCCCGTCTCGACGGTGATCTCGCCGCATGCGCCGCCGATGCGGTCGTTCGTCGAGAAAGCCTTCCACAAGTGGTAGATGGCGTTCGAGGCCGGCTTGGTGCCAACGTCGAGTAGAATAGTGACGTGCGGGTCAAGCTGCGCACAGAAAGCTGTCGAGACGAGTCATCAGTCTTTCGCGGGCCTCCGAGTCAAGGCGTATGTCTCCGAGATGCGCGACTCACCGTTGAAGAACCAGCGGTGACTGTTCAATTTGCGCCGATTTTGCTCTGGGGAGGAGAGGATGATGAGGATTCGACGGTTGGGCGCTCGCCTCGTCCCATCTCTATACCTTTGAGGCAGAAGAGAATCTGGATGGGTACCGACGAGACCTCGACGGCGCCGCTCTCGTGGACAAGTGTCTGCGAGGTGAGCTCGAACAGGTGTGCCTCCACGGGTGCCTTGTTGACGTGGTCGACCATGAGAGACGGGTGATAGACGCCCATGACCTGTAGCATGCTGGCATACCGTGCGTCCATCTTTGTGCGTCCATCGGCCACTATGCACACGCAGACCTTCTGCTCGGAGGGGGAGGGTGAGCGTGGCTCGCGTGGGATTTCACGTGATGGTGTGCGAAGCGCGGGACTGTGACTATGACGCGACTCTGGCTGTAGCGCGCGCCGTGCGCTTCGCCTTCCTCCCTCCCTCCCTTCCTCCTCCCTCCCTCCCTTCCCCCTCCCTCCCTCCCTTCATCCTCCCTTGCTCTCTTCCTCCTTCCTTCCTTCTCCGGAGCAGAGAAGTTCTCATGCTCACGCCACCGTCTCTCGCGACGCATCCTTCCAGAGCGCTCTGCGCCGCCGCCGCGACCACAGCCCTACTGACCTGCCATGCGTTGTTGCCCCACGTCTTGCTCTTCGTCCGGCTGGCAAGGTAGGCAATGTTCTTGATGACGCCGGTCAGGGTGCGGTCCAGCAGGTCGGGACCCTCATTGTAACTGGTCAGCACGATCATGAGCTCCGTCTTGCGGCCCATCAGCCACGGCCGGAGTGCATATCGATTTGCCACGAATTCGTCGGGATCGCAGGTGACGGCGGTGTAGCGCACGTGGGTGAACTCGCGCGCCTGGCCTGGCTTGCACAGACTGGCGGCAATCGGACTCTCGATGACCAGGTTGCCCTGCGTGAGCTCCAGGCTTCGGAGAGCGTCAGTGCACGTCGCAGAGCCTGATGTGGACGGCGCGGCTTACCGCTTGACGGTGCGCCGTCTGAAGATGCGCTCTTGCGTCTGCTGGTGCGCTCCTGGATCGCGATACTGCTGCTGCATGTGCGGCTGCGGCTGCGCCAGCATCGTGCCGGGCGCCGCGAGGCCGACCCAGCCGGCGCCCGCGCCAGCATTGTAGTCGTTCTGCGCCTGCGAGCCGTAGCCCCAGCCGTTGCTTGCCGGCGGTGCGCCCGGCGCATAGAAGCCGCCTGGCGCAGGCATGTGCTGATGCTGCATCTCAATCGCCTCGTGCCCGCCCGCGTAGCCATTGTCCCAGGCGCTGTTGGTGCCGGGCGCCAGATGCGTCGTGCTGCTGCTCGCCTCAAAGTGCCCGCCTGCAGATCCGCCAGCATCCCATCCGCCCTTCTGGTACGAGTACACGCTCTCGTCGTGCGATGGACGTGGGTCTGAGGACATGAATGGCGCCTGAGGAGCCTGGGGCTTGCCGTAGGAGATGCTAGGGCGCAGCAGTCAGCATTCTGGCAGAGACCAGGCGGCGGCTGGCGTTGCGCGGCACAGCGACTCAAGCAGCCCTCCACGCAGAGCGCCTGACTCAGTCCGCATTCCGCCAGCTGAACATGCCCGCACACAGCCTTCCGGGCCCTGCCCCTTCCTCAGGTCACCCCACACGCGCTCTTCTGACACTCACCTCTCTCTCGCCCTGTGCCTCAGGCCCGTCTCACTCGGATGCGCCGCATACGAGTCCTGCTCCGCCCACGTGTCCTGCGTATAGGCGGTCCCCGGCTGTGCATACTGCTGCTGCGAGTAGTCCTGACCGTGCGCATAGCCATGCTGGTCGCCGCCATACTGCTGCTGGTGCTGCGACTGCTGTGGCGCGGAGCCGTATGGGTCGGCATAGCCCTGATACCCTGCGCCAGCGCCGGGCATCGGCTCGTGGTACTCGTCGTTCCCCCGGGATGCGCCGCCGCGCGGAGGCGAGTGCAGCGAGGGCTGTCTGTGCGGCGAGAAGAGCACGTCAGAGCGTGCGGATGCGGTCAGAGAGGCGCGCGCGCCTCACCTCGTGGGCCGCACTGGCGTGGCTTGGAACACTGGGCGCGACATGATGCTGCGCGAGCTGCAGCGTGGCGAGGATGCTGCGTCGCCAGAGCTGACTCTGGATGTCAGGTGCAAGAGGGTGATGAGTGGTCAAGTCTGGAGGAGGTCCGAGCTGCGAGAAGCCCCTGCGCCTCAGTCCCCGAGAGCCGCCTCACCCCTTCGGCCGCCCAGCGGGGACAAAGCACACTTTCCCCGCGCCGCGCGCCCTGCGTGCCGCCGCGCGTCGATTCAGCGCGCATTTCCGCATTCCAAAACAAGCCCAAAATCTCGTTAGTGTGATTTGAACGGGTGCGGCGACTTGCACACCCTCCTCCTGACAGGCCTCTCCTCGATTGCGCTGTCTGCAATGAGACGCTCTCAGCCACGCCTAATACGACCGATCATTCACATTCGGAGCTCGGCACCTCTGACTTGGCCGACTCCCCGGACGCACAGGCCACGCCTGACAAGACTCGGTAGCCACCGTGTCTTGGTGGCATGGAGTGGGATGTGCTGATAGCCTGCTAACACTCGAGCAGGCCAACTCTGGCTCACGTGGCTGCCCTTCTTTTCGCCAGACGGCCTCTTCGACGGCACCGCAAGCCTGTCGACGAGCACGCTCGCCAATGCGCGATCAGGGAGCACGGTCGACATGGAGCCATACTCAGCTCAGATGTGTTGTACGCTCGTCTCATTACGTCTCACTCTCCCCTTCATTCGCTCTCACTCCTCCATCGGCGCCGCCGCGTCTCCGACCGTCGCCTCGCCGCCCGGTGCGTCCGTGCCGTCTCCCGGCACTGCGCCCGTCGCACTGGCGTTGGCGGGATTCGCGCGAGGCGTCATGCTAAGCGGCGAAGTGTCAGTGCAGTGCAGGAGTGAGAGTGGAGGCCCACGCACCGCTCGATCCAAGGCCGCAGCTCGTCGCCCTCGATGATGCGGAACTTCTCGGCGCGCGTCGCCGCGGTGGCCACGTCTGAGTCGGCGCCGGGCCCGACGATGGAGAGTGAGATGGCATCTGCGTCGAGCTGAGCAGAAGAAGTCAACTACTGCAGAGCATGCATGCCAACTGGCCGCATGGGTGCACCGCACTCACCTCCTTGCCCTGCTGCAGCGTGTCGCGTAGCGCATACAGCGCCTCCATGACCAGCTCCTCCATGCTCATCGCCTCGAGCGTCTCGACCTTGCGCTCGAGGTACGTCTTTGCGCTCTGGCTGCGCGCGCCCAGGGCCATGGCGTAGTACTCAAAGCAGTTGCCCGTCGGCGCAAACTCGTAGAGGTGTGCGCCGGCCGCGTCGACGCCGGCGACGAGGAAGCCCACGCCGTAGGGACGCTTGCCGTACTGCATCGTGTTGAGCTGTGCGCGGTCGGCGAGCTGCGAGATGAGCCGGGAGAGGGGCAGAGGACGCGAGTAGAGGAGGCGAGAGGAGAGCGCTAGTTGACGCATGTAGTTGCTGCGAGAGGGGTAAGCGATGAGAAGGAGGGCACAGGCGGTGCAGTCGCAGCGATGATGACAGAGCAGCAATGTCGTGCTGGTGCTACGCCATGCAGCCAGCACTTTCCCCTGCTCTCTCTTCTGCTCTGCCGTAGCAGGCCTATCCCGCCCTGCCGTAGTTGCCCTGTCCCGCCCCCGCTCCGCCGCGCTGTGTCTACACTCACGAGAGCACGCGCGCATCGCTCGTCAGGCCCGCAAACGCAATGCCGACGTGGTTGTCGATGCGCAGCATCTTGTTCTGGTGCGCAGCCAGCTCGCTGGGCGCGCGCTTCAGTGCCGCGAGCACGGCGTGCGTGGCGCTGCGCAGGCCGACGACGGCACTGCCCTGCTTGACGGCCTCCTGTGCATACTCGACTTGGTGCAGGCGCCCCTGAGGCGAGACTGCGAGAAGGAGGATGAGCCTGATGCACGGTGTGTATGGAAATGCGAGAGGACGCACAGACGGTGTTGTCGCCGTCGTAGGTGCTGCGCAGAAGAAGGTCAGTACGGCGGCGGCGCGGCGGGCGCAGCGACAGAGCTCACTTGCGGAACTGCGGAACAGGTCAGCAAGGCAAAGACGCATGAGCAGCACGCGACGCACCATGATGCCGAGCCGCTACGGGTGGGCTGAGAGGTGGAGAGGGTGGAGCAGGTGGTGGAGGAGAAGTGACCTCGAAGACGCGCAAGCGAGGCCAGCGTCCGTGCGGCAGGCCGCGTGTGCGATGCGCCCACACTGCTCCCGTGCCTGGCCCTGCGTGCCGCGGCGCTCCGCGGATTTGGGCGTCAGCGCCACGGCTTGCCCTGCCCCGCCGCACTCCACTCCTCACCACCACCACCCGCACACGCCCAGCATGCTCATCAAGGTCAAGACACTCACCGGCAAGGAGATCGAGCTCGACATCGACTCGGGCGACAAGGTGCGTGCCGCGCGTGTAGCTCGTGCTGTGTGCGCCGCGCTCAGGCGGGGTCCGACTCGGCGTGGAGTGCGCTCGGCAGGAGTGCGCCGTGAGACTGCGCTTGCTCTGCGCAGGTTGCGTAGCGGTGGGCGGACAGGAGCCGGCGATGGCTCAGGCGCTGCGCGTGGGGCTGCGCGCAGCGCCGACGATGGTTCGGACTCGCGGCAGCGAGCAGAAGGAGATGGCCTCGCAGCGGTCGCGTGTCGAGCACGAATCTGTGCTGCATCCTTGCCACTGGCTAGGCTGGGCTGCAGCGACTCGTGCGTGGGAACGCCGTCACGCCTCGACTCTACGCTATGCTCTCGCCTCAAGCACAGTCCTGAGAACACGGGCGCTCCAGAACAAGGCAGTGCAGGCCACGCCGGGTCTGACCAGCTGCGTCCGCGGCCGCGCAGCCCACCAGCTGATGATCTGGTGCCGTCGACCTTGCCTGCACGTGGGCCTTTGCGACTCTTCTGCTTGCGGACTCTCGCATCGTCCACCGCTGACGGCTTGTCTGCCTGCCAGGTCTCGCGCATCAAGGAGCGCGTGGAGGAAAAGGAGGGCATCCCGCCGGCGCAGCAGCGCCTCATCTTTGGCGGCAAGCAGATGCACGACGACAAGACGGCGCGCGAGTTTGGCGTCGAGGGCGGGAGCGTGTTGCATGTGAGTGATGTCCTTGAGCGACGCGAGAGAGGAAGAGGGTCAAGGGGAAAGGGAGGGGCGCGATGAATCGGTGCTGCGGTGGAGCGAGAGGAAAGCTGCTGCAGCGCAGAGATGCGTTGCAGCACGGTCGCCGATGTAGGCTGCCGGCTAGATGAACAGGCCTCTCACTAGCGCTTAGCTATAGCGAGCGAGAGTGGCACGTTGGCAGCTATACGCATGCGGCGTGCTGCAAGGACCTTGACGTGCCTGCGATGGGCACGCCGTAAACGTCGGGGCGGCAAGGCAGTCCACACTGCTGTGAATGGGTCTGTGACGGATCAGTGATGCGGCCGCGCCAGTGTGCCAGGGCCGCGCGCGATCCGCTCACCCACAGGCTGAGAGAAGCTGGGTGGCGACCGAGTGGAGGCACATTGTCCACCGGTGCGCAGATGGCAGCTTCCGAGAGAATGCGCGGCTCGCTGCAAGGCAGCAACGGCGCCTGCTCGATGGGGCGTGACATGGTCTCGTATCACCGATCGGAGCCAGTTCCTGAACGGCCTGACCATCGTGGCTCCGTCTTACTCGCGCCTCATCCGCTGACACCTCTCGCCCGCTCGCAACAGCTGGTCCTGGCGCTGCGTGGCGGCTGCTAGAGCGGGAGGGAGAGCACACAATGACAGTGACTTCACACTGCTGCATGCGCGAGCGAAGCTGCGGCCAATCGCACACCACGGAAGAGCCAGAAGGTAGGCCACCTTTCGCACAGAGGTGGAGGTTGCACGCGCCAGCCCTCGAGCTGGCCGGCACGAGCCTCTTATGGCTGAGGCCGGGAGCACGCCAGCTCGACCTTGCCGTCATGGCTGCTGCACAGTCTTGCAGCCTCACCTCGGTGTGCTAGAGGAAAGCCTCGAGCAGGAGCGCCTTGTGTCCAGGTCGCTTCCGGCCGCGCGCGCCGCCACTGCGCGCAGCTCACAACCCGAGGATGGTCCGTGCACGATTCTGCTCTCACGGCTGCTGTCGGCCCCTCTGAAGGCTGCTGCTCTGCCTGTGCGCCGCCCGATGACTGGGCACAGGAGCAGTGTCTATCTGCGAAATGCCGACGAACAGCGCAGAGTGGACCTGCAACGCTGCCGCAGTTTGCCGAACGATGGCACGACACGTCCAATGCGCCGGCGGCCCGCCGCGCGCGCGCGCGTCCGAGGATGGACCCTGACCTCGCGACGCTGCAGCGGTCTTGAATCCAGCTGCGAGCCGTGTGATCACGGCGTCGGTTGTTTTCGAGAGACTTGTCAGTGAGCGAAAGCAATAGCCGTTCTGGAGCATCTGTGTCATGCAGCGACGGCTCAGCAAACGAGCGTGGCGTCCTGCCTGATGCGCGCGCGTCACTTGCGCTCGGCATCTGTGGCTCTGGCAGGCACGAGAGCTACTCACCATCGCCATGTGAGAGCAGGCCATACATCACAGGTCCCTGGCCCAGATCAGAGTCAACTCTGAGCGCTGAACTGCAGGCATCTGAGCCAGACGGTGGAAGAGGCAGATGTCGCGCGGGAGCTGCACGGCATCGGGGCACGGCAGCAAGCGCCGGCGGCTCGCCAGCGGGGCGCAGCAGCAGCAGAGCCGGCCGCGTGTGAGCGCGCAGCCGCCCCTCTTTGCCCCGCCTGCGCCCAGCGTGAGCCGAGCTGCGTGCTCCTCGCTCCCGACGCTCACCTCCACCGCTCGCTGCTTCTCGCATCGTCCCCCTCTCTGCACTCTCTTCACTCTCACACACGACCGCACCTCCCGGCGCCCACAGCTCTCCCGCTCGTCGCCGCACGAGCTCGCCTTATCCGACCCAGACCGCGCTCAGCTCTCGGGCCTCCCACTGCTCCCCTCACGCAGGGGCTGACAGGCCCACCACGGTGCCTCCTCCGCCCGCCTCGCGTCGCCGTCGTCGTTCCTCTGCGTCGTCTTCCGCTGCGCCTGTGCCGCAGTCGAACGCAGCCGACGCCGGCCCGTCGCGCGTTGCTGCTGCTGCGCCCAGAGCCAAGCGAGCTCGCCGCGACGCCGACGCAGCCCCTGGCGCACAGCAGCCCAGCAGCAGCGGCGATCGCGACACGCAGCGCGCCAGCGGCAGTGGCACTCGCCGCTCTCCAGTAGCCTCCTCGTCTGCACAGACCCAGGCGTCGTCGTCGTCCTCGTCCAGCCTCGCCGGCGCCGCCTCCACTTCCAGCGCGGCACTGCCCAGCGCCCTCAATTTCGACATGACGGCGCAGGTCGCACTCGGCGGCAGCAGTGGGCAGGCCAATGGCAGCAGCAGTAATGGCCTGAACGGCAGCACTCATACCAATGGCGGTGCCGCAGCCTCCTCCAATGGCAGCGTCTCAAGTGCTGCCGCAGCGGTGCGCCCACGCGCAGACAAGGTGCTCGCAGACGACTCGCTCTTCCACCCGCTGTACGAGGGTAGCTCGCTGGATCGGCGCGAGCTCATCCGGCTGGCGATGCAGACGCTCACGGAGATGGGCTACGAGTGAGTCCTCGCTTGCCCATGCACACGCGCTGCCGCAGCGCTGAGACCTGCCTCTATCAGCGACTCGGTCCGAGCACTGCGGACCGAGACCGGCGTAGAGCTAGAGCACGACTCGATCGTCGCCTTCCGCACCGCCGTGCTGCAGGGCGACTGGCGCAATGCAGAGCCTCTGCTGCTCGAAGGCCTCACGAGCGGCGCCGCGCGCGTAGCAGCGCGCCAAGGCGCCGGTCGCTCTCGCATTGCCAGCAGTGGTGGGGCGGGCAGCACAAGTGCGCCGAACTTGGATGTGGCGCTTAGGGCGCCTGAGAGCAAGGGACTGGATGTGAGTGCTCTCGCCATGCGCGCATGCGGTATGGAGCTGAACAGGGCCACGCAGTCGATCAAGTTTCTGCTGCACCAGCAACGCTACCTTGAACTGCTCGAGGCGAGACAGACCAAGAAGGCCCTCTCGATTCTCAGGGAGCGATTGGCGCCGCTGAACCGCGGATCCGAGAGACTGCATCAGCTGTCGAGGTGAGTGAGATGCCGCGCCCACGGCGCAATCATCGGCTGAACACCCTGCGCCCCGGCTAGTCTGGTGATGTGCAGCTCGCCGGCTGAACTGAGAGCACGGGCGCACTGGGAAGGCACGGGAGAGACATCGCGGCGCAAGCTGCTGCAGGACATCGAGAGTGAGTGGAGCACTGCACACGCCCTTGCGCTCCCGCTGATGGCTGCCTCTTCAGGCGCCGTCTCGCCGTCCATCATGGTGCCCACTCGACGTCTCCCGGAGCTCCTGGAGCAAGCGCAGACGCTGCAAAAGCAGCGCGATGCCTTCTTCAACCTGCCCGCCGACGCCCATCTCTCGCTCTACGTCGACCATCGCTCTGACCGCTCCGTCTTTCCCACGCACACCAGCGCCATCCTCACGGGCCACGGCGCTGGCCAAATATGGGACCTGGCGTGGAGTCATGACGGCACGAGACTGGCGACGGCGGGAGGGAAGCAACTGCAGGCGAGCGACGAGGAATGCTTCGTTGTCGTGTGGCGGCCAAAGGTGAGCGAATGTGCCGCGCCGCACCCTCTCGTAGGCGCTGACGTCGTGCGCAGAACATCTCGTGGATCGAGCAAGGCTACGGCGAGGGTTGGGACATTGCCTCGCGACTCGGGCCGCTACGACACTCTATCTCGTGCGTGGCTTGGTCGCCGGATGACTCGATCATCCTCGCCACATCGGGCTGCGACGTGACGCTCTTTTGGCTGGCGGTGAGTGGCGCGAGGATGCGCTCTCAGGGGCGGGCCGCTAACGGACCGCTGCATCGTCACCCTCCGCCTTGTGCGCCTGGCTCCACAGACCGGACAGCGTCACCACATTCCCTCGGCGCACGAGTACATGATCGGCTCGGCCAGCTGGCTGCCCGACGGCAAGAGCTTCATCACCGGCGCCATGGACCACAAGATCGTCGTGCGGGTGAGCAATCTCCCAGCGCTGCAATCGCGGCGCCGTGCTGACGCGCATCTCGCGTCCCGCAGAATCTCGAGGGCAGCGTGCTCAACGTGATCAACCTGTCGCCCTTCCGCATCCTTGCGCTCTCCGTCTCGCCCGACGGCCGCACGCTCGTCGCAGTAGCCAACCGCACGCTGCCCAACAACGCCGCTTCCGCCGCCGCGCAAGAGTCACGTCGGCATGCTGCGCCCGCAGGCTCGTCGTCGACGGGCACGGGCTCGCAGGCGTCGTACAGCTACAGCGAGAGTCCCAGTCCGCTCTCGGCCACGCAGGGACATGCAGAGGATGGCGAAGAGGGCGCGGCGACGGGCGCTGCGGCGCCACTTGACCTTGGCGGCGGAAGCCGCACGCTCGGCGACGAGAAGAACCAGATCATCTTCTATGACTTACACAAGCAGGAGAAGCTTGGGTGAGACAAGCCCTACCGTGCGCGTCCGTGTCGCAGCAGCTGACTCCTCCACGCAAAGCTCGGTGTACATGTGGGACGAGATGATGAGCGTGTGCATCAGCGGCGACTCGCGCTTCGCGCTCATCAATGCGCGCCCGAGCGAGGCGCAGCTGTGGGACATGCAGACGCAGAGCCTGGTGGGCCGCTACAGCGGCCACAAGGCGGTGAACCTCGTCATCAAGAGCTGCTTCGGCGGCGCCGAGAAGAGCTTCGTCATCAGTGGCTCGGAGGGTGAGTGCCATCACGACAAAGTCAGCATGCCACACCTTGGCTCACATACCTCGCAGACGGCCACGTCTACGTGTACCACCGCGGCACGGGCAAGCTGCTGGAGCGTCTCTCGGGGCACGAGGGCCCGATCAACAGTGTGGCCTGGCATCCAACACACCACGCGCTCTTCGCCTCGGCCTCTGACGACTCGACGGTGCGCATCTGGACGCCGTCGGACATCGGCCGCTTCCGCGCCCTCAACGTCTCGGAGCGCGAGGCGGGCGATGCGCTGGCGTCGGGACGCAGGGGCGCGGTGGGCGCCATCAGCGGCGTCTCGTCACGAGCATACGGGCACGCTGCGTCGGCATCGACGTCGTCTGGCCCCACGCCGTTCCCATGGGAGCGCTCGCCGCACGCCGCGGCGAGCGACGACGACGCCGAGCTCTCGCTGCCCGCCGAGCCGAGCGACATGTTCATGTCCTCCTGACCTCGCTTCATCGCACTACCGCACCCGGATACTCCCATCGTCCTTAGACACTGTCCGCGCGCTTCCTCAGACATACTACCCCCACATCTCACTCTGACTCGTCTGCTCGTTGTGCGTGAGTGAGGACTGGCGCGCCACGGCCCCGCGCGCGCGAAGCTCTGGCTCGCAGCGTTGAGAGGCATCCAGGCGCAGCCTTCTGCCTGTCTTGGCCAAGAATTACGAGCAGCAGGAGGCGATCACGTCGTTCACAGCATCGCCCGCGGATCGCACTGTTTCTGCGTTCTCCGCACGCTCATGCCCCTCAAGACGGTGTGACGCGACGTTACGATTGAACAGAGAGGAACAGGCGACCATAACGGATGCGGGACGGTGATGCCGTGGCAGAGAGAGCGCAGCGATATGCTTGCGCAGGGTATGGGACCAGGGCGCCGCCGTAGCGGGGAGAATGACGGAGAATGACGGAGTGGGTGCAGTCGTGCAGTCGAGCCGCAGAGATGCCGTGCGCTCAGAGGCTCTGCCTACATGACGAGGCAGTTGCAGCCGCCGCCGCCCGGCGCGTACGGGTCCTCCTTCTTGTCCACGGGGCCCCACACCGACGGCACGAGGACGTCGCGGGTCGTCTTGCAGTAGCGGATCAGGCTGGAGAGTAGGCGTGTCAGCAACTGCAGCATGCGGCAGGGGTGGGCTGACGCAGTTGCAGAGCGCGCGCATACGCTATCGATGCAGCCCGCTCGCCATCCTCCAGCTCGAGGCGAGCATGGCACGCTAGGCGACGCCCGCTCGCGGCCTCGCGCGAAGCGCTCTCGCCGAGCTCTCGGCCGCCAATCGCCTGCCTTATCGCAAACCAGCGTCTGGGCTAGTTCAGCAGCCCAGCGGCTTGGGCTACAAGCATCCGTAGACGGCGTCCCTGCTCGCCCCACTGCGCCGTCGCCTCGCCGATCCGAGGCGCTCAGGCCGCCCGTGGTGCCGAATGCTGCCCCGAAGACTGCCCCGGCTGCTGCTCATCGCCCGCTGCGCCGGGCTTCACTCTGCACACTCACCTGGCACTAGCTTCGCTCACGCGCACGCGCGGGCGCTCGAGGTCGTCGCGCAGGCGTGCGTTGTGCTCCGTGAGGCGGCGCAGCTTGAGCTCGGACATGCTCTGCTTGTGCGCGCGCGGCGCGGCCGGCGACGACATGTGGGCGGTGCGCTACGGACACGAGAGGAGCGGCGCAAAGGGTGGGTTCGGTGCGCGGTGGAACGTGCGTGGATGCTGCAGGGAGATGTGCGAGACGACGAGGATGAATGAGAGGTGATGGTGAGAGACGCACGTCCGAGCACATCGCCGCGCCGCGCATGAGGCCACGCCGAGGCGCGCCGCGCGCGCGCGCGGGCGCGCGCTGCTGGCGTGCCCCCGATGCCTGCCCCGCCCTGATGGCCGTGCCTGGTTTGTCCCTCGAGCGGCGCCCGCGGTCACGTGCCGGACCCCGCCTACCCACCGACCCTCGTCCTTCCTTCCGTTGCGCAGCTGCTCAGAGCAGCACACCGTAGAGGAGGATGTGCTCAATATCATGACATGTCCTGCCTGTGTCGATGGGTGTGAGCTCGAGTCGCGGCAATGCCAAGATGGGGCCTCCGTCGGTGCGCAACGTTCTGAATTGCATGCGGCGCCCGGGTGAGCAAGCGAGCTGTGCTTTCTCTCCCGCAGGTCAGACGTGCTTCAGATCTCGACTTTGACCTACATCGACTCTTGAGAAGATCTATCAGAGCGATGCCAGCCCAGCGCCGGCGATAATGGTGCAGATGCCGTGCTCTGAGCATCCGGACTTGGCAGACCGACGCATGCGTGCACGGAGAGCCTCACTGCGCACAGTAAGGTGCCCGGCGCTCGAAGCATCTCCACAGGCTATGCTTCGAAGCTTAAGGATCGACCCTATCCTCTTCGCCAGCCCAAGCTCTGTAACGCCCAGCAGTCCCTTCGCCACCGAGCGAAGGTCTGAAGCGCATGCTCTCGGCGTACCCGTGCGTCGTTGAGCCACCCAAGGCTCGCTCTCACGCCGCCGACGTGCAGCGAGCGAGCTGCTCACGCAGCGCCAGACCGCAGAGCACCGCATCTGAGCCAGCCTCGTGACCCACGGCCATCCGAGCGCTCCACCTAAGAGCCGACATCAGAGCGGCCGCGGCACATCGGGCCCTTGAGCTGGCGGCACTCGCGCCCGTGTTCCGGTGCTCTGCAGCCCCTATTTCGCATGCACCGCGAACTTGCGGCACAACCGCCCGCCGTCGGTGCCGCCGCCGCGTGTGGCACGACAAGCCGAGCCCACGCACGCCGTACCTCACCTCGGCCGCTGGCTATCGCCTCGCCTCGGCCTCGCAGCTGCATGCTGCTTCTTCTTCGCTGGCTCCTGCACCGAAGTTCAGACCTGCGTGCTGCAGCAGAGGCAGCAGAAGCGAGCGCCAGCAAGCTGCCGCGGCACCGGCCTGGGTGCTGCGGCTGCGGCAGCGACGTGCCGTCAAGCATGAAGGCACAGGCAGGCCGCCGCAGGCGGCAGGGTCGCGTTTTAGCGCTTCGGCACAGCCTTTTTCGCGGCTCAAGGGTGCCGCACAAACGCAGCGCTCAGCGGTGCCGAGGTGAGCGAGAGGGCACGATTGCGGTGACAGCAGAACCGCCTCTTGATCGCGCGCAGCTCCTCGGCCCTCAGAGGGCACGGCAGCGGCACACGGCGGCAGCGCCGAGGCTGCGGGCGGTCAGGTGAGCGGCGATGATCGGCGCTGCGCACCCTCGGCGCAACGTGCAGCCATCAGCAGGAGGGCAGCGGAGCGGTCCGCAGCCGACGGCGAGGCGCAGTGCAGGGTGCACGCCGCTACGGCAGCGGATGCGGCACTCGCTCGGGCCCGGCCGCCGTCACAGCGCAGCGCCTGCCACTCTCGCCTGCCAGCCAGAGGACTCAGCGGCAGAGCGAGCTCTGCGCTTTGCTCTCTCTGCTCGCTTCGACGGCACGCAGAGCTGCGACGCACGACGCTCTCGAGCCATTCTGGATGCATGCGCTCGGGCATTGAGGCCTCGTGCCAAGCTGTCTTCTGCGGCGGCGGCTGCACAGCCCTCCAAAAAGACGCACTCGCGGCCCCTAAGGCACGGCCGAGGCGCTGGCAAGGGGCGCGTCAAGACAGCTCATGCGCCTGACGTGGTGACGCTGCGAGGTGCACCTCTCTCCTCTCGTGCTGCCGCCGAGCCGCTCCGGGCGCGGCCGCCGTTGTCGCACGCCCGCCGCGCCGTGCCGAGAGGGGCGCTTTGCCGTCATGCGCTGCCGTGCGCCGCGAGGGCAGGGCAGGAGGGCAGAGGACGGCGCGGCGCAGGGTGCTCGGCGGCGCGCACCGCCCTCCATCACGCGCGGCGCCGGCGCTCTCTCTGCGCCTGCGTGCTGCTGCGCTGCACCTCGCGGCTGTGGCTGGCCGGGCCCGCGAGTGTTTCCTCGGCGCGCCGCCGATGCTCCTCCTCTTCGCCTCTCCATCCTCCATCTCTGTCCGCGCCGCGCCCGACTCCTGGTTCCCTCGCTCGTCGTCTCACTCACAGGCGCGCATACCCGGCGCCGCGCCCCCAGCCGTGCGCACACGGCGCGTGTACCGCTCGCCAAACACGCTCCCTCTGCGTCGGGCGCGTGGACCCGTCTCGAGTCGCCTGGCCGTCGCTGCTCAGCGCTGAAGCAGCTGGCGCGTCGTCCGCTCCGTCTCTCTGCGCCACCTCCGAGCTTGGCCCTTCACCATGAATCCCTTCCACCAGGGCGGGCCGCCGCGCCAGCAGCAGCCGCTGCCGCAGCCGCCGCAACAGCAGCAGCAGCAGCAGCAGCAGCCGGGCGCACAGCAGCGCAGCTCGCTGCCGCCGCTCGTCATGCCCGGCCGCGGCCAGCCGGCACAGGGCCCGCGCGGCATGTCGTCGCCGCCGGCGCAGGGCTATGCCTCGCCGCCGCAGCCGTACGACGACCGCATCGGCGGCAGCTTCTCCCACTACGCGCCGCGCGGCCCCGGCATCGCCTCGCCGCCCATGTCGCCGCCTGGTCAGCAGCGCCCCGGCATGGGCCCGGCCACCGTCTCCTTCCAGGAGCAGAACCGCCCGTTGCGGCAGCAGCCGCAGCGCTCGGGTCCGTCGCGCGAGTCTATCAAGAAGGCCGACATGGGCCCGCGGCGAGGCAGCGCGGCGACGGGCGTGTCCGAGATGCCCGAGCTGAGCCGCAGCATCAGCGGCGGCATCGGCAACGCCACGGGCAGCCACTCGCTTGACCCCGAGATCGGCTTTTCCGGCGCCAACGCCAACTTCCGCCGCAAGAAGTCGCTCGTGCGCCCCGACCGCGAGCGCATGGACCCGAGCCATCGCCAGTGGTACTACCGCAACCACGCCGCGCAGATGGACGCCGTCGATGCGCAGGGCCGCGCGCCCGGCTTCAGCTACATGCCCTCGACGACGGGCCACCTGCCGCAGCACGGCGCGGCGCTGCCCGGCTCGGGCATGGCCAACATGCAGGGCCCGGGCGGCGGCCTGAGTGGCCTCGGCATGGCGCCGATGCCGCAGGGAGCGCTTGGCGGCCCGCCGCACAAGGGCATGCCGGGCCTGCCGCAGAACATGCCGCCCGGCGGTCTGGGCCGGCCTGCGCCCGCCACTGGCCTGCGCCGCGGCAAGTCGATCCTCGGACGCGAGGAGGACCAGGTGGAGACGGGCATCAATCTGCTCAAGCGCGGTGTCAGCCTGCGCCGCAGCCGCTCTTCGCAGCGCAAGGACGGCGTGCCGCCGCCAACAGCGTTCCCCGACGGCTCGCGCCGCTCGCACATCGCGCCCGGGCCCGTCGGCCCGTGGATGATCTACTGCTACGTGCTGACCATCTGCTGCCCGGGCCCGTTCCTCTCCGTCTTTGGCATCAAGACGCCCGAGCAGCAGCGCGCATGGCGCGAAAAGATCGGCATCATCAGCATCATCATTGCGGCGATGAGCTTCGTGGGCCTCCTCACCTTTGGCTTCACGCAGGCCGTGTGCAACACCAGCGCGACGCGCTTCCAGGCCGGCGACATCGACTCGGGCTCGAGCGTCGCGCACGGCTACGACTACGACTTCAACAACTTCTTCCACCCGCAGGTCTCACCGTTCGACGCCAACGGTCCGTTCAACCGCTCGAATCCCGCGTACTCGGAGCCGTGGTCGACCGGCGGGCGCGACGTCAGCATGCTCTTCCAGCAGGTCGGCGGCCAGTGCACGCAGTATCTCACCAACACCAACGGCGGCGGCCAGCCCGCGTCGTACTTTCCGTGCGCCGTGTACAACCAGGACGCCACCGTGGCGGCGACCAACGACACGTGGTGCCATTCGCAGCAGGTCTCGTCGCGCTTCCTGCGCCCCGAGAACGGCATGCGCAAGGGGCAGGTCTCGTACTCGTGGGACCAGGTGGCGGCGCCGCGCGCCAACCTCGTCGTCTGGAAGGGCGCCGTGCTGGACCTGAGCCGTCTGGCGCGCCTCAACACGGGCATCAACAAGCCGGCGCTCTTCGACCAGCTGCGCACGCGCAACGCCACGTTTGCCGGCCGCGACGTGACGGCACAGATCATGCGCACGGAGCAGGACGGCGTGTTTGACTGCATCGAGCAGCTGACGCGCGTTGGCTTCGTCGACTCGAAGAGCATCGGCTGTGTCGCCGCCGACGTCGAGCTGTACGTCTCGCTCGTGTTCATCATCGGCGTCGTGTCGATCAAGTTCCTCATGGCCGTCATCTTCGGCTGGTTCCTGAGCTGGCGCCTCGGCAACTACAGCAACGAGACGTACGAGGAGCGCATGAAGCGCGCCGCCGAGATCGAAAAGTGGTCCAACGACATCTACCGCCCCGCACCGGCGGCCTACCGGCCCAACGTCAAGAAGCACCGCTCGTTCCTGCCCAAGACGAGTCGCTTCTCAACTGGCAACGCACTCGCACTCGGCGGCCCGCCGCCGAAGCCCGGCGCGCGCACAATCATGAGCGAGAAGGGCGCCTTTTCCAGTTCGGCGCCCGGCAGCGGCAACGGCAGCGTGGCCGGCTCGCGCAGCCCTGCGCTGCGCGCCGGCCGCATCGGCGGCATCGGCTCGCCCAGGAGCGGCAGCCCGCCGGGCTCGCCGTCGCTGCATGGCGCGCGCAGCTCGGCCTCGCTCGTGCAGGGCGGCGTGGGCCACTTCCAGGGCTCGTACGGCCACGGCGGCTCGCGCCGCTCAAGCTTCTCGAACCCCGACTCGTCGCCGGGCCTCGGCACGAGCAGCACGATGGGCGCATGTCCCTTCCCGCTGCTCAACGTCGTGCCGCAGCCGCCGGCCGACTACCAGCCGTTCAATTTCCCGCTGGCGCACTCCATCTGCCTCGTGACCGCGTACAGCGAGTCGTTTGAGGGCCTGCGCACCACGCTCGACTCGCTGGCGACGACCGACTACCCGAACAGCCACAAGCTGCTGCTCGTCGTCGCCGACGGCATCGTGCGCGGCGCCGGCTCGGACATTTCGACGCCCGACATTGTGCTGAGCATGATGAAGGACTTTGTCGTCGCGCCCGAGGAGGTCGAGGGCAACTCGTACGTCGCCATTGCCGACGGGCACAAGCGGCACAACATGGCGAAGGTGTACGCGGGCTTCTACGAGTACGACGACGAGACCGTCGAGCGCAGCAAGCAGCAGCGCGTGCCCATGGTGCTCGTCGCCAAGTGCGGCTCGCCGCTCGAGGCCGACTCGGCCAAGCCGGGCAACCGCGGCAAGCGCGACTCGCAGGTCATGCTCATGGCCTTCATGCAGAAGGTCATGTTCGACGAGCGCATGACGACGTTCGACTACGAGTTCTTCAACTCCATCTGGCGCGTCACGGGCGTCAGCCCGGACCACTACGAGATCGTGCTCATGGTCGACGCCGACACCAAGGTGTTCCCCGACAGCCTCAGCCGCATGGTCGCGTGCATGGTCGAGGACCCCGAGATCATGGGCCTGTGCGGCGAGACGAAGATCGCGAACAAGACGGAGACGTGGGTGACGATGATCCAGGGTGAGCAGTGTGGCGGTGGCGCGGGAGTATCATGGCTGACATGTGCGCGCGCCAGTCTTTGAGTACTACATCTCGCACCACTCCACGAAGGCCTTCGAGGCGTGCTTCGGCGGCGTCACCTGCCTGCCGGGATGCTTCAGCGCGTACCGCATCAAGGCGCCCAAGGGCCCCAACGGCTACTGGGTGCCGATCCTGGCGAACCCGGACATCGTTGAGCACTACTCGGAGAACGTCGTGAGTAGTTGACTGCGGCGCATGTGCTGCGCAAAGCTAAGCGGCCTCTTTTCAGGTCGACACGCTGCACAAGAAGAACCTGCTGCTTCTCGGCGAGGACCGCTACCTGACCACGCTCATGCTCAAGACGTTCCCGAAGCGCAAGATGATGTTCGTCCCACAGGTGAGCCCGCCGCGCCCCGCCTGTCGCGAGCCATGGCTCACTTACCCCTCACAGGCCGTGTGCAAGACCATCGTGCCCGACACGTTCCGCGTGCTGCTCTCGCAGCGCAGACGCTGGATCAACTCGACGGTGCACAACCTGGCCGAGCTGGTGCTCGTCAACGATCTCTGCGGCACGTTCTGCTTCTCGATGCGCTTCGTCGTCTTCATGGAGCTGGCCGGCACGCTGGTGCTGCCGGCCGCCATCGCGTTCACCTTCTACGTCGTGGCGCAGGCCATCATCGCGTCCATCGACCCGAGCAAGGGCCCCGTGCCCGTCATCCCGCTCATCCTGCTCGGTGTGATTCTCGGTCTGCCCGGCCTGCTCATCGTCGTCACGTCGCGCAAGTTCGTCTACGTTGGCTGGATGGGCATCTACCTGCTCAGCCTACCCATCTGGAACTTCGTCTTCCCCTCGTACGCCTTCTGGCACATGGACGACTTCTCCTGGGGCGCCACGCGCATCGTGCAGGGCGACAAGGGCGGCGACCACAGCAACGCCGAGGGCAAGTTCGACGCCTCGCACATCACCATGAAGCGCTGGGGCGAGTTCGAGCGCGAGCGCCGCTGGAAGTCGGGCACGCACTCGCGCGACAGCACCTTTGACGTCATCCACCGCTCCGGCTCGCCCGAGCGCTCGGGCAGCACACGCTACAGCGTCGTCTCGTCGGACACGTATCACTCGAATGCCAACGTGCAGGACGCGGCCAACAATCGCCTGCTCGGCAATGCTCCGGGCGCGTACGAGTCGGACGCGGGCCACAGCAAGACTGGCTCGTCGTCGGGCGGCGCACGCGCTCGCCTCGACGCCGTGCCGCTGCTCGAGCTGCCTGCGCCGCTGGGTCCCGACGCGGCGAACAAGGCACGCGGCCTGCCCGCCAGCGGCACGCCCGGCTCCATCACCGTCGCACGGCCGCGCGAGCCGTCGCCTGCCGCGTCCAATCAGTCGCACAGCCACTCGTCGTACGCTTCGCGCCCGCCGTACGAGGCGTACCCGTCTCCCTCAGCCTACCACGACGATGAGGCTCGGCCGATGATGGCCTCGGCCACAAGCTCGCCCGACCCCGAGGCATCGCGGCCAGGCATGCAGCACATGATGATGGGCGGCAGCGGCGCCACGCTGGCCGCCGACCTGCAGCAGCAGATCCGCCACGGCAGCGTCTCGAGCGAGCAGCAGTACCCGGGCGTCAGCGAGGCGCAGTTCTCGCCCGGCTTCAGCGCCGAGCCGGAAGAGGACACGCCCGTCGCGCGCGGCCCGCCCGTCGTCAGCTCTCAGCGGCCTCGCGAGCCGCAGGGCCGGCTCTCGCGCGGCTTCAGCCTCGTCGACGACGGACCCGTGGCGTCGTCGCAGGGCGTGCGCCAGGTGACGCGCGGCGCCCGCCGCCAGTCGACGGCGGGCAACCATGGCCCGACGTCGCCCGGCAGCGTCAGCGGCTCCTCGGCGGCCCACGGCGGCGGCCGCGAGCGCTACTCTCGGCCCCAGTAATCGCCCTTCCGACGTGATCAGCTCGAGCTGAGCATATAATGTCTGCACTTCCTTGCCCCTTCCTTCACACCCAAGCAACCCCTATCTGTCTACCCCTCCTCGCACGCCCGCTTCCCGACCGCACTCTTAACGACGTTCCCACGGCGCTTGCTCGCCCTTTCCCGGCTCTCCCTTTGCTGGCTGAACAGCGACCGAGCTGCAGCACACGTAGGCAATCTAGACATGCCCCTCTCTCGCCGCGCAGACGCTGTGCGTGCCTCCGAGGCCATCCACTGGCCCGTCCTATCACCTCACACTCCACACACGGTCCCTGCTCTCGCGCTGCGCCCTCTCAATCACACGTCCATTCGCATCCGCTGGCGTGTGGATGTGACGCAGACCGCCGCTGCGCCTGAGTGCTGCGGCAAGGTGGAGTAAGAGTGTCCGCGGACCTGGTGCCCGCACCCGATCGCGAGCCGGCTTGTCCTCGTTTCTCGGCCTGTGTGCCGCATCCGTGCCTGACTGCCCTCTCCATCGGCGTGCTGCCGCGATTGCGCCTCGTCGCTGAATGCTGGGCAGAAGCTGCCGCCTGTCCGAGCTGCCGCTTGGGATGAAGGCTGCTGCTGTCGGCGACCGAAGTGCGCTAACTTGATAGACGTCGCGCTAGCGGGCCGGCGGCCAGCACGAGGCGTGCCCGGAGTCCGCTCGGCAGGTGGGCTCCTTGTGCTCGACTGCAGCATCGGCAGCCGCCGAGCACGTCGCAGCGCCGCGATGCAAGGTCGTCGACCCGGCATTCCAGCCGATGCTAAGGAACAGTCTTGGCCTCCTGGGCGTCGTGCTGCCCTGCCCGCTCGGCGCGCGGCATGAGGCCCGCTCGAAGCACTTCAGCGACGCTCGGCCACCAAGTCACTCGACTCTCCTCTACATCCTTGGAAGCACGCCGGCACGAAGGCACACTCAGGGTTGGCCGCTCTGCCAGGCGCATCGGGAAGGCACGACCATGCAGCAGCAGCGCGCACCTCGAGGCGCATGGCAGCTGCACCTGATGCTGCCGCCGTGCAGCTGCTGCCGTCGACCGTCACAGCACGGCGTGTGAGTCGAGTGCCGCGGCCCGTGTTCGTCGGCATCCGTCGTGCTGCTCGGCACCTCGCAAGCATGCTCCCGAGCTCTGGCTGCACACAAGCGCCTGTGTGCTGGTGCCTCTTGTCTGTGGGCTGCGAGTGCACCTGGACGCTGCTGCAGGCTGTGCTCGCCTTGCCCCTCGCCTTGCGCGATGGACCGCGCCGTGCCTGACCCTGCCCGGCCACAACGTCTCCCGCCGTCGCATCAACGCTGCATGGTCCACGCCGAGCCGCCGTGCCGTTGCATCGTCCGACGGCCGTCACTTGCCTCCGCAGCCGCGCGCTACTGCCTTTCTGCTCTGTTGATCCGCCGCAACAAGCACGCCCACGCTATCTGCATCGCTGCTGTCCTGCGAGCATGCATCTGCCGGCGAGTCGCTGCCGCTGCGAAGCCAGCTCGCACTCTTAAGAAGGTGGCCGTCCTCACAAGCCAGCACGCGCACCCATCCACGATCCTCGCAGACTATGTCCCACCCTCTGTCAGCCCCCGAGCTTGCGGCACTCTCCCCTCGACGTGCCCTGCGACTTCCATCTCCAGCAGGACACGCAACGCTACCGCGCGCAGAGACAGGGGTCAGACATCGCTGCATTGCTACTCTGACGGCCGCCAGGGTCGGTCAGGCGGGCTCGGCCGACGGCGCGGCACGGGATGCGCCGGGCCGTCGCGCTGCGCCAAGTCCTCCTCGCCGCTGCTGCGCCGTCGTCCGATCGACGCCAGCGGCGGCAGGCTGAGCGGGTTGAGGCCCGGTAGGCGTGACGACGCAGCGGCAGGGGCATCGGGACCCAGGCCCGGCGGACCACTCGCACCTCCGGGCCACCACGGCGAGGAGCGCATGTTCAGCGCCTGGTGCAGCGGCGGCAAGTTGATCGTCGAGCTCGTCGAGGCCGGACCTGTCCAGCCTGCGTTGCGAAGACGCGGCGGCGAGGGCACCATGGGCGGCCTTGCGCTGAATGGCAGCGCAGATGCCTCGAACAGACTGCCCGACGCCGAAGCTCCGCGTTCCTCGGCGTACTCAGACGACGACGACGGCGGCCTGTCCGAGGAATTCGACGAGCGCGACAGCGGCGGCCGCATCGCCATATCCTCCGAGCGGTGGATCGACAAGCGTCTAGCCACATTCCGGGCATCGGGCATCGGGCCAGACAGCGTGCGCTCGTCGCGCTTCAGGTCGCGGCCAGACGAGGCATGACGGACATGCACCGGGCTGCTCGAGCGGCGCGACATGTGCCTGCGAGGAGAGGCACGGTCCACCAGGCCCGGGTCGGACGGATGCACGAGGCCGCTCGGACGAGCGCCGAACTGCTCTGCACGACGGTCGTGTATGGCGTGCTGATGTGCAGCCTCGCTCGCCGGCCAGCCAGCGTGGTAGGTGGAGACAGGCGGCATGGCGGCAGAGCTGCTCTGGCCGGGCAAGCTCGCAAGAGGTCTTGGTGCCGAGGTGCTGCGCTCGGCACCGTAGACTCGCTCGGCATCATCGTCGGCCAGGGAGCTACTCTCGGCGTCGTAGCTGTGCGGCATGGGCGCATCGGTCTTGCTCCGGCGTGCGCGAGGCTTGAAGCCGTCTTGCTTCAGGCTGGTGGGCGACAACGTCAGCTCGCCGTCGCATATGCCGCCAGCCATCGCGCTCACCTGATGGGTCGCGGTCGGCCCTTCGTCCGCTCGAAGAGGCCGCAGGCATTGCCTGTCGAGTAGAACGGTGAGCATGGGCACTCTCGCAGCTGACAGCTTCGCTCAGGACTCACACATGAGGCCGCCACGGCCGTCGCGGCGCCAGAGCGGCGTCGCAGTCGTGAAGCAATTGCTGCACGTCGGATTCGAGTGGCTGATGCGGCTTGGGTAGCGCACGACAGGCGCCGCCTCTCGCTCGACGCTGCGGTGCACCGGCACGGCGTCGCGCCCGTCTGGCTGCGGCATCATCGGCATGCGCGGGCCCTCGCGCGGAGACATGTTCGACGACGACGGACGGCTGGCAGGCTCGCGTGCGGCGTACGACATGTGCGGCGAAGGCGACGCGCTAGGCACCGGAGCAGAACTCGGGCCCGGCACGTCGTAGCGAGGCGCCATGCCATGCGGGTGGAAGGGCAGTGCAGGGTCAGACGCAACGCCATGCAAGTGTCGACCGGCTGCGTGAGGCAGCGGCGGCGGTGGCAGCCACTGCACAGGACCAGCAGGGCCACGATGGCTCTGGTAGGCTCTCATGTCGACTGGCCCAGCAGCAGCCATGTGGCTGGCTCGAGAAGTTGGCGGGCTGTAGGTGCCGTCGTAGCTCGCGGGAGCGTAGCGTCGATCGTCCGCCTCGAGGGGCCGGCTCGGCTGGGTGCTGTCTTGAGGTCCGCGTGGGCGGCCTCGTTCGGCCATCGGGAAGCCACGCAGACGTGCCTTGTCTCAAGCTCAGGACAAGGCTTGGGAAAGCGCTTGTCAAGTCAAGAGGACAAAAGCAACGACGAGACGGGCAAAATTTCTCGAGGTCGAGCACCAGACGGCAACACGGCAAGCGAGGAGCTGCAGGACGGCACAATGAGACAATCAGCACGGACCATGGACGGCGAGCGCTTCAAGTGACCTTACCCGCTTGTATGTTGCTCCAAGACGGTCAAGAAGCGTGAGGAACAGTGCTCAGCCGCCGGTAGGATGAGCGCAAGATGTCCGCAAATGAGGCGAGAAGCTAGCAGAGGTGGAAGGGTCTCGACGAGAAGAGAGGGAACAGGGACGTGTGGCGGCTCGGAGCAGCCAGATCGGGCACGAAGAAGGCACGACGCAGAGAGGCGCAGACGCGCAGAGGAGGGCCAAGGGCGGCACGAGGACGGAGAGAAGCGCCGAGAGCGGCGGAGACAAGAGGGCGAGGACCGAGAGCGGTGCAGAGGTGACGAGGACAAGGAGGAGGACGCGCTGAGAGCGGAGTAGCGGACGGAGCACGGCAGAGGTCAGAGGGTGGTGGGGACGAGCGAAGGAGTGGCGGCGGCGAGTCGACGGCGCGGCGTCCACATCGACGGAGGAGGGTATGATGAGGCGAGACGTCAGAAGCCAGGGGCCGAGTGGGACCGCATCATCCGTGATGGAGGAGCTCTGCCGTAAGAGCGAGGGCGCGAAGGCAAGAAGCGAGGTCGCGGGCGCAAGCACGGCGGCGAGGCGCTGGCGCTGCCGCCCGTCGTGGCGCGGCGTGCGCCCGAGCGCTGCATGCTGTGCGGAGGCCGGCGGCGGTGCAGCGGAGCGGCGGCGGCATCTTGCCGTCGAAGCCAGGGAAGGCCAGTTCCAAGCCAGATGCTGGGGCTCGCTGCTATGCGGCGCCTGCCGCGGCTGCATGAAGCGACGCTCGGCTTGCTGCCACACCCGGGCGCCGCTCGCAGCCCCTGCGCTGGTGCGGCGGCGGGTGCAGCAAGCTCGACGCCAGTTGCACCGCACCGCCCGAGGGGCAGGATCCGCGCGGCGGCGGCATCCTCATCAGCAGCCTCAGGCAGAGCGGCGACGCTTGCGCCGGTGCTGAGCGCTTGACGCTGCTGCCGCACCAGCGGTGCCGGATCGCGCTGCTCCTGCATGCTGCTGCATCTCGGCTTCGGCGGAGCTGCAGCATGCAGATGCTTCTCCCGGCCGCGCTCTCGGACCCATGCGTGCGGCGTGCGGAGGCAACCCGAAGCATGCCCGGCGAGTCGCCTCGGTCTCCACTTTCGTCCTGCCGCCGCGTCGCAGACACAGCGCCTGGACCGGGACCAGGCGAGCGGCAGAGAGAGCCAAGGACGCAAAAGCGGAATCGCGGAGGCACATGGGCGACTACGCAGGCAGCCTTGCAGCTCCACGGCCCATCGTGCAGCGTCACACACAGCAGCAGCAGCAGTCGGCCCGCTCAGCCACGCCCCCGTGCTGTGCTGTGCTGCATGCTGTCTCCGCTGCCCTGCACCTCGGGACAGGGACGTGCGATGGCGCCACGCGCGACACACCGACACGCTCCCCGCGTGCGCGCGACGCCAGCGCAGCATCGCGCAGCATCACACTTGCGTCTGCGAGGCACGCCAAGCGTGCATGCAGTGCGGCTAGCGCCGGGAAACATGCATGCACCGATGCGAGGCAGCCGCACCTGCATTAAGGAGCGGGCACATCTGGGCGCCTGGATGAACCTCAGCGGCAGCCGAGCCGCGGCACGGCAGCACGTCGGCACCGAGCGCAGCGGCGACGATGCCCCGGCCGTGCAGCGAGCACGGCCCTCGCAGCAGCGTGCAGCAGCGCAGAGCGCGCATGCGCAATCTGAATCTCATCCTCGAGCTCGCCGCCGATGCCGCGTCTGGCCCCGGCGTCTGTGTCGCTGCCGCCGGCGGAGAAGGCGAGGCGAGGCGATGCAATGCGATCCGCAGCGAGGCGAGGCTTGATTGATGCCGCTGACGAGCACACGACGATGACGGCACGTCTGCGCGCCGCTTCCGCAGCTTCCGCACCGCCAGACGGCAGCCACATCGGCGTTGAGTCAGATGCAGCCGGCGAATTGGACAGGGCCGTGATGCGGCGGCGGCGGCGTCGTCAGCCGCGAGCCGAAGAAAGGGTCTGGTCTGCGGGTTGCGGCGCGCGGCCGCTCGCCTGGTGCGGTGGACGGTGATGATCTAAGCCGGTCTTTTAGTGTGAGAGCCCGGCGTCGTGGCGCGGCTAGAACAGCGGCGCAGGCGCAGAGACGCAGCGGCCCAGCGGCGCTGCCTTCATGCTGTGTGTCGGGGCAGCGGCGCAGGAAAGACAAATTCACGCCGTTCCCGGACACTGTTCCCGCGCAGAGGGGGGATCTCACGCCCCGGCGAGTGTCCGGGCGGCGGTCCACATGCCTCGGCGCCGCGAGTGCCGTGCCGGCAGCGCGGGTGCGGCGCTGTGCATCTCGCGTCTGCGCCCGAGCTGCCGGCGTCGGCCGCGGCTGCCGCTGCCACGCCTTGCTGCCCGACGTCCGGGATGGGCGCCGCCCCCGGCGTTCGGTCCTCAGCCACAGCGCCGCAGACGCATCGACGCAGCGACGCAGCACCGCCCGCTGCAGGCGGATGCACGCCGAGGGGCGCCGCGCCCGACGGTGCTGGCGCTGCAACGCTGGGCGCATCCGCCGGCCTGCTGCCCAGCCGTTGGGCCCTTCCTGGTTTAACCTTTAGCGCGGCCTCGTGGAGCGGCACGACGGGCGCATCTTGTTTGCAGCGTCAGACCAGAAGGGCGGCGTGCGTCAGGGCAGCTGCAGCATCCGCCGGCGCGGCCGCACCCGCGACGCCGACCCGCTGCGTCGGCCCTGCGTGCTCTCGGCATCTCTCCTGCCGCACCTGCGTCCTGCAGCTGCATCCTGCATCCTGCGGGCTGCTTCGGCCAGCGCGCAATCGGCGTGGCGGCCTCGCAGACGTCTGCTCCGCTGTGTTCAGGGAGACGCGCGCTCGACGCTGAGTCCCACGGCTTCTCCTCGCCGCAGCAGCGCCAGGCGGACGCGGCGGCGCACTCTTACTCGGCCGGCAGCTGGACGCGGCGCGTTGCGCGCCTAAGCCTCCGACGGCCGCCACCGGCATCCTTGCTCAGCGCTTCCTGCTCGCTCCTGCTCTGCATGCAGATATCGTCCGACGAGGGACGGGAAGGGCGCGGCGCTATGCAGGCTGCGCGGCGCTCGCCAGAGCAGCCGTCCATCACGCGCGCGCGTGTCAATCTGAAGAAGCGATCGCAGTTGCGCCTCCAACATTGCCGGCGCGTGCGGGCCAATGTGCGGCCAAGGCGCTCCTGTCCTCGGCGCCAAGCTGGTGGTGCATCGCGCCAACGACGACGACGATGCCGGGCGGCGTACGCCCGTCGCCAGCACCGGGCCGGCGTGGCCGGTCGCTGGCCGCGACGTTCTCTGGTAACCTATTTCTCTCCATTCTGCGAAGGGAGACGCTCGTCGCGCGCGGTCTTTCACGCCACGCTCGGGACATTTGTCTTGTCTCCGACAGCGGGAAGGTGATATCTCGCGAACAGGGCGTCGCTGCCGCTGGTGCTGAGCTCTGCGTGTGTCACGGCGTGACTACCTCGAAGGGTCGCGCGCCCCGGGTATGCCCGCTCGCCGGCGCGCCTTCCTTCGCGTCGGCGCGGCGGCGCATCCCTGCTGCTGGCCGGTCTCACCTCGCTCCGGAAGTCTCTCTCGGCCGCATCAGCACCTCTCTCGGCCGGGTCCCGGCTCAATGGGTGCCATGGCGCATGAGAGCATCCCACGCTACATCATCTGGGACCCGACGAGCGGTCCGAGCGATCTGCCCAACGTGTCTCGTCTGCACCCTGGCACGTACCCGCAGCAGCTGGGCGGAGTGCCGTGCCTGGAACGTCGTCCACCTGCCTGAGGGCCTTTGATGCGCATGACCGAAGACTCGCCAGCGCTTCGGTCCCGCACAGCATGCAGAGGTCCCGCCCGCCGGGGCATTGTTGGGCATGCTCGGCGCTGCAGGGGCGTCCTGTGGGACGACGACGCACCCTGCTTCTGCGGCCGACTGCAGTGGTAGCGCATGGTGCGATCAGCTCCGCCGCCGCGACGCCGCCGGCACGGGACGTGGCTGCCGCTGCAGTACTCTGCACATGCTCACATGCCCACAAGCTCGATCGGCGCCACGAGCAACATGCGACGCCCACACCTTGCTGGTGCATGCTGCAGGGCTCGTCCTCGTGCTCGGAGTCGTCTGCTTGCCGCACGAGAGATGGAGAAGGGGCAGGCTTGTCGCACGAGAAAGCGCCGGCGGTGCAACGAGGACGTTCGACTGGGAGGGTCATTCGCAGCCAGCTTTGGGCGGAGTTCGCTCTGCTCTGGATGCAGCGAGGTCGGCCATTCTGATTTTCAGGAGTCGAGCCGGGTCGAGTCGCGGGTGACGAGGACGCTGCTGCGCCGGTCAATCACCGACGCGCGAGGCGGCGCCCGGACTCGGAGCGCGGCGCACGGCGTATGCTCGCGCAGCGTGGCGTCGCGTCGCTTGCGGTCCAGACCCAGGCCGCCTCGAGTGCGCCTCTCGGAGCGCTTCCTCGCACAGCTCGGCCACCGGTGGAGCATGACGAGGAGCGCTGGAGCCTCGTCTTAACGCACCTTTTAGGCACCAAGTGCATCAGACGTACCAGTGACATCAACGCTGTGCCTAGCCTTGCTGCAGCAAGCCGTGCGGACGATCAACCCGCTTCGGCATCGCGGCATCTCTGACGCCTGCCGTGCGTCGCTGGTCGTCGCTGCCCAGTCGCCATTTGCAGTCCTGCGTCTCCGTGCGCCCGCTCCGCTCGGCAAATGAATGATCTGCTCTCGCACCACACACACATGCCGAGCGGCCGATGAGCCGGGTGATCCGCGGATCGCTCGGCAAGGCCTCTCCGCAAGCGCGCGCGCACACGCTGTGCTGAAGGATGGCATGAAAATACGGTCGGCCAGGAGGTGCAGGTCGCATGAGAGGGGGGATGAGGGATGCAGCGGGACGGAGTATCGACGGATGAATGACCGTGCCGGCCAAGCAGTGGTCGGACACTTAGAGGTACAGGCCTGGGAGCCGGAAGATCATCAGCGATCAGACGGAGCATGACCTTGGTGCTGGCTAGACCCTCACCCTCTGGTGTGTTCTCCTTCTTCCGGTCGAGGACGCGCTCTCGTGCCGTGTCAAAGTCCTGTGATCGCCGAGTGTGAGTGCCACTGATTGAGCGCAGGCGGCGCTGCGCCGTTTGGCGTGAGCCGGAAGTCAGGGCACCGGGCTCACCTTCTTCGTCACGCGCATGCGCCGCTCGCGCAGAGCAAGAAGACCGGCCTCGGTGGCAAGCGACTTGATGTCGGCACCTGCGGGCACGCCGTGTGAGCTCAGACAGCTGGCAGACGGCACGTCGATTGCGCCATCGACTGGCAGCAGACTCACCGCTGAGGTCGTCCTTCGCGCTGACAAGCGCCTCGAGGTCGACGTCCTTGTCGAGGTTCATGCGGCTGGTGTGCAGCTGGATGATGCGCCTGAAAGTCCTGTGTCAGCGACGCGAGCGCGCAACGAGCACAGGCAGGGCTCTGACATCTTTGTCTTCGCGTCGGGCATTGGGAACTCGATCTTCCGGTCGATGCGTCTGCAGACCAGCACGTCAGCCTGGCACATGCGCTCCCAGCAGCAAGGGCCTCACCCTGGACGGATCAGCGCCGGGTCGAGGCTCTCAATGCGGTTGGTCGCCATGATGACCTTGACGTCGTGCCGCGTGTCGAAGCCGTCGAGCTGATTGAGCAGCTCGAGCAGCGTCCGCTGGATCTCGCGCTCGCCGCCGCTGCTGCTGTCGTACCTGTGATGGGAGCATGGAGGTGAGCAGAGGGTCCTAGGAACCCATGGGTCCACAACGCACCGCTTCGTGCCTACTGCGTCGATCTCGTCGATGAACACAATCGACGGTGCTCTGCGGCCGGACACAGTCAGCAGGACGCCGCGCGCTGCGCCAGCTTCGATACGCACTGCTCGTCGGCAACGCGGAAGAGCTCGCGCACGAGCTTCGGGCCGTCTCCCAGGTACTTCTGGATCAGCTCCGAGCCGACGACGCGCAGGAACGTCGCCGACGTCTGGTTGGCGACGGCCTTGGCCAGCAGCGTCTTGCCCGTGCCCGGCACGCCGTACAGGATCACACCCTTTGGCGGCTTGACACCCATCTCCTCGTACAGCTCGGGATGCGTCAATGGCAGCTCCACGGATTCCTGTGAGAAGGCGTAAGCAAGCGATGCAATCGGCGGCTCCGAGGTAGTGTATGGAGCTCGCAGCGGAGCACCGTGCTGGCAGCTGACAACCGCATTGCGCTCGCTGGCGCGCTGCGACCCCCGGGCTGTCACGAGATCGCCCACGGCTCCGCACGCGGCCTGCCGATGCCAGCCCTTCCCGCTGCGCCACCGGCACGACACATCGACACGCGTCTATGCGCCGCCACCTGGCGACACGGCTTGCTCGCGATCGCGGTCTGCCACGGCGCGTAGCAAACGCGCGACTGCCCATCCAGCGGAGCAGCTGCGCATCCTTAGCGCAGATGTGGCTCGACACTCACCTTGATCTCCTGGATCTGCGTCTCGAGTCCGCCCACGTCCGCATAGCTCTCCGTCGGCGCCTTGTCGAGCTTCATGACGCTGACCATCGGGTCGACGTCGTCGCCCAGCACGCCGACGATCGACATGGCCTTGTGGTGCAGCAGCACCGAGCAGCCCGGCTCGAGCAGGTCCTTGTCGACGAAGCTCATGATGGAGACGTAGTACTCGGGGCCCGTGGCGCTGCTGACGATGGCGTGCTCGTCGTCGATGATCTCCTCGAGCGTGCCGACGCCCATGGGGCTGCCGCGCAGGTCGTCGACCTGCGTGCGCTCCACGGCCGCCTTGTCCTCCTGCGGCTTGAGGCGCTCCTGGTTCTGCACGAACTCCTCCTCCAGCAGCAGGTGGTCCTTGATGCGCTCCATCTTGAGCAGCTTCAGCCGGCAGCGCGTCGTGGGGTGCACGGCCGGCAGCTTCGTCGAGGCGTCGGGCCCGCGCTTCTTCTTCTTGCCGACGCGCGTCGGCAGCGGCGGCTCCCACTTCTTCTGCCCGTCCTTCTTCTGTGCAGCGGGCGTGGGTCAGACGCCCGGCCCGTGCTGCGCCGTCAGTTCCTCCACCTGGCACGCACCTTGTCCTTGCCATCGCGGCCGGGGCGGCCCGCGCCGCCGCTAGGCGCCTGACCCATGAGAGGCGGTGCGCGGTGTGCGCGGCTGTGTCTGTCTGGTGCTAGCGACGGAGGGGCAGCGCAGCGGAGAGAAGCGGTTGTGCTGAGCGGTGTGATGGGAGTGGAGAAGGCGGCGGCAGCAGCAGCATGTGCGCCGTGCACGCGCGCCACAGCCAGCAGCAGCTGCGACGCGCGGCCTGTCACGTGCGTGCTCCCACGGACGCCGCCCGCTCCTGCCCGCTCCAGCCGCTGCGCGCATCTCCAGAGCCTGCCCTGGACGCCAAGCTCGGCTCGTCTTCGGATCTTTTGCAAGCAGAATTCCATGCGATGCGATACTAGCGATGTGGACTTATGCGAGTGCTCACGACGCTTAGCACGATACGGTCGTCCTCTCCATGCGCTGGATAACGTCCACGCGAGCGTTTCCTTTCAGGCAGCCTGCGTTTCCTTCAACGACGAAGAGCCCTTGCAGGCTGGTGATTCAACGACGGGCGACTGACTAGGTCAGCTTCAGTCATGTGCCGTGCGTAGCCCTGTCGTTCCAGCAAGTGATCTTGGGTAGACGTCGAGCGCTAGGTCAAAGGTCGGCTCAGGGGGCTCAGGGGCGTCCTGCCGCGAAGCTTCAACTCCGGCCTGCTGCCGACCCGCTCTCTACCTGCGTCTCGACACCAGCATCGGTCTGTGCCACCACGTAAGCTGGCGAATGAACAGCTCGCTGAGCAATCTCTCGCGCCCTCCCCAGCCGGCCGAGCGAGGAGAAGGCCGGCTCCCTGGACGACGAGGGGGTCGCGCGCGCAGCGTGCACAGCCAAGCCGCACCGCACTCTTTGTGCGCACTCGCTAGGGATTGGCGCTCCGCAGGCGAGGTGCCCGGACGCGGCAGGCGCACGACACTGGCGCCGTGCCCAGGGCCCATTCGGGCGCCGAGGGACGATGACGGGCCGGGTGGATGCGGCACGGGGCCTGTCTCGTGTCGCTCAGGGCTCACTTGACTCTTGCTTGCCGGCGGCGGGCGCTCTCAGGCCATCAGCTCATGCACGAGAGCGCTGCGGCGGCGTGCGTGCCCGCGCCGGTGCCGCTGCTCTGCTGCCGCACCGCATCTCTGCAGCGCGGGTGTGGCGCCCGCCGCCTCTGCCGAGCTGCTGCTGCTGCACCTGCTGCCGCTGCGCCCGCGCGCCGCCTTCGCCGGCCCGCTCCCTCCTCGCCCATCGCAACCCCAGATCCCATTCGCGTGCGCCTCGCTCGCCTCGCCTGCTCGTTCTGTCGCCGTGCTGCTCGCTCGAGAACAGCGCAGCGCACCTCAGCACCAAACACCAGACTCGCAGCGAGCGACAAGGCCCGCGTGCAGCCCCGCAGGCGGCGTGCACAACGCCCGAGCCTTGCGGCCTCGCTGCATCGGGAGCCTCGACGCCTCAAGTCTACATCGGCCAGCAGCACACGCCTGCCCGCACCTCGAGCCTCGTCAGACGGCGCTGTGCCCGAGGCTGCTTGCGCCAGTAGCCGCTGCTTTACGCTCTGGCACTGCGCAGCGCTCTGCCGCAGCAGCACGCCAGGCCCATGGCCACGCCGGGCGACGCGCAGCCACCCGCGACTGCTTCGCCGCTCGACTCTCAATCGCCTGCGACGCAGCCGTCCGCGCCCGCAGCCCCCAGCAACGCCGCCCAGACTGCCGCAATGGGCCCAGGAGCGGCCGCATCAGGCGAGCAAGCGCCGGCCGCTGCGCACACGGGCGCGGTGCCCCGCAGCGACGAGGTGCCCGATGCAGAAGGTGACGCCTCGTGGGCGAGCGCCGCGCCCGCCGCCGCCGCCGCCGCCGCCGTCGCGCCGCCGTCGTCTCTTGCGCAGCCCAGCGCGCCCCTCGCCTCCTCCGAGCCGACCACCACGCAGCAAACCGCCATCGCCAGCATTGCCTCACGCCTGCCGCTCGACGAGTCTGCCGCACACACGTCGTCGTCGTCGGCCGCCGCAAGCGCGCAGACCGCCATCACGCCGCCGCACTCGCCGCATCTCGACGGCGCCAACCTGCAGTCCTCATCGTCCTCGCCCCTCTCCTCTGCCTCGTCGTCGGCCGGTGGCGCACGCAAGAACGGCGACCACCAGGCGCTGACGGCCAAGCTGGAGCAACATCAGCTCGACGAGGCGAACGGCTCCTACGCCGGCCGGCCTCGCGGCGCCTCGTCCATCGCCGGCCAATCCGACATCGACGACCTGGACGACGTCGACGCCTCGCTCTCCGGCTTTGCGTCGCCTGGACCGGCGACGCCTTCCCGAGGCACGGGCCGCGGTCGAGGACGAGGGCGTGGTCGCGGCCGTGGCCGTGGACGAGGGCGCGGCTCAGGCGTTCGCGGCGGCCGCGGTGGCCGCGGCGGCTCCTCGCTCGCTCGCCACGACGACGCCCGGCTCGGCTCTGACGGATCCGGCACGCCGAACTACGCAGGACCCAGCCGCGCCGTCTACGCCCGCCCGAAGCCCACTTTCATCACGTCGCGCACCTTTGTGCCTCAAGTCAACGGCGCGGCCGAGTCTGGCGTCATCGAGGCGCAATCTCACACAGCCAAGGAAGGCGGCATGAAGCGCGCCGAGCGCCGCGGCAAGGTGAGCAGGCACTGCCACGCTCACAGGGACTTGTGCTCACCCCGCACCCACTGCAGGAGGACCAGCCGGCGAGCGAAGGCATGGCGCGGTCGAGCTCGCGCGCTTCGCGCAGTGGCGCGCCCTCAAGCGACCCTGTGCAACCACACCCGTCGAACCACCCCGTGCGCAAGGCGGCTCGCCAGCTCAACGGGCGCCTGTCTCCGCTGCCCTTCGATAACGCCGAGCCCGACAGCCGGGCCGCCAGCGGCAGCGGCACCTCGGCCTCGGCGCCGTCACTCATCCCCACGCACCACAGCACGCCGCGCGACCCGCCGCCGCGGCTGCGCCCGCGTCTGTTCGAGCTCGAGGAGGCGCCGACGTTCTACCCGACCAAGGAGGAGTTCGCCGACCCGCTCAAATACATCGAGTGGGTCGGCGCCGAGGACGGCGGACGCGGCAAGGAGTACGGCATCGTCAAGATCGTGCCGCCCGAGGGCTGGAATCCGGAGTTTGTGCTCGACCAGGAGGTGAGTCTGCGTGGACCAAAGCTGCAGGCGCGCTTGAGCGACGCTGACGCTCGCCTCCCAGACATTCCGCTTCCGCACGCGCGTGCAACGCCTGAACTCGCTCAGCGCCGAGGCGCGTGCCTCGCTCAACTACCAGGAGCAGCTGCAGAAGTTCCACGCTCAGCAAGGCCATGCGCGTGTCTCGATTCCCATTGTGGATCGGCGCCCGGTCGACCTGTACAGCCTCAAGCTCGTTGTGGCCACGTACGGCGGCGCCGAGGCCGTCGTCAAGAACCGCAAGTGGTCGGAGGTGACGCGCAAGCTGGGCTACGACGAGCGCGAGTCGAGCCACCTCGCGGCGCAGGTCAAGGCGGCGTACTACAAGATCATTCTGCCGTTCGAGAAGTTCCTCACTGCGGCCAAGGAGCAGGTCAAGGCCACGAGCACCTCTCCCGCTGGCGTGCCGAGCGCCGCGGCAGTGGCAGCAGCTGCTGCCGCCGTGCTGAGCAGGCGCGGGACGCCGACGCCCGGCGGTGCCAACGCAGGCCGGCGCGACTCGCTCTCGCCGCTGCCAGGCACTGCGGCCCAGCCTGGACCCGCGGCGGCGGCCATGTCCGACCTCACGGCCGCCGCCTCGCTGAGCCCTGCGCCGCCAGCTGCGGGCGCTGATGCTGTGCATGGCTCGCTCGATCCTTCGCCCGAGCCCGGTGCGTGGGCGAAGGACGCGTCAGGAGCCGCAGATGCGGACGAGGCGAACGGCAAGCGCCGCAGCTCGCGCAAGCGCCTCGATGCGGAAGGTGAGCGATCTCGGGACAGCGAGCTCTCCTGCTGTGGCTGACGTTCTGTCAGCGCGCGACGTCACCGCCACAGGCAGGCCCAAGCGCCGCGCGGCTGGTGCTCTGGGCGCAGCAGAGCACTACGCGGCCGAGCAGGACCTCATTCTGCTGCCCGGTGCCGAGGAACAGGTGCGTGCGGTCGACTCTGAGCGCCCAGCTGCCACTGACGTGCCCGCACAGATGTGCGAGATCTGCCTGCGCGGCGACGACGGCATGGCGATGCTGCTCTGCGACGAATGCAACCGCGGCTACCACATGTACTGCCTCGACCCGCCGCTCACGACGGTGCCCAAGTCGCAGTGGTTCTGCCCGCCGTGCCTCGTCGGCACGGGCAACGACTATGGCTTCGACGACGGCGAGACGCACAGCCTCGACAGCTTCTGGAAGCGCGCCGACGCCTTCCGCCGCACCTGGTGGGCGCAGCGCCCCGAGAAGATCTGGTCACCGGCAGAGGCGGCGATGAAGGAGGAGCAGCCTGACCCTGCCGCCGAGGCCGACGCGGCCGCCTCGGGCTCGCGTCCGACAAACGGCGTCGTGCGCGCCGTCGCGGGCACAGACTTGCACGTGGCCGAGGACGACGTCGAGCGCGAATTCTGGCGCCTCATCACCTCGCCACAGGAGACGGTCGAGGTGGAGTACGGCGCCGACATCCACTCGACGACGCATGGCAGGTGAGTGTCGCGCGTGCCTCGCCGCAAAGGGCGTGCCGCTGACCCTTCCTCGCAGTGCGCTGCCGACGATGGAGACGTGCCCGCTGAGCCCATACGCGCGCGACGGCTGGAACCTGAACAACCTGCCGATCCTGCCCAGCTCGCTGCTGCGCTATATCAAGTCGGACATCTCGGGCATGACGGTGCCGTGGATCTACGTCGGCATGATGTTCTCGACGTTCTGCTGGCACAACGAGGACCACTACACGTACAGCATCAACTACCAGCACTGGGGCGACACCAAGACGTGGTACGGCGTGCCCGGCGGCGACGCCGAGAAGTTCGAGGAGGCGATGCGCCGCGCGGCACCGGACCTCTTCGAGACGTCGCCCGACCTGCTCTTCCAGCTCGTGACGATGATGAGCCCGAGCAAGCTCAAGCGCGAGGGCGTGTGCGTGTATGCGGTCGACCAGCGCGCCAACGACTTCGTCATCACGTATCCGAAGGCGTACCACGCCGGCTTCAACCATGGCTACAATCTCAACGAGGCCGTCAACTTTGCGCTGCCCGACTGGATCGACCTCGGCTTGCAGTGCGTCAAGCGCTACCAGCACTTCAGCAAGATGCCCGTCTTTTCGCACGACGAGCTCGTCGTGACAGTCTCGCAGCACAGCACGGCCATCGAGACGGCCATCTGGCTCGAGCGCCCGCTCTCCGAGATGGTGCAGCGCGAAGTGGCGGCGCGCAACAAGCTGCGCGAGCTGATTCCGGGCCTCGAGGAGGTTGTCGAGGAGTCTGACCGGCCCGAGCGCGAATACCAGTGCGCGCACTGCAACGCTTTCTGCTATCTCGGCCAGATCGTGTCCGACAAGGCCGACGGCGTCGCCTGCCTTGAGCACGGCCACGAGGTCTGCGGCGCCGACATTCCGTCGCGCTGGACGCTCCGGCTGCGCTTCTCCGACGCTGGCCTCGCGCAGATGCAGGGCAAGATCCGCGAGCGCGCCAGTGCGCCCGAGAACTGGCAGGCGCGCCTGCTCAAGCTGCTCTCGGCGCACGCGCGTCCCCCGCTGAGGATGCTGCGCACGCTGCTCAACGAGGGCGAACGCATTCAGTACGCCATGCCCGAGCTCACGGACCTCCGCGAGTTCGTCGAGAAGGCGCAGGAGTGGCTGGAGAGCACGACGGCCTTCACCACGCGCAAGACGCACAAGCGGCAGAGCGCGCCGGGTGGACCATCCGCCGGCCCGCCCGCCGGCCCCGTCCTCCTGTCAGCTGCAGCTACGGCCGCGGCCGGGCGCACCAGCGCGCGCGCCGCCGCCAGGCGGCGTGGCGGCGCAGCGAGGGGCAACGAGCGCATGTCGGCGACACCAGACGAGACGCCAAACCCGGAAGACTCAACTGCTGCGCCAGACGATGTTGTCGATGCAGAGGCATCGACGCTGCGCTCGCCAAGCGCGCTCTTCGCGCTCCTCGACGAGGTGGACAAGCTGCCCTTCGACGCGCCGGAGATCGCGCAGCTGCGCGGTGTCGTCGACCAGGTGACGGACTTGCGCGCGCGCGCTCAGGAGTACCTGAGGGCCTACCGCGGAGAAGACATTCCGTACCAGCCCAGATTCGAAGGTGAACCGACGGCGGAGGACTGCCAGTGGCTCGTGGACAGCGGTGCCGCGCTCAACATCGCGCTGCCCGAGCTCGACGCGCTCTCGCAGCTGGTCAAGCGGCGCAAGTGGCGCATCGAGATGCACGAGATCCAGGACAACTTCATCAACTACAGCGACGTCTGCGATCTGCTGCGCGAAGCCGAGGAGGCGGGCGTGTCGCCCAACGATTTGCTGTACCACAACCTGCTAGAGCGGCGGGCGAACGGCGACGAGTGGATCATGACCGCGAAGCTGTGGGTCGAAGGCCACGACGCGCCGACGGCGCTCGACCTCGAGACTCTCACGTCGACGCCCAACAATGTCGCCATCGTCCCGGCCCTGCACCACCGCGCCGAGGTGCTGCTGCAGAAGTCGAGAGAGTGCCAGCGCAGCGTCGACGCCATCTACGCCGGCATGAGCGAGCCGCTCGAGGGCCACCCGGTGCCGACGGGCAATCTGACCCAGCTGCCAGACGCGCGCCGCGTCCTGCGCACCATCAAGCAGCACAATCTCCACATCGCCGGCGCGCCCGAGCTGGTGCAGGGCATCGAGCTGTACGACGAGTGGACGGGCATGCTGCACGGCGCGCTCACGCGCTCCTTCTCGCGCGGCAAGGTGATGAATGCCGCGACGATTGAGGCCGAGGTGCAGCGCTTCTACGAGCGCGTCATCGGCACCACCAACACCGCCGACGAGCAGAGCTCGACGACAAGGTTCAAGTGCATCTGTCGCTCCGAGGAGATGCCGCCCGCCTCGATGGTGTGCTGCAGTCGCTGCCGCGTCGAATACCACCTGGCATGCATGGGCCTCGAGGCACGCGACGTGCCCAAGACGAAGCCGTGGAACTGCCCCATCTGCGCCGGCAAGACGCTGCAGAAGTTCATGCAGCGCCGCGATGCCCTCGACATGTCGCTGCTCGAGGAGCTCTCGCTCTCGCCCAAGTTCGCGCCGCACCACTTCCAATTTCCACCGCCCGAGCTGGAGCTCGTGCACGACATGCACAAGCGCCTGCAGCGCTTCCGCGACGTCACCTCGCGCGCGCTCGGCGGCTCTGTGATGGACATCGCCCATGCGCTGCGTCGCAGCCTCGGCCTGCCGGTCAACGTTGCAACGCCCAACGGCGACTGCACTCTGACGCTCGCCTTCAAGCGCGAGCTTCAAGGCCTCCGCAACTCCACCACGCAGCTTCTCGATCCCGAGGCCGTGATGGCGCCTGACCAGGCCCCGGCGAAGCACCCCTCGCCAGCCAAGAGTGGACATGCGCGCGGCGGCTCGCGTGCTGCCCATCCGATCGCTGCGTCCGAGTCAGGCAGCGCGCGTGCGGGACCCTCGGCATCGCCGGCCAAGGGCGATGTCACGCTCGACAACTCGTTCCAGGACGTCGACGACGGCGACAAGGAGGTCGACGGCCGCAAGCGCAAGCGCGGCAAGCGCGCCAAGCTCATCTTCTCTGAGGAGATGGGCGTCGTGCAGCAGACGAACGGCGAGCGCGTCTACTGCATCTGCAAGAAGCCCGAGTTCGGGCACATGATCGGCTGCGACCGCTGTCTGCTCTGGTTCCACTGCACGTGCGTGAACATCCCCAAGCTCGACGACCTCAACCGCGACGATCGCTGGCTCTGCCCGCTCTGCTGCGTCAAGACGGAGAAGAAGTACGCCTGGGCCGAGGTCAAGGTGCGCCCCATCGACTGGAGCGGTCCGGACATGTACCTCGACGTGCGCGCGACGCTGCGCTCGACGAAGAAGCCCGTGAGCAAGGCGCAGTACTGGACGTCGCCCGAGAGCGACCGCATCGTGCTGCATCTCGAGAGCTGGCACCCGGCCGTGTTGGCTGACCGCAGCGAGTTGCCGGCCAAGCGACGGCGCATCCACGACGCCAATGATCCTTCGACGTCTGGGCTGCGCGGCGAGCAGCAGGCGGAGCAGTACGGCCGTGCCTCTGCCTCTGCGACGCCATCGGCTGCAGCCCCGCCAATCCTTCCGCCGCTCGGTCCTGCCAGCGGCATGGCCGCGCGCTCGCTGCCGCTGCCTCCGGGCTCTCACTCTGGTACGCCCTCGAACGGCGGCACCACGCACCCGTCGCCGCACGTCCAGTCGGCAAGCGCCGGCTCGCAGGCGCCGCAGCCACGCTTCAACCCGCCGCACGAGCACGGCTATGGTGCACGTGGCGCACCCGACCCGGTCGAGCGTGAGCGCGCCGAGCGCGAGGACGCGAAGCGCGACGCCGAGCAGCGCCACCGCGCCGGCATGGCCAATCTGTACTCACGCGGTGTCACCGACGCCATGATCGAGCGCTGGTACGTCGGCTGGAACGGACGCACGCTCGTGTGGCCGCGCTACGACGAGCACGGCAAGTTCATCGAGCTGGATCTGGGCAAGAGCATCCGGCTCGCGCCCGGCGACGTCGATGGCTCGCGCTACATCCAGATGGTGCTCGACAAGGAGAATGCGCGCAAGGCCGAGGAGCATCGCCGCCGCCAGATGCAGCAGCAGGAGGACCCGCACCGCCGCGAGCACCGCGAGCGCGACCTGCTGCACCCGCGCGAGCTCGCCGCGCCGCGTCCGCAGCTGCCGCCACCGCCGGCGCCTGGAGCACTGCTTCCTCCTCCTGGCCTCGGCGCAGGCCACGCTGGGCCGCCCATTCTGCCCGCGCCGCACACACTCGCGCTGTGGCCCGTCGGCGTGCGTGACCAGCCGCTGCCGCCGCGTGCCCACTGGGACAACTACCCGCCGGAGCGCGTGGCCCACGAGCCGTCCGACGCCGAGCCCCGCGTGCGTGGCTCGTCGTACGCTCCCTCTCCCGCTTCTCACGTGAGTGCCGTGCTGCCGTGGTCGACCCGCATGCCCTTCTGACAACGCCGCTGTCTCTGCAGATGTCCGTCGCCGCCCTCTCCGCACCCTCACCCGGCTCGGCGCCTCCTCTGCGCCCGCCGCACGAGAGGCCCTCGTGAGCTCCGCATCTCCGACTCAGACTCTGACTCCGCCCCGGAAGACCGGCCTCCTTCACGATCCGCGCGCGTCTCCCGTACATCCTGTATAACTACCTTCACACGTCTCGCGAGCACCCTTCTTAGCCTAGCCGTGAGGACGCCCATCTAATTCCAAGCCTCAGGCACCCTCTTCCGCCTCATGAGGTGTCTGTCTTGCCATCTTGTGCATCCTCTTTCGCGGCCTCGGCTGACGTCTCTGTAGCCTCGGCATCGCCTGTGCTTGTATCCGCAGCGATGGCGTCCTCGCCCGTCGGCGTTGCACCCGGTGCCGGCAGCTCCGCCTCTGCAGCGTCTGCTTCTGGTGCAGCGCTAGGCTCCACTGCGTCTTCCGCAGTCGCAGCAGAGTCCAGCTCGGCCGCCTGAAATGCTTGTGGGGCTGCGATGTCGCTAAGCGCTGGGTGCTCCTCATTCGCAGCGTCCTTGCTTTCTGCAGGCGGCGCAGCGTCTACAGCGACGGCTGCATCTTCGGCTGCGCTCGCTGGCTCGCTGGGCGTATCTGCATCGATCGTCGCTGCAGGTGCTGTCGCTTCCGGCTCGGCGCTCTCCTCCTTGCTGGGCGGTGCCGGCGGCTCACTCGCGGCCGGTGCATCGCTGGCGACACCGGCGGCGGCAGCTGGTCGCTCGTCTAATGCGGAGGAGGGCGCGTCGTTGCCCACTTCTGCCGCTGTCGCAATGGACTGCTCTGGCTCAAAGGCAATCTCGGCGACGGCGCTGGGCGCGGCGGCAGCGGCGGCCTTCTCGGCGGCAGGCGCCTCCGGCTCAGAGGCCGGCGAAGCGCTGGCAGCCTCCGTCGGCGGCAGGGTCGAGCTTTTGGAGGGCGTCGGCGGCGGGCTGGTCACGTTCATCGCTGAGTCCGACGAGCTCGGACCGCCAGCAGCCGCGCGCTCGCGCTTGCGTGCCGCCTCAGCCAGTCGCTGCTGCAGCGTCATGCGAGGAGCGCGAGCCGGCGGCGAAGTTGGAGTGGCGGCAGCTGAGGGCGGGGAAGAGGCTGCAGCCGCAGGCGTCGAGGGCCTTGAGACGACTGGCGCCGGCGACGGAGGCGCCGAGCCAATCTCCGCTGCAGTCTTCTCAGGCTTGGACGGCGTCGACGGAGGCGCAGGACCAGCCCCAGCGGCTGGCGCAGATGTCGCGGGAGACGCATCGTCCTCTCCGCTGCCTGGCGCCTGCACTTCAGCAGAGATGCCTGGGCCGTCGTCCGTGGCCACAGTGACGTTGTCGGCTGTCGACGCTGCTGTCTCAGCGGCCTCGCTCTCGGCGGCCGGCGGCTCTGCAGCTGCGGCCTCTGTTGGAGGCTCGCTCTGCTCAGCGTTCGAAGAGGCAGGCTCGTCCGACGCCTCAGCCTTGGCTGGCGGTTCTGGCGGCGGCGAGGAGCTCGAGACATCGCCGCTCTGGGCCGCAGCCTCGCTCGTCTCGGCCACAGTGTCTGATGCCAGGGCCGGAGCCTGGGCGGCGCTCTGATCCAGAGATGCGCGCCCATCGAGGGAAGTGCGACCGGGCGTGCCAGTCGAGTCCATCGATGTCCGCCCGTTGGTCGCAGCTTTGCGGCCAAACAGAGGGATGCGAGCCCTGTACGCTGATGGCGCAGGGGTGTCCTTCGCTGGCGCGGGCGCCGGTGCAGGCGGAGGCGTGTAGGTCTTGCCGGCTACGGCAGCGTCGATGTCCTGTCGAGCGGGTGAGCACCTCTGTCCTTGCACGCGCGGCAACATTAGCTCACCTCTGCAGACCAGCTCAGACCCTTTAGCGTGCCAAGCTTCTTCTCGAGGTGCGCCTTGTCCTCCGTCATGCGCTGGTGCGGCTCTGGGCCCTTCACCTCGACAGCTGACAGCTCCGCACCGAGGCGCTTGTCGATGGAGGCCAGGACCTGGCCCATGACGTGCTCCACAGTCGGGCCGTGCAAATACTTGTACAGCACCTTGTGCAGCGTGGCCGTTTCCTTGACGAGGTCTTGCACCGGCTTGCTGGGCTCCAGAGGCGTCGGCAGCGGCGCATTCCAGTCAATAGCCTTTGAACGAGCAGTCAGATCAGGCCCTCAGCGAGGCAGGTGCGCGCCACTCACCGTCAGGGCGCGACAGTGGACGGTGAGGCGGTCGCTCATGATCGCAACGAGCTTGGCGTGAATCTCGAACTGATGCTCCTGGAAGTCGCGCCGCAGCTTGTCGAACTCGATGAGCATGACGGCCTGCGTCTGGCTGAGGTGCCGCCGCACCGTCTCGCGCACGTAGGGAATGAGCGTGATGACGATGGAGAGCGACTGCGACGCTAGCGCCAAGTGCTTGGCGGTGATGTTCTTGAGACCGGCAGAGCGCATTGCGCCGGCGCCGAGTACGACTTGACATGTGCGCGAGTTGAATTGCTGCCGGCGAGTGGGTGAGCACGCGATTGAAGAGACAGACACAATGCAAGACTCACCTTCAGGAACTCGACTACGCGGCCCATCGCCTCAGTCGTGAGCAGCGGCAAGTTGATGACGACGCGGAGGTACTCTGCAAGCAGCCGCAGCACGTGCGTGCTGGCTCCGACGACAAAGTAGCTCTTCTCCTCGATCTCGAGCGTCTTGAAATTCTCGGCGTCTGCCGGCGCGGCGTCCTCGTCGCCCGCACGCGCAGGCAGCAGAAAGGCGGCAGGGTCGCCCGTGGCGCTGTCGACGATGAGGTTGACTTCTCGCTGGTCGAACGGCGTCACCTCTGCCTGGCCCCAAGTCTCCTCCTCGACGCGCTTGGCGGCGCCCTCTATCCGCTCGCGGTGGAACTGCACCAGCCAGCTCTTGGCCTGGTTCAAGATCGCACCGCGCAGGCCGACGACCATGCGTGCCGCGAGCGTCTCGGAGCGCAGCACGAACGTCCACGTGAGGTGGAAGAGCGCGAGAAAGGCGGGCAGCGAGAGCTTGACGTGCGTGCTGGCGCGCAGGGAGAGGAGCCGCGATGCGAGCACATGCGACAATGACGTGGCGTCGTGCACGAGCGATGAGAGCTGCAGAGGCAGCCCAGAAGACACGCCCAAGGGCATGTGCACCTCGTCGTTGTCTGACAGCGAGCTGTCCGCCTTCTTGGCAGCCTCGGTGAGGGCGCGCACGACGATGCGCGAGTGCACATCGACAGCCTGCAGCGCACGGAGGAAGCCGTCGAAGAGTGTGTCCGCCAGGCGCAGGAAGCGCTCGTGCTCCAGCTCGCGCAGCTTTCCCGCGGCCGCAAAGCCGCCGGGCACCGCCCGCGCATCACTGCGACCTGACGCCGCATCGTCGTCCTCGAGCAGCGCAGCCAGATTCTCCAGCTCCTCCTCCGACTGCTCGGCTGTGATGTGCGAGCGCAGTGTCTGGCGCACGGCTCGGAGTACGACGTTGCGGTATGCCGCTGGCAGTGCGTCGACCTTGCCGGTGCGCACGAGGCCGGCAAGCAGCGGCTCGACGCGGTTGAGGAGGGTGCGGTCTTCTGGTGGCATCGAGTCCACCGGCGGCGGCGGCGAGGCGGTCCCATTCGTATGTGGCGCAGAGCCACCATCTGCGACAGCCTCGGCCTGCACGACCTCGCGCAGGTCGACGATGCTGGCGCTCAGCGGCATGGCGTCCGCAACGTCCTCTGGGCGTCCAATGCGCCGCCCAAGGTCCGCCTCAAGCACGTTGAGCAGCTCCGCCTCTAGCTGTGCGCCCACCATCTCCTCGAGCTCGCTGAGCTGCGGCAGGATAGCGGCGAGCGCCGGCACGGCAGAGAACTCGATGTTGATGCCGAGTGGCAGGCCGGCTGTGGACCCGTCTTCTGCCCCTCCAAGCGATCGCCTGCCCTCGAGCACATCGCGCAATGCCGTGACGACCTCGAGCGCCTCATCCCATTCGCCGCCCTGCGCCAGCAGCCGCGCCAGGTCGCGCTGCTCGAGCAGCTGGCGCACAGCCTCGACGGCGGCGCTCTGCTCTGCGATCTCGCGCCGTCGTGCCTGCTCGCGCACGATGCGCAGGCCGGCTTTGGCCTCCTGCTCGTCCTGCTCCTGCAGCTCTGCCTTGAGCGCCTCGACGCGCGTCAGGCAGGCGGCAGCCTCAGAGCTCAAGTCCTGCAGGTTGCCAAGCGCAGCAAAGAAGGACGTTGAGCGTGCCGAGATCTCGAGGATAAGGTGCTGCTCGACGACGTCCGAGTAGTACGAGAGCTTCTCCTGCAGCATCTGGTTGAGCGCCACGTCGTACACGCCGCCGTCGTCGGCCTCGCCGCCGCGCATCTCGCCCGGGCCGTGGTCGGCGACGCTTTTGTAGCGCTCGGTGACCAGGTCGAAGGTGTACGGGTTGCCGAGGTTGAAGTCTTCCGAGAAGAAGATCTGCGGCACGGAACTGAGCGGCGGCAGCTTGCGCGCGCCCGTCGCAATGTTGCGCGCCTCCTCCAGGCTTGCCCGGCCGCTCTCGTCGCCTTCTGTCCCATCCGCCGCTTCGGCACCGTCTGCGGTCAGGCGAGCGCGCCCAGCATGTCCGAGGCGCTTGTTGCGCTGCAGCGACGCGTACGCCGGCTTGACGCTCTGCAGGTAGGCGGCGAATGCGCCTGGCGGCACCTTTGGCAGCTCTGTATGTGACGTCGAGATGGCGGGGTAGCGCGACGAGGACGGATCGATGGGCCGTGAGGGCTTGCGCGGGTCGTTGAGCACCGTCGAGATGGCTGGCGCACGAGGGGCTCAGCTCGGCGCTGCCACCAGCGGCATACATATGCACTCACCATTGAAGCCGGCCAGGCCCTGAGCACTGGGCGTCGAGTGCCCGCTAAGCGTCAGGTTGGTGGAGCTGAGGCCGGCGCCGAAGTTTGCGCCGTAGCGCGCGCTGGCGCCGCCGCCGAACAGGCTCGCCGACGCCAGACTGCCGACCTCGGACGCGGCGGGGCTGAAGGGCCGCGCGATGGTCGGCGTGCCGGGCGTCGAGGGCACATCGCGGCTTGCACTGCCTCCTGCGGCGGCTCGCGAGCCCGAGGCGCTCATGGGCAGCGAGGACGCGCGCCGGCGCGAGGAGGTGCGGCGCCGTCAGCTGCTGCAGGCGTGGCAGGCACGAGCGGTGGAGCGGACGTGGCGCTGGATGCGTGGTGCGTGGCGAGGTGGATGTGCAGGCGTGGTGGTGCCAGCCGGCCGAGGCGCAGCGAGAGGGCGGGTGTAGCGAGAAGGAAGGCGCGAGGGTGGAGAAGGAGCACGCTACGGCTGGCGGTGCCGAGGCAAGGCGCCGCGGCGCGGCGCAGCGTGGGGACGCGCCTGGCGCCGCGCACACTGCTCCAGTGCCTGCATCCGGCCACGCTGCACCTCGCTGGCGCACGGTCGTCGCCGTGGATGGCGCGCGCTCCCGATCTGCCCTTCCCACCTCCGCATCCTCACACACCCCAGCGACCAGCACTGCCCGCACTGCACACGCTCGTCAATCCACAGCGCTCCACTCTCACCCGCTCCAGCCGCGCTGCCCGCGCCGTGCCCGCCTGCCCGCCATGATCCTGCTCGAGTCGGAGAACGTCATCATCCGCGAGTTCCTCACCTCGCGCTTCGAGACGTGAGTGGGCACTGAGCACCGCCAAGGCAGCTATATGCGCTGCGCTGACCGCATCCTTCAGCCCCGCTGCCGTGGACCAGACCTTTACCGACTTTGATGGTGTCGCCTACCACCTCGAGAGCTCAAAGGCCGGCCCCCTGACGCTCAGCATCGACATCCGCTGCTGGCGCGAGCTCGAGGCGTGCGGCGCCTCGGACGTGCTGCGCCGCGAGTACGGCGCCTATCTGCGTGCACAGCCCGAGCCCGAGTACTCCGTCACGCTCGAGCTCGACTATGCTAGCGTGCCGCAGGACCCTGGTGAGTCAGACGAAGAGGCGCGGCCCGGGGGGTAGTAGGGTCGGACAGCGCGCAGGAGCATGGCTCGAGCAGGACGATGCCGCATCACCCGAGCGGGTGAGCGCTGAAAGGGATTCCAGCGGTGCACCTGCTTGTGGCGCAGTGCCAAGTCCAGGCGGCCAGAAACGCAGACACTCTTCATGGACAGCCCATGCAGCTGCGCTCTGCCTGGCCCGTGCCACGCCTGCGGCCCGGAGACCATACACTGACCATCCACGTATCTCAGCCGAGCGCACGGCGCTCATCCACTCGCTCTCGCTGCTGAAGCGGAATCTGATGGCCGCGCCCTTCGAGCGGGCCTTTGCTTTGCAGAAGCAGCTCGAGGCTGCCGCCAACCCGGACCCAGCGGCCGCAGCAGCTGCCGCATCCAGCGTGCCGGCCGGCGCCACGGACATCATGTCGATCAACTACCGCGACGACGAGGCCATCTACATTGTGCCTGGCAGCGACCGTGTCACCGTCGTCTTCAGCACGACGTTCAAGGAGGAGACGGACCGCATCTTTGGCAAGGTATTCCTGCAGGTGAGTGGAGGCGCTCAGAGACATTGGGCGTGGTGATAAGCGACATAGAGATGAGACACGGCTGTGCACGGAAGTCTGTGCATGGAGCTGCACGGTAGAGCGATGGCTACCATCGGGGAATAGGAACAGCTCAGGTTGATGCAGTCGTGCTCCACAAATCCGAGCATCGACTGGTTCAGGACTGACCTGCAGCACCGCACAGGAATTCGTCGACGCACGGCGCCAGCCGTCGATCCAGAATGCGCCGCAGGTGCTGTACAGCAACCGCGAGCCGCCGCTGGAGATCCGCTCCATCTCGGGGCTCAACCGCGGCGAGAGCGTGGGCTACGTGACGTTCGGTGAGTGCACGGCGGAAGGCTCGGCGCTCGACGAGCAGATGGTCTGACACTCCTGGTCGCTCGACAGTCCTCTTCCCGCGGCATTTCCAGACTCCCGAGGTGGCCTTCTCGACGATTTCGCACATTCAGCTCTTCCGGGACTACCTGCACTACCACAGTGAGCAGCACAGCCGATTCCCTGACCGGCGCCGTGCTGAGCGCTCGCCCCCTCTCCTCACAGTCAAGTGCTCAAAGGCATACATGCACTCGCGCATGCGCCACCGCGTCGCCGAGTTCCTCAAGATTCTCAACCGCGCCAAGCCGGAGCAGGCCGAGAAGGAGCGGAAGACGGCCAGGTGCGTCATGCGCGCAGTCACGAGATGCGAGGCACATGCTGACGATGTGCTGCACGTCCTTCAGCGGCCGCTCGTTCCGCCGGGCATAGCGGCTGGGCTGCTCAGGAACGTGATGCGGAATGAGATGAACGTACTGCTCACAGCTGTGTGGACGAGGCATGTCAGCCGTCAACGCCAGCTGGAGGCGATTGGTGGCTCGCCGAGAGGTCACCCGTGTGTGCAGCGTATACCCACTCGGCCAGCACCTGCTCTGACAGGCATTGCCCAGGAGCTTCTTCCCTAATCACGACTGTCACTGGCTCCGCCTGAGTGCACTAGGCTAGCGTCAGGGTGCCGCGCGGCGCTCCAGGTCTCACGTAGACGAGCCCACAGGTCAAGCCACACACAGACTCAGAGAGGGATATAGGCTGACATTGGTCACGGAAGCAGACGAGCGCGGACGATCAGGTCCACTGGCGCCTGCATGTGTCGAGAAGGGAGTTAAGCCGTGGCCTGCGGCGGACCGGTGTCAGAAGGGCGACGGTGAGGACACGGAGCGCGCAGCAGCAGGGGGTGCGTCCAGACCAAGCAGCACCAGGCAAGGTGCGCTAGGCAACGCAGCAGCAAGAGTCATACAGCCCTGCACCATTCCCGCTTCCCTGTTTCTGTCGAGCTCTCGCCATACTCACAGTGCGTCAGGGACGGCGTGCGAGAGGCGCCTAGCACTTGCAGGCACCGGCGGCGCACGAGCACGAGTCGCCGCACGTGCAGCTGGCCGAGCAGGACTTCTGCTGCTGCTTCTTGGGGCTGTGCAAGACGAGGACGAGGCAGGAGTGTCAGCGGCGCATGCTCCACTCGATGACCGTCTGCAATGAGGCCACGCGCGGGAGGCGCCACGCGCAGCGCGCGCGCACGCACCAGTTGGAGCAGGAGCACTCGTCGGCGCTGCACTGGCACGCGCCCTTGGCGCAGGTGCAGTCGGCGGACGTGCCGTTCTTGCAGGGGCAGGCCATGGTGATGGTGGGGAGGTGTGCGGGTGGGTGTGGCTGAAGTGAGGGGTGGTGGTGAGAGGGAGAGAGGGGCGCCCAGGCGCTGCTGCGCACGCGGCCTCGTGTCGCACGACACCCTGACCCGCGCCGAGCGGAGACAGGCGGCGCGCGGCGTGCGTGCCAAGCCGTCCGGCCCGCGCGCAGGCTCCGCAAGCGCCGCGCGCCAGCGCATGCACAGCAACACCTCGGGCCGCGCCTCTCCTCTGCGCTCTGACGCTGCAGCTCTGCTCTGACTCGACTTGACGGCGCCTCTCGCACGCACACTGCAAATGCCCGATCGCCTCGCTGCAATGCCTATCTTGGCCGCTGATTCGTGTCAGCATGCTCGATCCGGCTGCCCGCCCGAATGACCTCGCTTTAGCGGCAGAGTGCAAAAGAGGGGGCCTGTGCGCCGGCGACCGGCAGGCCGGCCTCTCCTGCGCCTCCCTGTCCTCGGCGGGCGGAGGCCGTCTCGCAACGCAAGCGAGCCGCGTTCCTGATGCTGCTTGGGTCATGCATAGGCTATTGCGAGGTCACAAGCGGCCGCGAATGCCACGCCTGGCTGCCCTTTCAGTCGCTGCAGCGAATCACCACCTTGCCCATGGCGCCCTTGCGCAGATGCTGAAATGCGGCGTGCGCCTCGGCGAAGGGAAAGCTGCACTCGATGAGCGGACGCAGCGCCTCGGGCCGCGCGGCGTGGGCGGCGAGGTAGGTGCGGAAGAGGGCTCGGGAGCCGCAGAGGACCTGGAGGAGCAGGTCAGCGAGAGCCACCGAGGCGGCACTCGCTGCACTCACACCGCGTACGACAGCCTGGGAGTAGAGGATGCTAGAAGCATATCAGCACATCGCTCAGGACGAACAGGCGACTGCTGCATGCTCACGCCTTGGCCACGTCGAGCTCGCCCGGCGCCGTCGGCTCGGCATAGTCGCTCATGTAGCCGACGACCCAGACGCTGCCGTACGGCGCCGTGCTCTGGATGGCCTTGATGATGGTGTCACGGCCGCCGATCTCGATCTGCTGCCGTGTCAGCGAGGCGAGACGTCTGTCGCGAGCACATCGGCTCACCGTGTGGTCGACGCCGCGAGGCGCGAGCTCTCGGACGCGCGTGTGCCACTCGGGCGTCGAGCGGTAGTTGATGCAGTCGCCCTCTGCTACGCCGAGCTCGACGCATTTGCGCAGCTTGTCATCGCTGGAGGAGAGAACGATGGGCCGCGCGCCCACGCTGAGCGCCAGCTGCAGCGCCGCCATGCTGACGCCGCCCGTGCCTTCCACCAGCAGCGTCTGGCCCGGCTGCAGCGTGCGCTCGAAGCCGAAGAGACAGTGGTAGGCTGTCAGGCCGGCGACGGGCAGGCAGGATGCCTCGGCGTAGCTCATGCCGTCAGGAATCGGCAGCAGAGATTGCTGCAAGGCGATCGTCAGCTTGCAATGCGTGAATAGCACCCTCGAAGCATACGCACCTCGTTGAGCACGACGACCTTGCGCAGCACGCCGTCCCTGCCGCCGCCCAGGGCCGTCTCCTGCATCTCGTTGCCCAGCTCGCCGTGCTGCCACGCCTCGGAGAGATGCGTCACGACGCGGTCGCCGGCGCTGAACTCGCGCACGCCGCTGCCGACCGCCAGCACCTCGCCGGCGCCGTCGGAGCACGGCACGAGGCCGACGGGTGGCAGAACAGGCGCGGGGTAAGTGCCGCTGCAGATCTGCAGGTCGCGCTGCGGGAGGCGCCGTCAGTGCAGTGAGCTGTGTGCGCCGATGAGGAGACGCACAGCATTGAGCGAAACGCTGTGGATCCGGACGCGCTGTGAAGAGCAGCGTGAGCGGCGAGGGCGCATGCATCCCCGTGGCAACGCACCACCTCCGTCGCGCCGAGAGGGCGCTTGAGGTCGTCGACGACCTGCTCGACGTGCAGGCCGGAGAGGTCCTGCACAAATGAAGCGAGGCGGTAGCAGTCGGCGTCGCTCATTGTGAGTGGTGGTTGCGAGAGTGGCAACATGAGCGGCAGCAGATCCGGCCCGGCTGCCCGAGCTCGAGGTGGAGGCGCCTCGCTGCCGCGGCTCACCTGCCAAGCTGGCGCGCCCCTCGGCGCTGCTGAAGGCGTCGATGGCTGAGGAATATCTGCGATTCAGGTGCTGTGGAGGTGTGGGTACTGTTCAGCAGCTCGCAGCCTCACTCCGTGTAGGCAGGTGTGCATCGTGGAAGCCGCTGCACGGCGGGAAGAGGTGCACGGGGCGTGCCCTCGCGAGGTGCAGCTGGCTCGGCGGCGCAACGGCGTGGGCGTCGCAGCGGCGCGTCTTGGCTGATGCTCCGCGCGCCCGAGCGTTCGTCACGACCAGCACACCCTCGCCCGCTCACACTCCTCAGCCCTCACGCTTGCCCCACACTCGCACCCAGCGTCGCGCTTTCACTGCTGCTCTGCACTGCCGCTCGCGCACGCTCCACACCTCCTCGCTGAGCCTCGCCGCCGCGCCGCCGCCATGTCGGGCTGGACGACCATCTGGGTGCTCATCGCCGCCGTCGGCGCCGGCAGCGGCGCATGGATCTCGGCGCCCAAGGGCCCCAACCAGGTGTGCGTACGAGCATGCGCACATGGGAGCTACGCACGAGCTGACCTTCCCCTCTGCTGGGCCGCACAGCCTGCTGCGCACGTGCGCCGTCCTGACCCTCACGTGCTGCTACCTCATGTGGGTCATCGTCTACCTCGCGCAGCTGCACCCAATCATCAGTGAGTCTGCGACATATGTACAAGGGCTGTCCTGTCAGCGGCGGTGCGGGAAATGGGCCGCAGTAGATGACTACTGCTGCGCTGCTGGGCCGTGGTGTGCGGGTGCGCACTGTCCGTGCACCACTTGCGGCGTGCATGCGCAGTCTCAGTGACTTGCAAGGCGTCAGAGATAGACTGCAGTGAGAGGGGAGCAGTGACAGCCTAAACGAGCTCTCGCGAAGGCACTGAGGCTCTGTCACTACGAGAATCCGTCTTCGGGCTGCCAGCCGTGGCGGCGTGCAAGCATGCCTAGCCACGGCAGCTTGCCGCTTTCTAGCCGTGCTTGATCTGCGTCCTGCGCCGAGACGAGGCGATACAGGCGCTGATGCTTCTTCTGCAGGCCCAAAGCGGTCCGACGTGCGCTTCTTCGAGGAGTAAGCGTCCGACACGGCACGATCTGTATGGGCTTCATGGGGGCAGAGCGAATGTGAGATGTGTTTCCGAGACATGCTGCGCGAATGGTTCAAGGTTCAATTAGCTGGAGGGAGAGCTGTGCTAGTGCGGGGTTGAGAGCGGTGAGTCGACAAGGAAAAGGAGTCAGTGAGACACAGCTGCAGCGCGAGTTGCGACGCACCGATCTCTCGAGATCAGAGCCCATTCTCGCCTGCGACAGAGAAGACTACGCATCGTCACACTTGCATGATCAGCGGGGCAGTGGCTTGAGCTCGAGCTCTGATTGGGCTCGAGTAGCAATCCCTAAGTTGATGGCACGAGAAGCTTGGTGCACGGCGGAGTCGCTTTAAGTGTCTGCTTCACCAGCGCAAGCTGCTGGCGCGTCCTCAGGTCGTTGTGCCGCGCGAACGCGCTGCAGAGCTAGGACAGGCTTTCTCGATACTCTGCTTCGCCCAGACGATGGCTCTGGACAAGCATGCCAGCAACATGCTCCTTGCAGACGTGCCACGGCCGAGTCGAGATTGCTTCGCAGACATGTGGCAGGCGGCGGGCAGGTTGTCGTCAGGGCCTGTCAGCAAAAGGTCGTCTGACACAGTGCGTTCTGAAGCATGAGGCTTCAGAGAGGAGCGTGTGATGCGGCGAAGAAGTCGACTGCTGTCGTCGACCGGAGACGGTCCCTCCACGCTCGCTGGCCTGCTGTGGAGTGGATGCTCGCCTGGACCGGTGCATCCCCGACGCGCAGCCCACCAAGGCAAGGAGGATTGACTTGGCGGCCCTCGTTCTATGTGCACCGCAGACACGCCTCGCTCATCGACGTCGAATGTGGCTTCTTGCAGCAGCAGAGGGCCGTACTTGGCCCGACAGACCAAGGCTGCTGCACTGGTCACAGCATGCAGTCCCGAACGTGCTTCCTTGCAAATTGGCCGCAGAACATCTCGGTGCAGCGGCCAGCTGGGCCCGGCGTAATGGACTGCAGGTGCTGTGCACGACGCAGGCAGGCAGCAGCGCAGAGAAAGCGGCATGCGGCGCACAGAGAACCGCAAAAGGAGAGGACCGGGGATGGGCAAGCGCCCCCAGGAGCGCGGCGTGGGAGCAGGCGCCCGCACGCCCAACGAGATGCCGCGCCGAGTTCCAGCGGAGCGCATGCTCTGAGCCGCGGCTCTCGGACTCGGACCTGCGCACGCGAGGGAGCTCGAGGCTTCATGCGAGCCACGCGGCATGCTGCTCCCTCTCGCAATATCGACTCAGACTCGGACTTAAGGGATGCTTCTCTCAATGTGGCGCAGCTGGGGCTGACCGCCGCAACTGGGGCAGCGAGAGCTCGGCGCGGGCGGCGGTCCGGCCGGATAAGCCGCGTTGCGTGATGTGATGGGAGAGCTGGACTCGCAGAGGGGTCCGCCCGACGCTGCCACTCGACGCTTGGCGCACAGCCGCTTCCATTCACTCATTTGCCCTCGGTGCCCCTGCGTCGAAGCCGAGCCGCAGATCATGACGCGGCTCAAGGGGCGCAGCGCGGGCAGACGCGGCGTCGGCGGCCAGCCGCAGGGGTGGGGTCGCTGCACCTGCGGTGAGGCCGTCCCGGACCCCGGAGCGCCGGCCCGGGATGCAGGGTCCGCACAGACCCACGCCCGACGTTCGGGACACCTGCGACCTTTGGGGCATGCTGCTCGTGCTTCGGCGCGTTCCATCAGGAGGATCAGATGCAAGAAGAGGCCCAGGCGGCAGCCTTGCGGCGCTTGACGGGCTGAATGACGGCAGAGCGCAGGCGGTGCCCTTGCTCCGGAGCGGAGGAGAGGCGCGCGTCCGCGGACGCGATTTCTCACCGGTTTTACGTGGAGGAACGAGAGGGGCGCCGTGCCCCTTCACTCCCTTGCGCAGGCGGCGTGCTGCCGCCGCGGCCGCGGCACGCGCCGCACCGCGCACCACATGCACCCGCAGCAGCATGCAGGTGCAGATGCAGGGCGGCCGCTGGCCTCCGGCCGTATGGACAGGCTCCGCCGCCGCCTGAGCGGCCGCCGTGCATGAGCGCGCTGACCTCGCGCTCGGGGTTGCTGAGGTGACGCACCTGGCACGCCGGTGCCGTCGGTGCGCCGAGGTGGCTTTTTGCCTGCCTCCGGCGCCGCACCAGCCGCGCCGGCAAGCAAGCGCAGCCGGCGGCCTGGCCGGTGCATAAGAAGCGCGCCTCCCGCTCGCCGCCCTCCTCCGCACCTCACCCACTCACAACATGGCCTCCGCACGCAGCTCGCAGTCCTCGCACAAGGAGCGCACGCCCGACGCCGCCCCCGCGCGCGTCGGCCTGGGCCACGCGTCGGTGCGCAAGGGCCTCACAATGTACGCCGTCGTGCTCGGCATGACCGTCGCCATCATTACGGTCTTGATCTGGACCTTCGGCACGCTCTACTGGGGCTCGTTGTACAACCCGCAGGCGCACCTCTACCGCCTCACCGCCGTCGTGGTGAACCGCGACGGCAACGGCGCCATCGGGCAGGCCGTCAGCAGCGGCCTGCTCGCCCTCAACAGCGCCAGCTCGCCGCACATGACGTGGAGCGTCGTCGACGGCAGCGCATACCCGACGCAGGCCGACGTCGACGAGGCCGTGCACTACAAGCTCAGCACCTGGCTCGCCATCGAGGTCGCCGAGAATGCCTCGCAGCAGCTCGCGGCCGCGCGCGCCGCCGGCAACGCCAGCTGGGACCCCACCAGCGTCATCACGGCCACCTACGTGCAGGCGCGCAACCAGGCCACGATCGACGGCCAGGTGCTGGCCTTCTTCCGGCCCGCCATCACGCGCATCATGGCCGAGCTCAATGCGCAGCTCGCTGCCGAGTACCTCTCGGCCAACTCGGGCAACGCGGCCGCCATCGCCGCGCTGGCCGCTGCGCCGCAGACCATTGGCGCGCCCGTGGGCCTGACGTACCGCAACCTCGCCATGTACCCGACGGTCGGTGAGTGCGGGCTGGAGCGACGGAGGGCGCGGAGTGACGGAGGGTGCGGAGCGACGGAGGGTGCAGGGGTCGCGCGCGTCGTGCGCTGGTCTGCGCGCGCTGGCGAGAACGTGCTGTTGTCGCCAGTGACGCAGTTCTCGGGGGGCTGTGGTGGTTGCAGTGCAAGAGGCATCAGGCGTCGCGCGGCGCGGCCAGGGCGTGCCTCTGACGCGCGCCGCGTCGCGGCCGCGACAGCTGCACGTGCGACAGCCCTGGACTTCCAGACCTGGGCCAGCCAGTCCCGCCAGCTTCCCACACTGACACTCTCCCAGCCAACGCTGCCACGTTCGTCGGCCTCATCTACCTCTGCATTCTGGCCTTTGTGAGTCGACTGCGCGCCCGCAGGACGTGCACGCTCTGACCTCTGCCCACCAGAACGTGACCATGGCCGGTGGAGCGATCCGCGATGCCTTTGGCCTCGACCTCAAGCTCAACGCGCGCTCGCAAGTGCTGCTGCGCCTCGGCGGCCCGTTCCTCTGCTACATCATCCTCTCGCTCATGTGGTCGCTGCTCGAGCTGCCGTTCCACCTGCCCTTCGGCGGCAACTTCTCGCACGGCGCCGGCTTCATGGTCTGGTGGATGTTCACCCTCCTCGGCATGGCCGTGCTCGGCTACTGGACCGAAGGCTTCTACGCGCTCGTGGGCGCCAAGTGGGTCGCATACTCGCTTCTTGTCATCATCCTCACGAACGTGTCAGGCGCAAACCTGGCTGTGGAGGCACAGAACGCCTTCTACAAGTTCTCGTACGCCATGCCGTTCTACGTGACCAAGAACGCCTACCTCAACATTCTCTTCCACGTCGGCTACCGCGCCGAGCTGGCCAAGTCGTTTGGCATCTTGGTGGGCTGGGTGAGTGCGCCACGGTGCCAAGACAAGCTGCATCTGCTGACGGTCTCCCTGAAGCTCATCCTCTCGCTCGTGACCATCCCGATCTGGCTGCGGCTGGAGCGCAAGCGCCTCATCAAGGCCAAGGCCGCTGGCTCGCCCGGCCCGCCGGCAAAGAAGCAGGACGAGGAGAAGGCCTCGTCGGCGCCGCACGACGTGTCGCACGAGTCGTCGCACGACACGTCCGCATGAAGAGCTGGACGCCGTTCTCCCTGACTTTCTTCTACCCACCACCGCGTGTGGTTGTACAACATCTTCCTCAGTCGGCCTTGGACTACCTTATGTCTCAGCGGACGCTGCACGATGCGCGCCTCCAGGCGCTCTGCAGACCCTGCCACGAGCTGTCGACTTTACACCTCATATACCGCACCCGCAACGAGATCGTAATCGTGTCTCACACGTCTGTGGTTGGTCAGTACCCAGCGACCAGGGCTCTGTGCGATGCACGTGTTCAACGGAGCCAGTGCATCTTGAGCCGTCGCTGCGAGTGATCTGCGCGCCACGGCCACCCGACACCGATGTGTCGGACGGGCTGGCACGAAAGCGTGGATTGCTGAACGATGAGCGGTACAAGTACAAGAAGAAGAGAGGCGTGGCGAGCTGCGGCTAGAAGAGCGTGTCCTCGTCGCGGATGAACTCGCCCGTATCCCTGCGCAAGCGATGCGTGTCAGCGGCGAGCCGAGGCAGCCGTCAAACGACGGATCACTCACGCCTGGTGGAAGACGATGATGCTGGTCGGGTCCATCTTGCGCGTGTCGAGCGTGGAGCGCGCCGTCACGCCGAAGCCCTGAGGAGAGCGTCAGCATCGACGTGCACAGGAGCAGGAGAGAACGCAGCCGCAAAGATCGGCCCTCCTGCCAGCAAGCTTAAGGCTGCGCGTCTCTGTGGCTGCAACAGAGCTTGACCGCTGCGAACAATGCGGGAGCCGCACTGCTCTTCACCTTTCCACACTGACGCTTCGACAAGCTTTCCACACGCTAGCCTGACCTGTCCGCTCACTCGTCGAGATCCGCTGGAGACGAGACGCGCTTCCCGTACTCCGCTGCACCCACCACACCCTGCCGCAGTCCAGCGCCCTCCGCCGCACGCCTCGCTGCTGTCACTCACCAGCCCCGTGCCGCTCATGCTCAGCACCACGACGCCCGCATGCTCGGGCGTGTCGTCGGAGATGCGGCCGAGGTGCGCCTTGACGACGTGGTTGCCGTAGAGGAACGGCAGCTCGCCGTTGGGCTTGATCCAGACCTTGTGCTTGGCGTACTGCACGAGGTAGTCGAGCGCGGTGATGTGCAGGCGGAACTTGCCCGTCTTGGAGAACTTGCCGAAGCACGTGCCCAGCGAGACGAGATTTGGCCGCGCGACGGAGACGGCGAGACGCATGCTCTCCTGCGGATTAAGGAGTGTGAGCGAGGTACAGGAGAAGATCGTACCTTGCGCGAGCAGGGGCAGACGCCCAGCTTGACTGGCTATCAGAGGTGACTGAGGAGGCCTCCTGGCACACCGAGAGCCTAGACGCATGCCGGAGCTCAGACGCTCTGCGCAGCCACAGCTGAGTGCGGCAAGCACCTCGCACACCCGCTCTGCCCATGCTGCCCTGCCCAGGCTGCCCCACGCTGGCACGCACCTCGGAGGCGTAATAGACGCGGTCGCGGTGCAGGCGGAAGACGTGCGGCGCATCGTCGCGGTCGACGAGGTGCACGATGTTGGCGCCGATGTAGTGCGAGAGCTTTGTGAAGAGCGTCTTGGTCTCCTCGTCGGTGAGCGGACGCATGCTGGGCGGGATGAGTGGGGCGAGGAGGATGTGGTGGGAGGGCAGGGCGTCGTCGGCGGCGGCGAGAAGGAAACGCTGGAGCGGCGCCGAGTTGTAGTCGCGCATACAACTGCACCCCGCCGCGTTGTAGTGCGCAGAGCAGCCGCGGAATTCGGCCTCGGCTTGCAGCAAAAAAGTTGCGCGCTCTCGCACGGGAGGCGCGGGCGCGCGCCGAGGCGCCTTCCCCGACGGCCATCCTTCGCCCGCTTCCTCCATCCCCACCACGCCACACCATGCCCGCTCCCACGCGCCGCCCGGCGCCGCACAAGAAGCAGCAGCAGAACAACCGCACCCATGCCGCGCGCCGCATCGAGAAGCGCGGCGGCGGCGATGCGCCCGGCGCGCAGCCCAAGAGCGTGCTCGACGTGTACGACTTTGTCGGCGCCACGGCCGAGCCGGCCGCGTCTGGCAGCGGCAGTGCGCGCGAGCGCCGCCGCGGCAAGGCCGACGCCCGGCTGCGGCGTGCCACCACCAACAACGCCGCCGACGACGACGCCGACGTGCGCAACCCGCGCGCCGCGGCCGCCGGCGACAGCGACGCCGACTCGGACGACGTGCAGGACGAGCTGACGCGCCGCACGCGCGCCGCTCCAGCGTTCCTGGACGTCGCAGACGACGTCGAGAATGTCGTCAACGATGAGGATGATGAGGAGCTCGACTCGGACGAGGCGTGGGGCGAGAGCGACGAGGAGAAGTTTGCCAGCTCGATGCCAAAGGTGCGTGGCGGCTGCGGTGCGGCCAGCCCGCGTGGCGCTCATGCCTCTATGCAGTCCCAGCGGCTCGCAAAGGGGCGGAAAGATGCATCAGGAGATGACGAGGAAGATGAAGAAGAGGACGAGGACGACGAGGGCGATGCAGACATGCTTGACCTCTCGCGCATGCTCGATGCCGGCTCGCAGTCTGACGAGGAGGATGGCAGTGCCAGCGATGCGTCCGACGACTCGGGCGATGAGCGGTTACAGCAGCACATGTCATCGCTCGCGGCACAGCCCTCCAAGCGCAGTGCACGCAGCGGCGATGCCGACGAGGGCAGCGATGGCGAGCCGTCCGCCAAGCGCACACGGCGCGTGCTTGCCGCACGCAGCGAAGCGGTGCCCGAGTCGCAGTTTGGCGTCGGTGGCGCCAGCGGCTCGCGGCTTCGCGTCGAGGACCTCATGTCTACCCTGGACGACTCGGGTGCCGGCGCGAGCTTCAACAGCCTGCGTCAGTCGGCGCGCGCGCTGGCACGCGCAGAGCAGGCACGCGGGGCTGGCGGCGCTGCGTCCCGACGAGGCGGCGGAGCGCTGCAGGCGCCTCTGCCGGCCGTCGTGCAGGACCGCCTCGACCGTGCAGCGGCGTACGACGCCTCGCGCAACGAGGTGGCGGGCTGGGCGCCGACGATCAAGCGTCTGCGCGAGGCAGAGCACCTCAGCTTCCCGCTGCAGCCCGAGCACGTGCCACAAGCCACGGCTGCGGCGCTCACATCGTCGTTCCGCGCTGAGAACGACATGGAGCGGGGCGTGGCTGCGCTGCTGGCACAGGAGGGCATGAGCGAGAAGGAGATCGCCAAGGCCGAGGAGCTTGAGATGAACCGCCGCGGCATGGACGAGGCAGAGGTGCGCAAGCGCCGCGAGGAGCTGCGGCGCATGCGCGACCTACTGTTCCGCGAGGAGCAGAAGGCCAAGCGCGTCAAGAAGATCAAGTCCAAGACGTACCGCAAGATCGCACGGCGCGAGCGCGACAAGGAGGACGCACAGGCAAAGGCAGCCGGCCTCGGCGACAGCGAAGACGAGGCGGAGGAGCGCGAGAAGGACGCGCGCCTGCGAGCCAAGGAGCGCGCGACGCTCAAGCACAAGAACACGGGCAAGTGGGCCAAGGGCATCGTCGGCCACCACGCCACGATGGAGAATGTCGAGGCGCGCAACGCGATTGAGGAGCAGCTGCAGCAGGGCGAACGCCTGCGGCGGCGCATCCAGGGCCAGGCCTCTGATGACGAGTCGGACTCTGAGGAGGACTCGGACGAGGAGGCCGGCGCGAGCGACCCGCGACGACAAGCCTTTGACGAGCTGGCCGCCCTGCAGGCTCGCGACGCTGCCGCACAGGAGGCAGAGGCGGACATGCAAGGCGGGCGGCAGACGAGCGGCAAGAAGGGCGGCGTTTGGGCGATGAAGTTCATGGCCGACGCACGCAAGCGCGATGCCGCCACTACGCAGGAGGAGATCGATGCCTTCCGCGCCGAGCTGGCCTCGGAGGAGGAGGGCAGCACGGACGACGAGGAGCGGGCGGAGAAGGAGCTGCTCGCAAGACGCACCAACGTGCAGGGCAACGCCGGACGTGCAGTCTTTGGCACCTCGGGCGTGCAGACGGCGAAGAAGGCCGAGCAGAAGGCGGAGCATGTCCCGCGCGAGGACGACTCGGAAGAGGACGAATCAGAGGCGTCGGAGGCCGAGGCTTCCAAGAGCGCCCCTGCTCCCGCGCCAGCACCTGTCACTGCCGCCCCTGCAGCAGCTGCAGCCCCGAGCGCCACGTCGGACGCGTACAGCGGCAACGCAAACCCCTGGCTCGCCAACGCCGGCGAAGGCACGAAGCTCTCGCGCAAGCGCAACGATGCCATTGTGGCCAAGGAGAGCTCGGCTGCTACGCGCGCCGCAAACCGGACGGCGCGGCACGCTGCCAAGGGCGACGAGGCGCGCGGCAAGGCGGAGGACGATGCGCGCGTCGAGATCGACCCCAATGCGCGCCTGGCCGTGACGACTGGGCGGAAGGGCAAGCAGGCGGCGCCACGCGCCGGCGCTGAGGAGACGGACTCGGACTCGGACGCCGAGCCCGTGGCCGTGGGACGCGGCCTGGCGGCGATGAAGCAGCGCGCCCTCGTGGCCGAGGCGTTTGCCGGCGACGACGTGGCGGCCGACTTTGCGGCCGAGAAGCGGGCGGCCGTGGAGCGCGAGGCGCCGCGCGAGGAGGACACGACGCTCGCCGGCTGGGGCTCGTGGGGCGGCAAGGGCGTCAAGTCGTCGGGCGCCAGCCGGCGCCGCGATGCCGAGCGCCGCAAGCGCAACACACGCACCATTGCCGGCCTGGCGCCCGAGGCGCGCAAGGACGCAAAGATGGAGCACGTCATCATCAACGAGCGCAAGGACAAGAAGGCCGACAAGTACCGCGCAAAGGACGTGCCCTACCCGTACACGAGCGCCGCGCAGTACGAGATGGCCATGCGCAACCCCGTGGGCAAGGAGTGGAACACGGTGACGCAGCACCAGCGCCTCACGCTGCCGCGCGTCGTGACCAAGCCGGGCAAGGCCATCCTGCCGATCGGTGAGTGGTGCTGCTGGGCCACCCGGCGCTGCACTTGCCTTACTGACCGCGCTGCCGACAGAGCGCAAATTCTAGACAGCCTTACTGCACTCACAATTCCATACCTTCTCGCACTCATCGTGACAGTCGTGACATTAGTCCGTGAAGAGGATGCGCAGCGAGAGCTGGAAGGGCAATGCCTGGTCCGTGACGGTGATCTCGTCGCCGTGCTGCAGCAGCTCGCTGAGCGGGCGAACGAGGTTGCCCTCTGTCGCCTCGCGCAGCTGCGGCGGTGCCTGGAAGAAGAGCGGCCCGCTGGGACCCGCGAGACTAGGCCGCTTCAGCTGCACATCGGCACTCTCGGCGAGCAGCTCGAGGATGTGCGCCAGCGGCGTGCTGCGCGAAAGCGACACGTCGCGCGCATCGCCGCCGCACACGGGACAGTCGGGCCGCCGCTCGTGCTCGAACGTGTACGTGTAGACGCTGTCGCTGCCCGCGTACATCATGTAGTTGTTCAGCGGCGGCGCGCACGTCGTGGCCAGCTTGAACGCCTCTTGCGTGCATGCCGCTGAGAGGCACGTGTGAGCAGACAGGCGAGGAGTCGCGACTCGCGACACGCACCGGCGATGACTGCGTTTGTGCTCGCAATGGCGGGAATGATGTTCTTGACGACGCCCTGCGTCAGCGACCACGTCACTCCTTCGATGTTGTGCGCCCTTGCGCGCGCCTGCGCCACGTCCAGAAGCCACTGGATGTGCTCGGGGTCGTCGTTGTCGAGCTTCTTCTCCGCTGCAGCAAGCAGCGTCAGAACCCTGACACGTCCCTCGCGACGCCGGCCACTCACGCCCAAAGACGCGCGGCCACTCGAGCACACTGGCCCACTCGATGCAGTGCTCGGGCAGGCGCGGCGTGTTGGCAATCGTGCAGATGGGAAAGACGGTCTGCCGCGTCAGCATGTCGAGGCTGCACTCATAGCACGACGTGAGCGTCGGGAGAATGAGGCGCGCCTGGCCCTTGAAGCCCTCGGTGCCGCCGTCGATGAGCGGCTTGAGCGAGTCCGGGTTGTCGGGATCGACCATGTTGACGAGCGTGGCGTTGATCCAGCGCCGTGCCTCGACCTGTGCAGCGATCAGTCAGCACGACAGCGCAAGGGGCCAGCATAGCGGCCCAGCGTCTCTGCACTGCGGCGCAAGACCTTTCTGCACCACACCTCGAGCGCGTGTTCTCTGCAGCAGACCTCACTACACCGCACCGCACCACCAGCTTCACTCACCGAGTCCAGGCCGCAGATGACCATGTCGAACTGCATATAGTATGCCTCGTCCTTGTCCTGGATGCGCCCGTGGTATGCCGTCACTTGCGTGCCGGGCACGCGGCGCATGACAAACTCGGCGGCCACGAGGGCCTTGGAGCGGCCCACGTCCTTGGTGCTGCGCGGAGAGAAGGAGCGTCAGAGGGCACTGCGAGGAGCACGTGGCGGGAACGGAGTGTCGTGCGAGCGTTACTCGCGATGCCTGCGTCTTGCACGCGACAGCGGTGTCCGGCACGATACCTGGCTGCTGTACGCACCGGAAGAGAAACTGGCGGTTGAGGTTGCTGGTGTCGATGGTGTCCATGTCGATGAGGTGGATGTCGCGGAAGCCCGAGAGCGCCAGGTTGGCGAGCAGCTCGCAGCCGAGGCCGCCGGCGCCGATGACGAGCACCTTTGCCGTGTTGCGCAGCACCTTCTTCGGACTGGTGCGAGGTCAGTGAAGATTCAGGGCAGGACAACGAGGGACGCACGCGGCACCCGGCACGAAGGAGGCATCGGTGTACGCTGCGCATGGCGCGAGTGTCAGTGGAGGTGTGCAACGGCAGGTCGCGCCGACGCACGGCCGGCGCGGTCGAGGAGCGCATCGATGTGGGCGGTGCGCGAGCGCAGGCGCGGCGTGCCGGACGAGGACGACGACGAGGCGTCGGACATGGCGGGCGAGCGGAGGTGGGAGTAGGAAGGGAGGGGCCAGCGAGTGGAGGGCGAGGGCGAGGGTGGCTCGAGCGGCACGGCGCGCGACTCTGACGTGAAGCCCGAAAGTGCAACACGCGCGACGAGGCTTCCTTCCCACCTCCATCCCTCAACAAGCGCCCAGCATGTCGCTCCCTGATGCCCAGCTGCACCAGGTGTGTCCTACTTTGTCTCCTCTCTCACCCACGCTCACACGCCTGCCCCGCAGATCCTCGCGCAGATGCAGGCGCAGGCCGTCGCGGCGCAGCGCGAGCTCAGCCGCGTGCGCGCCCAGAGCTCGAGCCTCGAGGGCGCGCGCCGCCGCGCCGAGCTGACGCGCAGGCAGGTCGAGGAGGAGAAGGACGCGACGCTGTGGGTCGGGCGCGGCAAGATGTGAGTGGCAGTGGGGCGGCGGCGTAGGGTCGGGCCGGGCGGCGAGGCAGCGGCGCAGGCGGCGCGGCAGCGCGCCTTGAGCGGGCAGCAGGCGGCGAGATTGCACCAGCACCGGGCGACAGGCACGGGTGCTGCTCTGCAACGAGCGCCTGGCGAGGCGGGCACGGAGCAGCAGCTGCAACTCGGGAGGCAGACAGCGTCCAGACTGTCGAGGCCCGGATCAGGCGCCGCAGTGCGCTTCGCACGGGGCTCGTCAAGTGCTTGCCGGCTGTTGGGGGACGAGCGGTCATGGCTAGCATGGAGAGGCAGAGACACGGCAGCAAGCGGGACTGCGAGTGCGTTGCGCCTGCCGTAATGGCCTGTGTGTCAGAGGCGGCCACTGCGCCTGCTGCCGGAGCACGTGCAGCCGCGTGCGCCTTCCGTGGCTCCACGCTGCCCACATAGCACCATGCCTGACTCCACATCTCGCATGGCACACGCAGGTTTCTCAAGACGCCCTCGCCAGACGTGCAGGCCGAGCTGCTCGAGCGCGAGCAGACGCTCTCGGCCGAGGTGGCGAATCTGGGCAAGAAGATGAAGGTGCGTGCGAGCGTCTCAGCTGCAGGCCCCTTGTTGCACGCGGCGAGACTGAAAAAGCCGACAAGGCTGATGCACGGATGCGCAATCTGCAGTTCCTGGAGAAGCAAGCGGCCGAGGCACAGGGACATTTGCGCGACGTGTTCCGCGGCATGGACGCACAACAACGAGCGACATGAGAGAGCAAGCAAATGTATACCAAATTCGCCTCTGTGCGCAGTGATTGTGCCGTGCCGTGCCGGACTGTCCGCCACTGGGGCGTGTTCGCCTGTCCGGGCACTTGCATTGGGTGTCCCGTCACTCGCTGGCTGCAGGTATATGTGTTTGCATTTCACCCTCCTCCTTCCTACCGTGAGATCCACCACAGCAGCAGCAGCGTACAGGCGCCAATAAGCAGGCCCATGATGACGCTATCGCGCCTTCGCCGGCGGTTGATGCGCGTGATGAGCGTGTTGAGCCCGGGTACCTGGGCCGCCGAGGAGCGCAGCCGCGCCGTCGTCTGCTGCAGCACGCCACGCTGGGCAGCGAGGGAGCCGCGTGTGGCGTATGCTTGACTGTGAGAGGACGGCAGAGGTGAGGGCAAGAAGAAGGAGGGCAGGGGAGATCACGTACTCGAGGGTGCCGTCGATCATGCTGTGTGAGTTGGAGATGCGGTCGCGCTCGTACAGCAGCGAGCCCTCCTCGGCGCCGTGCCGTGTCTTGTACGAGCTGTTGGGCAAGTCAGCAGGAGCGCTGAATAGAGCCGAGACGCCACGACAAGCACGCATGGCAAGACATTCCCTTGCCTGTGCTGCGAGGCAGATGTGCCTCGTCTAGCCGCGACTCCGGACTCGGTGAGCCAAGCGAAGCGTCTGTGCAGACGACACACAGTGGCCGCGGAGAAATCGGACACGCGCACGCTGGCGTTCGTCTGCTGCCCTCGCTGCTCGCCCTTGTTGCATGGCGCCGTGCCGTACCGGTGCCGCCGCGCCCTGACACTCACTCAATGTCACGACGCACATCGCCCAGCACGTCGCCGCGGCGGCGCTCCATGCGCGCCCACTCGCGCTCTGCGTCGTCGAGCACGTCTGCGTGGCGCGCGACGGCGGCGCGCTGCGCCTGCGTGGCAGTGGGCGCCAGGGCGCCGGCGAGGGCGTCGTTGGCGCGGCGCAGCGAGGCGAGCAGCGCGGGCAGCGACGAGGCGCCGGCCTCGAGCGACGCCGACGACGCGCTGCTGCTGCTGGACGCGAGGAGCGCGTCGAGCTGTGCCTCGAGGCTGCGCACGGTGCGCCGGTGGGACTCGTATGCCATGCTGGTGGTTGGAGGGCAAGCGGGGTGAATGCGCACCGGCGCGCTGTCTTTGTTGGCGCGGCGCTTGGCTGGGGAGCGTGGGAGCAGCGCCCGTGCCGGCCGAGAGAAAGTCGGCCGCCTGAGAATTGTTTCGCTCCTCCCGGCCCTTCTCGCTCCACTCGCCATCCTCGGCACCACCACACCCTCCACGGCCCAGCATGGCGCCGCCTCCGCCCGCCTCCGAGCTGCTGGCCTACCTCGCCGCACTGCAGGCCGCGCTGCAGCCGCCGACGGCCGCCGCCGCCGCGCTGCCCGGGCCCAGCTCGCTGGCCATGCACCGCTCCCTCGCGCGCCCGCTCGCCGCCGACCTCGCCGCCACCTCGGCCACGCTGCACGCCCTCGTGCAGCGCATCGCCGGCGCGCGCGGCCACCGCGACGAGATCAGCGCGCTGGACCTGCAGGGCGCGCGCCTCGAGGGCGTCGGCGACGTCGTCGATGCGCTCCTCGAGGCCGCCGACCGCGCGCTCGACGAGCACGCCGGCCGCACGCCGCTGCGCCGCTCGGCCGCCAGCGCGCCGGCGCCGACTGCGCCAAAGGCCAAGAACGAGAGCGCCGCGCTCGCCGGCGGCTTTCCGGCCGGCCCGCTGCCCGCCAGCATCCTCAACGCGCCCATCTCGCCGCTGCCGCAGACGCTCTTTGCGAGCCCGGACAACTCGCGCGAGCGCGCCTGGTCGCACGCGCTCGCCACCAAGCCGCACGCCGTCTCGCCGCTGGAGAACACGCCGCGGCCCGGCGCCAGCGTGCCCGTCAAGGCGCCACGCGCGGGCATGTACTGTGCCGAGGGCCCGCCGCGCGAGAACCCGTACTACGACGAGATCCACGCCTTTGCCGCGCCCGCCCACGCGCTGCAGAAGCCCGAGGGCTACGAGCCGCCGCCGCCCATCGACGGCATGAAGCCCACCGCAGGGCCGACGCCGTTCACGTGGGTGGCGACGCTGGCGCAGCTCGAGGAGCTGCGTTTGCATCTGCTCGAGGAGCGCGTGCAGGAGATTGCCCTCGACGTCGAGCATCACAACTACCGCTCGTACCAGGGCCTCGTGTGTCTCGTGCAGCTCTCGACGCGCTTCGGCGACTACATCATCGACGCCCTCTCGCCGCCCGTGCGCGCCAACTTCCACATCCTCAACGATGCGCTGGCTGACCCGGCCAAGATCAAGGTGCTGCACGGCGCCGAGCACGACGTGCTGTGGCTGCAGCGTGACCTCAATGCCTACCTCGTCGGCCTCTTCGACACGTATCACGCCGCCAGCATCCTGTCGTACCCGGCAAAGTCGCTCGCCTACCTTCTCTCGCGCCACACCAACTTCGAGGCCGACAAGCGCTGGCAGCTGGCCGACTGGCGCATCCGTCCGCTGCCCGCGCCCATGCTCTACTACGCCCGCGCCGACACGCACAGCCTGCTCTACGTCTACGATGCGCTGCGCGCCGAGCTGGCGACGCTCGGCGGCGCCAGTGCCGAGCCGCTGCTGCACGTCTTTGAGCGCAGCAAGAAGACGGCGGCACGTACGTATGCCAAGGAGGCGTGGGACCCCGCCGGCGAGGGCCGCGAGGGCTGGCGCACCATGTGGAAGCGCGCCGGCGGCGAGGAGGCCAGGGGGGTGGATGACAGATGGGAGAAGGAGGGCATCGAGGGTCTCAGCAGGACAGAGAGACTCTGGCGAAGACTGCACGACTGGCGCGACCGCTGTGCCAGAGAGAACGACGAGTCCACGCGGTGAGTTCCCGCTCCACTTCAGGGCCAGAGCAATCGAGCAGTACTGACCGCCGCGCCGGCAGCTACATCCTCTCCACCGCCAATCTCCTCTCGCTGGCGTCGCGTGCACCAACAACTGCACAGGCTGTAGCGGCGTGCGTCGGACCGGCGCTCAAGAAGCGTGCGCCCGAGATTGCGCGCGAGATCGTCGAGGAGGTGGCGGCGTGGGAGAAGGCGCAGGCGGCGCGCGAGGAGCGCAAGAAGGCCGAGCTGGCGCTGGCGCAGGCACAGACGCAGGGAGACGAGGAGATGGGCGAGGCCGTCGCGCGTCCTGCTCAGGCCGAGCCGTCTGGAGCCGTCGAGATGAAGACCGAGGGCCGCCTCTCGCCCACACCCTCCGTCGTCACGTCGCTCTGGGAGCAATTCAACTCGCCGCCCTCGCCGCCGGCACAGCAGAGCTCAGCCGCCGCATCGTCAAGCAAGCCGAGTGCCGCGCGCACTCTGACAGCTTCGCTCTTCGGCCGCAAGAAGAACGCCTCTCCGGCGCCCGTCGCCGAGGCGGCCTCGCCAGTTTCGGCGCCGCCATCGCCGTTCGCTCGGCCGCTGGCGCCGCTGCCGCAGTCGTCGCGCGACGGCAAGGCGCAGACGCAGGTGCAGAAGATCAAGCGCGGCCTCAGCGGCGCGATTCGCGGCCTCCTCACAACGCGTGCAAAGTCGAGCGCAGAGGAGGGCGCAGCGCAGCAGCCGCAGCCGTCGGCGGACGTGTCCATGGCACCCGCGGCCGCCGCTGTTCCCGCCACGCCTGCCCCGGCGCCCGCAGCCGCGATCGCCGCACCTGTGCCTCTTGTCGCTGCGCCTCAGGCAGCAGAGGCAGAGGCAGACGACGACGACTCCATCGTGCAGGTGGGCAAGAAGCGCAAGAAGGAGCGCTGGAGCAAGGAGGCGCGCCGCGCCAGCAAGAAGGCGCGTGCCGAGGAGGAGGCAGCGGGCGGCGAAGAGGGCGCTGCCGCAGCCTCGTCCTCCGCTGCTGCGTCCTCGTCTGAAGCGGCGCCGGCGCCGGCGTTCAGCTACGAGAACGTGCCGTCGATCCTCGATGCACCACAGCCCGTGCGTGCTGCGCCGGGCAACCGCAAGGAGAAGAAGAAGAAGAGGGACGGGGCAGCGGGCGGCAAGGAGAAGGGCGAGCGCAGTCTGGCGACGGTGTCGACGAGCCGCAAGCGCAGCGAGATCAGCGGCGGCGGCAAGAGCGCCAGCTTCCCGCGCTGAGGGGGAAGAGGCGTGGTAATCGATGCTTTAGTGATACAGCGAGAGCATGGACAGCGTGAACAGCGGTGAGAGACGAGGCGGGTCACCAGCGGGCGCCTGGCGCGCCACCGTACGCTTGCCGCACGAGGCCCTGCAGGCCAGCTCGGTCGCGAGCCGCCGCCGATGCCGAGTCGGCGCCCAACTCGCTACCATGCGGCAGTGCGGAGGCGTCGTCGCTGGCGTGCATGAAGGGGCCGCCGACGTCGAGCAGCTGCGTCTCTTCCGCTGTCGGAGGCGCTTGTGGCTCCGTCTCTTCGACGGCCTGCATTCGACTTGCGCCTCGCTGGCGGCTCCGCGCACCCAGGCCGCCGCCGGGTGTCGAGGCATTCGCCACACTGCGCGCGAAGGCTGACTCGTACAGCTGGCTTTTGGCCTGCAACGAGAAGGCGAGCGCATCGTTGCGCGCCGCCATGCCGGGCACGGAGATCGGCACACCGCCGACAGTGGGCCGTGCGCCTGCGATGCCGTTCCCTTGAGCTTGCGCTGCCACCGCCTCGCCGACACGCTCCAAGAATGCCGAGGCAGACGAGTCAGGCGGCGCTCGCCATTCGGGGTTCTCCAGCGCGAAGCCATAGAGCGACCGCTCCATGCGCGCCTCCATCTCTGCCGGTGTGCAGGCGTCAGCGGACATGAGGCATGGCGATGCGCGGCGCCACGTACTGGCGTCCTTCGTGGCAGAGAGCCGCTCCTCCGGCACGTTCGCTGAGGCGCCGAAACGCTGATTGCTGTTGCGAGCGAAGACAGCAAAGCTGCAGACGTAGCCGGTGCCGTCGACGTGCACCGTGAACTGTCGGCAAAGCCCATGTCAGCTCGGAGCAGGTATCACATGCCGCTGGCGCACTCACCTGCCGGAAGAAGTCGATGATCTCGGGCGCGCTGTTCGGCAGGCTGCGCCAGAGCACCCATGGCGTGATGAGCACGCTGAAGAGCTCCTGTACGAAGATGTAGATCTTGAGGCGGTACAGCTCCGAGAACTGCGCATGCACGTCTGCGCTGTGGAAGCGGCCGCGCCACTCGTCGGGACAGTAGTGCGTGTGCTCGACGACGGTGCTCATGATGACCTCGGGCTCGAAGACGAGGCGGTCGTCGGGCACCATGCCGCGCGCCACGGCCAGAATGGCGCCGAAGACTCCGATGTAGAAGAGGGTCGTGCGCTGATGCGAGATGTCAAAGTGCACGAAGAGGTCCGGGTCGATGATTGAGGCCACGACGAGCACGGCCATAAAGGACCCGGCAATGAAGGACACGAAGCTGTGCCGAGCCGTCAGCTGAGCCACTGACAACGAGGGCGCACGCCACACTCACCGCGCGACAATCGCAGTGCGCTCCTTGGGGAACTGGTCGATGTACTTGTGCGCAAACGGATAGCTGGCGTGGCAGCGCCGCGTAAAGAGATGCGGCAGCTCGTTGAACTCGCGGAACTTCCAGCGCGCCAGGCGCGTGTACTGGCGCCCGCCGATCTGCTTGGGGTCCTGGTGGTACACCTCAAAGTAGCGGAAGAAGGAGTACACCAGCACGGCGATGACGATGAACGGCGCAAAGAGGGCGTTGAGCAGCGCCATGAAGATGAAGCGCCGCTTCAGGCTGTGGTGTGCGTCAGCGTGCGTCAGCATTGCGCGCAGAGGCTCGGCAACTCACCCCTCGACGAGCTGCGCGCGATACCGCTCGTCCATGAACTGCTTGCGCACCTGTCCCCGCCGGTCAAATACAAAGCCGAGCAGGCAGAAGCTGAGGTTCCACTCCATCGTGCGCGTGAGCACGGGCGCGCGGTTGCGCATGCCCGGCAGCGGCACCGAGAGGTCGAGCAGGTCCTTGTTGAAGAGCGCGATGAGGTAGTTGGAGCGCCGCATGATGCGGTTTGCCACGCTGTGCGCGTCCAGAAGCGAGCGCTCGTGTGCGCCTGCACCGGCAGAGGAGATGGCTGTCGGGTGCGTGTCGCGCAAGTTGCGCAGGCGTGTCACGATCTGCGACCAGGGAATCGAGGCAATGTCCGCCTGCGAGGCCGCATCGAGAGGTCAGCGGCCGGCAGATGGAGTGTGTTGTGAGGGGCCACTCACGTCGGGCACCTCGAGCAGCTCCTCGTAGAACGCATGCATCGCCCGTAGCCGGCTGATGCCCGCACCGAACTGCACGACCTGCCACGCGTAGAGCATGCCGAGCAGCAGAAGCAGCAGCAGCGAGGCGCCGGAAGAGCTGCGAGCGAGACATCGCGATGAGAGCCGAGCCTCAATTGATCAACTAGTATAGCTCACCGCGCGACGCAATGCGGAATGACCGTCTCGCTCAGATTGCCGTCGTGGCGGATGAGCGAGTAGTCGATGCAGCGCGAGAGAAAAGTGGTGAAGCCCATGACAAAGGCTATGGTGCTGCGCTCGAAGTCAGCAACGATGTGCGTGTTCATAGAAGAGCCCAGCTGCTGCGACTCACAGCAGATTGAGAAGCCGGCTAAGGCCGATGGCGTAGATGCCCTTGCCGGTGTAGTACGCATACACCTGAGGCACGCGCGTCAGCCCGAGTTGCATTCGCTGCGCCGAACAGCAGCAGCCTCAGGACGGCGAGACATGGCGACACAGAGATGCACTACTGTCTCCACCGGTGGCCGAGGTCCACTATCGGACGATGCAGCAACGAGGCGCCGACAGCTGAAGATTGAGCCGTCACCCTCACGCCACAGACTGAGCCATCACCCTCGCGCTGCAGACTGGCCATCACCCTCACGCTGCTGCCCAGATGCTCCGCACTGCACGCACTTCGCTGAGAAAGGCATCGAGGTCCTCGACGTTAGCCCAGTCCCAGAGCGCCTTCTCCTTGCGCTGCATGCCGCGCACCGCCGCGCCGCGCCCTGCGCGCCCCGTGCCAGGCCCAAAGGCATCCTCGCGCGCGCGCGAGTCGACGGCGGCGATGCTGCGGGCGCGGCGGCGGATGCGCTCGAGCACGGAGCGCGGGCGGTGCGAGCCGCTGCGCGAGGAGCGCAGCGGGAAGGCGGCGCCCGACTCGGCGTCGGAGAGGAGCGAGGCGGAGGAGGACGACGACGACGAGGAGAGCGAGCGGCGCGGCGGCGCGGGCCGTGCCGAGGCGGCGAGCGCGCTGCGGCTGTCCTGAGCTTCTAACAGAGCGCTGTCGCTGTACGGCGCGCCATTGACGCCAGGCGAGGGCACGTCGCGGAAGGGCGAGTGCGGCAGGGCGGCGAGGGCACTGCGCGAGGCGTGCGGCGAGGCGGCGCCCTCGTCTGCGGCGCCGGCATCGGAGTGGGAGAGCGGATCGGGCTGGAAGGGATTGATGGAGGCCATGGCGGGCGGCGCGAGCGCCTGCTGCCGCGCAGGGTGCGGTGAGGCGGGGGTGAGGTGGGGGTGGAGAGGCAGGGGCCAGCGAGCGTGGAGTGCCGCGCGTGGAGGCCGCCGCACGCGGCAGCGCAGCCACACGCTCCCAGCCGCGATCCCACGCTCTGCGCTTGGCGCGCATCTCGCCTTTGCTTCTGCTCCCCATCCTCCGCTCCTTCTCTGCCTCGCTTCACTCCTGCCGCGCGGGCCACACGCCGCCGACCATGGCCATCAAGGCCTTTCTCATCTTCAACAACAAGTCGCAGATCCGCCTCGTCAGCATCTACGCGCCGCTCGCTGCGCCCGTGCAGACGGCCCTCGTGCGCCGCATCCAGGCGCGCGTCTTCAGCAGCGGCACCGACGGCACCGCGGCGGCGTCGTCGTCATCGCGAAGGCAGACGGGCACGGAGCTGCCGGACGCAGAGGCAGACAGCAATTTCCTCGACGCCTCGGACCTGGCACAGGTCTTTGAGCCGCGCGCAGAGGAGGACGAGGAGGCACAGGGGCGCAAGGAGGTGCTTGAGGAGGAGCGCGACGGGAGCGGCGACGGCGACGGCTGGCTGCTCGTCTGGCGCAACTACGCCACGCTCTACTTCGTCTGCGTCGTCGACGGCAGCGAGAGCCCGCTGGGCATTCTCGACTTGATACAGGTGCGTGCTTGCCGGGTGTCTGGCGAGGCTGCGACGGAGAGCCGAGGCGAGACGAAGAAGCTGGGCTTGTGCGCAAGCAGCGCGGGCTATGCTTGTGCAGCGTCAAAAGGGCTGGACCGCTTCTGCCTAGCAGTCTGGGCGCAGACGGCATCGGGGCAGGTGCTGGCCACACACGCCTCCAGACCCGCAGCACAGACTTCGCACGCCGCTCCTGGCTGACCCGCTTCTGACGTGCGCTCCTCCCACCCTCACGCAGGTCTTCGTCGAGGCGCTGGACCAGTGCTTCGAGAACGTGTGCGAGCTGGACCTCATCTTCCACTTCGACGAGGTGAGTCTCTGCTCTCCGCCGCCCACCTCCGCGCATTCGCTGACCTCAGGGCACACTGCGCAGGTGCACGCGATCCTCTCCGAAGTGCTGCAAGGCGGGCTGGTGCTCGAGACGTCGCTGCCCGCCATCTGCGCCGCCGCGTCGGCGTCGGCAAAGGCGCGCAAGAAGTCGGCCGCGGCGGGCAGTGTGGCCGCCGCGCTGCCCGGGCTCGCCGACTGGGTGGCGCCGGCTGGCGCTGCCGCAGGCGCATGGGGCGAGGGCTGGCGTAGGGAACTGGGGCGCTTCACAGGGAGGTAGCAATGGCAAAGAAGGAACGTCACGCACACAGAAGCAGACTGAGTCGAGATCGCAACGCGAGGCTACTGCAGAGGATTTCCATTTCTCCCCGGCCCCCACCGCTCAGCCGGCCTCCTCGCCCTGCGGATACGGCGACCACCGCTTCGCCACTTGCACGTTATATGACTGTGTGGCGCGAGTCGTCAGTTCCGGCGCCTCTGAGCTGCGCTAGACACGGGGGCAACTCACCTTGCCTCGGATCGCCCAGCAGCCCCAGTTTGCCTTGACGGCCACTGTGCAGGAGCGGCGAGAGTGAGCACACACAGACCGACGCGGCTATGGGACCGCAGCCGCAGCACGCAGCCCAGCACTGCTTACCTCGCGGGTCGAAGTCGGCTGCGCAGGACGGCACGTCAGCGGGCCGGACAGATCGCACAGAGCAGAAGCAACTCACCGACGGCCCACTGTTGGCTGGCAAAGACGTTCTCGCCGGGCGTCACCAGCCACTCAAACTCGCCCATCACACCTTCGAGGCTCTCAAACGCCAGCACGTCGCGCTCGACGTCGGCGGGGCTGAAGCCCGTGACGACGAGGGGGCACTTTGTGCTCAGGATCTGCCCAATGGCCGTGGCCCACTCGGCCTGCGCCTGCACGACGGGCGCACTGACGATGCTCGTGAAGCCGGCGTCGGAGGGGATGGCGGGCGCCGGCTCGGCCGACGGCACCTCGCCGCCGGCGGGCGCCGGCGTGCCGGGCGCAGCCATGAAGGGCTCCTGCGCTGCCTTGGGCTCCGGCTCCTCGCCGCTGCGTGCGTTGTACGTCTCGCGCGCCGCCGCCATGCGCTTGGCGTCGGCGGAGTCCTCAGCGCGGGCGCGCTGAGCCTCCTGCGCCGCCAGCTGCGAGGGGAAGCCGAACCCGGGCGAGAAGGCAAAGAAGACGTCGGTGTAGGGGTCGAACGGCTCCATCTGCGCATGCACGGCCTCGTACGGCGCCTGGATCGTCGTGATCGTCACGCCCTCCGAGACAACAATGCTGGCGGCCGGCACGCCGTAGTTGGCCTTGCGCGTGCGCGAGCCGAGCGACGAGGGCGCAGCCGTCGGCAGCGTCACCTCGGGCCCGATCATGTAGATGTGAAAGGCGACGCCGGGAAAGTTGTAGCGCAGCTGGTCCCACACGGACGGCGGCAGCGTCGACTCTGCCCGTGCGCCGACGACGAAGAGGCGGATCACGTCGAGCGACGGCTTGTCGCCTATTCTCGGGTGCAGTGTCTGCCGCAATGCTGCACCGACCGCGTCAGCCGCTGCTCTATCTCCTGCCCGCCCTACTGCTGCTGCTGCGGCTCACCAAGCATGCTTCGCAAGCCTTCATGCGTCAGGCGCTGGCTCCGGCGTGTCAGGAACGAGTTCTCGTGCAGCACGCCGGCGACGGTGATGGGAAAAGTGAGCAGGCGCGAGACGTGGCGCCGCGAGCGCTCCGTCTCGATCGAGGCGTGGTTGCGCGTGTAGAAGTACACGTCCCACGACGAAAAGTTGAGCGACTCCTCGAAGCCCTGTGGGCCTGCGCACAGAGGTGTGAGTAGAGCGCAGCCGGGGCGGTGCCAAGGACAATGGCAGCCCATGCAGCTGCTCCCCTACACTGCGCTGTGCGCCTGCCGCGCTCGTCGCCGTGCGCCGCCCTTTCCAGCCGCTGCGCTGCACCACTCACCCGGCAGGCGGAACTCGCTCATCTCGCGCCCGCTGCGCAGGTCGTGCTCGTCCTCGTTGCTCTCGCGCAGGCGGCCCCAGTACTTTGCCTTTTCCGTGTCGGCCTCCCACTCGGCATGCCCGGCGTGCGTGGGCCAGCCGGCGACGGGGCAGTCGTAGGCGACGAGGCGGCGCTTGCCCTGTGTGAGCGAGTAGGGGCAGGGTGCGAGCGACTTGATGCGGCTGGCACGCTGCCGCAGCGCGGGGATGGGCGACGTGGAGAGCGGGTGGAAGAGGTCGTCCTGCGCCAGGAGCGGTGCGGGCTTGGGCGACGCCGCGGCCGGCTTGCGGAACCAGGAGAAGAGCGTGCGCCGGCTGCTCGGCGGCACGGCGACGGCCGAGCGGCACGCGCACGGCGCGCTGGGCAGCAGGCGCGACGAGGTGAGGAGCAGCATGGCCGGCTGCAGCGTGGCCGGGAGCGGGCGGGAGAGAGAGCGATGCTGGCGGAGAGAAGGAAGCCGCGCCGGCCCCGGCGTCGCCTTCGCGGTGGAGGCAGACCCGGCCACCGCTCGTCAGCAGGCGCGCGCACGTGACGCCCGCGCGGGGCACGTCACCTCGGCCTTGCCTCAGCTCGCCCTCCCGCCACGCTGCGCCCTCTCCACCACCACCGCACAACCGCCGCCATGTCCTTCCTCCGTGCTTCCTTCGTACGTCGCACGCCCTGCTCTGCCGCAACGCACACTTACCTGCTGCACAGCGCGGCCTGCCGCGCCCCACGCCCGCGTCGGCGCGGCATCTGCATGCCTCGGCCGTGCGCCTCGCCCTCTCGGCCGCCGAGCGCCAGCGCATCGACGACGCCGTGCACGGCGCGCCCGTCGTCGTCTTCATGAAGGGCACGCCTGAGCTGCCCATGTGCGGCTTCAGCCGCGCCGTCGTGCAGATCCTGCAGGTGCAGGGCGTGCGTCCCGAGGCGCTCAAGTGCGTGCAGTGCGGCCGTGGAGGCAAGAGGCGCCCAGTGCTAACGGGCGCGTGTGCAGGACGTACAACGTGCTCGAGGACTCGTCGCTGCGGGAGGGCATCAAGGAGTACTCAGCCTGGTGCGTAGCCCTCCTCGCGCCTCACCATTGCAATCTCTCACGCCCTGCCGCAGGCCCACGATCCCGCAGCTCTACGTCAAGGGCGACTTCCAGGGCGGCGCCGACCTTGCGCTCAGCCGTGCGTGGCCTCGGCGGTGCGGCCAGCGGCGCACCTCGCTGATGCCGGCTTCTACCTGCAGTGCACCAGTCTGGCGAGCTCGAGGAGATCCTCACCAAGGCCGGCGTCGTCGAGCCGGCGCCGCAAGCCAAGGCCTAAGCTGGAACGGGGGACGGTGGAGGGCATGCCTCAATGGCACACGTACTTGCCAGCTGGGCGTGTGGGTATGGCACGGCTCCGTCTGCAGGTGAGGATTGCTTGGCCAGGGTGCAGTGCTGAGCAAGAGGAGCTGGTAGGGTCACGTTGTGCGGGTGGTGCCGCTCGCTGCCACAGCACAGGCCCTTGGAGGCACCAGGAGGCAGCAGCAGCGAAGAGAGCAACGGCGCCGTCCCACCAGCTCCAAACGGTGGCGCTCGCTGGCGTGGCACAGATGAACGCAGAAGGATGGTATAGCAGGTGCTGCGCGCTGCCGAAGGCGCGGTGCTCATGGGACATGTGGCAAGGCAGGAGAAGGGAGTGTGGGTTGTGTGAAGGTGTGCTTGGGGCAACGAGAGTGGGGGAGGCCAGCATGGAGACACTTGCTGGAGTATCGCAGGTATCTTTCGAGGCGGCGGCGCAGGCGGACTGGCGGCTCGCATGAGGAGGCATGTTCCGGGATGGCGCATGGCAGCGCGCGGCGTCTACTTGTCGCTGCCCTTGTCCACCTTCTCTGCGCCGCCGCGGCCGCGCCAGATGCCGTCGTCGTCGACGCGCCCATAGAGACCGGTGGACTGGTTGCGACGCAGGCCCTCGTTCCACTCGCGCACCACCTGCTGCGAGTCGAGCATGACGTTGATCTCCTGCGAGTGGTACCAGCTGTGGAGCGTGGGTGCGTCAGAAGCGGAGGACGGCAAGCGAGGGGTACTGAAACGCACGATTGCGTGTCCTGGTTGCCGCTGCCGATGATGGCGACCTGGTCGTCGAACTGTGCATATTTGACGTGGCTGAGAGCAGGATCAGCATGCAGCGTGTGTGCGCCTGGACACGCGAGACACGCACCAGTTGCGCTGCTTGCGCACAGCGTTGAGCGGCCGCGTCATGTCCTTGCCAGTGTACCCTGCAAGCCAGGAGATGAGCAAAGGACGCAGCAGGAGAGCCGCGAGGCACTTACAGTACACCTCGAGGAACTTTTCGCTGCCCTTGCCCTCGCGGCGCAGCTGGCGGTAGAGGCGCGTGACGACCTGCTCGTTGGTGCCGCCCTGGAACGGCATGCTCTCGCTCTTGTCGTTGAAGCCGAGGCCGAGCCAGAGCTCGACGCGCACGCCGCGCCGGCACGCATGCAGCACGGCGTGCCGGATGGGCGTGGCGTTGAGCGTGGGGCTCTGCACAAAGACGTGCCGGCGCGCGTAGCGGAAGCCGGCCAGCCAGGCGGCGTCCTGCGCATTGCGGATGTCCGAGTGGCCGGGAGTGCCGTGCGGCCGACGGTTGACGAGCGCCATGGGCACGGGTGCGTGTGGCGCGTGGAAGATGAACGGGTTGAAGTCGAGGATGTCGGCCTTGGGCGCGGCGCCCGAGCTGGCCGAGGAAGACGCCTCGCCCTCGGCTGCCTTGGCCTGCGCGGCAATGGCAGCAGCGGCGGCGCTCGAGGCGCTCGTGCTGCTGCCGCCGCCCTCGCCCGCCTGCATCGCCGCCAGCTGCTCGGCCGTGATCTCGCCCTTGACCTGCGAGAGATTGGCAAAGTCGAGCGACTTGGTGATGGCGGCGAGGCGCTCCGAGGCCGAGGTGCGCGAGGCCATCGAGAGCGTGCGCGCATGCTTGCGGCGGTAGGCCGACGAGCCGGGCGCGCCCTGTTCTGCTGCCTCGCTGGCTGTGTCGTCCTCGATCGGCGTCTCGTCCGGCGCCACATCGCCGTTCACCTGCAGCAGCGGCGCGGCAGGCCGAGGCGCCGAGACCTCGCGCTCCAGCGCATAGGAGTCGAGCTGCAGGCGCGCAGGCTCCTGCTCGTCGTCCGCCACGCCCTCGCCCTTGTCCAGCTTCTCGCCGAGCTTCGTGCTGGCGAAGCTCGGACTCGCGTGTGCCTTCTCGTTGTCGTCGTCGCGCGCCGGCATGACAAACGTCTCGGCATCGCCCGTGCCCGGCTCCTCGCTGACGGCATGTGGCACGTCGATGCCGCGCGCGTTGGCATCCTTGGCCTGGCCACGCGCAGCGCGGCTCTTGCGCGCGTCTTCCGCCACGTTGCGCGAGGACGATGGACCAAGACCAAAGGCATCGAGAGCGCCCTCAGTCCACAGCGAGGGCTTGATGCCCTCCTTCTTCATCATAGCCTCCACCACCTCGGCAAAGCCGCGGCGCGGGCCGAGCGACGGCGAGGCGGGCGGCGAGTGGCCAGTAGGCGCAGCATTCGGCGCGCTGCCGCGGCGCTCGGACGCAATCGTCGGGCTGTGACCGCTGCTGCCGCCGAGATGCGGCAGGTTGAGGTGTGCAAAGCGCTCGCCGAGCACCTTTTGTGCCCACAGCTGGCCCGCACGCCGTGTTGCGCGGTCCTGCTCGGCCGTGCTGTGCTCCGTGGTGCCGTCGGGTGTTGGCAGCGACGGCATGCCGCCCGTCGGGACAGCAGGGGCCGAAGCAGGCCCGTCGGCATGTGCGCCAGCGGCGGGAATGCTGAGCGCCGGCGGCGGCTGGATCGCGCCCTCGCTGCGGCGGCTCATGGCGCCATCGACGAGCAAGGCAAAGCTGGAGCGGCGAGCCGACGAGGCCTCGGGCAAGCCCTCGCTCTCCTCATCCTCCTCCTGCAGGCGTGCGCGCGCCGCTTGCGCCATCTCCTGCAGCTTGGCGCCAGTGAGCACGGGCAGCCTCGAGGCGCCGCCGTCGCCGCCGTCGCTGAACGCCTCGGCGCTCGGCTCCTTTGGCGCCGGCGAGCCGAGGCACGGCAGCGGCGGGTTGAGGCGGTTGCCCCATGAGATCAGCGCGTGGTCGTAGACGGAGTTGACAATGTCGCCCTCGAGACGCGTGCAGCCCTCGATGTTGGGCCGGTCCTGGATGTTGTTGCTGTTCACCAGCGCCACCTGCCGGTCCACAAGCAGCAGCTTGGCGTGGAACGTGCCCATGAGCGGCCGGTGGTAGTTGCTGTCGCGCGTGTCAGCAGCAGGCTGAGATGCTGCATCGCGGCACTCACAGAATCTCGACGTGGATATTCGGCACGTCCTGCTCCTCTGGCAGGCCGTTGGTCTTCCACATGCCGGGCGGCACGGGCTTGCGCAGGCGGAAGAGATCGGCGAGCGTCTGCGGGCCGCGGTCCCACATGATCTTGACGATGATGCGCTCCTCGATGCTCGGCTTGCCCAGCTGGCGGCCCTCCTTGCGCGCCGCCTCGGCGAGCCGCTCGCCCTGCCGCCGGTCGAGCTCGCGCAGCGCATCGGCGATGCGGTCGACGTTCTTGCCGCCCTGCCAGTAGTTGGTCAGCAGCACCACCTCACGGCGCGCCGAGACGATGCAGTCGTAGTAGTGGCCGATGATGTCGGGCCCGGTGCTGAAGATGGAGAAGGGCACGATGCCCGTCGTGGCAAGCAGCGGCGGCGAGACAACGCCGGACATGGGGTTGCGCGGCAGCGGCAGCAGCGCGTCGGCGAGGATCTGCGGCAGCCAGGGTCAGCGGCAGGACCAGCGCTTGAGCCTCGGAAACTGCAGCACAGACGCATCGCAGCACGAGCAGCACACGCACCATCAGATACAGGCGGCTCGGCCCGCCCTCGCTCTCGGCCTTGTAGCCGAAGCGCTGGCGCACGCGCTCCAGCTCCTCGTCCTCGGGCTCTGTGTTGCCCGGGTGCACGGCGCCCTTGTGCCAGTTCCACCCCTTGCCGCGCCCCTCCTCGAGCTGCTCCTTGATGCGGAAGCGCAGGATGCCGCGCCGCCACGCCGCCGGCGAGGGAAAGAGGCGCTCGGCGGCGACGCTGGGCGGCAGCGTCGGGTCGGCGGCGAGGGCCGAGGTGATGGTGGCGTGTGCGGCCGACGTGCGGTTGCCCGACGCCCCCGACGCGGCACCGGCGTCGGCGCGCGTCGCCTTGGTGGCCTTGGACGTGAGCATCGCAGGGGCCCGGAGCGCTGGTGCGGGGTGTGGAGCCGGCCTGCCGCAGTGCGGCGCGCGAGCCTACGTGGAGGTGTGCGCGGGCCAGACGGGTGCGAGTCGCAGTGCGCCGCAGATGCTGGCAGTCGGCCGTGCTGCGAGGGTGCTGCGAAGATGTTGGAGGTGTGTGGGTGAGCGAGAGAGAGGGGCAGCGGCCGGCGGCGAGAAGCATCGAGCGGAGGGCAGCGAGCAGGGGAGCGCCGGCGGGTCGCGGCACGGCCGGCCGGCTGCTCTGCCTCTGGCGCGCACCCTCACCGCACCGCCGCATCAGGCCTCGCGCCGCTGAGGGGCGCGCCCGCTGCCGCGCGCACGCCCTCTCCGCCGCCGTGCCGTGCCGCTGCCGCTGCCGCTGCTCCGCGCGAGCTGCGCGTCATGGTGCCGCCACGCCCCGGGCGCACCGCTCCCGCCCGTTTCTCAGGTCGCCGAAGGGCGCTCGTCGCAGCGCAAGCTGCAGGAAGGTGTGGCTTGCCCAGCGAGGTCCTAGCGCGCACGCTGCCCCTTGCGCGTTTTGCAAGAGCACGCAGGAGGCGCAGACGAGGGCTCGCGGCAGCGTGCAAGGTCTGGCGTGGATGCTTGGCGCTCGGCTGGGCATCCTGCCATGCCACGTTCGCGCGCACCGGCGCGCCCGCGAGGGCCATCGGGCGTCGTCTAGCGTCTCCTGCGGCTGCAAAAGTCGCCGGCTCGGTGCACAGACCCGGCTTCGCGCGTCACTGGCGAAGACAGCCGCCAGCTGCGCCCGTACCAGTCGAGTCGATCAGAGAGTGCCGTCGCGCAGCGTCGTGAGGAGCTGCAAGAGCAGGCGAGCAAGCCGGCGGGAGCTGGGCGCGCACCGCCGCAGGAGCTTGCCAGCCATCTCCTCACTCGATCACGTGTGCAGATCCTAGCAGACACGCACCTGTACAAGACGCTGCCTCTCACATGTGAAGGAAGGTCTGACGGTCCAGAGGAATGCTCCTCGCCAGCGGCGCGAGAGGCCGCCGGCGGCGGGCGGTGCAGATCCGCGGAGCTGCGCGCGGCGCGGATGCGGGGAAGCGCACGGCAGCGGCGGCCGAGCCGAGCCGGAGCCGACGACGACGAGACGCACGGCCCGATGCTGGCGACGGCGCCCTTCATCCCGACCACCACGCCGTGCGCATACAAGAGCTCACGCCCTCGCAGCGAGCAGCACACGGCAAACGCAAGTCCCACCCACACGCCGCACACATCATGGCCCTCTCCGCCAACCCGCGCGACCTCGTCAACCTGCGCAAGCAGCTGGCATTCTAGTGCGTCTCTCACCCATCCGCACAGCCCGGCAGCCACCACTGACGCCTCCGCGCAGCGGCGCCTACCACACCAATCCCGTCAACGTCGGCATCCACATCGTCGGCGTGCCCACGATCATCTTTGGCGCGCAGGTCATGCTGGCGTCGCGCGGGCCGCTCGAGGTGCCCGCCTGGCTGGCGCCCGTGCTGGACAGCCTCCAGGCTCACGCTCCCGCGGCGCTGGCCAAGTACGCCCACTTCGACGCCGCAGCCGTCTTTGCGAGCGCGTACTGGGTGTACTACTTCCTGCTCGACAGTGTCGCGGCGGTGCGTCGCCCGCCCTCCTCCCGCTGCTCTTGCGCTGACGCCTGCGATGGCACAGACGGCCCTGCTGCCGCTCTGGGCCGGCCTGTACTTTGGCGCACAGTACCTGCTGGCCGAGCACGCCCACGTGGCTCTCAAGTACGGTCTCTACGCCTTTGCCGCCGGCTGGATCAGCCAGTTCTACGGACACGGCGTGCACGAGGGCCGCGCGCCGGCGGTGAGTGGCACGCGCGAGCGGGGCACGGCTGGAGGACGCAAAGATGTGGAGCGAGGCGTGCCGAGCAATCGGTGGGCAGGGCAGAGCTGGACGCTGCAGCAGAGCGGGCCAGGCAGCCCTTGGGACTACGCACGGATGCAGACACTGACGCTGCCTGGTCTGCGCTTCGCAGCTGCTCGACAACCTGCTCGGCGCCGTCGTCCTAGCGCCCTTCTTCGTCTGGTTGGAGGGTGAGTTCGCCTAGCTTTCCGCCCCCTTTATGCGCTCTCGCCATGGACACTCATGCGCTCTGTTCGTCCGCCAGTCATCTTCCACCTCGGCTACCGCCCCGAGCTGCAGAAGCACCTCAAGAATGACGTTGGCAAGCTCGTGCATGAGTTCCGCAAGGAGAAGGCCAGCAAGCAGCGCAGCGTGAAGGCGCAGTGATGTGTCCTCGCCTGCTCTCTGGCCTCACAGCTGCTTTATTTCCCAAGTCTGCACAGCCGCTGCCCTTTGCACCGCAGCGGCTTGTTCCACCGTCTGAGCCTTCTCCCTTGCTTCCCGCGCTCAGTCACCACACGCTACCTTACTTCCAGCTGCCAACGTATACCTTTGCCACGCCATGCGGAGCCGTCGCGACCATCAGTGGCCTAGCCTGACTGGCAGCAGCACGGGACACGGAGGCGTGACGCCTCGGCCCGACATCAGCACTGACAGGCTGGTGGCGTGGCAAAGCAGGCATAGCATAGCATCGAGTCTGGCCAGCAGCATCACACGTCGTCCACGCCTCACGAGTCGAAGGTGAAGACCGTCTTGAGACACTTGTGGCGGTCATCCTTCGCGTCAGCAACACTGCATGCGGCAGAAGGGCAGGCAGCACGACGCACCTTCTGCTTCTCGAACAGCTCGTAGTACTTGGGCGCCTCGTCGACAGAGACGGTGTTCTGCACGAACGACTCGAAGCTGATGCGCGTGTCAGCACGGCACAGGAGCGGCAGGGGATGCTGCTGCAGACTCAGACTCACAGCTGGGCATTCTGCACGAGCAGCTTGAGCGCCTCGGGGAAGAGGGCGCGCACGGGGCAGCGGCCGAACTGAAAGCGCAGGTTCTGGCGAGTAGAGCTGTTCAGCCTTCGTGCGTTGTCTGCAGCACCGAGCGAGTCTCACCTTGTTGTACAGGTCCAGGCCCTTCATGTTGACGTCGTGCGTGTGGATGCCGCAGCTCGACACGACGCCCCACGGCCGGACGATCTGCATGCCTAGGTGCAGCGCCGCCTCGACACCGACAACCTCAAGCGCCACGTCGGCGCCACGCCCGTCCGTGGCCTTCTTGAGCGCGCCAATCGTGTCGTCGTCGTGCAGGTGCAGCGCCGTGGCGCCGTGCTTGCGCGCCTGCTCCAGGCGCTCGGGCACAGAGTCGATGGCAAACACGTTCTTGAAGAAGTACTTGGCCGCCGTGACGGCACAGAGACCGACGGGGCCGCAGCCAATAACGACGGCCGTGGCGTCCTGCCCGGCGAGAGCCGTCAGACGGCTGCTTCGTGCAGCACACGGCGTCGCCACTCACCTTGCGCTCCGCCTCGTTGAGCATCTTCCACGCGTTCTGCGCCACGAAGAAGCCCGTCGGGAAGATCTGATGTCGCACTCGTCAGCCCCGGCTCCTCCCGTAAGGCACGGCCGCACACGCACGTCGGCCATGAGGATGAGCACCTCGGGCGAGATCTCCTTGGGCGCCGGGAAGAGCGTCGTGTCGGCGAGCGGCACGAGGGCATACTCGCTCTGCACGCCGTCGAGCGCCACGGAGCCGTACACGCGCGACTGCACGCAGCGTGACGTCTCCTCACGCGTGCTGCAAGCGACGGGTCTCAGCTGCGGCGGCGAGGGACAAGGGCCAAGATGGGTGAGACGCACCAGTAGAAGCAGTCGCCGCTGGTGGCCAAGAGAGGCGTCAGCAGAGGAAGCGCAGCAACGCGTCACGGTGAGACGCACCAGTTGACCGTGAAGGGCGAGACGACGAGGTCGCCCTGCTTGAACTTGCTCACGCCCTCGCCCACCTCGTGGATGGTGCCTGTCATCTCGTGGCCGAGCACGAAGTCATAGTGCGGCACAGGCTGGCTGCGAGAGAGGCGCGTGAGCCGCGGCGGGTAGAGTCTGTGTGGCAGAGCCACTCACTGGCCGCGGTCTGCAGACATTCACGAGAGCAGCAAGAGTGAGCCAGCATGCACCACAGCACAGACGCAGCACGCACAGATGTGCAGGTCGCTGCGGGTGCAGCAGCATCAGCACGCAGTCGCCTGCCAAGCGCCGCTGCGACGCACCTGCCACAGAGCGCAGCGGCCTTGACCTTGACGACGACCTCGCCCTTGCCTGCCTTGGGGATGGGCCGCTCCTCGACGACGACCTGCCGAGCGTGTCAGAGCGCGGCCGGCGTGGGGGCAGGCGCAGCGCTGCCTCACCTTGAAGGGCTCCTTGATGACGACGGCGCGCATGGTGAATGTGAGATGCTGCTGCGGGTGATGGTGGAGCGGAGCAGAGCAGCACGGCCGACGAGCGAGCGAGCTGATGGCGCACCGGCCGCCGGCCCCGCAGAGTGGAGCGAGATGTGTCGTGTGCGGTGCGGTGCGCGGCGGCAGAGCGGAAGAAGCATGATGAGGCAGCCGAGGCACGGCGCCTGTGTCCGCACCCCCGTCCGCCGGCCCGGCGCCAAAGCGCGCCCGGTCCGTGCGCCGTGCGGGGAAAGCACAAGGCCGCACCCGCAAAGGCAGCCGCCTCGACACTAGACTTCTTCCGCACTCCCATCCACAGGCGCAGCTGCTCGATCGCCTCGCTCAGTCTCGCTCACTTCAGTCAGCAGAGTAGCTCAGCAAGGTATAGGCAATGCGATGCAGGTGCACGACACAAGCAGGGTATGGCAGGGCACAGCAGACATGCAGAGGCAGCGCCACGGCAGATGGGCCAGCCATAGCGTGGAGCCAAGGGCGGAGAGAGACACAGAGGGCGAAAGCATCGGCACGCCCTCGCTAGACAAGCACCGGCGCCGCAGCCGGCTCGAGGGGCAGCAGCACGCCCTGCTCGTCGTACGCCACGTGCTGCACGCGGATCGTGCGCCGCTGCCCCGTCGGCGCCACGTCGGTGCCCTGGCCGGCCTCGGTGTGCCATGCGCCGTAGGCAAACGCCCAGCGGTCGTCGGGCGCGCGGAAGAAGGCGCCGCTGCCGGGCCCATACACGCTCTTGGCGCGGTCCGTCTGCAGCATCGCCTGCCGGTTCAACGTCCAGTTGCGCCGCACCAGCGGGTCGGCGGCGGCGTCGATGTAGATCGTGCGCGTCGAGTAGTCGGCGCTGCGGAAGTCGCCTGTGGCAAAGGCCAGGTTGAGTGTCTGGCCGCGCGTCTTCTTGTTGCGCAGCACAATCGTCGACGGCGCCTCGGTGTTGAAGAAGGAGAAGGGGCGCGCGTCGGCGTCGTCGAACGCCACGATGGCCACGGGCGCCGTCGCCAGCGCCGTGTAGTTGCGCATCTCGGCCAGCAGGATGCTCTGGTGGTCCGACCACGCCAAGTAGCGCTTGCCGTTGGGATGCCGGAAGATGTGGCTGTCGAAGCCCTTGACGGCCGTGCCGTTGTACTTGATCGTGCCCTGCTTGCGGTACGCGCCCGTTGCCGAGTCGCTCACCGCCGTGCGCAGCATGTCGTCCTTCGTCGAGCTGACCGAGTAGATGATCGTGCTGTCGTCCCAGCGCGCAATGTCCGGCGCCTGCGTGCCGATCGTCTTCTTCCACTGCGCCGCCACACGCGGCGGCGAGCGGTTCACCTCGTTCAGGTCTGTGTCCACGCGGATCAGCGCCGCCCGCTCAAAGTCGCTGTCGGCGTAGATGTAGACGGGCTTGCCGGCCTTGCGGTCGACGCGCAGAATTGACGGATCTTGCCCGAGCGACAGCGTGTTCTGGATGCCTGCCGGCACGCTGGCGGCCCGTCGGGCACGCGTGGCGTTATTGACCTGCACCGAGTCGCCGTCGGGCATGGTCCGCAGCTTCTGCGAGGCGTTGGGGCGTGCTGACTGCTTCTGCTGCGGAGCGACCTCGCCGGACGCTGCTGGGGTGGAGCCTTGCAGCAGCGGCACGAGGTGTGAGCCGAGCCGCTGGATCTCGGCGGTGAGGTCGGGCGAGCGCCGCACGCGAGCGAGGCGTGCGTGGCGCACGCGCAGAGCATCGTGGCCGAGGCTGCTGCTGCCGGGCAGCGAGGCTGCGTGGCCGATGGTGATATGGCTGGACGACGCGGCCTGCACTGGGCCAAGAGCCGCAGCCAGCAGGGCGAGACAGATTGTCGAGGCGAGCGTGGCGCGCATTGTGATGGCGGGCCGAGTCAGAGATACTGCTTTGAGGAGGAGCAGAGCGGGATCCGTGAGGTGAGTTGCGTGGGGGGGCCGCATCCTCGCAGTGCCCGTCTATATAGGACGGAACCAGTGCAGCGAGGGCGGAGACAGCGAGACGAGGTGCGCGCTGGTGCTGCCGCTCTGGGGCGGACAAAGAGAGCTCGCCTCGCCTTGGTTGCTGATGGAACAAGACATGCCTGACGCTGCTGCTGCGCCCTAGTCCACGCCGCCCGAGCTTCTGGCGGTCGGTCGCACAAGCGCATCGAGGCGCAAATCAGGCTGCCCCTCTGGAGGAGGACAAGAAGAGGTTTGGCGGAAGTTGTGGGCGCGAGGGCAGGCGCACCGCGCGGCGGACGCGCGGCGCGCTTGTCAGGGGTCTAGCCGCATGGTGGCTTTGCCGCGAGGCGTGCGGCCCGCAGCGCAGGCATACGAGCACAAGAGCCGCCGTCATCAGCATCCCGCACCTGCTTGCCCGACTGCCTTCGGCGTTGAAGCGACACCCAAACGTGCCCGATCGTCGCTCCGGCGCAGCAACCCTGCACCCTGCCTGCCGCCGGCTGACAGGCCGTCGCAAGCACACGCCGGAGGCAGTTTGCAAGCGCCGTGGGGTGCATGCTGCGACGCGCCTAAGCATGCGCCGCAGATCGCGCTAACTGTACGCCTCGACGGTGAGGTGACGCTGCCGTGAGCTCCACCACACGTGCTCCACTGCCGCTCTCTCGGAGGCCGACTCAGACTGTGCGAGGCTCAAGCGTCGTGCTCTGAGCTAGCCCTGCTGAGCTGGAAAGAAGTACCCGCCGTTGCATGGTAGCTCGGAGGTGCGCGACTTGCTCCTTCTGGCCAGAGCGCTGGCGCCTGGCTCCGAGGCGCCGGCTCGGCGCCTCACGCATAGCCGCAGCCCGTGGGTCAGGCCACTCGCACTTTGAGCAACTTGATTCGATTGGGCGTTTCCGGTCAGAGCACAGAGAGTATCATAAGCATATCGGGGCAAGCTGGCAGACGGAAGAGGAGAACAGAGAGGAGCCATGTACGAGAGGCGGAGATCGAGGCGGTCACGGCGACCCATCACTTGCCGTAGTCGCTCGTGCCCGTGTTGCCCGACGTGGAGCGCGGGCGCACCTTGAGCGGCGGCGCGGCGTCGGAGCGGCTGGAGACGGACGTGTTGCGCGAGACACCCGAGCGCGATGTCGTCGAGCTCATCATGCTGTTGCGGCTCGAAAGGCTGCCGCCGATCGACGAGCCCGAGGCGAGCGTGCCGGCCTCGGAGCCCGAGTAGAACGTGCCGCGCGAGCGGCTGCGCGTGATGCGCATCGTCTCGAGCGCCGCGTGGGCGCGGATGGTGCACATGCCCGACAGCAGGTAGGAGGCCTTGGGGTTGATGGCGCCCTTGCCCTTGGCCTCGAGCGGCTTGCCGGAGAGCACCTTCTTGATCTCCTTCTTGGCCTCCTCCTCGCGGCCCATGGCGCTGAGCAGGCGGCCGAGCTCGTAGTGCGCAAAGTAGCACAGGTAGCGGTCCGTCTCGTCGAGCTTCGACGCGTGCTCGAAGACCTTCTCGAACGACTGCTTGCAGTCCTGCGTGATCTCCTCGAGCGGGCCGATGCTGTCCTCGCTCGGCAGGCGCACGAGCGTGTGCGGCTCGGGGAAGGCGACGTTGCGCAGCGCCACGCCGCGCAGGAAGTACGCCAGGCACACGGCCGACCAGTACTCGTTCTCGCCCGAGCCGTAGGCGCGCGGGTCCGAGAAGCTCTCGAGCTCGTCGATCTCCGAGTCGATGCGGCTGAGCGTGTTCTCGACGAGGAGGAAGACGGGCGTCTGGCCGATGCAGTGCCACAGGTACGAGAACTCGATGCCCGCCAGCGGCAGGCGGTTGTTGTTCGCAATGTACTTGCGCGCCTTCATGGCGCAGAAGCGCTCGAAGGGAATCTGGCGGCCCGCAATCTTCTTGGTGAGCTTGCCGACGGTGCGCATGATCGTGGCGCTCTTGGCGCGGTCGTCCATGCCCGACTCGTACAGCATGACGGCCTTGGCGTACTGGTAGATGGCCTTGCTCCAGTTCGACTCGCGCGACAGCACGTCCTGGCACTCGAAGCAGCGCGCAAAGTCGCACGTCGCCAGGTACGTGAGCGAGAGGTCCCAGAAGCAGAGGTGGTGCAGCTGCTTGTACTCGCGCTGCGCCTCGATGGCGTTGCGGAAGTACTCGATGGCCTTCTCGGGCAGCGCCTGCGCGGCGTAGAGGCGCGCCGAGAAGTAGAGGAAGAAGATGCCGTTGGGGTAGCGCACCAGGTTCCAGCTGAGCACCTTGTCGGCAAACTCGAAGTCGACGTCCGTGACGGGAATGTACGAGCTGATGATGAGGTGGTAGAGCAGGATGCCAATGTCGCACAGCGGGCGGCGCACGCCCTCCTCGTCGGCCGAGATCGTGGGCAGCGGGCGCGACTTGGTCCAGCCGCCGGCGCGCGCGTAGAGGTCGAGCGCAAGGCGGCGGTCGCCGCTGAAGCCGAGGCCCTCCATCATCTTGAGCGCCTTGGCGGGCAGCATCGAGAGGATGAGCGAGCAGGTGGCGTTGCTCATGTACACGCCCGAGCGGAAGTCCTGGTCGATCGACGTCGCGGCGCGGCGGCCGTGGATCTGCGCCTCCTCGGCCTCGCCGTCGCAGTACTCGACGAACTTGAGCAGCTCGCGCATGAGCAGGTACGAGTTGCGCAGGCCGAGCGCGTTCTTGACAAACGCCAGGCCGTCGCCGGCGTAGAAGATGCCGAGCACGGCCTTGAGCAGCTGCGACTCGGCGAACACGAGCTCGGCGTGCTGCTGCACGAGCGTCATGTTCTTGTACATGTTGCCCTTGCCCGTGAGCTTGCCGAGCGGGCCGGCCTTCTTGCGCAGCAGGCTGGCAATGTTCATCGAGTGCTTGCAGCACATGATCGCCGTCTCGAGGTCCGCAGGCTCGAACGTCATGATGGCCTTGACCGTGTTGATCAGGCTCATGCCCACGGCCTTGTACAGGCGGTGGTCGGCGTCCTTCTGGCACAGCTCCTCGGCCTCCTTCATGCGCGAGTTGAGGAAGAGGTTCATCGCCTCGCGCACGATCGCCAGGTCCTCGCGGCAGTCGTTGTCGTCGATCTTGACAGCGCTCGACGAGAGGGACGAGCGCGGGATGTACGTGGGCGCGATGGCCGTCTCGGGCGTGATCGAGTCGTCGCTGAAGTCCGAGCCCTCGTCCTCCTGGTACTCGTCGTCCTCGTCCTCCTCCTCGTCATCGTCCTGCTGCTGGCCGCGGTGCTGCTGGCTGGCGTCGCCGGCCTCCTCCTGCTGCTGGCCGCGCCCGGTGATGTAGGCCGCGGCGCCGCCAGCTGCGCCGGTGACTGCGGCAGCAGCGCCGCCAATGGCGCCCAGAGCGGCGCCAGTGTAGCTCTGCTGCTGCGGCTCCTCGCCGCCGCCGTTCTGCGGGGCGCGGGTCTGCTGCTGCGCGGGCTCCTCGTCCTCGCTCTCGCTCTCCTGCTGCGGCTCCGGCTCCGGTTCCGGCTCCGGCTCTGGCGCAGGCTCGTCCTTCTTGGCGACCTTGTTCTTGAGCGACTTGAGGCCGCCCAGAGCACCGCCGCCGGCAGCGGCGCCACCAGCCGCGGCACCGCCCTTCTCGGCGTCAGACTTCTGCGTCGGCTTGCGCTTCGGCTTCTCGCCGCCGGCCTTGGCCGCGACGGACGACTCGCCCTCGCCGCCGTCGGCCTCGGTGCCGCAGAAGCCCAGGCGGCCGGCCACGGAGTCCTCGAGCGTGTCCTCGCCCTGCTCCTTGAGCCACTTCTTGAGCGCCGGGATGTTGTGGCGCTCGTTGACCGTCTGCTTCTTGACGCTGCCGTCCGCCTGCGGGTACTCCCAGGTGAAGCTGCAGTCGTCCTTGAGGATGCCGGTGCGCTGGTAGACGTTGACGGCACGCGTGTACTTGGACATCTGCAGCGCCTTGAGGCGCAGCTGCTTGGTCAGCACCCAGCGGCGGTGCGACAGGTCCTTGGCGCCGTCGTCGGTGTCGCTCTTCTCGAACCACTTGCGCGTCGTCTCCTCGAACTCCTTGGCGAGGTCGTCGTACTCCTTCTTCATGGCGTCGACCGTCTTGGTGTCCTTCATCAGGTCGTTCTCCTTCGGGTCGGGCTCCGTGTAGTCCCAGTCCCACTCCATGGTGCCGCCCATGCCCTTGCGCAGCTTCTCCGTCGTGGCGTAGTCCTTGAGGTCGGCCGCCTTGCTCGAGAACTTGATCTTGTCGCGCACGACGGGGTCAAGCATGGGCTGCAGCACCTGCCAGATGCCCTTGAAGATCCACGGCGCCGAGTGCACGTAGATGCGCTGCAGCGACTCGGGGTAGCTGGCGGAAACGTCAGTGCCGGCACGTCGCTGGTCATTGCGTGCAACTCACTAGGCCTCGAGACACTTGACGAGGAAGAGCACACACTGCCAGTCCATGTTCTTCAGGCCGAAGCCGCCCAGGTCGAAGATGACCACGGCCTTCTCGTACGGCGGCGTCGTGAGCTGGCGCGCGTTCTCCATGGCAAGCAGCACGAACTGCAGAGCATGGCGTGAGCTGGTTGATTAGGCTACGAGCGCGCACGCCACGCACCTGCTGGAGCACCTCGTGCTTCTGCGCGTTCGTGAAGTGGCGGGCGACGTGGCTATGTGGCGTTCTGTCAGCGTTGCTCCGGGCCACGCGCTGCTCGTGCTGCTCACATGAAGTACACCGGGTGCTCGCCTGGGTACTCGCTGTTACCCTTGATGTACGAGATACCGCGGCGGAACTGGTTCAGGAAGCCGGGCACACCCTCGAGGCCCTGCTCGCCCTTCTGGATGATGCCCTCGACGTCCTTCTCGAAGCGGAACTTGAGCGCGGCAGCCAGCATGGCAAGCGCGCGGTCGACGTCCCACTGTAGAGGTTGTGCGTCAGCTCACAGCTCCGGACAAGCGCTTCTTCGAGCTGCGCACCTTGCGGGCGCGCAGGAAGCGCAGCATGCCGGCGTCCGGGCCATCGTGCTTGATGAACTCCCAGAGCGCGCGGCGGAGGTACGGGCCACCGTAGGCTGCGGGTGCGCATGTGAGCAGTGCTCGCAGCCTCTTTGCGCGCAGCTCTGCTCACTGTCAATGAACTGGTTCATTTCCTGTGCGTCAAGAGAGGACGTCAGAATCGGCTGCTCCTCGTTCTCCATCCTCTGGCTCGTCGCTGCGCCAGCTCAGCGCATTCGGGCAGCTCACCTTCATCTCCTCCTGCTTCTTGGCCTCCTCCTTGGCCTTGTCATCCTTCGGGATGTCCTTGCCGGCCTGCTTCTCGTCCTTCGGCGGCGGCGCAGAGTCCTTGTCGGATACGGAGTTCGGGCCGCCCTTCTTGTCGAGCTCGGCGGAGCGTTCCTGCAAAGGCAGCTCGTCAGCCGCATGCTCGCAGCGCGCGAGGCACACACTGCCAGACTCACCGGGTTCTTCTCGTAGAGCTCGAAGAAGCGCCGCCAGATCTCGCGCAGGGCCTTCTGCTGGTCGGGCTCGAGGTTGCCTGGTGGAGGTGTCAGCGCGGGAGCCCCAGTGGATCTGCTGCAGAAGCGGCTGTCCTTGTACAAGCTGCTCGCGCGCTAGTGCTGGCCAGCAGGCACAGCACAGCCGCGCAGACATGCCCCGCACAGGCCCACCGCTCGTCTGCGCGCGACTCACCGACGTAGCCGGGCAGAACGTCCTCGCCGTCCAGATTCTTCTTGGTCGACATGGCTGCGGGTCACGCGCGCGGGTGGGCTACAGAGGAGCGCTCAGGCGCGGCAGATGCGCGTGGAGAAGATGTAGGAGGATGCGAAGCCGGGGGTATGCGGGAGCAGGCAGTAAGTAGGGGCAGAGAAGGTAGAGTAGGGCGGGTATGGGGTCGACTCGGAGCGGCGCAGCAGATGGGCAGGCGCAGGACTCGCGAGGGTATGGGTGGTGGTGGTGGTGGTGGTGTGAGAGGCAGGTGTGAGAGAGGCAAGTGTGACAGAGATGAGGGCAGACAGGTGTCCAATTGCGGGGGCCCGGCCGGGGCGCCGGCTTCTGGCTGGTCTGCTGCGGCTGCGGCTGCCTTGCGGTGCGGCGGGCGGAGCGGGATGTTGCCGTGCTGCTCGTGCGCCGTGCGCGGCGCGAGCTGGCCAGCCGAGACTCGCGGCGTGCCTGAAGTGCCCTCCCGCACGAAGAAGCATCTCGAGCAGCACTTCCGCACGACCGGCTGCCGCTTTCTGCTCTCAGGCCCCTCTTCGAATGCTGCAGCTGGCAAAGGGCGACAGCAGAGCATGCAGCGACGTCTGCTCCTCGACCGCAGCCGTGCCAAACCGCAGCTGCGCAGTGCAAAAGCGCGGCCGTGCGGCGAGAGCGACGCAGGACACGACGACGGCCGCGAGTGTGGAGTGCTGCCCGCACGGCCGGGGTACCGCGAGAGCGGCACGGCGCAGGCAGCGGCACCGCACCTCTCGCGGCGGCGAGACTCGGCGGCTGCACGCCTGTCACTCCGCCGGCGCTAAGAGGCCTGCTCCACACCCGGCTCCCGCAGCGAGAGCGGCACCGCAGCCGCGAGAAAATGCGCTTTGCTCGCCTCTGACGTCTGCGAACGCCTGTCTCAGAGACGGCTCAGGCACCCCACCAGCGCAAGCAGCGCCCCCGCCAGCCCAGATGCGCTCACGCCCGCTCCGCCCGCTGCTCCGCGCTCTATTCGCGCGATCCTGCGTCTGCCGTGAAAGCGACGCGCCGTCATCGGCTGCGGTCCAGGCGCACGGGTGCGGGGAAGCGAGCTCGAGAGGCCGACGTCGCCCGAGCTCGACCACAGTTGCAGCGGCAGCCGCACCCCGACAGCCGCAGAGTTCGGGTGCGCTGAGATGCAGCACAAAGCCGACACGGGCGCTCCTCTCTCTCGCGCGCGATGGCTCCACTCGGCTGGGCGGGGTCGCGCCGGCGCATGAAGCGGGCGTCAAGCGAGCCAACGAGCCGCCCGGCCAGGCGCTCGGCGCATGGTGCACGCCTGCGACTGAGACCGCGCTGCCGCGTCGCAGCGCTGCGCCCCACGCCTTGTCTCGCAGCCGGTGGTGCCTGACGAGCGACGGGCAGCATTGCGGCACCGCCGGCGGCGCCAGAAGAGCGCGCGATGGCCTCGATCGGGTGGGTGGGAACGGGCCGTGCTCATGCCGGCCGCACGGCAGCGCGCTCCGGCATCGACTGATGGCTCCGGCTGGTCATCCTGGGCACCCAGGTCGCTGTGCGGGGAACAGTGAATAGAATGAGTTGCGCCAGGCCGCTGCAGGCAAAGGAGGATGGGCTGATGAGCGCCGCACGCTCCTCCCGCCTAGCGCTGCGAGCACAGTCCCGGCTTTGCAGCACGGGCAGCAAGGACCCCAGGGCGACACCTGCAGGCGTGTCTGTGTGCTCGTCACTCGATCACACAGCGAGCGAGCTGTGTGGCTTTCTTTGCCTCGTCACAGCAGCTCCCGATCCGCGGCAAGGACAGCACATCGGGCAATGGTCGATTGCTACTGTCCCATCTGCGCCTTGAGCGCCAGCACGCCCTGTCGTTGGCTCTCGGGCAGCGCATTGATCTGCTCGGGCGTGAGCTGCAGCACCTGCATCAAGAGTGCCTGTAGTACGATGTGTCAGCGAGCGCCGCGAAGCTGTCGTCGCAGGCCGACGCACTCGTTGGTCCTCCGGCAGGTTGGCCTGTCCCAGCGCCGGCGCAGGCGCTGCGGCCGGCGGCGGCGGCGGCGGCGGGCCGGGTGCTTGGCCGTGCATGGGAGCGCCGTAGCCTTGCGGCGGCCCACCGTAGCCCTGCGGCGGGCCGCCGCTGTACTGCGGTGCCTGCTGTGGTGGCATCGGCATGGGCGGCTGCTGTTGCGGCGGCGGTGCCGGTGCGGAGCCTGCGCCGGCCTGTGCGCCAATGATGCGCTGAAGGATGGCCGGGTCGACGACGTTCATCATCAACATTGCCTGAGGATTCGAGCGGTGAGCCGATGCTTGACAAGGTCTGCGCTGGCTGCCACGCACCTGGAACAGAGCATACGCGACCTGTGGGTTGCCCGTGAGGAGAGCACGGGCCTGGTCGGGAGAGTTCGTCACGAGGGCCTGGCGAGGGCGTCAGCACACGTCGCATCACCCTCGGGCCGCCGACTCTCACCTTCATCTGCGCCATCACGTCCAGCAGCTTGCCCGGCGGCAGACTGGCCAGCGTCTGCGAGATCGCATCAGTCGGGTCGGCGCCCGGTGGCAGGTTCTGGCCCGGCGGCAGGTTCGGCGGCAGCTGTGCTAGCGGCGCCCCTGGTCCGCCTGGTCCCCCGCGGTTGCCCCATCCGCCATCGGTCGCTCCCGGCGGCGCGCCTCCGAAGCCGCCCCGTGCGCCGGGCCCAAATGCTCGCGGCCCGCGAGCACCTCGTGGCGGCAGCGCCTCGTCCATCTGGCCCATCTGTGTGGTCCGCCCCTCGAACAGCGGGTCCTCCTCCGCGCGGTCGATGCGCAGACACCGCCCGCCGACGTCGACGTCGTTCAGGTTGCGCACAGCCGACGCCGCCGTCTCGGCATCCTCAAATTCGCAGAAGCCGTATCCCTTGGCCTTGCCTGTATTCCGGTCGAAGACCAGCCTGCCGGGCCGCGAGGTCAGTCGCGCTCGAGCTAGAGATGCGTCGGCACGAGACAGCACAGCCAACAGCCGGGAGACAGCGCCAGGAGCCCAGTTCGCACCCTCCTGCGAGCGCACAAGATCTTGTCTGATCCCAGCCATGGCGCGCTCTTGCCGTCCTCCATCGTCCGGGCAGCGGCACTCACCGGAAGCCGACGACCTTGCCCACCTCGGCGAACACGGCGATGAGCTGCTCCTCGCTCATGTCATAGGGGATGTTGCCCACTGCCGCACAGGTCAGCCGCAGTCTCAGCGCAGCGACCGAAGCGCAGACGAACCAAAGACGACGCGCGAGCCGCGCGTAGCCACGCCCGACATGCTGGATGAGGCACAGGGGAGCAGCGGGCGATGTGGAGCCTCTGCAGCGCACCCGTCACACGGAGAGACGCCGGCTACGCAGGGGCAGAGCAAGTGCACACGTCACGCAGCGGAGTGCACACGCGTGAGGCAGCCGTCTGTGGCAATGCTGCGGAGCGCGGAGAGGTTGATGAGGAAGGAAGGAAGGGAGCTTGGTAACAGCGAACGGCCTTGCATCAGTCGCGAGTCGATGTGGCGCACGTGACGCGGCCGTGCGCCAGCCTACACACCGTGGGAGCACTCGCGCGCTCCGGCTGCGAGGCCGCACCGGGCCGAGTGCGGGGTGAATGGAGCATCGGACGCTTGCTTCGCGACCTCCACCACCTCCGTCTCCACCGCTGCAGCCACAGGCGGCGGCACACAGCACACACCATGTCCGACGCCACATTCACCTCGCTGCTCTCGCTGCTCTCTTCGCCGCATCCCTCGGCCATCTCGCACCTCTCGCTGCTGCCCCCGCAGACGCTGCACACATCGCTCGTCTACTATCTCGGCCAGAAGAGCACGCGCTCCCTCCTGCTGCAGGCGCTCCTCTCGTCGACGTCGCTGGCGGCACTGCCCTCGCTTTCGCCGCTGCTCTTCTCCGCCGCCAAAACGGCGCAGATCACCAGCCTGCCCAGCACCGAGCCGTCGCTCGTCTCCCTCTCGCTCCTCTCCGGTGCGCTGGCAGCGGCAGACACGCGCCGCAGCACGCGCCGCGTCGCGCCGGCGTGGGGCACGCACATCGACGCGCTCGTCGAGCAGCAACTCGGCCAGGAGGAGAAGGACGCCGTAGCGCAGCTGCTCGCGAGCCTGGCGCCGCAGCTGCAGGAGGATGTCCTCACGCCCAGAAGCGCCGCCCTCACTGCGCTCATGGAGGACGTGATCACGCGCGCCCTGCCAGAGGTGCTTATTCCGAAGGGAGAGCAAGTGAGTCGCAAGTAGTGCTCAGCACGGCGGTCAAAGCGGCGGTGTCTGTCTGGCGCACGCTCAGGAACTGCTCGCTGATCCTGTCGCGCTTTACAGGATCTCCTAAAACACCTCTCTGCTTACCGCTCCGAGGCGCCCTTCATTCATCTCGGACCCATCTCGAATCTTCTCTCCACAATCTACGCAGCTCAGGCGCGCTCTCTGTCGCCCGACGAGACCTACGCACACGTCTCTCCACTGCTGTCCCTGTTCCTGGAGCGCGCCGAGGCCTGGAGTCGCGAGTGGGAGGATCAGACCCGTGAGTCAGATGACACATGCAGCGTTGCGCGGTTCTGAAGCGTCCGTTCCAGTGGACGAGGCTAGCCGGACGGAGGTGTTCGTCTACTTCAAGTCTCTGCTCTTCTCCGCTCTGTTGGTTCACGACTCGCTCCTCGACGGCCTGCTCGACGCGATCCCGGCGCAGCCTTTGGTCCTGCCGCTCTCTGCCGCCACGCCCGCCTTGACGCCGCAGCCCGACTATCCGCCAGGCTTGATGACCTCGAACCTGCCGGTGCCCTACCTGCAGCTGAGCCAGACCGTACTGCGCACGCACGCTGCGTTGAGCTGGCTCGAGGTCTCAACGCAGGCGCTGGACCGCGTGCTCTTCGCCGCGTTGGACCTAGTAGCGCGAGACGGCATCGCGGCGCTGGAGCTCACAGACATGCTCTGGCCTGGGCACCTCGCAGCGCCGACAGCGACCGCAGCGGGCAAGGAGCGCGAGTCGAGCAGCAAGGAGAAGGACCAGGAGAAGCGCCGTCTTGCACGTCTCACGTTCTACTTCGACGCTGTAGAGCAGCTGCTGCCTAGCCTGCCGCCGACGACTCAGCGCCAGCTGCTGGGACAGGCTGAACCGTGAGTGTGGCGCGCCGCTCGCGTCATCCGGCGCTCAGGCTCACGCTGCACTGCCAGCTATCTACACACGCCGGACTGGAAGCAGACGTACGAGGCAGCGCACTCGGTCTTCCTCGCCACCTTTGCGTCTCAGTCTCAGCTCTGCGCGGAAGTGGCGCCGTACTACGCCGGCGTGCTGCTGAATGTGCGTCACACTTGCCGTGGCGTCGCTCCATTTCTGACCTCGCTGAGCCCATCCCAGGCTTTCGATGCGCACATTTCCGAGGAGCAGTTCGAGCTGGGCTACGTCACGCTAGTGGAAGCGGCGAGCGCCACGTCAGACGCGCTCGCGCTCCTGCTCTGCGACGACCTGCGCAGCGCGATCGAGCAGGAGGAAGAAGCAGCGTCGGGCAAGAGCACAGGCGACGCATTGACCGCTGCCGACGACAACCAGGCCCTCTCGGAGCCCGCGATGCACGTCACGCCTCGACTGCAGGCGCTGCGCAGCACCCACATTGCGCTGCTGCCAGCGCTGCACCTCGTGCTGCTGCACACGCACCTCGCCCACATCCGCGCACACATCCTCGACTCGCCGCCGACCAAGGAGCTGCGCGAGGCGCTGGCGGAGAAGACGTTCGAGGCGCTCGGCAAGCTCGACGCCGCGACGCGCGACGCCGGCGCCATGTGGTGGACACGCGAGCGGGAAGCGTTCGGAGTCTGACCTCAATGCTCACGCCTTTTGTCACCGCGCGATCAAGTGTGACATTCTCTGCGCGGCTAGACCCACTTGTGCCTTGATGCATCCTCTCCGCGCTCCGCCGTCTCGGCGTCTGTGACGGCGTCGCGCATGGCCGACGCGACCGCCTCGACGCCCAGGCGGTGCTTGGCGCTGACGGCGTAGATCTTGAGCGGCCGGCCGTCGTGCAGTCTGCGGGCCTCTTCTCCCAGGCGCCGCAGCTTCTCTTGCGCTGCCTCTCTCGACGAGCGCGTCGCCTGCGTCGGCGAGTCGATGTTGGGGATCGGCGGGCCAAGCACGTCGCACTTGTTGGCCACGACGGCGACGCAGCGCTCACTGAGGCCTGGTGCGTAGGCCTCCAGCTCCTCTCGCAGCGTCGCGATGTGCTCCCATGGCGCCGGCTGTGCCTCGGAGACATCCACCACGTAGAGCAGTGCACGACAGCGCTCTGCGTGGCGCAGGAAGAGATGGCCTAGCCCGCGGTTCGCAGAGGCTCCGGCAATGAGGCCAGGCAGGTCTGCCAGCGTCAGACGCGCCACTTCCTCCTCCGTCGTGCTCTCCCGCGCCTGTATCTGTGCAGCTTGCGCCTCGCTCGATTCGAGAATGTCGCCTTGGCCCGCGCCAATCAGCTGGCCCTTGTCGCCGAGGCGCAGCACGCCCACGTTGGGCGAGAGCGTCGTGAACTCGTAGGCGCCCACTTTGGCCGTCGCGACGCCGGCGCGGCCTGCGCTGGTGAGCGCGCGCAGCAACGTCGACTTGCCGGCGTTGGGCAGGCCGACGAGGCCCACGTCGGCAGGACTCTTGAGCTCCAGCTCGACGTGCACACGCTCGCCCCATGCGCCGCGCGTGGCGAGCTTGGGCGAGCGCGAGATGGCGCCGGTGCTGAGGAAGAACGGGTTGCCGAAGCCGCCACTGCCGCCTCGCGCGAGCAAGACGCCAGGCGAGTCGGCTGGCGTGGCGCGGACCAGATCGATGATGCGCATGGGCGTCTGCAGATCCGCATCTTCTGCCTCTTGTCGCAGCAGGCGCTTCTGCTCCTCGCCGGAGTAGCGGCGCCACTCGACGCGCTCGCGCTCCTCCTGCTCGCCTCGCTCGCGCCACAGCGCCGCGGCCAGACGCTCCTCGGCAGCGGCAAACTCACGGCGCTGCAGCGCAATGTCGGCGTCGGCCTCCTCGATGACGCCCTGCGCCGTCATGGCGCCCGTAGCCCCGCCACCGCCGCTGCCGCCGGGATAATGGCGCCACATGGCGTCGCGTTGGGAGCGCTCGAGCGCATGTGCAGCTATCTCTGCTTGCCGCGTCTCCTCGTCGAGATCCGCTTCTTCGTCTTCCTGCTCCTCCTCATCCTCCTCATTGGCACGCTCCGGCTCCAGCTTCAGCCGCGGCGATCGTGGCCGCCCGCGCATGCCCTTGCGTCTGTAGCGATGCATGAGGTCCTCGTCGTACTGCGCGCGCAGCACGCGCTGCTCGTCCATCTCATCGTCCTCGTCAGGCTCAATCTTGCGCACGCGCAGCAGCGTACCGACCGGCACGCTGAGCGTCACGTCCTTGCCCGGCGCACCGACGTGCCACTCGCCGCGGCCGTGCCCGCCCATGCCGGCCTCGGCGCGCCCAGGGACGCGCGCCAGGCTGCGCATGTCCGAGACGGCACGGATGTACACGTCGCCGCCACGGCCGCCGCCGCCGCCCGACGGCGGGCCGTAGGGCACGTACTTTGCGCGCGAGAAGGCGACGCAGCCGTCGCCGCCGCGGCCGGCGGTGATGGCGAGGGAGAGCGAGTCGACGAAGGAGGCCGACTGCGGCAGAGCGGGTCAGGATGTGCGCAGCGCTGTGGCGCGGCCTGCTGCGCTCACACTGCTTGAGCGCTTCCACGCCGCCTTGCGGGCGGCCTTGTCGCTGACGTCGGCCTCGGGCGCTGCGCGCTGTGCGGCCGTCGAGGCAAAGCAGCGCGAGCGCTGAAGGCGTGGCAGCACGGCGGTGCGCAGAGGGCTGGCGAGACGTGGCTGCGTGGCCCAGGCGGGCAGCGAGCGTGCGGCGCCGGCGAGCACGTCGATGCTGCAGCGGCGCGTGGCGACGCAGAGGCGACACGCCATGGCCGGAGAGGGATGCGAGGAGGATGATGTGGAGCAGAGACAGGGTGCAAGACGCGAAGAACGCGAGGCGGGCGTCTGTGCCGCGGGCCAACTGCTGCGCCATGGCACGGCCGTGCTGCGAGATGCACACGCCGCCGCCTGCTTCCCGCACCCATCCCCCTCGACGCCGCCGCGGCCGTGCAGCATGGCCTCGCCCACTCTCCTCGCCATCCTCGCCGTGGCCGCAGGGCCGCGGCTGCTGCTGCAGGCGCACGTGCCGCTCCTCTCGCAGCGCCCCGAGCTCAGCACGCCGCCGACGTCGCGCCTGGCACTGCTTGAGGCGCTGCACCGCCACGCCCTCCACGCCGCCGGCCAGGCGCCGCCGCTGTACGCCGCCGACACGCCCGTGCCGCCGCTGGCCCTCGAGCTGCTGCGCGGCGCTGTGGCGTCGCCAGCGACGGCTGCGCTGGCATGGACGGCGCTCGACCTGCTCGCGGCGCTGGCGCTGGCGCAGTGTGCGCGCGCCATGGGCCGCCGCGGCGAGCTCGTCGCTGCACTGTGAGTGGCACACTGGCGGGCGTGGCGGGCGTGCGGTGTGTTGGAGGGCCGCATCCTGCTCTGTGGTGATTGGCCTTGGGCGCTTGGCCCACACAGGGCGAGGCGTGCTGGAGACATGGTCAGCTCGCTCTCGCCGCGTAGCTCTGCCGAGCCCGCACCCTGCGTCAGCGTCTCGCCATCGCTGCTGCGCTTGCTCCTGTCGCTTGCCACGCTGGTCGCTGTCTGACACCTGGCCCTTGCCCTCAGCTACCTCTTCTCGCCATATACCATCCTCTCCAGCCTGGCACAGTCAATGACGCCGCTCTCGAACCTCTTCGTCGTTCTCTCGCTGCTCGGAGCTCTGCGCGGTGCGTCGCCGCAGATCTCTGGCCTGGGACCCCTTGGCAGCAGACTGACAGCTGCTCCCGGCGGCAGGCTCGCGCATCCTGCTTCTCCCTTCTCTCGCAGCTGCGTCGCTTCTCTCGCTCTATCCGATCCTGCTCGCGCCGCCACTGCTCTTACTCTGCGCGCAGCGCGCAGACGGCAGTGTCGCCGTGCAGGAGCTGTACCAGCGCGTGCCAGTCGCGCACATGCTGCTGAGCCTCGTGCTGCTGTGCGGCTGTCTGGCAGGTCTGCTCTACACGCACTCCCTGCGCTTTGGCAGCTGGGAGTTCGTCGAGCGCGCATATGGCACATTGTGCGTGACCTGCAGCGATGCCTGCGGCTGCCAGCGAGCTGACTTAGGCCTCCCACAGAGTGCTGCTGCCGGACCTGACGCCCAACATCGGCCTCTGGTGGTACTTTTTCATCGAGATCTTCGACCACTTCCGCAACTTCTTCCTGCTCGCCTTCAACGTGCACGCCGCGTCGTACAGCGTGCCGTTCACGATCAAGTATGCGTGAGTCGCCGCAGCCGGAGCCTCAGCACTCGGCCACGTCTCGCTGACCCTCTGCCCGCAGCAACGATCCCGTGTTTGCCATTACGGCGCTCAGCGGCATCATCGCCACGTGCAAGTCGTATCCGAGCATGGCCGACACGGCGCTCTTCCTCGGCCTGCTGGGCCTGCATCTCGACTTGATACCATGTGCGTCTGCCTCCCGCATCGCCTCTCTGAGCTTCTCACTCACCGTCCTCGCTCGGCTAGATCTGCGCTACCCGCTCGTCTCGGCGCTGCTCTTCCTGCACGCCTCGCTGCTGCTGCCCATCTTCCACCACCTCTGGCTCACGGCGGGCCGCGGCAACGCAAACTTCTTCTACGCCATCACGCTCGTCTGGGCGCTGGCCAGCGGCGCGCTGCTGCTCGACGCCATGTGGGCGTGGGGCCATCGCCGCTGGGAGCTCGAGCGGCCGGTGGGCGAGGAGCCGCCGCAAGAGGGCAAGACACGGACACGCACCGTCAAGCAAGTGTAATAATGCGAATGTGCTGCGAACGGAAGGAGAAGGTGCTGCGTGCGTCGCGCGTGGACGCAGCGCTCCCTGTGTGTGGATATGTACAATGTCGCTCGTGCGGCGTCGACGTGATGCGGCAACCGCTGCGTCTGCCCCCCTCCTACCCTCTCTCTCTCGCCATCCCTCAGAGGATGGTGCATTTCCGCCCGCCCTTGCCGCGCTTCCACCGTTTCCGCATGGCCTCCTTGAGCGCCGCATCAAACACATCCTGCACGCCGCGCTTCGTCTTGGCACTGCACTCGACGTACTTTGCCGCGCCAATCGCCCGCGCCACGGCCTCGCCGGCTGCGGAGGTGACGGGCGACGTGCCCTGGGCCGCCAGCATGGAGAGCGCGTGTGGGTCCGACCGAAGGTCGGTCTTGAGCCCGACGAGCAGGATCGGCACGCCCTCGCAGAAGTGGTTGATCTCCGGATACCACTGAGAGAGGTCGTCAGCCAGGAGCCAGAGGATGAGAGGCAGCGATTGGACACTTGCAATGCCTCCGTCGACTCCGAGGCCACCTAAGAGGCGATCACAGCGCCTCAGTCTTCCTGTCTACACATCCCTTTCGCCCTCCTCTGGCTCTCGCCGCACTGCCGACGCTGTCTAGCCCGCTCGCCTCCACTCGGCCGCTGCGCCCTGCACGCACCTTGTCCTGCACGTTGGCCAGACTTGTGGGGTAGTCGACGGCGAAGCAGATGAGAATGACGTCGCTCTCGGGATACGAGAGTGGCCGCAACCTAAAGGAGGACGCGCGGCGTGTCAGTACTTGACCTCGTAGGCCAGTCCTCGAGCCGCAGCGGCGGCCAGGCTGAGCAGGGCAGGCAAAGAGGTCATGCCAAGAGTGCCGCGCTCGCAGCCCTCGAGCAAGCAAGTGTCCCTGCTCCGCGCCTCTGACAGCGCTCCAGCATGCGTCCACTCTGCAGTCCGAGCCCACCCGAGACGCCTAGCCTTCGCCGCCGCAGCTGCAGCCCCGCTCTCCTGCGCCCTCGCTGCACCGCCTCCACCCCTTCGCTGCCCGCCTCTTCTGCTGCCCAGCTCGCCTTACGCACCGGTCGTACTCCTCCTGTCCCGCCGTGTCCCACAGTGCCAGCTCGACGACCTTGCCCTCGAAGCGCACGATGGGCACGTAGTTCTCAAACACTGCCGGCGCGAGTGAGCACACGGGGTGTGAGAGGGACATGGGCGCCGCTGTGCGACTCACCGGTGGGGATGTATGCTTCTGGGAAGCGGTTCTCCGACTGAGGCCGGCGTCAGCACGGCGGCAGCTGCAACACGGCATATGCACGGGCAAGTGTGCCTCTGTCAAGGCAGGCGCCGGACGCTGTGTTGCACTCGGTACCGCCTAGCGCATGCACTGTGACTGCGGCAGCTGGCCCAGTGCGGCACCCATGCGCTGACACTGGCACTGCCGCTGCCACTGCTGCAGTTGCTGCGACGGCAAGCACCTCTCCACTGCTCACTTGCCGCCGCACAGCAGCTCGCCACCACTGCAGGCATCTGCCCACTCCTGCTGCCGCTCACACGCCGCACTCACATAGACGATGAGCAGGCTCGTCTTGCCGGCGCCGCCGTCGCCGACGACGACGAGCTTCTTCTTTGCGTCGATGTGCGGCGGCAGCGGCTGGCCGGGCGCCGACTGCCCCGGCGGCGGCGCGACGGAGTTGAGCGAGTCGGGATAGGACATGGCGGAGGAGTGGGAGTGGAGAGACAGGAGGCGACGCAGCGCGGCACGCCAAAGACAGCTGCAGGCGCGACAGGCCGCCGGCGCGCGCCTTATTTCGCGCCGCCCCGCCTTGCGCAGCCGTCACCCTGCTCTCATGCATTTCATTCGCACTCGCTCGGCAGCGTGGCATACACTGCTCAGCACCAGCTTCACTCGAGGTAATTGCATGCATTCTGCGTCTGCAGCTAGCCTGCGACTGTGTCTGCTGAGAGGTGCTGAGAGGCTGCCCGGCGTCTCGGCCCGCGGTGCGGAGGCAGACGCGTCGAGAGCAACACGGCCCGCCGCGTCCTCGTGACCGGCACGCGCCAACGCTGCAGCCGTGCGGATCGCGCCGCGCCGTGCTCTACCTCGCCTCCGCTCCACATCCTTCACCGACCGCACACGGCCGCCGCAGCGCCCTCTCCGCCGCCATGTCGTTCCCGCGCATCGCGCTGCACGACGCCGCCGACCTCGCCGCCGTGCTCGAGCCGGTGCGCGCCGCCGCCGAGGCGCGTCTGGAGCGCGCGCCGCTCGATGCCGGCGCGCGCGAGGCCGGCCGCCGGGCGCTCGAGGCTGTCAGTGCTGCCACCTGTGATGGCGTAGCACCTGTGCTGACGAGGCCGCACCCCAGTGGCTGCAAGTCGCCCAGCGGCACCTGCAGGAGAACGTGACGCTCAACGGCATGACGTGGGCCGAGGCGACGGCGCACAAGACGCGTGCGTGCCTCTGGCGGTGCCGCAACGCGTGCATGCTGACCCGTGTCTCTCCAGCCGTCGCACCCTTCGACGCCGTGCTCTCGGCACACGTGCAGTCGCTGCACGCCCGCGCCGACGCCCTCACGGCACAGGCCATTGCGCGCCGCAAGGAGGTGCCGGCGCGGAGAGCTGCGGCGCTGCAGGCGCGTCACGAGGCGCTGCGAAGGGTCAGAGAGGCGAGCGAGGCGCGCAAGCGGAAGCGCGAGGAGGAGTGGAAGGGTGAGGGATGCGCCTGTGTAGTGAGAGCGCGCACTGGGTCGCTGATACGCTCTGCCTCAGCTGCTCCGCTGCCGCCGGCGCCCGCTCCGCCAGCGCGGCTGGCCGAGACTGCTGCGACGCTGCGCAAGTCGCTGGCCGAGCTCGAGACCCTGCAGACGGTGCGCACACCAGCGCGTCGATGGCGATGTACCTGCTGACGTCTCTTCGCCGCCAGGAGCTGCCGAAGCTCACGGAGCGGACACGGACGCATACGGCGCTGGTGAAGCGTCTGCGCTCGGGCGCTTGATCGTCGAGGTCTGCTCCACCGGCCTCATCTTCCGGAGCTACATCTCCTGAGGGATCCGGCTGCACCCTCGGAGAGGCTTCACATGGCGCATGGGGAAAATGTGCGAGCTGCGCTTCGTATGAGAGACGTTCGACCGTCTGTCAGTCAGCAGCGCAGCTGCACACTCCCGCTCATGCGCGCTGTACATCACCACGTCACCCGCTATATCACTGGTACACTGCTCAAGGCGTGCACAGTGTCACATTTCTGTTGCTCAAGCCGCGCTGCGCATGTTCAGAGTCAGAGTGAGAGTGTGCACATCGCGCCCCGTGCGTCGCTTCGCACCTTGTTGCCCTGCTCCACACCCTCGTCTGCCTGTGGGACCTAAGGCTTCGAGCCAGGACTTTGCTCTGAGACAAATGACATTAAGTTGCTGCGCTCCTGGTACATTTTGGGAGAATTTGAAAGAAGAGAGAAGAACTGGCCGCGCCGCATCGCTGCGCGCGGACCAGATTCCATCAAGGTATGGGAGAAGAGTGTCATGATGGGAGACTACATGCGCCTAGAAGACGGCGGTGAGTGCCGAGTAGCTCGGGCTGCCCAGGCCCGAAGAGCCGTCCCAGCCGCTAGCCGCGGGGAAGCCGTTGGTCGTGCTCGAGCCGCAGCCATACGATCCGCCAGAAGTGATGTCCTTGAGGTTGCTCTTGGAGTACAGCGCCGGGTTGGCCCAGCCAATGGAGTCCTGGCCGTTAGCGCGGCGGCGAGCGTTCTGCAGCGTCAGGAGCGAGGCGACGAGCGGGCACGAGGCCGAGGTGCCGCCGACGAGGCCCGTCTGGCCCTTCTGCACGATCACGTAGCGGCTGCCCTGCGCCGCCAGGTCCGGGAAGAAGCGTCCGTTGGCGTTGTACTCGCCCGAGGCCGACGAGGGGATCTTGCTCTTGTACGCCGAGACCTGCGACGACTGGAAGCTGGGGGTCGAGAATATCTGGGATGCGCCCGCGCCGCTGTAGAAGCCGGCCAGGTTGTTGTCGACCATCACCTCGGGCGAGAAGCCCTGCGTGGCACCGACGGAGAGGATGTAGGGGCAGCCTGTGGTGGATAGTCAGTGACGCGCGCGGCGGGACGGGGTCGCGTCGCGCGAAACGCGCGCGCCGCGCCGATTCTCTTCGCTCCTCGTCATCTACCATACGCACCGCCAGGATAAGTAGGCACAAAATTCGGGCACGTATCGCCCGACTGGCCGCCGACGCCGTAATCGCCGGATGAAACCACGATAGTCACGCCGAGCGACGTGAGCTTTTGTGCGGCATTGCACATCGAGTTGGCCTGCGACGACGAGAACTCCTTCTCGTCCGACCCGTAACTGATGCTGATGACCTTCGGCCGGGTGCTTGCACTGTAGTTGTTGATGAAGTCGTTGAATGTGAGCAGGAAGATGTCGCCGGCCGTCTGCGAGGTGCCCTCGGCGATGAATTGGCTGTGCGCAACACGGTCAGTCCTGGATGGCGCGCGGCGCGCCTCGCGGCGTGGCTCACCTGTTCAGAGGGTACGTCTGGCTCACGACAGTCTCGACATCAAGCATGGCCTCGACTCCAGGGTTGCTCTGGTCGTTCGTGGCACCGTTGCGCAGCTGAATCGGGATCGAGTAGCCAGCAGCGTCGGAACGGTACTTCTGGTTGAACGTCTTTAGGTCTGCACTGCGGTCAGCTGCTGCTGCTGTGGCTGGCAGACACGGCACTCACCTGTGTTCGAGACATATTGATCGATGTAGCCCATAACGCCGATGTCGACGACGCCCGAGGTGGCCTTGGGCGTGACGCTGCTCGTGCCGTAGTACGCGCGCAGGCACGCCGGCGTGACCGAGTTGGTGCTGCAGCTGCTGGGCGTCGACTGGCGGCGCTCGAGTGCCTCCTCCTCGGCCGCCTCGCCGGCCGGAATGTCCTCCTCGGCGAGCGGCGTGAAGCCCGTCGAGGCGCGGCGGATCGAGCCGTACGTCGAGAGCGGGTAGGCGTCCTGCACGCTGTTGGCAATCTCGGAGGGGATCGTGTAGGCCTTGGTGCGCGCCGCGCGCTGGCCGTCGACGCTGTACTCGAGGAACTGCGCCTGGAAGAGCTTGGCCGTCTGGCCGACGGTGCTGTCGACCGAGACGCTGTCGCGCAGCTTCGACCACTTCTGCGCCGAGGCCGGGATGCCGTTCTTGACGAGGAAGGCGCGCACGGCGGCCTCGTCGGCGGCCGAGGGCGAGGCGTACTGCGCCAGCTCGGCCTCGGTGAGCCACTTGCCACCGGATGCAGCAATGCTCTCCATGCGCGCCGTCAGGCCGGCCATGTCGGCGCCGTTGAGGCTCATCGTGAAGGTGAAAGGCGCCGACGTGTCTGCAGACGGCGACGTCTGCTGCCACGACGAGGGCACGACGGCCGGGGCAACGCGGTGGGCCGACGAGGGCGAGTCACGGCGAGCCGGAGTCGAAGGAGCGGCCATGGCGCCGCTGACGCTGAGCGCCAGCAGGACGCTGGAAAGGAGGGTCTTGGAGAACATCTTGCAGGTGCTGGTCCGAGGAGAGGAGAACGACTTGCGAGTTGCGATGTGACAAAAGGGAGCAGGGGATGCCAGAGGGCCTCCTTATGTAGCCGTCCGGGCGACACGATGGCGACATGCGAAGCACTGCCGTCGCCTCGGGCAGATCACATCAGGCCCCGCCGTTCTGACATTGCCGGCCGCATGACCGCCGGCATCTCCAGCGAGCCGGCGGCATCTTCCCCAGACACGCTGCCGAAGGGACATGCTGCGTTCTGTAGGGGGCTAGCGGGCATTCTGATTCGGCTGCGTGCAGCCGACCGAGGGCGAATGTGGGGGACGGGCATGAGTCCGCGTCATGCGTGCACCTGGAATAGCTCCGATAGCGTTCGGGCGATGCGGCAGCGACGGACAGGAGAGGAGTCAGCTGTCAGGCGGCTCAGCTGCTTCCTTCCAGAGGATCGCTGCTGCGATAGCCGCGGAAGCAGCGCTCGTGCCACCGAGCTTCGACAGCGCATGTCCTCCAATGCGAGATGCGCATGCGGCGTGCCAGTGTCGCCCGTCGCACCCTGACTCTTGCCAGCCGGCATCTGCGCTTTGCGTAAGCCGAGCGAGCTTCCGAGCCGGCTGTTCTGACGGACGCCGTGCCGATGCAGTGTGATGGTCCCGTCTTGCCAGCGAGCAAGGCGGCAGCGTATCAAGCATGAAGGTAGCCCTCCGAGCGCGCAGCATCGAGAAGGTGCCGCGTCGCGCGCCGCCTCCTGCTCGAAGAATCAGGTGGCGAGGCGCACGGCCGGCGCTACTGCCCGAGGTCGCACCCGGCAAGTGCGCAGCGCCCGCATGTGCCTGGGCTGTTTGCTCTGCGCCAGCAGAGGCAAGTCTCGCAAGCGGCGATGGGCGCACAGCAGCGCGCGGTTGCGATGACAGGCGGCGCTTGCGAGGGCCGCGTGCTAGCGCCGTCTCTGCGCGGTCTGGGATGACTGGGCCATGGCTTCTGATTGCCGCAGGGTGCGGACTGGGCTCGTCAGGCGGGAGCGCAACAGCCGAGCATGCCGCAAGCGGGCGTTGCGCCGCCGCACGGTGCACTTGCAGGGGTTGCATTGCCGCATCGCAGGGAAACGTGCGGCGTCGGAGGGGTCGCACGGGAGGGACCCTGAGCAGAGGAAGCGTGTGGCGGAGCCGGGCGCGGCGGGTGCAGCGTGATCTGCGGCGCACGGCGAGCTGGCCGGCGCTGGCACCGCAGCTGCGTCTCTGGTGCCGGCGCAGCGCGCAGCGGCAGCGGCGAGGCGGAGGCAGCTGCGCTCCGTGGCGAGGAAGGACGGATGAGGATGCTCGCGAGCGGGCATACGGCCGCCGCGCTAGCGTGGGCAACGTGCAGCGGCGCCGCTGCAGCCGCCGGCCCAGCGAGCTCGCCGCCGCTGAGCGGAGCGGGTCCGCGAGGAGCAGCGGCGTGCAGCATCGTCATGGCCCGCCTGCCGCCACCCGCCGCAGCATCTCAGCCGCAAAGATCTGCAACGGCCGAGCGGCACCTTCGAGCAGCGCCGCAAGCGCCGCCGGCTGCTCCGGCGCTAGTGCGGAGACGCGGCCGCACGCAGCCGCGGCATGGCGGCACCAGCGTCAGCGCGCTGCAGCCGCAGCCGAACAGACGCTGCTCCCGCACGTGGACTGCGCCCGAGCGCCCTGGAGAGCCATGCGGCTCACTATCCGCTCGCTGGACGAGCCATGGCGAGCACGGCAGAGAGGAGCTGTGCACGAAGCTCCAGAGGCGCTAAGAAGCGCACGCAGCAGACTCCGCCGCGCGTCAGCATCCCCTCGCCATCGTCGCTCGTTCTGCTCCTCTCCCTCTCAAAGGGCCCGTCCTGTCCACGGCCATGCATCCGAGCGCTGCACGCTGCAACGCAGGTGGCTGGCATACTTCTTCTAGTGCCGAGCGAGCCGCAGCCAGCTAGAATGCGTGCTGCAGCTAGGCGACCTCTATCTGCTGGCCGTCCTGCATCACCCGGGCCTGTCGCGAGGACGGAGCGTCGTCCGAAGCAGCTCGCCGCTCCATCGCCCTCGATATTCGGCTGATACGGCCCCCGCTAGGCACATCCAGGGCGCCTACTCGCTTCCTAGTCCCTCATCCCGCACGGCCATCTGCGGAGTCTGTTCCTCGCTCCCTCGCTAACTCACGCCGGAGCCTCCGTCCGCGGCTCGCTTCGGCAGAAGCGCCGGCCGGAATGGAGGAGAGGTTGTGCACATCGCTGCCCATCCAGTATCGCCTCAGGGCCGCAGTGTCCAGCATGCCAGCGCACGCACGGACTTTTGTCCGCCGGCCAACTCACGGCAGTCACGCATCGCAACATCGAGTGTGCGAGCCCGATGCGCAGAAGCTTCGTGCCCCGCTCCTCACCCCCGCGTTTGCCGTCGTCGCTGCCGCGGCAGCAACATGCTTGCCGTGCCCCTTGCGTGCTTTGTCATGAGCCAGACGTGCTGGTCGAAGACCGTCTCCGCCAGCTCAGCATCTCGCTGGACGCCGTCAGAGTCAGCCTGATGCGGCGTGCGCACAGACCAGAGAAGGAGCGGAGATCGTGCCCTCGGCGGCACGGCGTGTTGCGCGGCTCGGGGTGCGCTGGCGGCGGGCCAAAGGCGCTCGCTCCGCCGCTCCGAGGCGCGCGCTGGCCCCAGGTGCTGGGGGTCGGCGAGAATTGTCCAATGCCCGAGGCCAGCGGTTTGCGCGAGAAACGAAGCGGTCGTTGCCACGTGAGCTCGGGATCTGCGAACGGTCGGCTTCGGACAAGCGGCACGGCCGGTCCGAGAGAACGTGCTAGGGTCCCAGCTGAGACGTCGCCTGGGCCGCCGCCGCCGCGCGGAGGCCTCGTCGTGTCTCGCGCTCTGCCAACTGCGCGCTTGCCGTTGTGGGGCGATCCGCATCACCAACACTCTCTCAGCTGCATCAGAGCATCTTGCTCTCGGCCTCAAGTGCCGCTTGCTTGACGACGGGTGTCGTAGCTCAACACGACGGAGTCATTCTGCCGGCGGGGACGGGCGGCTGCGCCTCCACACTCTGACTGCACGCGCATCTCCACGGGCGGTCGCATCTGTGGATCCCGTTGCGTGCAGCGCAACACACCTCGAGGCCACACAACACCTAGAGCCAAGCCTTCTGACACAGCTAAGCACTCGGATCAGGGCGCGCAAGCGGCGCTTGACGCTCTGCTGCGCTGTACAGCGCTGCCCATGTCGAGCTTGGCCTGGATCCGCGAGGCAGCAACTCGCTCAGAGGCCGCTGTCGATCTACCTCCGACGCCTGCGCTCCACGCTGCAACCGTAGTCACTTCGACTGCGCAGCTCGCTCTATTTAAGGCCTGCGCCTTCGGCCCCGTAGCTGGCACATGCCTTCTCGTCCGAGCGCAGCTTCGCCGCCCTGCCAGCTGCTCAACGTCATGACTCGGCCCAGCGACGAGCTGCTAGCATATAGCTTCATTCCTGGTTCCAGCGGCGCTGGCGAGGCTCGTGGTCCTGCAGCAGGGCGCACAGATGCGCTTAGAAGCTGCTGGACGAGATGAAGAACCACTTGCTGATCGACGGGTCGATGGGCGCAGCCGGCTGCGGGCTGGCGGCCGGGATGTCGTTGATCGAGGCGTCGTTGTGGCCCTTGGAGCCGGTGACCGTTGCGTTCTGCAGCACAAGCGGTGAGCCGCGGCAGCGAGCGCCAGTGTCTGAGAGATACTCACAGCAATGGACACACCGCCAGCCTCGGCCTGGCCGGCGACGAGGCGCTTCCAGGCCTCGTTGCACTCGTGCACGACCTCGGTCGCGTACTTCTGTGCTCAGCAGCGGAGCGTCAGTGCAATTCAGGGCGCAGCTTCTCAGCCGCAGCGCACCTTGTTCTTGGCCTCGCCCGAGAAGGCGAACTGGTTCTCCGGCTTGCCGTCCGGGATCTTGTAGATGCGGAACCACTCGTTGGTGGCGCGCACAAGGCCAGGCAGGTGGCGCTCGACGTCCTCAATGTCGTTGAGCTTGGGCGCCAGCGGGTCGTTGACGTCGACGACGATGACCTTCCAGTCGGTCTCGCCCTCGTCAAGCAGCGCCATGACGCCGAGCACCTTGACCTGCTTGATCTGGCCGACGTAGCCGACCTGCTCGCCGATCTCGCACACGTCCAGCGGGTCGTCGTCGCCCTTGGCCTTGGTGTCGGGGTGCGTGGCGTTGGGGTCCTCCCAGGTCTGCGTACGTGTCAGCAACGCACCGCAGCACAGGTCCACACGCTACCCACCTGCGGGAAGGCACCGTAGTTCCAGATGTAGCCATGGTGCGGGAAGCAGTTGCGCACGAAGCGCAGCTTGCCCTTCTTGGTGTCCTGCTTGATGGGGTTGAGCGCCTCCTCCTTGGAGATCTCGAGCTTGGCGTTGGTCCAGCGCGGGATCTCGACGACCATGTTCAGGATCGTCTTGCTCTCGTCGGCAAAGAGCGGGATGTCGTGGAACGGCGAGATGGGCTTGCCGGCGGCGTTCTCGTGGTACACGCGGTACTCTGCGAAGGACAGCATGAGCTACGTGCTGCAAGCGAGGCTGCGGCCGGTTCTACCGCCAAGCAGCATGCACCACCACAACAGAGCCGTCCACTACTCACCAAGCGAGTTGGGCGCGCCGATCTGGCGGGTCTTGAACTCAGACATGGCGGCGAGGGCAGGGGCGGCGGGCGCGGCGGCGGCAGGCGACGAGGCGGCGGGAGCAGCAGAGGTGAGGTGACGTGCGTGCTGGGAGAGGCGGCGCAGCGGTGCAGACATGCAAGGTGAGTTGCAGGTGTGGTGGAGCAGAGGCAGGCAGGCAGCAGCGCCGGCGAGCGAAGGAGTCCAGCTGCTGGCGCTGGAAGGCGCATCGCCGCACGGGCGCAGCGCAACGGCGACCGGCGACGCCCGAGTGCCGTGTGGCGCGGGCATGGCAGCAGCACAGCGGCAGCACGCCAGCAGCGCCAGCGCCCAACTTCTCGAGTTGGCGTCGACGCCCGCCGAAGCCGCGCCGCCGGCGAGCGCATGGCGTGCTGGCTGTCCTCCACGTCTTGGCACGCGCTCGCAGGCCCTCCCCTTCGACAGAGCAGCCGAAGCTGGCAGACACGACTGCATCCTCTGAAGAGCCACCCACAGCGACCGCACATCTCGCAGTCAGAGTGACAGCGCTGAAGGCGCATGCTGGACGGGAGCGCCGTGATTACATAAGCGTGGTCTCACTCCGCTCGGCTGCACTGTGGGAGCAGCCACGCGTCGCGGGGCTGCACGCGTCTAAAGTGCCAGCGTGGGAGCGGTGCGGAGTGTTGCACGCTCGTCCGCCAGCGCTGCTCCGCGTCCGGCGCCGCCTTGCTTCCTCTCCTCACGCACTTTCCACGCCTCCGCACCCTCACGACCGACACGACCCTCTGCTCTCGCATCCCCACCGCTCCTGACATCCGCGCACCCGGCGCGCGCGCCCCGCATCGGCTGGCCCGAACCACCTCCTGACGCACCGGCAGCATGCCCAAGCGCCGCGTCTGCCCGTTCAATTTCCAGCCGCTCGAGGTCATCCGCCGCGATGAGTATGGCCCGCCGCGCTACTGGGCGCGCGCAGTAGAGCGCACGCTCAAGCCTGACGGCGTCGTGCCCGGCGGCGCCGCGGCGCTGGCAGCGGCAAGCGTGCCGCAGACATTCGCCGTCGGTGATGTCATCTACCTGGGCGTCAGCTCGGGCAAGCCCGACGTCGCGGTCATCACCCACATCATCGCCTGGGAGGACGACGATCGCCTGGACTCGAACATTCGCGGCTCGGTGCATGTCACCGTGCGCCCGTTCGTGCGTCCGGAGCGCCTGGCACAGGCCACTGCGAAGGGCATGACCGGACTCGTGCGCGATGTGAGTAGCGGCTGCTGCTGTCTGTAGCGCTGCCTGTTCATCATAGTGTCCCCAGAACGAGGTCTTCTACGCCCAGCGCGCTCCAGCGAGCGCACAAGCGCCAGCGCAGCCACGCCGGGCTGAGACGTCTGCCGCCGGAGCGGCCAGCGACACGGACGACGAGGAGGAAGAGGGCGGTGCATTCACGGTGCCTGCTTCCGACATGCTCCAGCGCGTCACGCTGCACGCGACGGAAGAGACGTATCTCGCCGCGGCCATTGCGTGCGGCCAGGCGACGGGCCCACGCACTGGGCCTGGCCGGCCAAAGACGAAGGGCGTGGGCCCGCCTGCGCACATCTTCTCAGAGCTGGCTGTCGATGCGCAGAAGGGCGTCTTCTGGGCTATGGACTGGAACGCCGTTCAGCAGCGCGGCGCAAAGGAGGACAAGTGGGAGCTGCTGGAGGAGGATGGCGCGCCGCTCAAGGACCCCGGCATGCGCCCGCCGCAGCTGCGCGAGGCGGTCAAGGAGAAGCGCGGCCTCGTCGACCCGGCGGCCAAGCCGAAGCCCGCCAAGGCCACGCCGAAGCCGAAAGCGGCGAAGAAGACGCAGGCCAAGACGCCCAAGAGCGCGGCCAAGAAGACTCCAGCTGCGTCCAAGGAGACAGGCACGCCGAAGCGCAAGCCCGTGGTGCTCGCGCCCGGCACTCCAATCCATGCTCCAGAGTCTCTGGCGGACATGCTGCGCGAGGCAGAGGTCGAGGAGGATCCCTTCTGGCGATCGCCATCTGCTCCACGCGCGTCTCACGCCTCGACGTCTGCCGCTGCGCTCGAGCCCATCACGCCTCGGCGGCGCATGCCCAAGCTCAAAGCTGCACCGGCTGCAGCGGCAGATGCCGACGCCGAGATGCACTCGGCTTCTGGAGGCTCAGACGACGATGAGGAGGGCTCCGTGTGGTCGGGAGGAGACGAGGCGGTCTCCGAGGACGAGGACGCCGATACAGCTGCCACGTCCGAGGAGGATGACGAGGACTCGAGCGATGAAGAGTTCGTCGGTGACATCCTCACGCGCAACCGCAAGCGCCGCGGCGGCAAGCGTGGCGGCGTGCCGCGCACACCCACAGCAAAGCGCTTCGCGAGCGCGAGCGCTGCTGGCACGCCGCGGAGCCGAGGCATCGCGACGCCTAACCGGAGAAGCATCCTTGACTCGCAGGCCCGCGCTGCGCCGTACCCTACGCTGCCCGCTCGCGCGCCGCAAGTCGCGAATGTCGCAAGCGAGGAACTCTCGACTCTCACGCCGCACGCGCGGGCCCGTCGCCTGCTGCACGTCGGCGCCACGCCATCGCAGCTGCCATGCCGCGGCGACGAGTTCGAGGAGATCCTCTCGCACGTCGAGGATGCCGTCCAGGATGGCGTCGGCGGCTGCGTGTACGTCGCCGGCGTGCCGGGCACGGGCAAGACGGCCACAGTGCGCGAGGTCGTGCGCGCGCTGACGCTGCGCGCCGACGCTGGCCTCGTGAGCCCCTTCAACTTCGTCGAGATCAACGGCATGAAGCTGCCCGACGCGTCGCAGGCGTACTCGCTGCTCTGGGCCGCGGTCGGCGGAGGATCCGAGCGTGCAGCCGCCCCGAAGACGGCACTCAAGCGCCTCGCGGACCACTTTGCTGCGGGCGGCGCCGGCCGCGCCACGACCGTCGTGCTGATGGACGAGCTTGACCAGCTGGTCACGGCGCGCCAAGACGTCGTCTACAACTTCTTCAACTGGCCCAGCATGCGCGGCAGCCGTCTGATCGTGCTCGCCGTGGCCAACACGATGGACCTGCCGGAGCGCACGCTCAACGCGAAGGTCGCCAGTCGCCTCGGCATGACGCGCATTCCCTTCGAGCCGTACCGCAGCCAGCAGCTGGCCGAGATTGTGCAGACGCGCCTCGGCATGCTTCCGCCTGGCACGGCGGCGAGCGAGGAGCAGGTCGCGCGCGCCAAGGCCATCGGCTGTGACCAGGTGATGCACCGCGCGGCAATCGAGTATGCCTCCAAGCGCATCGCCAACGTCTCGGGCGACGCTCGCCGCATGCTCGACGTGTGCCGTCGCGGAGTGGAGCTCGTCGAGGCGCGCGCTTTGACTGCCGCTCCTGCGACCGCTGCCGATGGCTCAGCCGCGGCTGCACCAGCCGCAGCGGCGGTGCAGCCCGCCGACATGATCGAGATTCTCTCCGCTCTAGTCAAGTCTGGCAAGGTCGCACACGTGCGCGCGCTGCCGCTGCACGCCAAGATGCTCCTCATCTCGCTGCTCAGCGTGCTGCGCCGCTCCGGCCTGGCCGAGGCTTCCGTGGGCGACGTCTTCGCGCACCACCGCGTGCTGTGCACCATGCACGGCGTCTCGCGCGGCGCTGGCCTGCCCGGCACTGCCTCGCACCGCGATCCCTGGAACGCCGACGAGCTGGCCGCGCCGCTCAGCAGTCTCTGCGCCATGGGCCTCGCCATCGCCGTCGGCACCGGTGCAGGGCCGGGCCGCGCGGCTGTGCACGGCCGCCTCATGCTCGCTTGTCAGGAGGACGAGGTGCGCCTCGCTCTCGAGGCGGACCAGGACGAGCGACTGCGCAAGATGCTCTAGTTCTCACAGCGCCGTTACTCTGCGCTTTCTCTCTCTCCATTGATGTACTTCATGCATTCGCCTGCCTGGCTGCTGCGCCGGGCACGCAGCCGGGCCGCGCTCTATTCAATGTCACCCTCCCTTCACGCGACCGTCGGCTGCACTTGCTTGATGGTGAGGCTGTCTGACCGCGTGGTGCGCAGCAGACACAGCTCGGCGTAGCGGTTCGTGCCCGCCCGGAAGCGCTGCGGCAGCCAGAAGGCGCGCTCGATCGTGGCGCGCAGCTTCGCCAGCTTGCTGGCCGCAGCATCGGCGCGGCTTGCAGGCAGGTCGAGCAGGGGCCTGCACAGCAGGCGCTCCCACTCATCGGAGGCAGCGGCGTAGCGCGGCTCGAGCGGCGCAGGCTTGGAGCCGTCGGCGTAGCGGTGCGGGTGGTCAGAGTCGACGAGGTAGTCGCACGTCGCGATGTCGACCTGCGGCACAGCGTCAGCCAAGAGAGACGGCCTTTGCGTGCAGCATCACTCACGTAGCGGTCCTCCTCCTCGCGGTTGAGGTCGTTGAAGCCGTCCTGCAGCGCGCGTGTGCTAGCCTTCCACGGCCACGCCCAGCCGAGCACACCATCGAGGCGAGGCATCGGGTCGCCGACCGGCGGCACGGCAAAGTGCTTCGGCAGGATACCGCGGAACTCGGAGCGGATGAAATCGACGCGCGCGCCGTCGGGCACGAGAAAGTGCGTCGGGAAGCGGTGCCACTCCTTGCCGAAGCACAGCCGAATGCCCTCTTGTCCGTCGAGGTCGTTGCGCAGCTGTGTCAGCGGCGCAAGGTCGACGACCGGCACTTCGCGCTCGTGGCCCTTGTGTCCACGGCGGTGCCAGTTGCGCGGCAGATTCTCCATCTCCTCGAGCGTCATCACGGGGTGCTCGTTGTTGTTGATGCGCTCCTGCACCGACGGCGAGAGTGTGCCAGGGAAGTGCGCTGCGACGACGCGCGGCAGCTCGCACGTGCCGAGATGCTGCAGGAGAGCGATGGGCGCCCGCTGCGCCGGCGCAGTCTGCAGCACGCGCGAGATCGACAAAAGGCCGGTCAGGATGCAGGCGCCGCTGGTCAGGTTGGAGAAGAGCATGGTGCGTGAAGCCTGCGTGACTGACTGTCAGTGGTGCGAGACGACAACGCAGCGTGTTGCTGCGCTCACCTGGTACGGCGACTTGGTCCGCTTGACAAAGGCGCGCTCCACGAGGCCACGGAAGAGGTAGATCGTGACGGCGGCGTTAAAGCAAATGAGCGGGTACGCCGGATACACGAAGCGCTCCTCCTTGTGCGGCTGCAGCGTGAGGATGCCCAGCCAGAGGTAAAGGGGCGCGAGACGCACGAGCAGCAGCGTAGTGTACGTCGAGCCGACGAGCTGCTCCTCGCCCTTCTTCTTCTTGAGCTCCTCCTCGGCCAGCGGCAGGAGGGCCAGGCGCTTGCGGTCGAAGCGCAGAGTGAGGGCAACGGCAGGCAGCGACAGCATGGCCAGCACAAATGCCGGGCCAAAGTTGAGCATCAGGTTCTGCAGGTAGAAGTGCCACGGCTCCACGCCATAGAGCTCCGGTCCGGCGCCGCGGCGCGAGGAGAGGACGTTGTAGATGAAGATGTTGAGCGTGCCGATGACCGTCCGGCCGTAAGCCAGCGAGTCGATGGCGACTATGGGCAGCGCGATGGCGCCTGCGGCGGCCACGCAGCGCAGCCAGTTCATCAAGCGTGCTGAGCGAAACTCGGTCAAGCGCGCTGCAGACACGAGCTGGCCGCTCGCGAGGAAGAGCTCCTCGAAGACGAAGGGCAGTGCGAGTGCAAGCGCAAAGGGCCAGCCGAGCAGCGCGCCCAGCGCGAAGAAGCCTGTCGCGAGGCCCGTGCGGTACTTGGGCGTCGGCGCCGTGGCGGCATTCGAGGGGAAGAGCGCGGCCGAGCGCGAGGGGTAGAAGGCGTACGACAGCGCCAGCGCCGACGTGTACATGCTGAAGGTCGACGGCAGCAGGGCTAAGAAGCGTGTCAGGATGAGCATCCCGAACAGTACCGCGCGTCACTCACCGGTGGAGGCCTCGTACATGCCCGCACTCGCGACGAGCAGGGCCAGGAAGTACCGGCTCACGCGCGGGTTGATCACCTGCGCAACGGCGCGGACGAAGAATGCCTCGCACAGCGAGCTAGTCGCAGCAAGCGCGATGCGAATGGCAAAGAAGGCGTAGCGCTAGATCGGACATTGATGAGCCAGGATCGGACCCCTGCGGCGCAAGCGAGCTCACCTTCTCCATGTTGGCAAGCGCCGGCAGCCAGCTGGCGACGGGCAGATACTGCGCCACGTACGCCCAGCTGCGAATGGCGTACTGCGGGCTGTACTCCCAGGTCTGGAACGGGCTCTGCGCCGTGCCGAGCGGCCATGGGGCGTGCGCGAGGAGATGCAGCGGCTCCCAGTAGTTGAACGCTGCGCGACAAGTGTGAGCCCGGGCCCCTATCCACTACAGCGATGCTAGCCAAGTGAAGCACTGCAACAACGCTATCTCTTGCTGCTCATCCTGGGCGCTTGCTCCTGAAGGACAGCCGGCGGTGCGACGACGGCACTGCCTTCTCGCAGCAGCCCTCCACGCCCCGCTCTCGCCGCTCCACTCACTCTCGTCGCAGTCGGCGATGCCCGAGTACATGGCGCTGACGACGCGCACGAGGAGCAGCGTGCGGAAGGCCGTCGCCGTCGTCGCGGCCCACGGCGGCGCGCGATGCAGCGCCGAGTGGTCCTTGAGCAGCCCGACGCGGCGGATGTCGGCCTTCATGGCGCCGCTGCCCAGCGGCACCGTCTTCTTGACGCCGGCGCGGCCGAGGCGCACGTACTCGGGCTGCGGGCGCGACATGGTGGCCAGGGGTGGAGAGCGGCCGGGTGGTGGTGGTGCTAAGGCAGAGGCTGGACGGCGCAGCGGGCAGCACTCAAGATGCAAAGGGCGTGGGACCGCTGCGCCCACCGAGAAGAAGTGAAGGCGCAAGAGAAGGCAAGGGGGCGCGCCGCCAAGCCTCCAACGGGCGCACTACAAATGACGTCGGTTCCTCTATTCGGCACTTCAGCTCGCGGCCCACTTTTGTACTCGAGCCGCACGGGCCCACGCACGCATGAGGGGTCCGGTCCCGGCCGAAAGCGAGCTCCAGCTTCCAGCCGTCCACTTCTGAGACGCTGTCTGCCGTGGCGGCGGCTCTGAGTTTCAGGCAGCGTCGCTTGAAGGACAAGGTCGCCCATGGGCAGAGCCTGCTGGAACGGGAGCTCGGCCACCGCAGGGCGCGCCGGCCGTCAGGTCTGCGTTCTGGGCAAGCGTGAGGCGAGCAAAATCCAAATCCGCGCGCGCGGCACCCCGCACGTCCATCGCGCAGACCATCAGGCTCGCGCTGGACCTCGGCTGCTGGCGCTCTCGCCGCACTGCCCGCTGCAGAGATGCCGTCGATATTCGGAGCTCTATGCACCGACTTCAAGGTGTAGAGATGCTTACGGCGTGAGAGTCTGCCGGCGCTGGCGACCGCGGCGGAGGATGTTGTGCGCGCGCTTGAGCCCAGCCGGCGATCACCCCGAGGCCAGCTGGGCTCGCCCGGAGCGCACACAAGCGTCTCTTGGTGCGGTCTTCGCAGCGAGCCGCCTCTCGAGGAGCCACGACTAGACTGTGCACACCTAGCACAGCCTCCTCTTCATGGCGAGCTCAGCTGCAGCGTGAAGGGCGAAGTCCGCTGTGCCATGTCTCTCGACTGCGCAGCTCCGGACACAGGCCGCTCGGCGGGTGCCCATCCGAGCGGCCGTCCCGCTCGCCTCGCTGATGCCACTCGTCCTGCGGCTGTGGCTGCGCACGTCACACGACTCTACTGCGGCTGCAGCATGCTGTCGAGGCTAGACAGCTGCTCCTCGCCCAATCTCAATCCGGCCGCGGGACGTCTCTGCATGGCTGCTGTGCTCCTTTGCTTGCTGCTGCATCGCAGCCGAGCCGGAGGTGCGGCGCCCGATCTGCGCTGCAGAGCATCCACAGCTGCGGACTTCTCTCGTCTGATGCTGCGCTCTGCGTCTGACGCTGACGGCGAGGCTCTTCTGCGGCTGCGGCTGTCCCTGCGCTGCTGAGGCTGTGAGCGCGTTGTGCCTGACGCCTCGCCCAACAGGCCGCTGCCGCTGCTGGGGTGCCTGCCGCCTGCTTCCACAGAGCCGCCGGCTCGCATCCGCGGCGAGAGAGGCGCCACGCGGTCGCTCGGTACCCACGGCGCGCGGGAACGGGCCCGAGGCGCGCGAGGTGGGCCCGCTGCTCTTCTTGGCCGTGCTCGCTGCGCTGGCGCCGCGTTTGGAGGCTTCGCTGTTGGGCTGCGCTCGCTGTTCATCAAGGCGCGCCGCGGCACGGGAGAAGCAAGAGACACGCGCGCCGCGGCGCGCGCGCCCAGCGTCAGCCTGCAGCAGCTGCAGCGGGAGGAAAGGCGCGCGCGCCTCGCTGTCGGTTCGCTGCGGTGCGCACGCGACGCAGCAGCCAACACATTCCCCACCACCGCCGCCCGTCCTCATCCCTACCCTCACCCTCTCCATCCAGCAGCAGCGACCGCCAGCCGTGCCGCAGCTTCCTGCGCACCTGCTTGCCTGCCTCGTCACCGCGCGTCGCCCTCTCCAGCGCGCCTGACCTCGCCGGCCGCTCTGGTGCTCCTTGGCGCGTCCGTTCCTTCTCGCCTGCAGCCGCGCGCCGTCGCCCCGCCGACGCGGCCACCGTCGCTGTATACCCACTGCTGCATCGCATAGAGAAGCAGACGCCCACTCGTCCTCTAGCCGCCTCCTGCGGCCTGCACCGCGCGTCCGCCGCCGGTGCTCCGCTGCGCGTGCCTCTGCCTAGCACACCCGCGCGTGCGCTTCTCGCGAGCTGCATCCGCCCGCCATGTTCGCCAGCGGCTCGTCATCGCCGCCCAGCCTGCCGCTGCCGGGCGGCAAGAGCCTGTCCACGTCACCGCTGGCGGCGTTCGGGCGGGCACGCGCGCGCTACCTGCTCGTCAGCGGCGCACTCACCGTGCTGCTGCTGCTCTTCTTCGTCTTTGGCGCCGACGACGCCGCGGCGCCGCATCGCCTCGGCCATGCGCTGCATAGCGCAAAGTGGTCGCAGTGGTGGCACGGCAGCGCCAAGACGCCCGGCGAGGAGGAGATCCCGCCGCTGACGGTCGACGAGCAGGTTGCCGGCGGGCCAGTGGCGCACCTGTACGACGACCGCAAGTGGGTCAACGGCAGCGGCCGCACCGACCTCTCCTACGACACGCCCTTCAACCGCGACGACCTGACGCTGTGCGAGGACGAGTGCGACGCCTTCTTCCCGGGCCTGTGGAAGGAGATTGACCGGAGTGTCAAGTACTTCACCGAGGTGGTCAAGTGAGTGTTGCAGGCGGAGCAGCGCATGTATGCGCGGCTGGGACTGTGCTGGATGTTGCGTGGCCTGCTGTAGGCTGCTTTGGCGGTCTGCCCCGTCTGCGTCTGCAAGCAGCGCACCTCGAAAGCAGCGCACCTCGATACTGACGGCCGCGCCCTGGCAGGTACGACAAGGAGTACCTCGAGTATGCGTGCGACGACGGCATCTGGACGCACATGCGCGTCGTCGTGTACAACAACCGCCTCTACATCAAGTCGTACAAGCAGTCCGACTTTACGCGCTCGCAGGCGGCGCTCGCGCTGCTCAACCTGGCCGTCATGACGTCGCGCGAGAAGCTGCCCAACGTCGAGTTCTGCATCGGCCTGCAGGACTGGGGCAGCCGCGGCAAGTTCGGCCTCGACCGCAGTCCGGACCTGGAGGACAACTGGCTGATGCCGGACTATGGTTGGTGGAGCTGGCCCGAGGTGAGTGTATGCGCGGGCAGCACTGCCCGCTGCGGCAGCGCGTGCAACACATACTCATCCGCGCTGCGCCGCACAGCACGTGGGCTCGTATCAGGAGCACCGGGAGAAGACGCTGCACGTCGAGCAGCAGACGCCGTGGGAGCAGAAGATCAACAAGCTCATGTGGCGCGGCAGCATGCGCGTGGGCACGGCGGACCGCGAGAGCCTGATGGCCGTGGCACAGGGGCACGACTGGAACGACATCCGGGCGCTCGACTGGGAGGGTGAGTTGGCCGCGGCGCGCTGTGCGCGCACGGGAGCGCGGCGCTGACTCGGCCCGAGCAGACAAGTCGACGCAGGTGCCCATGGCGGACCACTGCAAGTGGAAGTTCCACGGCTTCCCCGAGGGCAACACGTACTCGGGCCGCCTGCGCTACCTGCAGAACTGCCGCGTCGTGATCGTGACGCACGAGCCGCGCTGGATCCAGCACTGGACGCACCTCAACAACGCCGACTGGAACTCGATGGACCAGAACATCGTCTACGTGCCCAAGGCGCTAGGCGAGGGCCAGGGCGTGCTGGTGCACGACAACCAGGGCCATGAGAGCTACGACCGCACGTGGGAGCGCCTGCCTGAGACGATGGACGCGCTGCTCTCCGACGACGCGCACGCCAAGCGCATCGCCGACAACCAGTGGACCTTCTTCCGCGAGCGGTGAGTCGGGTGCCGGTCTGTGCGCACGCCGCGATGCTGACAATCTCGTCCTCACAGGTATATCTCGCCCGCCAGCGCCGCGTGCTACTGGCGCAAGCTGTTGTGGGGCTTCAGCAAGGCGCAGCTCTACACGGTCGACCTGCGCGGCGACGAGACGAGCTACCACTCGTTTGTGCTCAAGGGCATGAAGAGCCCCACCGACAACTTCAGTGCGTCGTCGTGCCACTCGTCGCAAGCATGCGCGCTCCCGCTGACCTCGTCTGCTGCGCACAGACCATTAGGCCGCCGCGATCCGTCGCCGCTCGGGCCTGTCTCACGCACGTATCGGGGCAAATGTGAATCCTTCAGCGAACCATTGAGCCCGGAGGATAGGTTGCATTCGCAGCGCATGACGAGAAGGTGGTGTACAGGTGTGGGCAGGGGCGACGGCGTAGCGGCCAATAATGTAGCAGGAGGGACACGGCGTGGCCTAGCGGCTAGGCGGCGGCAGGCGTGGGGGCAGACTGGAGCGTCCAGAGCGCCGGCTTGGCAGCGACGCGGATGTCCTCGTACGGCTGCTGCTGCTCGAGCATGACGAGGTCCTTGGTGCCGAGCACGAGGAGCTCGAAGAAGAAGCCGGCGGCGGCGCGGCGCGAGGCACCGGCGGCGACCTTCTCGAAGCTGAGCGTCTTGCCGGCGCCCGCGGCGGGCAGCTCGTCGTCGTCGAGCTCGGCGGCGATGGCCGGGTCGAGCTGGGCACGCACGACGCGCAGCGCGCGGATCGAGTTGTTGCTCCAGCCCGACTGGGCGGCGCGCGCCTTGTCGGCATCTGCCGGGCGCGCATCAAAGGCAGCCAGCGGGTTCTGCGAGTTGGGCGAGAAGCCGACGAGCGAGTCCTCGGCGGGCTCGTTGTCGTCATCCTCCGGCGTCGCGAGGCGAGACAGCGCAGGAAGGCGTCCGGTCTCCGACTCGTCGTCTGCGGCGACGTCGGCGTGCCGAGACTTGCGCGTCGAGCGGCGAAGGCCGTCCTCCTCGAGACCGAGGGCAAAGTCAGGCATCTCTTGGTCCATCATCATGTCCTGGCCCTCATCGCCCCAGGTGTCGTCCAGGCCGCCGAAGCCGCTCAGGCCGCCGGGCTGCTCGGCGCCCACGTCTCGCCGGCCGATCTCGCTCAGCTCTTCGGAGCCGCGAATGCGCTTGGCGGCGCGCTCGCCCTCGGCATCAAGGCCACGTCGCCGCCGCAGAACCGCTGCGTCGAAGGTGAAGAGGCTGGAAAGCTGAGGTGCCAGGCCGATCGGGCCGGCAAAGATGTCGAGCGAGGCGTTGGCCTTGTCGCCGAGCAGGTGCCGTGCCGGGTCGCCGTTCATGGTAAGCAACCGGAGGTATGCGCGCGAGCGAGGAAGGTAGGACTCCTGCAGAGCGAGGTCAGTGAACGTCCTTTGTAGCTCAACTTCTGTCTGCACGCACCTCGATGAGCGTCTGAGGAGAGGCGTTTTGTTGGCTGACACCGGCGAGCTGGATGTTCGCGTCGATGATCTGCTTACGGCCCTTGCCGCCTTGCGCCTTGGCTTCCTCCAGGGCGCGGCGCTCGGCCGCCTCGCGGATCTTGGCGGCGGTCCGTGGTGTCATGTCGATGGTGTCCTCCGCAACGCTTGCGGGAGCTGTCGATGCGGTGTCAGCGAGCAGTCTGACGAGCCGAGCCCGTGTCAACTCACCTGCCGGCGCATCGAAGTCGCCGCCGAAGAAGTCGAAGCCTCCATCATCAAAGTCCGGCATGGGACCGAGACTGTCGCGCTGGCCGGCGCCTGTGTCGTTCGCCTCGCCACCGAGACCCAACAGGCTGCCGACACTGCGGCCTCCCACATCCGAGCCGGCGGCGTCCCGACCGACGCCGACGCTGAGGCTGTCGTCGACCTCCATCTCGTCGCCGCGCAGCAGGCCAGCTTCCCGCGCCGCCAGCGCATCGTCGTCCAGCTCGAGACCAAGGTCAAGGCCTCCATCCTCAAAGTCGCCCGAGGCAATGCCCGTCTCGGCGGCATCCCACGCATCGCCGTCGTCGATGATGCGGTTCAGCGTGATGTCCTGCTGCCGCGCCAGGTGCGTGTTGCCGCTGCTGTCCGGCGCGCGCCGCTTTGAGGCAGAGCCAGTGCGCAGCGGGGTGCCAGAGCGGCCAGCGCCGCCATCTGCGTCCCAGTCTTCCAGGCCCGCGTCTGGGAAGCCCATGTCGAAGTCTGTCAGCGTCGCGCCGAGCGTGATGGCACTGCGCGGGACGTGCAGCGCGTCGGACGTCATGTCGACGGCGCCCGAGCGGAAGGCCTGCGGTGCAGCATGAGCGCGTGGTCACGCCAGCAAGCACCATGTTACGCACCACCTTGATCTTGACGAGCGCCTCGTTACAGTCGTCGAGCAGGTACTTGGCCTTGCGCGAGTAGATGCGCACGACACCGAGCAGCAGCTGGCCGGTGAGGCGCAGGGCCATCGGCGCGGTCTGCTGCGTCATGATCGCCTCTGCAGGCCCAAACACGGGTCAGCATCGCTGCGCCAAGTGGCGCCACAGGGGCTCCGAGACCATACGAGGCCGCACTCTGCACCGTTGCACCGGATGGCAACGTGCTTCCTCACATCCTGCCCACCGTGACTCACCGACACCCTTCTCGACACTGGTGCGCAGCAGCTGCGCCTTGGAGAGTCGCCGCTCCCAGTGCGCCGCCAGCCAAATGTTGCCGAGCGCGCCGCGCTTCGACAGGATAACGTCGGAATAGAACATGGCGTGGGGCGCAGTGGATGCAGCGGATGGGCTCGCGGGCGCGAGAGGGTCGCGCGAAGGCCGGATTCAGAGACCGGAGATGGAGCAAGAGTCGCAGATAGAGCCGTTTGCGCGCCGAAGGGCGCGAGAGAACAAAGAAGGAGACGCAGGAGAGAGAGGGAGAGAGCGGGGTGACCCGTCAGAGCAGCTGGTATACGGCGGGAAGAGGGGCGAGAGGGGGATGGGGAGAGGGGCTGAGCCGCGTTGACGCGGGGAGCTCGGCCGCGCTGGGCGCGCGCGCGCCGCATTCGGCAGCCGCATTTTTGTATTGGCCCTGCCGCCAACTTCTAGCGCCACTCTATTCGCGACTTCAACGACGCGCCGGCCCGCACGCGACGCGTCACGCTCGCCCTCAGGCTCCTCCACTTCGCCTCTAAGACGACGGCACTCCACTCGAGCAGGGAAGCAGTGATGGTGTGCAGTCAGGACTAGAGTACAGGTGAAGGAAGGGAGGGTGTACAGAGAAGAATGCTTCGTAGGCCGGCCACACGCAGAGCGAGCGGCCCGGCGCGGCACCGCTCAGCTCGGCAGGACGTGCTCGTCGTCCTCAGCAGTGAAGAGGTAGCCCTCGGTGACCAGGTTCTCGACGGCGGTGCTGCACAGCGACAATCAGCATCGCAGCATCACAAGCTCGACACGGCACTCACCGCACGTCCTGCTCCTTGTACCCCGCAATGCGCCGCGCCACAGTCACGATGGGCACGCCGGAGCCCTCGTGCGCATCGGCCAGCGACGCGATGCTCTCCATCACCTTGCGCTGCAGCGGGTCCTCGATGTGCGAGAACTTCTGCTCTGCGCCGCCAGTCGCCGCGCGAGGGGCGCCAGTCGAAGCCTGTAGCAAGGGCTGTGAGTGTTGCGCCTGCAGGGGCGACGCTCTCCCCGACTCACGCCGGCGCCGTTGAGCAGCTGCAGATGCGTGTTGATGGCCTCGAGCTTGTGGAACATCACCTCGTCAAAGTCGGTGATCGGCCGGATGTGGCCAGCAGAGATCGAGACCTTGTTCTGGAATGCCTTGATCGTGCCGAGCACGCGAATGTAGCGATTTTGCCTGGGCGCCGATGCAAGTCAGCCTCTGTCCTGCCTCAGCGCCGGCTTGCACCTCCTGCGGGAGCAGGGGAGCGCAACACCTTGCCCGCCCTTGCGCAGCCTGGCAGACCAGACATGGAGATCATGTCCAGCCACGCCGCCGTCTGATAGCTCGAGCCCGTCACGCTGCGCTGCACTCACGTAATGCCGTCCGTCTTTCCCGTCTCATCAGCGTTGCCGTCCAGCCACTGCCGCACGTCAATGCTGCCCGTGCCGTCCTCGACGCTGTACGAGACGTTCGTCGGGAAGGACGACACGTTGCGCACCACGCCGACGAACGTGAGCTGTGGAAGCGAGTGAGCCAGGCGCTCGTCCAGCAGCTGCGCGCGCAGCAGACTCACCTGGCCAAGCTGCACACCGTCGATGGTAAAGTCGCCCTCAGCGGCCGGCTGCTGCGCATTGAGGATCTGCCGGATCGTCACTGGCCGCAGACTGTTGGAGCCGGACTTCTGCTCCGGGAAAGATGCATCAGCGCCCGGTGTCGACCCGTGGGCGCTTGCGATGGCGGCCAGCGCTGCACGCTCGTCAGGCCAGGCGGCGCGGCTGCCTCGGCCCACCACACCTCGCCGCTGGCAGCCTTCTGAGATGCTGCTGCGCCCAGCCCTAACGCACACATCGCCGCACTCCACCGCACATCTGCTCAGCTCACCTTGGTGCTCGGGCTGTCCTCGCCGCCGGCCATGAAGCCGCCGCCCGTGCTGTAGTTCGCGCCGTATGGGTTGCCGCCGTCGAAGCCTGCAGGAGAGCGGGATGCAGCGCCGATCAGCGACGCTCAGCAGGTGCGAGCTGCGCCGCAGGCTCACCGCTCATGTTGGGCGAGTGTGTGAGGGTGCGTGAAGGGGTGATGTGGAGCGCTGCCAGGCGGTGCGGCCGTCCAACACGCACAGGCGCGGCGCAAGCTTCCCGCCGCGCGGCACAGGCGCAGCGCAGCCGAGCCGAGGCGCGCCACTTAACGCGTCTCGCACGCGACGCGCGCGCCAGCCTGCCGACCCGCAGCACCTCGCACCTCGAGACATCATCGTATTGTAGTTATCAAGTGCAGGAACAAGACGGAGAAGGTAGAGTGCTGCACAGCCGGCAGTAGGAGGGACAAAGCATGTAAAGACGGAGACGGGACTGCTCTACAGCTTGACCTGGCCGGCGACGATGGCCGCGTGGTCCTCCGGCTTGAAGGGCACGTACTCGTTGGCGTTGGGCGGCAGCCAGAAGAGCGGGTCCGAGCCGACCTTGGAGTGCTCGATGCCCTCGTTGCGCAGCGCCACCTTGAGCTGGGGACAGGCAGCGTGTCAGTATTGCACCCTTTCGCCGCAATCTCGGCTGCGCTCACCTGCTTGACGGTGCCCGTCGACTCGGCCGCTGGCACGATGCGGATGAAGAGCGGCACGGCATACTTGGGCAGGCGCTTGCGCGCGTGCACGGCCAGCGTCTTGAGGTTCGTCTTGGCCGCCACGTCCTTGGGGATGGCGGCGCAGCCGGCGCGGCCGTCGTGGTTCGGCACGAGCACGCCGTACACGTTGGCCTCGTCGCACACCTCGCCCAGCGCCGTCTGCACCTCGGCCGTCGACACGTTCTCCGAGCGCCAGCGGAACGTGTCGCCGATGCGGTCGCCGAACCAGAAGTGGCCTGCGCAGGGACGTCAGCATTGCCGCGGCTCGCACATGCAGCTTCACTCACCGTCCTGGTCCATGCTCATCAGGTCGCCCGAGCGGAAGAACGCGTCGCCCTTCTCAAACACATCCGCCAGGATCTTCTTCTTCGTCGCCTCCGGGTTGTCCGCATAGCCCATGAAGGCGCCTGTCGGGTCCTTGTTGATGCGCATCAGGAACTCGCCCGTCTCGCCCGGCTGACAGGGGATGCACAGGCCCGTCTTGGGGTCGCGCTCAATGTCCTCGGTAATGGCGTCCACGCGCACGATCTTGTAGTCCGGGCGTGCCCGCCGTGCCAGCGCGCCCAGCCGGCCGATGGCGCCCGCGCCAAACGGACCGGTGTTGTAGTTGAGCAGCGCGCCGTTGCCCTCGGACGAGGCGTAGAACTCCGAGATGACGTGCACGCCGAAGCGCTCGCGGAAGCGCTGCCAGACGTCGGGCCGCATGCCGTTGCCGTAGGCCATGCGCACGCGGTGGTTCTTGTCGTCCGGGTGCGGCGGCACGGCGAGCAGGTAGCGAGCAATCTCTCTGCACGAAGGGCAAGGGTCTCAGCATCGCTCTTCACCCACAAGACCTGCGCTGCTCACCCGATGTACTGGATGACGGTAGCGTCGTTTTCCCGCACCTCGGCCCAGTAGCGCGACGCCGAGAATTTCCGGCCAATGATGACCGTCGAGCCGGCGTACCACGACGCACCGATGCAGAGGAAGGCCGCGCTGGAGTGGTAGAGCGGCATGGGTGTGTAGATGCGGTCCTTGCTGTTGAAGCTGTTCACGCGCGGCCACATGGCCATGGCTGCGCCGACACGGCCGTGCGAGCAAAGTGCCGCCTTGGGCAGGCCCGTCGTGCCGCTGGTAAAGATGAGCACGGCGACGCTCGACGAGTCGATGCCGTCGCGCAGGCTGGCCGGCGGCGCCTTTGCGCTCTGCGCCGCAAGCTCCGCCGGGCCGAGCAACTGGGCGCTCGGCAGGTCGATCGAATGCGCACCAGCCTTCTCGCTGATGCCATCGTCGAGGCACACGAACTTCTTCAGCAGGCCGTTGGACGTCAGCTTGTCCTGCACCTCGCGCAGCGCGCCCTCGAGCGACGGCTCGTAGATGACGAGCTGCGCCTTGGACACGTTGACGCAGTGCACGAGGCCCGGGCCGTTGAGGCCGTTGTTGATGAACGCCGGCACGACGTTGATGCTGAGACACGCGAGCCAGATGAGCGGGTACATGGCGCAGTTGCCCATGAACACGGCGATGCGGTCTGTGTGCGGCGTAAGTCTCGCTGCGGCGGGCGGCGGCGGTGCGAGCGCTCACCTCCCGACTTGAGGCCCTGGGCGCGAAGGTAGTTGGCGAGGCGGTGCACGACTGCGCGGCGAGCGTCAGCAGGAGCAGCGCCGGGTGGTGCCGCAGCGGGAGCGGCGTGCCTCAGATCAAGTGTAAGTGGTCGGTGCCACGGGGCAGCCTCGCAGCGCATGCGCCGGGCCTCCCTGCCGCAAAGTATGGTATGCTCTCGTCCCCGGCACGTCCCTGCGTCGCGCACCCTGCTGCACTCACTCTGCTCGGCCTGCTTCCACGTCGTCGTCTGCCGCTCGTACACATACATGGCGTCGTCTGGCTGGCGCTTGACCGAGTCCTCGAAGAAGGCGTACATGCTGGCGCGGCCGCGCGCCAGGCGCCACTTGAAGCTGCGCGAGAGGTGAGCGTGAGGCGCCGGCGGTGCAGCTTGCAGCGCAGCCGGCCCGCACTCACTTCATGTTGGCGCCCGAGTTGGCGCGCCCGAGGTGCACGTCGTTGGCGAGGCCGTGCTTGGCGTCGAGGTAGGCCACCGCGGCCGCGGCGATGGCGGCGTTGAGCAGCTTCGTCATGGCTGCGGGTTGGCAAGGGGATGGAGAGGTGCGGCGTGGGTATCGGCGACGGGACGGGTGTTGCAAGGCAAGCTGCGCGGCCGCCCGGCCCAAATGTCGAGACAGTGGCAGGCCAGTGCGGAGAAGGAGCGGATCGCCGGCGCAGCGCAGCGCAGCGCAGCAGCCGAACAGCGCTGCGTGGGCGGCGGACGAAAGCGGCGCGAGAGCAGCAGCGAGCGCCGGCGGTGGAGGCGCGACGCTGAGCACGAGAGCCGAGCATGCGCCGCGCCGCGCAAAGGCGGGGGCGCCGTGAAAGCATGAAGCCGCGCCGCGCGGCGTTGGCGCTGTCTGTGCTGCGCCATCGTGCAGCAGCTGCTGCCCCGTGCAAGATTCGCGCCTCCGTCCCACCTCGCCCCACCGGCCGGACACCAACACCTCGACGATGCGCTCACAGACTCGCGGCACAGCGAGCGCTGGCCGCTGTCCTGACGGCTTCTCATACACCTCGTGCGGGCCAGGGACGAGGCTGCAGAACCCTGACGCTGTGACTCGCGCGTCGAGCTGGCCGAGCGTGGTGTCATGGGCCCGCTCGAGAAGCCAGTCAGCTGCCAGAGGCTCAGATGCATCGTCTCATTGCGAGCGAGTGCAGACCGGATGTAGCTCATGCGTGTGTGTGTCGTGGATGCGTGGCCGCTTTGCGAAGAGGAGCGCTCAGTAGCCGCCGCCATAGCCGCCCTGCTGGCCGCCGTACTGGCCACCGCCCTGCTGGTTGTACGGGTTCGGCGGCGGTGCACCGTAGCCCTGCTGCTGGTACGGGTTGGGCGCGCCATAGCCCGGCTGCGGCTGGCCGTACTGGCCGTCGGGGCCGCCATACTGCTGCGGCGGCGGCGCGCCGTACTGCGGCTGCTGGCCGTAGCCCTGCTGCGCCTGGCCCGGGTAGCCGCCGTCGCCGCCGTGGCGCGGGAAGGGGTCGCCGCCTCCGCCGTGGTGAGGAGCGCCTGTAGTAAGAGGGTCAGCAATGGCACGCTCGTCATGTTGCTCCTGCTGCACTCACCGTAGTTCTGCTCTTGACGGCCACCGTAGTTGTCGTCACGTCTCGAGCCATAGCCATGCTCCTGCTGCCGTCCGTGCTCCTGTTGGCGACCCTCAAAGCCGTGCTGCTGCTGACGGCCCTGGTAGCCGTGGCGCTGCTCGCCGTCGTCGTCATCGCGGCCGCCGCCGTGGCGACGCTGCTCGCCGCTGTCATAGCGATGGTGCTGCGGCTCCGGCATTCCCATGCTGGGCGCGCCATAGCCGCTCTGACGGCGGTCGTCGTCGTCGTGGTCGGCCTCGCGTCGCCGGCCGCCTCCGCCGGCGCTCTGACCCTGGCTGGCGATGTAGCCGCCAGCAGCGCCGAGGATGCCGCCCTGCGCCTGCAGCTTGTTGCCGACGTAGCCCTGCACGCTGTGCGCCATGTTGGTGCCCGCTTCGTAGCCCTGCTGGCCCTGCGGGGCGTACTGGCCCTGGTTCATGCCGCCGCCGCCGTGCGAGTGCGGCTCGGCCTTGCCCGAGCGCGTGTTGGTGTGGGCGCGGCAGCTGCCCATGTCGAGGCGGCGGATCGAGTCGCCGTTGGAGCGCGCCCAGCCCTCCATGTACTGCATCATCTCTGCCTGCACTGGGTGGCACCGGCTCGGGTTGAACCAGTTAGGCTGTAGTGTGCGAGTCAGCGTGGCTACGCTGCGGCAACAAGCCGTGGTGTGCTCACGTGGAACCAGCCAGCCAGACACTCGTCCGCCACGGCATCGGGGTTGCCCTCGCCGTCCCAAGCCTTGACCACGAGCTGGAGCACGCGTGGGTGAGCGAAGCGAGACACTGCATGACGCGTCGACCTACCTGCACGGTGTGGCGCACTGCGATGCGTGCCAGGTTGCCCGCCGTCTCGTTGAGGCTGCAGGATATCAGCAATGAGGAATTGATGCATCAACCAGGCAGACCTGCTCACATCAGGCCGAAATGGTCCTTCGAAAGCTGCGAGTGGGTGGGATCGCTGGCGTTCGGATTCTCGTACACCTCCTGCTGGTCCTCGCCGCTGACGACCGCGGCGGACGTCTGGTGCAGACCGCCCATCGCCTGCTGCACAAGAGGCTTGACAAACGGCTCGAGGAGCGAGAGGACGAAGACGGACAGCGAGTTCGTGATCTTCTCGACAAGCGCCGACATGCCGGGGATCCTGCGAAGGCACATGAGCCTGGGCTGGCTTCAGATATCTGCAGCCACACTCACTTCTCAATCGTCGTCTCGATCGACATCATGACGCGGTCGCGGAACGAGAGAATCTTGAAGAGGTTGTCATACACCTCCTGCGGGTTCATCTGTGAGGGGTCCTTGGCAGGGCCGCGCGAAAGCTCCTCGGCGTCGCGCGTCGTGTTGCTGCCGCCGCCGCCGGGGATGCCGCTGAGCAGGCCGAAGAGCGTCTGCATGGCGCCGCCGCTGCCGCTCTCGCCGCCGCGCTGCTTGCTCTTGGCGCCGTCGACGGCCTTGGAGAGGTCCGAGATCGAGGCCTCGCTCATGTGGTCCTGCGCCTCGCCGAGCATCGAGTGCATGAAGTCGGCGCCGCCGAAGGTGCCGGTGACAAGAGGCGCGCACTGCGAGCCGTCCGGGGCGCGGACCTTGACGTTGGCGCCGACGTGGCAGAAGACCTGCCGGTGTCCGAGCTTCACGACTGCGGACCTGCCGTTAGAACAATAAGGCTAGAGAGAGGCCGGTGGACTCACGGGCCAGCTCGCAGAAGTTGCTGTGCGCGCTAAAGTCCTCGATCGTGTCTGCGTGCGGCGTCAGCAGAGCCGCAAGTGCTCCCTGGGCGCGGACACTCACGCAAGCCCTGGCCCAGCAGGCGGTACGCCTCCCACTCGTCCTCGGCGCGGCCGCTGCGGCGCGACTGGCGGCCCATCTCGATGCACTTGACGAGCGTGCGGCGCACAAAGGCGCTGCTCGTGTCGAAGCCCTGGCCCTCCTGCGCGATGTAGGCCTTCATGCCGCTGCGCGGGTCGACGGCAAGCTCGCGCTGCTCGTCGACAGGGCCGCGCAGGCGCGAGTCGTACTTGCGCGCATCCTCGCCGGCGGCGTAGCCCTTGGGGTTGTCGATGTGCTCCACGGGCAAGTACACGCCGAGGCGCTCCATCGTCACAAGGAACGAGCCGGTAGCGTAGCCGTGCGCCAGGAAGCCGAGCACCATGACGATGTTGAGCACGCTCATCTTCTCCATCTTCTTGAGCGCGGCGACGTCCATGGCCTGCGAGTAGTCGCGCAGCCAGTTGCCGAAGTACACGCGCTTGATGTCCAGTCCGCCAAACTTGCTGCCGCCGCCGAGGCCGAGGAAGCTGCCGCCGGCCTTCTTGGCGAGCTCCTCGAGGATGTCCTCGATGTCGCCGTGGCGGAAGGCCTTGCCCTCGAGGTACGAGAAGGAGGGAATGTTGCCGGCGCCGAACGCGGCGGCGGCGGGCACGAGCGAGAGGGCGACGAGCGCGAGGGCGACGAGGAGCAGCGTGGCGGTGTGGCCGCCTGCGCGGCGGGTGCGGCGGGGTGCCGTCATGGTGTGTGTGGTGGGGTGAGAGGGTGTGGTGGGTGGGAGCATCGAGTGTCGTGTGCGCACGGCCCGCGGCGGCATGTGCTGGCAGATGCGCACGGTGACGCGCGCGCGCGCAGCCGAGGCGCGAGCCTTCTTCTCCTTCTCGCGCCTGCGTGTTCCGCGCGTGGCGGTGCTGCTGCACAGGTGCTGGTGGAGGTCCCGGCAGCACTTTTCACGCCGGCCACTTCACTCTCCGGCTCTGCCCCTCAACTCAGCCTCTGGTGTTGCACGCACGAGCTGGAGGCACAAGGAAGGAGACCAGGTTGCTCTGAGGTTGCAGACCGCAAGTCGAGTGCGACAGCAAGTCCTTCACAGAGGGACGACCAGGGCTGGCAGAGCTGCATTTATACCTGCTACCCCTGGAAAGCCAGGCCCGCCTTCTTCACCTCGACGTTGCCGGCGCCCACATGTCCTGTGCCTTCGCGCTGCAGTGCAATCACGTCCTTGGCGGGGTCCTTGATCGCCTTGGAGCACTCGAGGCACACCGCCTTCTCCCCGCGCTTGCCGAGCAGTGTCGTGGTGCATGCCGTGCAGTACACGTGGCCGCATCGCCGCAGCACTGCAAGGATTGTGAGTCCAGGCGTTTGGAGGGAGTGGCAGGGTTGACTCACCGTTCAGTGTGCTGCTGTTCGTGATCGCCTTGCGGCAGCTCGGACATGTCGGCTTGCCGTCGGTCGGATCTGGCGAGAACTTGACGTCGACCAGCGCCTTGATGCTGAGGGCCAGAAGTCGAAGTCAGCATGCAGACTATGGCCTGGACAGCACGCCAACTCACGAGCTCTCGTGTCCATGCTCGCTGCCGACGAGGCACCTTGGCTTGGTCATCTTGGCCGCCTCCTTCTTCAAGTCCTCCAGCTCGCCGCTGCGCGCCGTCGGCGTCAGGCTGGGCAGCCAGTAGGCCGGGAAGCGGGCACGCTTCTCTGCCGCCTGCTGCTCCAGCAGCTCGGCTTCTGCAGCGTCTGATGCTGCTGCGGCTGCGGCTGCGATGCGCTCGGGAAGCGAAGAGATGCCGCTCTCTTCACGAGCGACCAGCGCACGCGAGGAGGAGCCGGAGCCGGAGGCCACAGCAGCACGTGGTGACGGCGATCTTGAGCGACGCCGAGCTGTGAGGAAAACGTCAGCCCAGCTTCACCAGGATACAGCGCACATGCGCATCGGCTGGGCCATGATCGCTTCTGCCTCAATCGAATGCCATCGCGTCCATCGCGCAGCCACGCAACACAGTTGGGCGCACTCACCGAGGCTGCTGCCCGCCTGTGACCGCCCACCGAGCGCCGTCTGCCGCTCGAAGTCGCACAGCACCTTCTTGCGCGCATCCTCCCGTGCCCGCTCGCGCTCCTCCTCCTGCTGCCGCTCGAGGCGTGCCAGCTCGTCGCGCGTGCGCTCGATGGCCGCCGTCTGCTCGAGCGCCGAGGTGAGGGCGCACTCGCGGCAGGTGAGATGACCCTGTGCGCATGCCACAGGCAGATGCGCCTCGTCGAGACAAAGGGCGCACTGGTTGAAGCGGCGCATCGAGTCGGCGCTGCGGCGAGGAGGTCAGCCAGGTCCCACGCATGCTTCCCTTGCTCGCGGCCCGGCTCACCCCAGGCGCGCCGACTTTGTGCCGTAGCGCCCGGCGAGCATGGCGCGCTCGCCGGACGTGAAGTAGCCGCGCGACGTGTTGTTCTGCGAGTGGCGCGGCATGGTGCGAGGGTGTCGGGTTGGCTGGCGAGGTGTGGAGGAGGATGAGCGAGGCGAGCGGCGGAGTCGTGTGCCAGCCAGGCGCTGGAGGCTGCGCTCGAGGCTTACGTCAGCAGCAGCGGACCCCGGATGCAGCTGCAGCAAGCGCAAGCCCAGACCCGCGGCCCGCCGCCGCTTCGGGCAGGTGCCGATGCAGGTCCGCTGCGCCTTGCTCTTGTGTGGGCGTGTCGCCGAGACAGCGGCACGGCAGCAGAGCGAGGCCAAGGCGGCGCGGACAAAATGGGTCGGCTCCGGCGCGCTAGAAAGGCGAGCAACAACGAGGCGCCAAGGCAAAGTCACCTGCTCCTCGGCTCCCTCTCACCCGACCCCCTCCCATCCCCTGCACCGCCGCCATGGGCACGCTCGCGCCGCGCGCTGCGCCGCCTGCTGCACGCAGCGACTTCGACAAGCGCCGCTCGCTCCTCACGCGCATGCGCGACGGCCTGCGCCCCGAGCCGCCGTCGCTCGACAGCAGCCTCGGGCGCAGCGCACACGCCCACGCCGCACACCACCCTGGTGGCAGCACGCCCGAGCTTGGCGATGGTGGCGCGCACAAGGGTGGCCCACGCCGGCGCTTCTGGGGCGGCAAGCGGGTGAGCAAGGAGTAGTGATCTGGCGGCGCAGTCGCTGACCTCTCGCAGCCCACCGCCGAGGCCGCACCGCCGCTGCCGCAGGCGCCGCCGGTGCTGTCGCTCGCATTCGACGACGAGCCGGCCGCTGCGCAGGTGCAGCCCGCGCCGGCGCTCTCCAGCACCGCGCAGACGGCACCTCAGTCCAACAAGGCGCAGCGTCCGGCCTCGGCGGACGTGAAGCGCACGGCATCCACCGGCAAGCGGCGCGCCGGGCGGCACTCCGTCGACGCACAGCCCACGCCCGCCGCGGCTGTGGCGCTGGCCGTCAAGGCCAAGCCTGCCACGCCTGCGCAGCGCCTGGAGGCGCACAAGTCGGCGCGCCTCAGCGTGCCGCAGGCGCAGGAGCTGTTTGCGCTCTGTGCTCAGGAGATCCGGATGCGCGGTGAGTAGTGCGTGGTCAGCCCGGCCCACCGCATTCTGACGCCGGCGCACAGGGCTGGCCACTGTCGGCATCTTCCGGCCCTTCCGCCTGGCCGAGTCGCCCGAGCGCGTCGAGCGCTTCGTGGAGCTCTTCCTGCTGCACAGCGAGCCCGAGACGTACGCGCGCATGTTCTCTGTGTTCGAGGCGAATGCGGCGCCTGGCTCGTCGGCGCTGTACTTTGACACGCTCGGACGGCCAGATGCCTACCAGGAGCTGTTGCGCAGTCTTTCCTACGCGAACATCCACGATGTGAGCAGCAGCACCGATGTGTCGCGCGATTTCACGCTGACACCGGCATGCAGGTGGTCGGACTCTTCAAGTGGGGTCTTCGGCGCCTGCGTCTGCGCGCCTCTGACCTGAACAGCTCAGACCAGTACGGCTGGTACAGCACCTTTGCCGAGGCCGAGAAGAGCGCAGGCTACCCGGCGCGCGCGTTCTCAGAGCTGCTGCTGCCTGCGCTGCCAAAGCCGACCGCGCAGCTGCTCGCCGACCTCTTCGACCTGCTCGGCACCCTTGCCGCGCACCACATCGCCAACGCGATGCCCGCGCATCGCATCTGCCGATCCGTATCCTTCTGGCTGTGGGGCCGCGGAGGTGGTCTCGTCGACCACCCGCCGTCCACGCTGGAGGAGCTGCTTGCAGCATGCGAGCGCGCAAGCCTCGTCACGGAGCACCTGCTGCTCGCGCACATCCGTGACCAGGGCGCATCGGTGCACAGCATGCCGACGCGCCTACTCGAGCTGGTGCACAGCTATCCCTACCTGGCCGGGGGCGCCGACGCGCCTTCGTTGCCGCCGGCGTTCAGAGGACGCGAGCAGCGCGCGCTGCGCATCAAGCTGCGCACCGAGAACGTGGCGCTCTCGGCCAAGCGCCCGCGCACACCGAGCGACACGCTGCGCGCGGCGTGCGGCGCCACCGTCACGGACACCGAGAGCAGCGCAGAGATGGACGACTGGGCTGCGATCGTCGCCTACGCCGCGCTTGCACCCGACGTCGATGCGGTGACTGAGCTGCGCGCCGGACCGCTCGCCGGTGGCCTCTCGCCGATGAGCCCGTCCTTCAGCGTCGCCAACACAGTGAACTCGCGCGGCACGACGGCTGTGGAAGACGAGCAGACCACCGACATGCGCCGAGAGCTGGCGCTTGGCACAGAGGAGGACGCGCGCATCCTGCGCATCACAGCCGACGTGCTTGCTGCGCGTCGCGCGGTCCTCGATCCCTCCGACAAGCCCACGCCCATGCCTGAGCCCGCCAAGCCGCAGCCATGGAGCGACTCGATGATGCAGATGCCCAAGTCGGACTCTTCGCAGTCGCTGGCTGGGCGCACTAGCCTGCAGTCCAGCGGCAGCGTCTCTGAGTTCGGCGCCATCGGGACCGCGCGCACCTCGCTCGAGCCGGCGATGACGACCTCGGGCAGCCTGCGCGGGCGGACGAACCTTGGCACGCTCGAGGAGGACGACGCCAACTGGAAGGACTTCTCCGCGTCTGGCTTCGCCACCAACGGCGCCGCCTCGACCGATCTGCAGCTCACGGAGGTGGTGAAGGAAGAGCCGGCGGCCGCCGCAGCCGAGGCTCCCCGTCCGGTCGCACGTCGTCAATCCTCGTTCAGCTCTGTCAGCAGGAGAGGCAACCGCAAGAGCAAGGCTGTCGAGCCGTTCGACGGCCCAATTGTGCCGCCGCCGGCGCCGGTGTACACCGTGACGCGCGTGGCGACGATGGGCTTCGATGAGGCGCTCGTGGCGCTGTGGCAGGACCAGCTGCTCGACCCGGCCGTGTGCGCCTCCTTCCCGCCGCTGCTCTTCATGCAGCTCAACGCCAAGACGGCCTCGCGCATCCTCACCGCCGGCATGGGCATGCAGGCGTCAAGCTGGCTGTGCATCGAGGAGCACATTACGCCTCCGCGCCCGGCCCTGCCGCCGTCACACGCCGGAGGACACGGCCGTGATCGCAGCGACGCGACCTCCGAGCGCCGCTCGCTGTTCGCGCCAAGCTTCCGCTCCATCACCAACAGTCTCTTCAAGGCGTCTGGACTGCGCCGCGTTGCGTCCTACCTGCCCAGCAAGAGCAGCCGCAGCGAGGGCAAGCAGCCGCCGACGAGCGCCGATGCCGTGCAGGCGAGCATCTCGGCGCGCACTCTTGAGGCCGAGTCCGACGCGGAGAGCGCCGCGCCGCGCTCGTCTGCGCCCGTGTCCCCGACGCGGACAGCCGAGCGCACCGTCAAGCGCAAGCCTGTCGCAGCAGCCAATGGCGCGTCGAACGGCCACAGCGACACTCCGCGCTTTGCCACGCCCACCACGACGTTCGACGCCGAGCCGGAGCGCCAGAGCGAGCGCGCCTCCAGCCAGTACGTCGACGCGCCGAACTAGCCTTTGACTCGCATTCCCCCGTCTCCCTTTCCGATACCCTGTCCGCCTCTCGTGATCCTGTCGTACTTTATCTCCCGCGCCTCGCGGTGCCCTATTGCCTCCTGCCTCTGCCATACCTTGCCACTCTGCGCTACCCCTGCGCTCCTGCTCATGACTCCTGATAATGGTATGCCTGTCACATTGACAAATCACAACACTGAGGAGACGGGCGTCAGCAGATGACCGGACCGGAAGGCACATGAGAGGCGCGCCTGCGATGCAGGGCACGGCAAGTGCTGATGGGCCCGCTCCTCCCGCACCGACACGACCCGGCACCGTCTGCCCATCCTGCCCACACCGCAGCCGCCTGCCGCAAGTACTCACTGCGCCTCTTCTTCGGCCGGACGCCGCCAATCTTGATGTTGGTGGCGTCGCGCATGCCCACCACCCTGGCGCGCACGTACTCGCCCTCAGACGACGTGAGGGCGCGGAAGACGGCGTCGCGGCCCTGGCCGAAGCCCTTCCACACAACGTCGAGCTTGATGTCGCCGAGCTTGCGCTCGGCCGCCTCGAGCGCGGCGAACATCGTCGTCGCGGCGCGGTAGCCGGCCTCGTAGCCCGAGCGCGCCGACTTCTTGAAGCCGGCCGTGCCGCCCGACGTGCTCATGATGGTGCCGCCGGGGTGCTCGCGCGCGTCGTGCGGGCGCGCGAGGGTGATGATGGTGTTGTTGCGCGACGCCTGCACGTGCAGCTGGTGCGCGGCCGCGTCCGCCTTGAGCTGCCGCTTCCTGTACTGCGACGAGCCGACGCCGCGGCTGCCCGAGCTGGCGCCGGGCATCTCGGCGTACGCATCGGCGGCAAAGGCGTCGGCGCGGTCGACGTCGGAGAGCAGGTCGGCGTCGCCGACCCGGCGCGGCGCTGACGAGGAGACGCTGCGCGAGGCGCCGGCAGCGCTGGCACGCAGCAGGCTCGAGCCGGGCGCTGCTGCTGCAGCGCGCAGGCTGCGGAGCGAGACAAGGCCGAACATGGTGTGAGGAGTGGGTGGAGCGAAGGCAGGAGCGGCGCGGCGGCCGACGCTGAGATTTGGCGGCGGCAGGTCACGTGCTGCGGCGGACGGGCGCCTCTTCCCGCTGTGCCTGAGGCTGGCCTGGCGGCGCCCGCTCCGGCGCGCGTCCCGCAACCGCATCCCCCGCTGCCGGCACGAGTCGATGCGCACGCCAGAAATGCTGCCGGGACAGGACAGATCGAACGCTCACCTGACTGCTGTCACTTGCGGCGGTCGGGCCAGAGCCGGCGGGACAGGGATGGGCAGGCGGCGCGCGGCAAGTCGCCGCACCGCCTCGTCGGCAGCGCTGCGCCGCCCAAAAGCCCGGGCCGCGCGGCGGCGCCAGATTAGCCGTGCGGGCGGTGCGCGGCGCGGCGGCGGCGGGCTGCTCCACCTCGGGCCGTGCGCGTTCACGCTCTCACATCCGCCACCTGTCACCCTCTCACCCTGCCTGCTGCACAGCACACGCTGCCGCGTCTCGTCCTCCTCGACCCCTGCAGCACAGCTCAGCCGCACGGCGCTGCCTCACGTCCGCCATGGGCCTCCTCACCCGCCAGCCAGAGAGCTACGGTGCGTGCGGCGCTGCATCCGCACCGCGGCAGCTCGCGCGACTGACACGGCGTGTGCAGTCAAGAAGAAGCAGTACACGTTCAACAGGACCCTCGGCGAGGGCAGCTTCGGCCTTGTGAGCGGCGGCGGTGCTGTGACTCAGCGCATCCAGCTCACATCTCTCAGGTGCGCTCGGCGACGTGGAATGCCGCCGACCCGCCCATCGGCGTGGCCGTCAAGGTCATCAGCAAGAAGATCCTCAAGGGCCACGATGAGATTGTGCAGGGCGAGATGGACGTGCTGAAGGTGAGCGATGATGTGGGTGGTCGTAGTGGTGGGGCAGGCGAATGCGCGGCACCGAAGGCGAGGAGAGCGAGACGATGCGCCGCGGATTCGCAGGCATTCTGACTCTGGCACGGCGGCTGACCGCCATCACGACAGGGCCTGGACCAGCCGCACGTGGTCAAGTTCCTCGACTGGTTCGAGTCGAAGGACAAGTACTACCTCGTCTTTGAGGAGGCCACTGGCGGCGAGCTCTTTGACCGCATCCTGGCGCGCGGCCGCTTCACCGAGGTCGACGCCTGCCGCACCATCCGTGCCGTGCTTAGCGCCATCGACTACCTGCACCGGCACAACATCGTGAGTACGCCGCACGCTGATGCTGTTGGTATGTGCCCGGTCTGACCGAGCATCGCTCAGGTGCACCGAGATGTGAAGCCGGAGAACATCTTGTATCGCTCGCAGAACGAGGACGCGAATGTCGTGCTCGTCGACTTTGGCATCGCGCGGCATCTCACGGACGAGAACGAGATCCTGACGAACGTGTGCGGCAGCTTCGGCTATGCTGCACCCGAGATTCTCGCGAAGAAGGGCCATGGCAAGCCGGTCGACATGTGGTCGCTGGGCGTTATCACTTACACGATGTGCGTGTGGTCGAGACGGTAGCTCTGGCCGCCTAAGCTGATTGCTCTCCGCCAGGCTCTGCGGGTATACGCCATTCCGGTCCGACGACCCGGCCAAGCTCGCAGCAGAGACGCAGCGCGGCAAGGTCGAGTTCCGTAAGTGTTGCTGTGTAATGACTGGCTTTCCGGCGCTGATGCAATTGCACGTCAGACGACCGCTACTGGAAGAACATCAGCCCAGACGCCAAGGACTTTGTGAAGCGCTGCCTGACGGTCGACCCATCACAACGCATCACAGCAGAGGAGGGTCTGAAGCACGCAGTGAGCAGTATCACGGCGTCAAGTGGCAGCGCATGGCACTGACGCATTGCGCCGCAGTGGCTGGACGAGAGCAGCGCCACGGCTGGCGCCTCGCACGACCTCAGTGTCGGCCTGAAGGAGAACTACCGCAAGCGGTGGCGGACGGCCATCAACATGGTGCGCGCCTCGACGCGCATGGCGGCGCTCGGCAAGAGCGGAGGAGCAGCGGCGCAGCCGAAGAAGTCGCAGTTCGACAGCGATACGGAGGACGAGGATGCGGGCTACCACACGGGCGACGACGGCGACGACGACGAGGCGACGGCTGTTGCGGTCGCCAAGCAGCAGGACGCTGCCAACGGCGAGACGCACCACGGCGGTCTGGCTGGGCTCGTCGAGAAGGTCGGCCATGTCAAGCTTGGCGGCCATGACGATGCAAAGTAGCGAGCGCTCAATTCCGCAGACTTCCTTGTCAGATCCCTTTCACACCCTGTATACTAGGCTCAGAGATGCATGCTTGACCACAAGGCGCAGGGCTGCTTCAACCAGGCCTCGTTGTGCGCTCACGACTCGCCGATGTGCTGGTGCTCGGTGCGAACGAGGATGCATTAAGGTCTATAAGATTCTAGGGCGAGCAGAATGGCTGCGGCAGCAGCAGCCTCGTCGGCAAGGCGAAGTGCCGCCGCTTGGCTGCTGAGATGCGAGGTGACACGGGAGGAGACACAGAGGAAGCGAGGCAAGAGACGAGGCGCTTACAGGCGCGCACGCGGGCCCTGCAGCTCGTCGCTCTTCTTGGGCGCCGCCTGGTAGTCGCCCTTCTTGCCGTCGTGCTTGGCGATGCCCGTCTCGTCACGCTCAACACCGAGCTCAATGCTGCGGACGGAATAGGTCTCAGCGAGCGGCCCAAGAGTTCCTGCTTTGTGCTACTTACAGCTTCGAGAACACGGCGGCGAAGTCCTTGAAGAAGAGCTCCTGGTCCTCGGCGTACTGCAGAGGCAGTCAGCAAACTGCCCTCTCCTTTGATGGGCGCCACGCCTGCTCACCTTCTCGACCCACGGGCGGAATGCATCGTCCTGCGTCAGGCTCATGTCCGTCGGCAGCATCATCAGCGGCTCGTCGTCCTCGTCCATGCCCGGCACGCGCGCAATCCACTGCCACTCGGCACCCTGCTCCTTGCGGCCCAGCTCCTTCTTCTGCCACTTGAGCTTCAGCAGCATCTTGTAGTACTGCGGGAAGGTGTGAGCAGACGCAGAGAGCGCGCGCGTGCTCGCCAGTGCGACTCACCTGGTTGGAGAAGCGCGTGGGGTTGTTGACCCAGGGACCCTCAAAGCCTGACCGGTCGGCGTGGCAGCGGCCGAGGTTGTGCGCGCCCGAGAGCGCCACAATCTCCTGGTCGTTGAAGCCCATGCGGTAGAAGATGTGCCGCAGGTGGTCGGCGGCCTGCGCCGCGTCGGGCAGGCGGCCGCGCGGCGGCAGGTTCGAGTCGTCGACGAAGTCGGTGCGCCCGGCCTGCCACTCGATCTTGGGGCCGTTCATGGCCTCGATGGCGACGACGCCGGCGAGAGTCCAGACTGTGTGGCTGGTCAGCAGTGGCCAGTGCGACTCGGGTGCAGCGCCACTCACGATCGGCGTACGAGATCCAGCTGTGCTTCTCCTTGATCGGCTCAAGGAACACACGCGCGTGCTGCAGGCCGGCGTTGGCCGGATCACCGCCCTCCTTCTCGTAGCGCATGCCGGCGCCGTTGGAGCCGCCGGTCTTGGTCTCGGCGCAGTAGGTGCCGCTGAATAGCGCCAGTGTGAGCGGTAGTGCTGAGTTTCCAAGGGCATGCTCGCCACCGCGCGCCAGGCTGTACCAGCCGCGCTGCGCCGCCGTGCCACAAGCAAGCAGCCTACTCACGACGAGTGCCACGCGAGGCGCACGAGCACGGGGCCGATGCTGCCGTCGTCGTAGTCCTTGTTCTTCAGGATGGCCATGATGTCCTTGCGGACCTCTGCGCGGACGCCGATCTGTCAGCACGCGGCGCGGCGCAAGTGGAGGCGGACGGAAGTGCGTATCGCAGCGCATGCCACACTCACGCTCGACATCCTCGGGCTTGTAGACCATGATGGGTGTGTGAGGTGGTGAGGTGGGGATAGTGGTGGTGTTGGAGAGAGCGATGCGGGGAAACGAGGCTGAGTTGGCTGTCGTCGTTGGGCCGCCACAGAAAGTGCGAGAGGGAGAGGTCGATCGAACGGCGCGTGAATCTCGCTGGGCGTCGGACGGAGGCAAGTCCGCCAGCGCCGCTTGGTCATCGCGAAATCCTCACTGCGCCGGCTCCGGCACGCCCGCGAGCCGCGCCGCACGACGTACGGCAGGCGCTCTACTCCGCGGCACTGATTGACATCACGTGACTCAACGCGCCGGTCCTCCCCACGACGTCTCCTCACACGCTGGCGCTTCACAGTGGAGCAGGGTAGATTGAGAGGCGGTATGTACACGGCAGAGGAAGCGCAAATAGGCAGGCGACGATGCACGGCACGCCGAGCGGTGCAGAGCGTGCCGCACGTAGGGTCGTCACGGGAGAGAAGGGAGCACGCAAGTCGGACGAGGCTTAGAACATGCAGTCGAGGCTGGTAGGGCACGAAAGTCAGCCTCGAAACAGAGCCAGACATCGACTCTGAAGACGCACCACATCTCCTCGGCGCAGCCTGTTCGCAAGGATCGGCGGTCAGAGGGGAGCGCTACGCAAGCCTCGAAGCGTACTCACAGCACAAGCATGCGCCCGCAAGACAGGCGCAGCAGCCCGTGCCTGCCGCCGCACCGCCGCCGCCCTTCTTCGCCGGCTGCTGCACGTAGACCTGTGAGAAGCGTCAGCAGGGGGTTCGGCCGGGGCATGCGTCTCGCACAGGCCGGAGACGTCCAGTGAGGCGCGCATGCTAGTCCGTGGCGAGCCAGCGAGACTGCCGAACTCTCGCAGTGCTGCTGCATCTGAGCGCGATGCCATCCCTCAGGAAACCTTGCCCGCACGCAAGGCCCGAGAGAGGCAGCCGCGATGCTCGCCATTGGCTAAGCCTCGCTAAAGGCACCACGTCGCACGCCATTTCACTCTCTCTCTCGCTCTCTCCACTCACGGGTTGCGGCTGCGCCTGCGGGTAGTAGCCCTGCTGCTGCTGTCCGTACGCCTGCTGCGGCTGCTGCGGCGGCTGTGTGCGCGCAGATCGGGAGGCGAGCGGCGAGGGGAGAGGCAAGGGTACAGTGAGCAAGCGCGCGCGCGCAGACCTGCCACTGCACTCACGTAGTAGCCGCCCTGCTGCGGGTATGCTCCGCCCTGCTGCGGGTAGCCGCCCTGCTGGGGGTAGCCGCCCTGCTGCGGGTATGCTCCGCCCTGCTGCGGGTAGCCGCCTGTCGAGCGTCTTGCGTCAGCGCTCTGGCGTGTTGCTGCTGTGTGGACCCTTGGCAAGCCAAGATGCACCCTCCTGCCCTCCAAGTCCCATCGCGCAGCCACATGCAGAGCAACTGCGGCCAGCATGCGGAGGTTTGACAGCGCGGCGTCGTGCGCGCAGCTGTCCGACCAGCCCGGAACGAAGGATGCGGAGTGCTTTGCTGTAGTGGCTCGCCGCGCGCACGTCGCACTTTCGCCGGGCTGCCAGCCCTGCTCTCGCCATCCATCCGTGCTGCGCTTCCCTCCCATCTTCGCGAGCGCCTCGACCCTGCGATGCGGTGCGCTGCCGCTCTCCAGCTTGCCTCTGCGGCACCGGCGTGCTGCTCACCCTGCTGCTGCGGCGCGCCACCGTAGTACTGTGCGGGAGCAGGCAAGTCAGCGTGCGTGCGCAGCATGGCTGGGGCACGACGGGCCACACGCACGTCCTTGGCCGACATGGATGCGATGGGTGTGGGTGAGGGTGAGGGTGGTGGGAGAGAGGTGAGGGCGGGCGTCGTGGACGCGGAGCAAGAGCGGGCGACGTGGATGGGCGCTGAAGTGAGGCGCGCGGCGGCACCGCCCACGTCCGCACGCGCCGCCGCTGTGCCGGCATCTCGCGCTAAACGGGCAACGGCGGCGGCCGAGCGGCACGCCCGCCGTGCCCTCTCTGACTCCGACGCCCCGTGCCCTCGCAGCGCTCTCGCCTCATCTCTCTCCGGCCGGCACGCCGCGGCACAGCCTGCATGGAGCATCGGCTCATCTCAGCGGCGCGGACGCAGCAGCACCCAGCCTCAGAGCGGCAGGCGGCAGCCGCAGCGCATCAAGAGAGACGCGCGAAAAGGGGACGATGCCGCAGCCGATGCCGCGGGCGCCGCCGCCGCCGAGCCGCCGGCATCTGCATCTGCTGCGGGGTGCCGCCGCGTTCCCTCGACGCCACGCTTCTGCAGCGGCACCCAGCGGTCTGGCCCCGCCCACCGCCGCCCTCTGCTGCATGCTGCGCCGCACTCTGACTGCGCCAACAAGCTCAGCCGCACTGGCGAGCCGGACTCTCCGCTGCGCCGCTGCTGACGCTTCCGTCATGCCCGGACCGGGATGCGCAAAACGCGGGAGAGGAGGCGGGCAGCCACGACGTGGCTCCGACGGCACAGCATCAGGAGGAGCGCCGCAGCAGGCCGAGATGTGGCTGTGCCCGCTGCCCGCTCCCGAGGCGAGGATCGCACGCTCGCACTCCACCTCCCGTCTCTTGCAAAGCAGAACGGCGAAGGCATGGTACATTGCGGATCGTGTCGAGGGTCGTGGAAGGAAGGAAGCGTGACATGGGAGTGAAGCGAACATGAGGTGAGGTGGGCCGAGACGTGAATATGAAACAGGACTGAACGTGGATGATGGATCGTGACAGAGTGAAGCAAGAGAGTTCGTGACCGCGGGTCAGAGGAATGAGGCGTGTTCAAGTCGTAGGTGTGTCGGAAGCAGAGCCCTCTTCGGGATGCTGCACCGTGATGGCCGGCACTGGCGCGGCAGCCTGCGCAGTCGTGCTCGACGATGGCGAGCGGATCGGCGAGCGAGCGTCGGTGGGCGATGTGGCTGATGCCTCTCGCTCAAGGCGAGCAGCACGCTCGTTGGGCAGCAGCAGAGGTGCGGGACGAGGAGCGCCGAGCCGTGGAGGCTCCGAGGCCGCAGCGGGTGTCGTCGGCGCGCTGTTGGTTGGTGAGGCGACTTCCTCCCTGACGCTGAGCGTGTCCCACGCTGGCGGAAGGTCGGTGCTGCTCGCTGCGTTGGCCACCGGCATGGCGTACAGGCCAAGAGACTCCACTGACGCCAGGAAGCGCAGTTGCTCGGGCGTCGGACGTGCGTTGGATGGCAGGTTGAAGCTCGAGCGCACCGCGCTGCCCTCGATGGGGCGCGAGATGACTCGGCCCAGAGGCGTGCCGGCGCCGCTGCTCGAGGCATCATCGGGAAGCAGAGACGTGCTGCTGGCCATGCCAGAGCCGATGAAGCGCGGCAGCGTGTAGCTTCCGATTGACGGACGAGAAGGCGTGGGTGCAAGAGACGACATGCTCGACAGCACCGACGCCGAAGAGCCGAAGCGCCGGTGCGTCGCTGGCGCCGTGCGAGGTGCCTCGAGGTCGCCGATGCGTCCGGCAGAGCGAGATGCGGCGTGTCCGCGGCGCGGCACAAAGATGTTGCGCAGCGTCGAACGGCGACGTTCCGGCGACGCTGCAGGCGAGGCGCTGTGCGGATCGAGTGGCTCGTCTGACCGTGCGCTGCTGGTCGGATAGAGCGTGTCGTAGTCCGGCGACTCCTCGGTCGGGACGCTAGGCGCCTCGATATCCTGCGCGTCGTTCTCCTCTGGACCCTCCATGCGCATCATCTCGTCCTCAGCATCTTCAAATGCGCGCGAGCCGCCCAGGGATCTGCGCAGACTTGCACGCACGTTGCCGATGATGCTGCGGCGGCTGGCGTGCGAGCCCTCGCGGCGCGGTGCACCGTCTGACTGCAGCAGAGGCCGTGCAGTGGCTGCAACATCGCGCTGTGCTTCGCGCTGCGTCGGCGTCTGCGGCATGGAGAAGCGTGAAGCCCGCCGCGTGGTGTCGCGAGACGCATCGTCGGTGCTGGAGTCTGCGGAGAGCGTGACGTCGAAGGACGAGGTAGTCTCCGCTCTGAGTACGGCGCGTGAGCAGTTGGCAACAAGCACTGGGATATCGGCGAAGTGGGCTCGCAAGCTTGCAATGCCGCACAGGTCACGCATACGTCGCACACAAGGCTCGAGCACACTCACTTGTACAGCACCAGCTCGCCGTCATTCGCGTCCTCGTTGTACGCCGGAATCGTCTTGACGCTGTGGCCGCTGTCGGTGCGGCGCAGGCGCAGGCGTCGACGCCGCTCCCGCGCGCTCTCCTGCGCCGGCGGCTCGGGCGTCTGTTCCACGGCTAGCTCTGGCAGCGCAAAGAGGCGTGCCAGCCATCCCGCCGCGCCGGCCGAGTCGTTGGTGCCAGACGCATCGACGCCAGACTGCGGCGCCGCATCGTCGCCCTGCGAGCTACGTGCGGCGGTACGGCGCCGGAGGAGGCAGATGAGGACGAACACGAGGATCGCCAGCACGCCGAGGATCACGCCGAGGATCACGCCCAGCGGCGCATGCTGCTTCGCGGGCGATGCGATGCTGGTGTTGAGCACGGCCGTCGCGCTGCTGCTGGCGGTAGCCGTGGTGTTGGTCTGCTGCCGGAGCACGAGCGACATGGCGAGCGGTGATCTTCAGGAGCAGAACGGACGCGGCATGGAAGGGTGCAGACAGTGGATCGTGACGAGAGGGCGTTGCGATAAGAGCCGTCGGACGAGGAGCGAGACGTGGAGGATGTGGCCGGGAGCAGAGGGGACAGAGCGCAGGGACGAGGCGAGATGTGGTCGGGAGTGAAGCGTCGAGTGGCTTGGCAGCCGGAAGCGAGGCCAGCAGAGCGGGCCGCAGAGAGGCAGAGGAGACGGAGAGGGGCGTGGGCGTGAGACAAGCGGCGCCGGCAGGCACACGGCACCCTCGGCACGGCGCGCCGCCCCCGCCGCGCACGGGGCGCACCGCCGCGAGCACCAGCGCAGCCCTCTCTCTCCAGCATCACAGGCCGGCTGCTGCAGCGACCTTTCCCTCGATCGCACTCAGATCATGGCCAAAGCGTTGAGGAAGGGTCATTAAACTCTCAGCTACGCGCGCTGTCAGGTGTCAGACGTGCCGACCTCTCAGCTAGGCGGGCGAGACAAGCCACGCCTCCACCGCGATCAGCCCCTCGCGCTCTGCGTTCTGCAGCACAGCGCACTTTTCGGCTGTCCTTTGGCCCCGCCTCAGCAAAAGGCCCAGCATCAGGCTCAGTGTCGTCTTCAGGCAACAGCTCTCCGCTTAGCGGAAGCGTCCCGGCGAGCCAATCGCTCCTGCGAGGATGCCCACACGGCGGCCTGTGCCGGCTGGTGAGGCTGTGCTGGCGCGGCGGAGCTTGTGCGCCTTTCTTTGTGTGCTTCGGCGGCGCCAGGCACGCTGCTCCCACGCTCAGGCATTGGCTGGCGCGGCTGAGTCAGCAGGCGCCCGCCAAGGGCACCTTCTCGCGGCGCCGCCTTCTTGCCTCGCAACCGCCATCTCACACCTCGATGTCCCTCTGCACCGGCAGCCTCGTCGGCCTCCGCCTGGCAGCCGCGGGCGGCGCCGGACGTGCCAGCGCCGTGCTGCGCCTTGGCCTGCGCGCCGCGCCGCAGCTCGGCGCTGCCGCTCCTGTGCGGCGAGCACTGCTGCACACCTCGCCGTGCCAGCCAGCACTGCGTCTCGGCCTCAGCGCTGCGCCGTCTGCTCGCTCCTCGATCCTTGCACAGCTGCGCCAGCTTCACTCCACTTCGCGCTCGCCTGCTGGCAGTGCCAGTCTCAGCGCCGACGCTGCAGCCGCATACAGCGAGCCAGCAGCTGCCACGGCTGCCGCTACAGCGTCTGCACCCGCCGACTCGCACTACTCTGACGGCACGTCGCCGTGGGTCGCAGCACACCTCATCGCTACATTCGTCCTCGTCTACGCCATCATTGTCGTCGGCGGCCTCACGCGCCTTACCGAGAGCGGCCTCTCGATCACCGAGTGGAACCCGGGCATGAAGGGCATGCGCCTGCCCAGCTCGCAGGCCGAGTGGGAGGCCGAGTGGGAGAAGTACAAGGGCACGCCCGAGTTCGTCCTGTGAGTCAGGTGCTGTGTAGCGCACGCGGTGGAGCCATTCGCAGCGGCAGTGCCACTGACGTGCTTCACAGCCTCAACCAGCACATGACACTCGACGACTTCAAGACCATCTACGGCTGGGAGTGGGGCCACCGCATGCTCGGCCGCTTCATCGGCGTCTTCTTCGTTGTGCCCGCCCTTGCCTTTGCTCTTACCGGCGCTGCCGGCCGCCGCACGCGCTGGAAGCTGCTCGCCATCGCCAGCGGCATCGGCTTCCAGGGCGCGCTCGGCTGGTATATGGTCAAGTCGGGTCTGACGGCGCCGGAGATTGCGCCCACGCACCCGAACAGCACGGCACGCCCCGACGGTCAGCAGCGGCTCGATGCAGACTCGAAGACCGCCGAGTGGACGCCACGTGTCTCGCACTTCCGTCTTGCGGCGCACCTCGGCACGGCCTTCCTGGTCGGCCTCGGCTGCCTGCACACGGCTGCCGTCATCCTGCGCCCAGGCATGCACGCTCGCCTTGCCTCGCCGCTGGCTGCTACGAGCAAGGCACTCGCTGCGCCAAGCGTGCGGCGATATGCAACGGGCACGCGGGCCATCACCGCCTTTGTCTTCTTCACCGCCATCTCGGGCGCGCTCGTTGCCGGCCTCGACGCCGGCCTGGTGTACAACGAGTTCCCGACGATGGGCGACGGACGCATTGCGCCGCCCATGGACGAGCTCATGGAGGACAAGTACGCGCTGCACGACCCGGACGCTGCTCCAGGCGCGGGCCGCTCAACGTGGCGAACGGCGGTCGGCAACTTCACGAGCAACCCCGTTGCCGTGCAGCTGGCACACCGCACGCTCGCCATCTCGTCGCTCGTGCTCTGCCTCGGCGTCGGCTGGCGCGGCGCGCGTCTTGCGCGCATCGCTCGCGCACAGGGCAACCCGCTGCCGCCCGCCGTGCCACGGCTAGCGGTGCTTGCCGCGTCGCTGGCCTCGCTGCAGGCCAGCCTCGGCATCTGCACGCTCATCTACCTCGTGCCCATCGAGCTCGCCAGCGCGCACCAGGCCGGCGCTGTCGCGCTGCTCAGCTCGCTCGTCGCACTCGTTGCCAGCCTGCGTCGCGGACCAAAGACGCTGGCTCAGCCTCTCGCTGCCGCCGCGGCGCGCCCCCGCGAGCAAGTTGTGGCTCAGGCCTTGCGCAACGTGGCCAAGCCGCGTGCTGCCACGCAGCCCTCCCTCTAGACCGCCTCGCCTGCTCCTGTCCACCGCTCACATCATTGTACCTCTATTCTCATCCTGACTCGCAGATCTAATCGCACTCGTGCACAGCCAAGGGGTGACAGCAGCACAGGAACATACGCATTCTCAGAACACCTCGCTGTGGAACATATAGCGCGTGCCGGTGCCGTCGGCCGCGGCCTGCGCCGTCATGACGGCGCAGCGGTCGGCCAGCATCAAGCCCAGCGCCGGCGGCCCGCAGAAGAACACGCCAACCTTGCCGCCGGTCCACGCCATCTGGCGCAGCTCGGCGTCGAAGTTGTCGACAATGCCGCCCTCGCCAAGCGGGGGACGGCCAAAGTGCGTACGCGCCTTGAGGCCGGTGAGGGCGCTGTAGGGCCGCTCCTTTGTGCGGTGGTTGTCCAGCAGCGCGCGGAAGACGAGTGTAGAGAGCGACTTGCGCTTCTGCGTCACGTACGGCACAATGCGCAGGTCGAGGCAGCCCGGCGACGCCAGCTCGGAGCAGCGGTTGAGCAGCGTGCTGAACCACAGCAGGTCGTCCTTGGAGCGCACGCTCCAGTGGAAGTCGACGCGGCGCGGCGGGTGCGGCTCATGGTTGCCGTGCTCGCCCTCGTGCCGCACCGCAGAGCTGGGCCGGGAGTTGCCGCGGGACGACACTCGAGACGGCAGGCGCGAGAGCGAGCGCGAGAAGCTCGAGCGGCGGCGAGACAGCGCCCACGGGTCGCCGTTCGAGGCGTACTTTTGCTCGAGGTCGAGCAGGATCGCACTGAAAGGAGTGACACCGATACCGGCGCCGACAACGATGCTGAGAGGGTGTGAGCCAATGCTGGGCAGTCTCTTGTTCGGGCTGACTCACCAGCGGTCGAAGTCGTAGAAGCGCTGCGCAGGCGCGCCGAACGGTCCGTCCACGCCCACCTTGATCTCGTGGCCCTCCTTGCACACACCCTGCTCCTTCTCGAGCTTCTTCGCCAGCTCCTGCAGGCGCCCAGTCCAGTCGCCGTCGCTAGTCTTGATGTGCACCTGCAGGCGGTCCTTGACGCACGCCGAGATCGTAAAGGGGTGCCACTGCCAGCGCGAGAGCACCGGGACCTGCACAAAGACGTACTGGCCCGCCTCGAACCTCCAGTCGCCGCCGGGCTTCTGGCACGTCAGCGCGACAGTGTCGTCGTCGAGGCGCTTGATGCGAGCAGGCACCGGCCGGAAGCCGCGGATGACGCGGAGGCTGCGCTCGGCGATGACGAGCAGCACGGGCGCCACCAGCCAGTAGCCGAGCATCGGCGCCTGCAGCAGCTTGGCTGTGCCATGCGCGGCAAGGAAGCCGAAAAGCGGGAACATGAGGAGATGTGCCAGCTGGAAGATCTCGTAGCTCTTGCGGCGCACCACTGGCATCGACATCAGTGCGATCAGCCAGAACAGGCCGAACGAGGTCAGGCCCGTCCAGCCCGGGAGCGAGCGGATGTAGTCGTGATACGAGCGCGGCACGGCCGAAGGGCCGAGCAGGATGGCGAGATCGTCCTGCTGCGCCGGGCGCGAGCCGTACAGGAACGTGCCCGTCAGGTGGCCGATGGCATGCAGCGAGGCGAGCGCCAGTGCCGCGATGCTGATGTAGATGTGGAACGCCTGGTGCAGGTCCGAGTTGATGTAGCGCGAGAGGACGTAAAAGCGGCGCAGAAAGGTGAGCAGCCAGCGTGACATGGAGAGCACGAGGAAGAGCAGCGTCGGGTAGAGCGCGCCGGCGGAGGCCTTGGCCATGATGACGCCCCAGCCCTGCACAGGGAGTCAGCAAAGGAGCAGCAGGGCAGCCGGCGCCGGCACGCACCAGTGCTCTGCGTGTCTGGTCGGCTCGGATGTAGACGACCATCTGCCAGATGCCAAAGGCGAGCTGGCAGCAGACGACAAAGGCGACAAAGGCGTAGCGTGGGCCCTCGACGCTCCAGTGGGCGCGCGCCTTGCGTGCCCACGTCATCTTCTTGGTGTAGTCGTCGGCCTCGCGCGCATCCTCGCTCTCGTCGGTGCGGCGCTGCGACGGCAGGTTCCAGGTGCGCACCTGCCGCACGAATGCCGCGCGGTCGAGGCGGTCCACGCCGGCGGGCAGCAGCGAGAGGAGAAAGGCGTGCAGCTCGTCGTGGTCTGCCTGGTGTGCCGTGGTGCTGCCCGGCGTCGTCGTCGGGCCCTTCTCTGCGCCTGCGGGCGCCGCCTTCTTTTCGGCATCGGCAACCGCCTCAGGACCGCGCCGCAGCGGGTGCGTCAGGTGGTGCGCCTGCGGCTTGGGCGCCAGCTCGTCGTGCGCGGCCAGCAGCGCGGCCTCGAGCTCGGCGAAGGTGATGTGGCCGTCCTTGTCGCTGTCGAGCTCGTCGAAGAAGGCGCCGATCTCCTCGTCGCTCAGCGGCTCGAGAGATGGGTCGGCAGCAGGCATGGCGGCGGCGTGTGCTTGTCGAGGAGGTGGAGAGTCAGCGCAGCGGTGCACACGCAGCCGGCTGCCTCCTTATACTCCCCGGCGGCATCGCGCATGCCATCCTTTGCGGAGTCGGGGTGCGGCGAGCTGCTGCTGCTGCTGCTGCTGCGCAAACGTGCCGCCTCGGCGGCCGCGTGTGGCTGGCGCGCCTGCGCTTGGCGCCGAGCACGCGCCTCGACGATCTCGCAGCATGTTGGAGCGGCACCGCTGACAGCCGCCCAGTGGGCAGGCGCGCGTGATCTGGCTCTCTGGCCGCTTATCCGGCAGCCGGCGGCACGCAGGACGGGTGCTGACCCAGCGGCCGCACCTCAAGCGGCAGCGTGCGGGCTGGCGTCTCAGCGGAGGCACCGCACCGGCTGCGGTACGGCCAGCACATCTCGCGCACCTCCGAGCGGAGCCGCGTGTGGCTAGCAGTGACGTCAAGGGGCGCCTTGGCGCCAAAAATGCAGGCGGCATGCCGCTGCGCGCGTGCGCGCACCGCAAGCTCGCAGCAGTGTGCGCCGCGAGGCCCCTACGCGAAACTCGTCCCCGAGGGTGCTTCGAGGCCAAGCTGCCGGTCATCGGCGAGCTCGACACTTTCAGGGTCGCTCAAGCCACGTGCGCTGAAGCGAGAGGGTGGTGAGCAGCAGACAGCTGCAAACGGTGCGATATCGGGCAGGGCGTGGAGAAGCAGGCGATCCATTAGTCGTGCGCCTCCTCGTCCGTTCCCGGACACTGCTGCGCCAGCTCGTCGGCGTCGGCGTAGGCGCAGCCGCAGAAGAGGCAGTAGTGGTGCACGCTGCGCAGATGGTCCAGCGTGATGGCCAGGCGTGCGGCTGCCTGAGGAGCGAGGTGGTCAGCTCAGAGGCCATCACCTTCGTGCTGCTGCTTGGACACTCACTGGCAGCGAGATCCACCGCCGCGCCTCGTCGCGACGCTCCTGCGACACTCTGTCCTTTTCAGCCTCCTCTTCCGTGCGTATCGGTGCGAGCACGGCGTTGGGAACGAGCTCGTCGTTATCCGGCCCGAGCGCCATGTTGATGAGCTCCTCTGCCTCGGCCGGCGGCACACGGCCGGGCGCGAACCAGTGTGCGGAGAGCCAGAGCGGCGAGTACTGCCAGCACTGTGGTCAGCGTCCGATGTGAAACACCGCGCTGCGGCCAGGAAGCCGCGCATGGCCATCTCGACTCACCTCGGCACCTGCCTTGCGATCCAAGCTCTCGCTCGTGGTCCGCGCGCTGGCCAGCTGTCCCTCAATCTTGCGCTCCTCGTGCACGCCGCGCCGCTGCGCGCGGAACTCGTCCAGGCGCTGCTGCTCCGTCTTGGCCTCGCCCGCCTTGGCTGCTGACGACGCCGCGGCGGCCGAGATGGCACGCGACACGGCGGCACTGCCGATGCCCATGCGCGACGAGCCGAAGCGCTCGTCTGGCCGGATCGGCTGCACCACACCGCGCGCCGGCGGCGAGCGCGAACGGCGCCGCGAGCTGCTCGTCTCGCCTGCCGAGCTGCTCTCGTCCTCGGACAGGTCGGGCGAGCGGCTGCGGCGAGGCGGCACGCCACTGCCGCTGCCACTGGCGGCGGCGCTGCCGAGCGCGGCGCCGGGCACGTAGCCCATCTTGCGCATCATGGCCTGCGCCTTGCTCTCGCCGCGGCCGTCGTCGTACGAGGCCATGAGGTTGCGCTCGAGGCCCTCGAGGCGGCGCTCGCGCTCCTGCTCGGCCAGCTCGCGCTTCGAGAGCGTGCGCGGCGCCGGCTCGCGGCGCGGCGGCGAGCGCTTGCGGCTCTGCGGCGCCGTGCTCGTCGACGCGGCAGCACCGGCAGCGACGGCGCTGGCGAGAAAGGCGTCGGACATGAAGTCCTCCTCCTCCGAGTCAGACTTGCTCATGATGGGCAGTGGAGGGTGTGGTGGTGGGAGAGAGAGTGGACGGCGCAGTGGAAAGAAGGATGCACGGCGGCGCGGCGTCTTCCGACTCCCGGGCTGCGGGGACAGCGCGAGCACAGACCACAGCGGCGCACACCATCTGCCTTCCTTCGCCACCTCCATCACCTGCGCCCGCAATGTTGCAGCCTACCGGCCTCGAATCGACACTCTCCGCGCCGTCGACGCACCCGACGCTCAGCGTGCCGCTCTCGCCGCGCTACCTCTCGCCGCCCGCCGGCTGCGTGCCCTCGCTGCTGCTGCGGCTGCCGCCGGCCCTCTACGCCAACCCGCGCGACCTCACCGACCCGCTGCTCGACGACTGGACCTTTCTCGAGTCGCACGACGCCTCGCTGCGCCACGTCGACTGGCAGCACATCGACATCGAGCGCGCCGTCGGCTGGAGCGACGAGCATGCGCAGCTGCGCCGCCGCCTCGCCGTCGGCGACGAGCCCGATGTGTACCGCCCCGCAGAGGCAGCCCAGCCGGTGGCCAAGCGCAGCGGGGACACGATCCGCGTTGCGTCTGTGCTAGAGAGCGGCAGTGCCTCGCCGCCTGCTGCGCCAACCTCAGACGCCGAGCTGCCGCTGGCTGTCGAGCGACGAGCGCTCCTGCTAAATCTTAAGACGCTCGACCCCGCCGGCCTCGAAGACGACGAGGAGTACGAGACGCAGCAGCTCGACCTGCTGCTGCATGCACGCTACCTGCCGCCGCGTACCTCGGGCCACGCCGACCGGCATCTGCGCCCGTGGTGGCAGGTCGAGTGGGCACGCCTGATGCGCACGGTCACCAGCCCGCAGACGTACGGCAACTACCTCGGCGTACAGCTCGAGGAGGCGGAGCAGTTCTGGAGCTGCGACCGGCCGCTGGAGTGGTCGGACGACATGGAGAGTTGGGAGCAAGTCTGTGAGTGGGCCTTCCGGCACTGCGTCCAGCGTCTCGTTGACAGAGCCGTCCTCTTGTGCGCCTCACTAGCCGGCGTCACGCTGCTGCCATCTCCACACGGTCACTTCGCCATGCCCGACGACGATGCACTCTACTACCGCCGCAGCCCGCCGTCGCGGCCGCCAAAGCTGCCCGCCAGCGCGCTGTGGCGCACGCACCGCCTGCGCCTGCCCACGGGCGATGCCGATCTGGCACATTTCACGACGGCCGTCACGGCCATCGTGACGCTGGCGTGCGCGCTGGCAGTGGTGCTGAGCGTCCTGCGCACGTCGGCTCGTGTAGGCGGACTCAAGAAGACGGTGCGGTAGCGTTACGGAATGACATTGCGATACCCAACAGCTCTGTGCGTCGCCGGTCGACCTGGCATGTTGGGCCACTCACCTACTCTTGTCGCGACGTCGCGCGTGCTTCTGGTGCGTGAGCCTTGTCTGTCGCCTTTGACCGTGCCTCGCACGGCTCAAGCCCACTGTGAGACCCGCGATGATGCTCGATGCTAGCGTCTGGCGCACCTAACACCAGGATGGTGCTTGTGAGCCCTCTTGACATGCTCACCTGCAGCATCCTCATGCCACCACCGCATTGCGGTCGTGAGGGGCGCCGTCGCGACACAGCGATGCCGTAGATCCTGAGCGCCGCGAAGCAGACACCTCCTTCCTCGCATGCTCCGGAACGCCGATCGGCTGAGCGTAGTTCCTCTGGCACCTCGTCCAATGGGCCCGCATCGCCTCGCGCTAGCCTCGTCTGACTCGTGCGGCGCGCGACATCCGGACTCGCCATCGACCTCCGTGTCCGCCGTACCAGGTCGGCCTCGCACGACCTCGCCGCCCGAGACTTCGACCTGCGAACCTGCGTCACGAGCTTCGCGCGCCCCACCGATCGATCCGCACCACGTCACACCATCCGAGCCTGCGAGCCTCGACCGCGAGAGTCCATGGTGGCCGCGTGGCGATGTAGCAGCCCAGACGATCCGAGAGGAGCGCTGGGTCTGCTACGCCGTCGCAATCGCCTCGGGTCCTGCGTCCTCCACGCGCCGGGCGGTCGGCCCTCGGCCTCGCGTCCTCCTCGTCCGGCCCGTCAGTTGTGCGGCACTTGCGCCTCGTGCGCTGGCGGTCCAGCCACGTTGAGCGCTCGCCGCGCTAGCTGCAAGCTAAGTGTTAGTTGGACGGGACATGCATGATATTTTCGAGACGTGAGCCGCAGCGCCTGGTCTTGACCGCCGCGACACGACTCCGGCGGGCTGATAGGGTAGACGCTTCGTGGATCCTCACGGCCTTGGAGGCTTTCGTGAGAGAGGAGTAGCACATCGGACGGACGTATGGAGACGTTGTACGGACGAACGGAGGCGAGGAGAAGAAGCGGGCTGGGCGCGCTGGCACGCTTAGTCGCGCGGCGGCGGCAGGTCGTCGACGGGCTCGCGACGGGGCGGCGAGTCGTCGCGGCGGCGCGGAGGCGAGTCATCGCGGCGGCGAGGAGGCGAGTCGTCACGGCGACGCGGCGGCGAGCGGCTGCGCTCGCGGCTGTCACGGCGGCGCGGCGCCGGGCTGCGGCTGCGCTCGCGCTCACGCGGCGCGCTGCGCTCGTCGCGGCCGCCGTTGCTGCGCGGTGCCGGCTCGCCGGCGGCGTCGACGCGCAGCTTGTTACCGCGCAGCTCGACGCCCTCGATCTTGTCGAGCGCACGCTCCATGTCCTCGCGCGAGTCGTACTCCAGCACACCCTCGCCCGGGCGCTCGGGGTCGACGTCGGCAAAGGAGATGTGGCCCGCCTCGCGGCCAATGTCCTTCAGGTCCTGCCACGACGTGTTGGGCGGCAGGTTCGAGACGATGACGCGGAACTCGCCACGGCGCAGACGCGGCGGGGCGCGGGGAGCGCCGTAGCCGCCACCGTAGCCGCCGCCCGGCGGGCCGTAGCCGCCACGGCCGCCGCCGTAGCCACCGCCGTAGCCGCCGCCACCGTAGCCACCACCCGGCGGGCCGCCGTAGCCGCCGCCGGGCGGGCCGTACTGGTCGTAGCCGCGGCCTCCGCCGTAGCCACCGCCCGGCGGGCCGCCGTAGCCGCCGCCGCGCGGCGCCCCGTAGTCGCCGCCGCCGTAGCCGCCACGGCCTCCGCCATAGCCGCCGCGGTCGCCGTACTCGCCACGCGGGCGAGCCTCCTTGGCGGGCTCAAGAATGAGACTGAGTGGTGCGTGTCAGCGAAGCGCAGCGACGGAGATGTGCGCATGCGACTCACCGGTCGCCCATGAAGGCCTTGCCGTTGAACTCCTACAGCGCCAGAGTCAGCATGGCGTGGCAGCGGCGCAGGCGTGCGACGCACCCGCAGGACATCCTCAGCGTCCTGGACGTTCTCCCACTCGACGAAGCCGAACGCGCCCATCTGTAGCCAGCACGTCAGCAAAGAGGCAGCAGCGGTGCAGCGCAGACACGCACGATGCGCATGTCGACGATCTTGCCGTAGTTCTTGAAGAGGTCCTCGAGGTCGGTGCGGCTGCGCCGAGTGAGCAGGGTGCAGTGCTGTGCGCGCAGACACGCCACTCACCGCACGTCGGGCGAGAGGTGGCCGACGTAGAGGCGCTTGCTGGGCACGGACATGGCGGGCGGAGTGTGGTGGGTGAGTCGAGGGGTGTGTGCTCGACGGTGTGGATGGGAAGAAGGCGGCGACGCGCGCGCCATGCGGGGTCAGCGCAGCGTGGCGCGCCGTGCAGAGCTCAGCTGAGCCTGGCCGTGGGAGGCGCGCGCACGTGACCCGCTCCGGCACTTTATGCCCTCAGCACCGCCAGCCCCTCCATCCTCCGCACCCCTCGCTCCCCTCCACACCGCACCCGCCATGTCGAAGAAGGCCGCTCAGATGGCCGCGTCGGCGGTCAAGCTCATCGTGCCCGCCGGCAAGGCGAGCGCACAGCCGCCCGTCGGCCCGGCGCTTGGTGCCAAGGGCGTCAAGGCCATGGACTTTGCAAAGGTGCGTCGTGGGCGGCGCTGAGGGGGCTGCAGCGACATGCTCACCGACAGCGCTGGGCGGGCAGGAGTTCAACGCACGCACCGCACACCTCGAGGTCGGCCTGCCGACACCCACCATCGTCAACATCAACCCCGACCGCACCTTCACCTTCGAGACGAAGAGTGCGTCGCCGTGCTGCGTGCCCCTGCTGCGCCGCCCGCGGCTGACATGCTCCCGCCGCAGCACCACCCACGGCGCTGCTGCTGAAGCGCGCTGCCGGCGTCACGTCGGGCTCGGGGCGCTCGGGCACCGAGGTGGCAGGCACGGTCAGCCTGAAGCACCTGTATCAGATCGCGCAGATCAAGCTCAAGGACGTGCAGGGCGTGAGCGAGGAGGCGGTGAGTGCGCGCGTGTGCGGCGGAGTGGCGCTGCGAGGGACAGTGTCTGACAGCCGCTGTGCAGATGTGCCGGACAATCGCCGGCTCGGCCCGCTCGATGGGCCTGCGCATTGTGCGGTGAGGGTGCGAACGATGAGGGCAATAGATGTGTCACGAGCCAGAAATGCGCGCGGCGGAACGGCACCATGCCCGCCAGACGGACCGCTGCTTCGCTGTGTATGCTCTCTCTCTCGCTGCCGTGCGCAGCTACTGCCTGCTCTGGCCATGCCGCCTCCCGCAGAGGAGCATGCTGATGCTCGAGATGGACGAGGAGCACCATGCCCGGCTGCTCCGCGGGTGCCGCGCAGTTCCCACGCGCGCGGGCGTGCCGCATATTGCGAGCGAGGTCGCTGCTCTCGCGCCACGCTCCCTCCACCTGGCTCCTGTCCGCTGCGCCGGGTCGCCCGTCCCTCGCTGGGTCCAGGCTCAGATACGCCTTGAAGCTCGCAGGCGGCGGAACAGTGAGACTGCGCCGAGAAGCTCGGTGTGCGCTAGAAGAAGGGCCTGAGTGAGCGAGCAGCGTATCAACCTCGGGCCGCGCGTTTCGCCGTTCGGAGGTAGGCGTGCGCAGCTCGAGGACGGCGAGATGGACGCTATCCGACACGTGGTGTACGGAGAATGAGAATAGTGCCTAGAAGTACAGCGTGTGTGTGATGTGGGGTAACTCAGGCCTGCGTCTGGTCGGCAGCCTGCTGGCGGAGCACGGCGCGGCGCACGCGGCCGCTGCTCTTGGCGCTGCGTGCCGGCAGCGTAGCCCAGGCCTCGATGCGGCACGCAGGGCAGACGACCCACTTGCCGACGACGTCGCGGCCGGCGGAGGGGTCGAGCGAGAGCGTGCGGGTGTGCGACGATGAGCCGACGGCTGCCTCCTCGGCCGCGTGCTCGCTATCCGCGGCGTCTGCCATATGGTCGTCTGCCGTGGCGTCGTCGGTGTCGTCTTCGGCGTCGTCTTCCTCGTCGTCCGATGAGATGGCCTGCTCGAGCTTCATGCTCGTGCACAGGCACTCGAGGTGGTGCTCATGCGCGCAGGGCTTGAGCTTGAGTAGCCGATCGTCGTCCTCGCGCGCCTCGTTTGCGTCACGCTCGTCGGGATAGCGCGGCAGGCAGGCCGGCGTGTCGCAGCGCCAGCCCTGGGCACGCTCGCGCTTGCGGATCTCGTCGCGGAGCAGCTCGAGGCCGGGCGCCGCGGGTGACGGCAGCTGGTCTGCAGCACCGTCGGCGCTCTTCTTCGGCGCCAGCGCTGAGCGACAGAAGGGGCAGGCCCACTGCTCGGGAGGTCGAGGTGCGAGCCAATCGTGCAGGCAGGCAGCATGCAGCGTGTGATGGCCCTTGCACGGCACGACGACGCACTCGAGGTTGCGCGTCTCCTCGTCGCCGGCGAACCACGCCGGGCGGTCGTCGAGCTCGTACTCCTCGAGACAGATGGCGCAGCCGACGCCGCCGGTGCCGATGTCGCCGATCTCGAGGCGCGCCATGCGGCGGCGCAGCTCAGCGTCCGCGCGCTCGAGCGAGGCGACGAACTTCGTGGCAAGCTCCGGATCGGGCGCAGGCGGTGCCGCCGGGCCAGAGAAGTGTAGATCGAGCTGGACGTGGAGTCAGAAGAGAGCTGGTCAAAGCCAGTCTCGCGCAAGACTCACCTGAATGCGGAAAGGAGGGCCGGAGATGAAGCGGCCGGCCTCGTTGCCCTCGGGATCAAGAGCTGGCGGCCCTGCGAGCGGCAAGATGGGCCAGGCTGTGTTCGTCGGCGCGTCGAAGATGAAGGCGAACGGCAGAGGCGAGGAGCTGCCGAGCGACATGCCGTTAGCAGAAAGGCGGATAGACGCACACAGCTCGGCTCACCCAAAAGGCACGAAAATCGGCATTCTCGGCACATAGCGCTGCGGATCGTTCGGCGGCTGCTCGTCGCGTTGCTGCTGCTGCTGTTGCGCCGTCATCGGCGGGTTGGTGGGCAGCGGGCCAGGCATGAAGGCGAGGAAGGCCGGACGGCCCTGCTGGTCGACCATGGGAAGGCGGAAGACGAGCGCTGACTCGTCCCATGCTTGTGCATTCGCGCCTGCTTCGTTCGCTGGCGCCGCATCGCCAGTGGCTGCACCAGCCTGAGCATCGGGGCCATCGCCCGGAGCCGCGGCCGCACCGCTCTGAGACGCCTCTCTGGGCGCGGCAGCTGGCGCGTCCGCCTGTGCTTCTGCTGGCGCTTCAGCTTGAGCAGCTGGCGGCGCTGCTGCTGCCTCGTTTGCTGCGGGCGCAGGCGGCCCCTGCTGAGCGTTTGGCCCTGCCGCAGCGGCACGAAAGCCCTGCAGAAAGGCATCGATCATCGCCGCCAGCGGATTGCGTGGCGCTGGTCGCGGTGGATTTGCGGCAGCTGCTGGCGCGGCAGGAGCGGATGCTGGCTGAGGCGGTGCGACCGGCGATGCTGGAGCCGCCGGCTGCACGGGCTGAGGCGCGGCTCCTGCTGCGCTGCTAGAGCTGGACGCTGCATCCGGCGCTCCAGGAGGTGCAGCTGCGCCGTCTGCTGGCATTGGTGCGGGTGATACCTGTGCGGCACTGCCACTCGCCTCCGCTCCACCTTCTGCCTGACGCTCGTTCGCGGCCTCGGACGTGTCGGCGTCCTGTTGCGCAGCCTCAGCACGAGGACCGCGCGCAGGCCTCGGGAGCACGAAGGAGCTGCTGCTCGCCGAGGGCTGTTCAGAAGAGGATGCGCCGGCCGTCGACTGTCCTGCAGCTGAGGAGCTGCCCTGGCTCGGCGTGGCGTCTACTTCTGTCGCGTGCTCGCGGCTCGGCTCAGTGGCGGCGGCAGGACTGGCGGGCGCGCTGGCAGACGTGGCTCGGTCTTCTCCAGCGAGTCCGGACGCGCGGGCAGGCGAGGCTGAATCCTGCGGCTGCCGACTCGTCGATGCGCTGCCGCTCACATCTGCCGCAGCGTGCTCGTCGGCCGCCTCGCGTGGGCGCACACGCTCCTCGACGGCGCCGAGGCGCTGCGCCAGGGACGACGTGCGCCCGGCAGGCATGGACGCGGCGCGGCTGAGTGCAAGCTGCGGCGCAGCAGCAGGAATTGGCGGCGCGAGACGCCCCGCTTTGACGTGCGGGCGGTGCCCAGGCGTGACGGTCGAGCGCCTGTGCTATGCGGTGCTTACTTGAGGCGCAGGTGGAGGTGCTGCGCGTTCAGATGCTGCGCAGCGGCGCTTTACGCTCTGACGGCGGCTGAGAGCGACGGCGGACGAAGAGGTGGTGAAAGTCGAAGTGTGCGGAGCGAGCGAGAGTGGACAGGTGCTCCGGGGTGATGTGGTGTGGAGACAAGGCACAGGCGAGCTCGGGCCCCATCAGCCGGCGCGGGCCTCGGCCGTAGCGGGCGGCGTGCCCCGCGCCGACGTGGCTGACGGCGCGCGTGCAGCCGCGAGGCGTGGGAGCGCCGAAGCGCCCAGAACGCCGAGGCAGCGTGGAGCCGCCATGGGGCTGGCCCGTCCATGCGCCGTCACATGCGCTCGGATGTCTCTTCCACTCCCCTCGAAATGTCGCTGACTACCTGACGCACACCCTCTTGTGCTGCTTCCACCTGTGCACAATCACGTAAAACGAATGTATTGCGGTTCGTGGCAAGCGTTATGCATAAAGGGACTTGCTAAGCGTGGATCGTGATGTCCTGAAACATCAGTGGGGCGGCGGACGCCGTACTCCGGAAGAAGTGCGAGCATGTCGGAAGCTAGGACGCCTTCGAGGACAAGTCGTCTGCCACACCAAGGCAGAGCTGAACGACGATGCTGGCGCAATTGCGCTCGAGCGCAGCAACTCGCTCGTGCTGCGCGCCAGTCGGACACACTGCGTCGTCACGCAAGCAGGGAGAGTGAATCCGGATATATAGCGATTACACGGTCTGGGCTGGGCGGGCAGACAGATGCAGCTGGAGCGGGACCTTGATGTGCAGGGTAAAGAGATCTCGCAGTCCATGCTCAAAGGCTGCAGCGTCAAAGGTGTCGGCAAAGCGCAGCTCGAAGGCCTGCAGCAGGCGCGCGAGGAAGAGACGCATCTCCACGTATGCGACCTCGCGTCCGGCGCAGCTCGTCGGGCCGTAGCCGAAGGGCATGAAGGCGCCGCTGGCGTTCATGTGCTCCTCCTGCTCGGGCCGCAGCCAGCGCTCGGGCCGGAAGGCGTGCGGTGCCGGGCTGAAGTGCCGAGGATCGCGATGGACCGAATACGGCGGCACCGTCACGACGACGTTGCCGGGGATCCATACCGGCGAGCCCTCGACGGTGAGAGCGAGACCCTCCTTGGGCGTCTCGCGCTGCAGGCCAGAGAGGCCCGGCGGATATAGCCGCAGCGTTTCGTTGATGACGGCGTTGAGCAGCGGACAGCTGTCCTTGAGCACGGCAGCCTCGGCCAAGGCATCGGCTGGTCGCGCAGCGGCGAGGGCGCTGGCCACTTCGGAGCGTACGTCGTCCGCCACCTGCGGATGCTGAGTGAGGAGATACAGCGCCATTGTCAAAGCAGCGGAAGTCGTGTCGCTGCCGCCCACGGCCAGCAGCATGCCCTCGGCGACGATCTGCCGGCGTCGGTGCAGCGAGAAGTCGTTGTCGGCGCGCAGCAGTGTGCCCATGACGTCTGAGCACTGCTTCTCCGTCGCTGGCGTGGATGGCGGTGACAGTGGCTTGCTGTGCAGCGCCTCGGGATCCGCAGACTTGTCGCCTGCGACGCTCGGTGCTGCTCCGGTGATGCCGACCTCATCCGCTCGCTCAGCAACGACGCCAGCGACCCAGCCCTTGAAGAGGCCGATCTTGTTGCCCGGCAGCCATTCGAGCGCCTTGGAGAGGTACGGCACATTGCCGATGACCTGCGCGGCGGCTACTGCTTCCTGCAGGTGCACGAGCTCGCGCGAGCGCTTGCCGCGCTCGATGAGGTCCAGCCGGCGCGAGAAGCCGATCTCGCACATGCAGTCGAAGCTGAGCATGTCGCACCACTCGCCGACATCGACGTCTGGCGCCGACGACGCCCGTGCCTGAAGCTGGGCGATCGTCTTGTAAACGAGCTGGCTGATCGTCTCGACGTGCCCAGTGCGCGCCTTGGACGAGAGAGCGGCGTTCCAGAGCTTCCGCCGATGAGCATGCGTGTGCTTGTCGCGCGTGTCGTACGTGCTCTGCTCGTCGACTGGACGGTCGCCGGCGATGCCGCGGTACCAGGGGCCCTTGGTGCACGGGCTCTTGGCGGCGTAGATCGAGGGAATCGCGCCGGCGTCGTTGATGGAGAGCTCTCTCGGGCCCGTGCGGACGATGCAGCCGTGCTGTGCGTGCAGCTCGTCGACGAGCCGGTAGCGAAAGCCCTGCACGTCGGTGGAGAGGAGGGTCCACTTAGACAGTGCCATCGACGGCGTGCCCGGGAAGCGGCGCAGGCGATGGAAGTAGAGGCGGTAGACGGCGATGCTGGCCAGCAGCACGGAGGCATACAGCGCGAGGATGCTGGACGTGTGCAGCGTCGCCGCCACGATGCTGCCGTCGCGCAGTACAAGCTGCGAGTAGAAGAGGGCTGCTGTGGCGCAGACGGCGGGAAGAGCGAGCTGGTGCGGCCATGGCTCGAAGCGCGAGCAGAGGAAGTGCGTGGCGAGGCCGGCGAGGAGCACGAGCACGGGCGTGCTGGGCAGCTCGAGCTCGCTTCGCGCGAGGAAGGCGTGCGTGGCGCCCATGGTGCTGAGAGCGCGCAGAGCGCACAGAGCGGGTGTGACTAGTTGATGAGGATGCTGCTCGCGGCGGTGCGAGGCTTGTCAAGTCATCCAAGGCGAGAGGAGAGTAGGGAGAGGTGGGGTGGATGTAAACGGTGAGGATGGAGAACAAGCCGCAGACTTGGCCGCTGCTGCATGCGACGCCAGACGGTTGTCACCTGCCTCTGCTTCTGTGCCTTCGCCGCTGCCGAAGCGCACCGCTGCAGGCCACGCCCATGCAGGCACCGGCACCGGGTGAAGAGCGCATGGTGGACGGTGCGGGACGAGCGGGCGGTCGCTGCGGCTGTCGGGCTGCGTGCTTAGCGTCCTGCTGAGTGACGGCGGCGAGGCGCTAAATTGGGCTCGCTGGGCGGCGCTTTTGGCGAGCAAGAGCGGCGCAGCAGTCCGGCGACTTTTGCACGTCCTGCATGCTGCTGTCATGCGTGCCGCACCGTTTCGTGCGCCGCTTCGCAGTCGCTTGCGCGGGCTCGACCTCCTCCGCCGGCCGCGATACGCTCGGGCCACCCCACCCTCATTCACACCATTCGGAGCTCGACAGCCACGAGCGTAAGTGTGTCATTAAGAGAAGCGTGAAAGGAGGAACACGGGATCGTCAAGAGAAAGGCTCGCTGCGTCACGCCTTGGCGAGCGGGTTCCGCTCGTACGTGGCGCGGGCGGCGATGTAGAAAGCACACGAGGCAAAGAGAATGCCGCCGGTGAAGTACATCATGCCGTGGAAGTCCTCGGGCCCGGGCGCTGCCTTGCCCATGGCGCTGCTGCGCAGCAGGCGGCCGGCGATTGGCGAGCCGCCGAGCGAGCCAAACGAACTGAAGGAGCACAGGATGGCGATGTACGGGCCCATGAGCTGCAGCTTGGGGTTCGGCACCAGCGGCACAATGGCCGGACTCTGCAGCGAGACGCTGGCACCGCTGAAGAAGCCGTAGAAGACGACCCAGACGAAGATGCCGGCGGCCGAGGAGACGCCCTGCCAGGCAAACGCCAGCGCGGCGCTCACGACGACGCTGACCAGCAGCGTGTTGCCGTGGCCCAGCGAGTCGGAGACGGCGCCGAGCGCGAAGCGCCCGAAGAACGTCGCCGCGTTCAGCACTGCCGACACCCAGAAGGCCGTGTAGGGCGAGGCGCCAAGCGACTGTGCGTAGGCCGGGGCGTAGAAGTACGGCACGTAGATGCCGAAGAAGTGCAGCAGCAGGCCGAGCGCAAAGAGCACGACGCCGACGCTCTTGACGGCCATCATCAGCGGCTTGTGGAACGACGAGAGCTTGACTGCCTTGTTGCGCGGCACGTTGGAGCGGATCAGCGCAATGGCCGTGCCCATCAGCGCGAGCTGCAGGAAGCCGATCGTGCGCATCGTCCAGCCGTAGGAGATGCGGTCGTGGTTGACCATCTGGTTGAAGACGACCGGCCAGATGACGCCGCCGACCGACGAGCCACCGAGCGCGAGGCCCACGGCGAGGCCGCGGCGCTTCGAGAACCATTGGTTCGGGAGGCCGACGATGGGCATAAAGGTGAGGCCGATGCCGAGGCCCGTGCAGATGCCGTGCGACAGGAGCAGCTGGTAGTACTCCTTCGAGATCGAGGCCATCATGACGCCGAACACTGTGAGGAACGTGCCGATGGCCAGCGTGACGTGCGGTCCGACGTGCGCCGAGAGGATCACGGACGGCAGCGCCATGCCCGTGATGGCCCAGAGCTGGAAGGAGCCGATCCAGCTGATGTCGTCGGACGAGTAGCTCGGCAGGATGCCCTCGTAGTACGACTGGAACACGCCATAGCCCGTGACGAAGCCGAAGCTGGCAAAGAAGGCCAGGAAGCAGCCGAGCACCGTGAGCCATGCTGTCCGGCCGCCGTCGGGCACGCTCGGCGCGGCCGCAGGACTCGCAGGCGCTGTCGCAGCCTTCTCCTCAGTGCGCTGCATCTCCTTGTCCTCGTCGTGTGCCACAACGGTGGCATCGTCGCGCGGGTGGCTGTCTTCGCTGCGTGGAGACGACATGGCTGCTAGGTGGATGTGGTGCAAAGCCAAGCGCAGAGGTGCGAGGCGCCGAGCTCAGGACTGCGCAGCCGCGACGCTGGCAGACGCTTCGTCCTGCGAGGCACAACTTGCACGGCCGCAGCAATAGCAGAGCCATCCTGCACCACGATTCCGCAGGGAGCAGCTCGCCCCGATGGAGGTGCGAGAATCTCAAGCTAGCGCCGTGTCGGCGGCACGCCTGTCCCCGTGCCGGCGGCAGCGGCGGGGTGCATGGGCGGAGACGGCGTCACTGTGCAGCATCGCCCGCGGCGCAGCGCTATATTTAGCGTGCGAGCTTGATAGCGGCCGTGTTTGCGTGCTCGACGGAGCGAGGTGAGACGTGCGCGGTGCGGCAGAGCGTGGTAGTCAGAGTGCGGAGGCAGCGGAGCGGCTGCCTGCTCTGGAGGTGCCGAGTTGCCGCAGCTGCAGCGTGTGCGCACTCGCCTCGACTCCGCACTCCGCGCTGCTCCCGCGCCCGCTGGCGAAAGACGCCGGGTGCGCTAGCGCCTGACGCCCTTCAGCCGGCGGCTTCATGCCCGAGCGACCGCGTGGGGCGCAGCGTGCGGTTCCTCCGCGCCGGCTCTGAGCATGTGGGCTGGAGTGCTGTGATGTGTGATGTGCGGCTGTCCTCATTGTCGTCACACAGACGAGCTGCTGCTGCTGCGCCAGATGTCGGAGCGGACGCCGGCGTCTCGCGCACGTTCGCGCCTCGCTCGCTCCCGCCTCCACACCCCATCTCCGCATCTCGCTCCGCATCTCGCACCGCACCGCACCGCACCGCACCGCAGGCCGCACTGCCTGCTGCACCCACTCGCTCCTCTTCGGCTCCCAGCGCGGCCACACAGACCACCACGTCCGAGCGCCATCTCGCGTTCGCCCGAAGCGCCCTCCCACGGCGGAAGCGGAGTGCTCCTTTGCGAGTCGCCGATTCAAGTCTGTGCAGCTGGCCCGCCTGCGCCTGCGCCAACCCGGTTCCGCGGGACGCAGGCGCAGCTCGAGCGCTGAGATGCGCATGAGAGGCGCACCGATGCAGAGCTGCGTGGATCCGTCCTGCGCCAAGCGGCACTGCAGCGAAGCAAGCGAGCATTGAGCAACCGAACAGCAGCAGCAGCAGCAGCAGCAGCAGCGCCGCCATCCCAGGACGCACACACACTATCTCGGAGGTCGGCCCAACGCTCCATCGTGACAAGCGAGCGTGCCTCCGTGCCCGCGCTGGCTCACTGCGCCGTCGACTAGCCATGGCGTGCCATCGTCGGAGCCGCCAAGATACCGCGTGGCCTCGCGACGGACGCACACAGGGACTCAGGGTGGCGGTTGGGCCGCCGTAGACACCGCAAGGGACAGCAGGTACACATACCGTCAAGAGGGCAAAGCCTCATAACGCGCCGGCGTCCTGGCCAGCAGGACACGCCCCCCACCTCTTCCATTCATACCCACCATGCGACCCGGAGAGCTCAACCTTACCCTCTCGGGAGACAAGCTCCTCCTCGGCGGCTATGGCAACTTCCTGCCCGCCGACCAGCTCGTGCTCGCCGCGCAGGTCGAGACGTTCCGCTACATTCTCTGCGCCGTCTACGCCTGGCTCGCCTGGGAGCACATCGTCACCTTCTTCGAGGAGATCCAGCGGTGGAAGCAGCTCATCCTCAAGCGCGAGGTCGTGCTCGTCAACATCTGCGTGCTGCTTTCGCGCTACCTCTCCTGGACAAACGCCATTGCATCGGCCGTCTTCTTCTTCGCCAACCCGTTCAGCTGCCAGGCGACGTTCTCGTGGATCTTCGCCACATATGCGCTCGTCTGGGGCACCACGGCCACCATCTTCGTCGCACGTGTCAACAGCTTGTACCCGGCCCAGCGCAAGCTGCACATGTTCGTGTGGGCGTGCTTCACGGTTGTGGCTCTGCTCTGGGCCGTGTCGGTCGGCTTCTTCTGGTCGGCCCGCCTGCCTGAGGCGTACCACCTGCCACGCATGCCGCAGTGCACTGCCGCACCGTCGCCGACGGTCCACGTCATGGGCTTTGCGGGCGCCACCTGCTTCGACGTCCTCATCCTCGTCCTCACCGTGCACAGCGCGCGCAAGAACTTCCGCGGCCACAAGCGCTCCGGCATCATGAGCCCGCAGACCTGGGTGCTCGAGACGGCCGTCATCTACGCCGCCGTCTGCCTGGCCTGCAACATCGCACAGCTGGCCGTCTGGGTGATGCAGAAGAATGTCGTGCTGCGTGCCTACCCGATTCCCTTCGCCATCGTCGTCAACCCCGTCATTGCCTCGCGCATCGTCTTCCACGGCGCCACCTGGGGCAGCAAGACGGCGCTGCTCGAGTCGCGCCTCGTCAAGATCACCGAGGACGATGTGGCCAACTGGCAGCGCAACCCGGGCGTCCTCGGCGCCGCGCCAAGCACCACCGTCAAGCTGCCGTCCAAGCGCTTCAGTGCGAGCGTCAGCGGCCCGGCAGCCGGCGCCATGGGCGGCCACAGCCGCTCGGGCAGCATCAGTGGCGAGACGATGTATGAGAAAGGCGGCGCCTTCGACGAGCGCCTCGGCTTCAACACCCTGCTCGTCCGCTCCGGCAGCGTCACTCGCAAGGAGGACGCGCTCGAGGAGGTCACCACGCCGGCAGCGCAGCCGAACGGAGCCGCACCACCGTTCTCGGACCCCTTCAACACCGTCACGGCGCCTGAGCCCGTCGTCATCCGGCGCAACACCGGCACAGCTCTGCACCTCTCTGGCGCGTCGCAAGCCAGCAGCTCGAGCCTCACAAGCACACCGCCGTCCATCAGCGCACCGACGCTCAACTTTGACGATGACGACGACGTCGGCCCGCGAGGCGAGCGCCGCGACAGCGCTCCGCGCGTGCGCCTGGCGCCGCTCGGCTGGGAGATCCAGGGCTTGGAGAATGCACCGCCGGCCGGCGACGACGACCTCGAGCAGGCCATCGCTCGTCAGCCGCCTCAGTTCTCTGATCGCGCCACACCGCGTGCACCAGCGCCGGGCCGCGCTTCCCGCGACCGTGCTCGTGCTGCCTCGGTGGCGAGCGAGCGCGGAGGCGTCATGATCTCGCAGCACGTCCAGACCCGCGTCGACTGAAGACATATCATGTTATTGTACACCAGCCTAGCGTCATCATAACTTTATCATTGCACATCCTTGCTCTTCGTGATCATCACAACCGCGCCTTGCTCTGTCCTGCCTGGCGCTCCTTGATGAAGCCCACGATGTGCGCCGCGCTGTCGTCGAGCCGCTCGTAGAAGAGCTGGTGCGTCACGTTGTCGACCCACACGAGCCGCTTGGGCTGCGGCAGGCCGTCGAAGATCTTCTGGAAGAGCTTGGGCGGCGTGGCGAATGGCCGTGCCGGCATCACGGCCTGCAGCGGCACGCGCACGTCGGGGATGCGGTCGAAGGTGTGGCTCGGCGTCTCCTTGTCGAAGTAGAGGGCCCACTCGAGGCGCGGTGGCGCCGCGAGCCTCAATGAGCCGTCTGCCTCCTCCACCACGCCTCGCTCCACGAAGGCGTCAATAATCCGGTCGTCCCAGCCGCCCATCCGCTTGTTCTTCTTGACCGCCTCGCGCAGTGCCTTGCGGCTCGGCCACCGCTCGCCGAGCATGGTGCAGAACACGTCGTTTGGCAGCTTGCTGAAGCCGTCGAGGATCTTTCCCGGAGGCACGATGGCAGGGTCGAAGACTGTCAAGCTAGCGAAGAGCTCGGGAGCGTGTGCGGCAATGAGCAGCGCAGACTGGGCGCCCAGGCTGTGGGCCGCCACGTGCAAGTTGGGCCGTGTGATCTGCTGAGCCTTGTCGCCCTGAGGTGCGCGGTACGGCAGCGTCTCGTCGAGCTTGCCGCCGGGCTGCAGAGGCAAATACGCCGTGAGGAAGTGCAGTACGTCGCGCGCAATGTCCTTCTCGTTGCCGTAGAGGTAGCCACGCGGATTGGCGAGAGCCGTCTCGCCGCTCATCGGCATGTCCAGCGTCCAGATCTCGTCAAGCTTGACGCCCGCGGCGGCGAATTGCGGCAGCATGAGCTTGATGAGCGGTTCGCAGATCTGCGCCTGTGTGAGCGGATGTACGCGCGGGCCGACCTGTTCCTGCTCACCTCTTTGGGCACGCCCATGCCCGGCAGCAGCAGCAGCGTGACGCCGGGCTGCTGCGCGGCGCTGGTGCCCGACTGCGAGGGCGTGTAGCGCTTGGCGACGAGCCAGGGCGCCGGCACCTCCTCGGGGCGCGCGCCGGCCGGCTTGCGCTCGCGCTCGTACAGCCAGAAGCTGGCGTCGGGCGAGTCGGCGCCGGCGGCGGCGCGCAGCTCGGCCGACTGCGGGTCGTAGACAATGTCGTGGGCGCGGTCCTCGACGATGGCCGCGGGATCGTCGTCGAAGCGCTCGAGCGGCCAGCTCTTGGGCACACTGCGGTTCGAGGCGCCGAGGAACGCGTGGGTCGAGGATTGCCACGCCGCAGAGGTGGACGGCGGCAGTGCCGGCGTGCGGCGTGCCGGCAGCGGCGCCGCCTCGTCGAGCAGGCCCAGCGGGCGCAGGATGTGGCGGGCGTAGTTGCGGACGGCGTCGAAGGACATGGCTTGAGGGGTGTTGCTCGATGTCGGGAAGGAAGGAGGCGCGGCCACGTGCTGCGACTCGACTGCCTGTGCATCCACAGCACGCCCGCTGCCGCTGTCGGCTCCGGGTGCGGGGTGCCATCCACGCCGGTGTGGAGAGGGTCTGTGCGTCTTCGCATAGCGCATGTCTCTCCGACAGCGGCCATGCAAGCTTAGCGCTTCGCTTCGGCAGCGCAGAACGCCCGACGCCCGCGCTGCTGCATCGCGACGTCAGCATGGCCGCAAGCCAGACGGATGCGGGGTTGGCAGCGCCGCAGCCGCAAGGGCGCGTGGTGCATCGCAGAGCGTGGCTGCTCAACCCTCTCGACTGCCTGGGGGGCTGACTGACGCCCGTTTGCGCCTCGGCCAAGTCTAGTCAGAGTCTGCAGCGGCGCAGATGGCTCGCCTCGCAGGTGCGGAACGTGGACCTGCCTCCAGAGGCGCGCTGATGCTGCAGCTCGCTTCGTCTGCGCATCCCGATTTCATGCCCATGCGCGCTTGCCGTGCTCAAGTCGCCGTCGTTTGCCCGCTCCAACGTCAGGCTCCTGCCCGTTGCGCCGCGTTCGCTGCGCCCACGACGACCCCACCGACATCGATGGCAGCGGTGCAAGCCTAGACAGCACCCTCGGTTTCTCGTCGACGCTCAGCCGCTCGGGTCGCACGCCTATGGATCATTGTATGTCGATGTGGGGGAATATATGAGGGCTTCGTCTGGGCGATGAGTGGGAAGGGGTATCTGTCTGATGTGCGTGTCTAGAAGCAGCTGCGAGGCGCAGCCGCCTGGCCGAGCGGCTGCGGGCGGAAGAGGCGCACGGAGTAGTCGTCGCTGATGCTGGCGAGCGTCTGTCCGTGCGGGCCGTGTGCCCACGACACGGCGTTGATCTCGAAGCTGCAAGAGGACGAATGAGCATGCGTGCTTGCAGCAAGATTCTCATCAGCGACGCTCACTTCTTGGCATGTGCCTGCAGCATCGCCGGCTGGTGGTTCGTCTCGCGCGCGGCAGCCCAGGTGTCCCAGAGCGCCACGGTGCCCGAGTTGCAGCCGAGCGCAAGACTGCGGCCGTCGGCGCTGAGCGCCAGACGAGCGTACAGCGTGTTGCCGCGCTGCGCCGGCGCAGTGAGCGCCGGCGCACGGCCCAGCGGCGTCAGCGTTGGCGAGAGGTCGGCGAGCGCCAGAGAGTAGATGCTGCCGTTCGTCGACGCAGCGTACAGCGTGCTGTCGCTGGCAACGATCGACGAGATGCCGTGCGAGCTGGGCAGGGCTATGTATCAGCACAGAGCGCGAATGCAGCACGCAGCAGTCCTCACCTGGCAAAACGTCCCGGGCCGCGCGTCACGTCGTTGCTCTCCTCGCACGGCTCCATCTCCGGCGCCAGATCGTCCGACGGCTCTGGCGTCGAGGCTTGATCAGACGGCCCGGCGGAGTAGTTGCGCAGGTCCCACAGCTTGACCACGCCGTCGGCACAGCCGGCGCTGGCGACCATGTGCGCGCCGCGCGAGGGCACGTACATGACGCTCATAATGCCCTTGGGCAGCAGCACGCCCTCTCCGCCGCCGCGCGAGCCCTTGCCGCGCCGCGGACGCGCCGGCAGGCTCGTGTGTGCTCCCCAGAGCGACATGACGGCCGGCGTCGTGGCCTCCTGCTGGTGGCGCAGTCGGAAGGCAGAGTGCGGCACACGCGTCGTCACGCGCGTGTCAAAGAGGTGGATCGCGCCATCGCGTCCAGCAGAGAGGAAAACGGAGCCGGACGGACAGCTCGGGTCCCACGTCACGCTGCGCGGCGAGCCTCGCGGGCCGGAAAAGACGCCCGTTTGTTGCTGCAAGGGCCGATGTCAGGGTGGAACAAGAGTCGTACTTTGCAATGCTCACCAGCGTCGCAGTATCCCACGTGCGCATGACATAGTCGCTGCCGCCGGCAACGAGCGCTCTATCGTCTGCACGCCAGGCGACGTCGAACACCGAGCCCTGGCACGCCTTCCAGCGGAACGTGGCGCTGTTCTCTGCGTCGTCGGCTGCGCCGTACGCCATCTCTTCGTAGTTGCTGAGCCCGACTGGCTCGGCTGCCAGTCCGCTCATGTCGCGCAGGACTATGCTGCCGTCGTTGGTGCCGACGGCCAGGAACGCGCGGCCAGGCGCGGCGCTGGCTGCGGCAAATGAGAAGGAGCCACAGAGAGGATGCGCCGCAGCGAGCGAGTCATCGCCCGCCGGCAGGAAGATGCCGCGCGTGGGCTGAAAGGCACGATGGTACGAGCTGAGCGGCACTGCGAGATGTACTGTCAGCGCCTGAGAGACGGCAGTGCGAAGATACAAGCTCACCTGGGATGTTCCTAGGCCCTCTCAGTCCAGCGCCGCTTCGCATCGCAAGCAGAGCTGCGCCAAGGTCTCGCGTCGGGAGAGCGGCCGCACGCGGGGAGTCGAGACTCGCACCGGCCGAACGCCACGCAGTGAGCGCATCCGAGCGCAGCGCGGAGTCATAGCCAGGCACCTTGCGCATCTCTGTGCACAAGCGCTTGCTCGCAGGAGAGCATGCATCAAGGGCCGGCGCAGCGGCAGGGGCGGGCAGAGACGCGGTGGCCAAGGGCATGCGAAAGATCGCGGCGGCACGCGACGGCGTCACCGTGCCCTTGACGACGCGCACCGGACGCACGCGAGCCTTGGGCGGAGCGTTCTCATCGCCTGCAGCGGCAAGGCGGCGGCGCTGACGCGGACGCCGCCCGCTCGACGGCGAGGCCGGGCAGCCGGGCACGTCGTCGTCGCTGCTGCAGGCCGATGCGCTGTCGAAGAAGAGGCAGGGCGAAGGCCGCTGCGGCGTGTGCGGCGAGGTCGGTGGCGTCGCGCCTCGCCGCGACGACGATGCGGCCGAGGAGCTGCCGGACGCAGCCGACGACTGCGAGGAGGCCATGTCGGCGTGGCGCAGGTGTTGGCTTTCGAAGAGTGCGGCGCTGATGCCAGGTGGCAAATAGTGTGGAGGAGCGGCAGGAATGCGGCGCAGAAGGAGGGAGTCGTGAGAGAAAAGGTGAACAAAGGCGGGAGATGTGGTCGTGCGGCGAGCTGCAGCAGAAGTGTCGTGGATGAGGAGGGGTACAGTTAGGAGGCAGACCAAACTCGACTGCGCTGCGCGGCATCGGGCTCTCGCACAGCTGGGCAAGGCGCGCGTAAGGCACTCTACGCGTCGCGTCAACACCTCCACCGCGCCAAGCTTGCTCTCGCACGAGTCGAGTGGGCGGTGCCGAGCCCGATGTCCGTGCGCACACAGCTGCGCCCGGCTTCGCTTGTGCCCACCACCTCCCACACCCGCTCGGTCTCGCGAGCCACCCGCTCGGTCTCTCGTGCTCGCTTCTGCACGACTGTTGCGACTCCAACGAGCGCGGACATGGCAGACGACGCCGGCCTCGCGGCCCGCCTCAAGGCGCTGCGCGAGCGCCATGCCGCTGCGCCAGCCGCTCGCGCCCCGCCCAGCCCACGCGCCGTCGTGGCATCCGTCTCGACTCCTCCAGCAGCTGCGGCACCGAGCCCAGCACCTGTTCTTCCTAGCGCTGCGTCGTCGCTCGCGCGCGAGGCACTTCATGCGCAGCTCGCACTGCCCGACGCCACTGCTCAGAGCACCGAGCCCGACGACGCCGACATTGCCGCCCTGCTCGAGCAGACACGCGACGAGCTGCGTCTCTCTCAGGACGACGATGCGGCATTGTCAGACGATGCTGAGCTCGATGGGCTCTCCGACGAGCTGAACGATCAGACATCGGGCGCTGCGCTTGATGTCGCAGCCGAAGCGCGTGCTCTTGGCGCCGAGAGCGCACAGCTGCAGAGCGATGCCACGCAGCTCTTGAAGGAGGAGCACGCTGCTGGCCATCTGGGCCACAGCCAGGACGGAGCGGCACAGGACACGGGCGCTGCATCGCGTGCCAGCTCTTCCACAGCACCACAGCTCGAGCGTCTGCCGCGCTCCGGCCCAGAGCTGGTCCGCGGCGACTCTGGGACGTCCGCGAGTGCTGCGCTAGACGCGGAGGCCGAGGCGGCGCTGGAAGACGAGCTGGCTGCTGCGATGGGTGACATGCAAGTTGAGGCGAATAGGCTCAATAGGACAGGAGGCAGTGTAGAGGGCCGGGGCAGCTCGCCTCAGCCAGCTACGCCAGCCACGGCACCGCCCAGCGGCTCAGGCATGACGCCCTCTGCCACATCATCGGCCAGTGCAGAACCCAGCGCTGCTTCGCTACTCGAGCGCTTCTCGCGCCTTCGCAGCAACATCACGGCACCGATGCGGACGACTGCTGGCCCTTCTACTCCGGCACCTGCTGCGTCCGCTGCGCTCAGTCTGCCATCGCCGCCAGCGATGCTGCCGGACCCGGACATGCCCTCGTTGCCCGCCGCGCCCAGCTTGGCACCACCAGACGCCACCGCCGACGACATTCACAAGCGTCATGGCATCGAGCCGGGCCGCAATCTCGGCGCCTTCGAGCAGCTCGTTCGTCTCGACGCGAAAGCTCTCGCTGAGCCGGGCACCGCTGCTGCTTTGAGCTCGCGGCCCAAGGCCTTGCCGGATGAGAGCGACTCGGACGAGGACGATGAGATCGACAGCTGGTGCTGTGAGTACACCGCGTCTGTCCATCCTCCACCAGCTCACGCCTCTCCGCGTGCAGGCATCTGCAACGCCGACGCCTCACTGCAGTGCGCCGGCTGCGACCACGACCCGTACTGCTCAGCCTGCTGGGCCGAGGGTCACGCAACGATGGCGCGCGACGAGCTGCGCGAGCATCGCACGCGGCCCTTTGAGTCGCGCAAGGCTGCGAAGCGACGCGCTCGCGCACGCCGAAGAGACGACGGGCCACCGCCACCTGGACGGAGGGCGATGGCGGCGTAATGCAACGGCATAGCGATGCTCTGGAGAAGGGCGCACGACGGAATGCCGCGCTGCCTGCGATCACGCTCTCGCCTTGTGTATCAAGTCTCTATTGCCTGCGCTTTGCAGAGCGAAGGGCCTGCTCTGAGAGTTCAATAGCTGACAGACTGCGGCCCGGAGAAGTCTCAGAGGCGGGCCGCTGGCACTGGCCAGATGCAGGAGAAGCAGTCGCGCATGTCGTCGACGAACGCCGTGGGGCGCTCGAGTGCTGCAGAGATTGAGACCTTCAGCAGCTGCGCCAGCACACACCAGGCGCCCTCCAAACTCACCGAAGAAGTGTCCGCCCCTGCCGTGCACCCGCGTCCAACGCAGATCGTCCATCGTCGAGCGGACCCAGCCGAGTGGCGTGGGCAGGAGCTCGAAGGGCGAGTCGGAGTAGCCGGCAGGACACGGGATGCGCGCTTGTGGCAGCGCGGTGAGCGCCTGCAGGCCGAGCGGCGGACGATTGCGGTAGGGGTACAGAGAGCGAGCCATTGTCGAGGTGCACCACCAGAGCGTGAGGCTAGCACAAGCGGCATGTCAGCGAGTGACAGAGCATCTTGTGAGGGAAGCCGCTCACCTCGCCAGAATCTCCGCGTCCGAAGGGCTAAGCATAGAGAGTCAGCAAAGCGCCCTGTCCAGCGCTTCTTGGCGACCCACTCCTCATCGGTCCACTCGATGAACTTCAGAGGAAATGGTATCAGCGGCGCCGCAAGAGGTCTGTGCATAAGAGCTTACCTTCTCTCCGATCCAGGCAAGCAACGCTGTCGGGCTCGACTCCATCACAATCGCGAGTGTGCTCGGTCGCGTGCCGTGGAAGTTGGCGTACGCCTGGCCCCGCTCTTGCCACTCGACGCCGCGCAGGGCGCGTCGGCGCTCCTCTGGCGTGAGGAGGGCAGGAGCGCCGGCCACGGCCCGAGCAGCGAGGTAGGCCAGACCGCGGACAGAGAGGCGCGCCGGCGGATCTGCCAGCCACCAGCGCCGCGGGACGGTGCGAGGCAGCTCTGCGAGCGACTCGACGGCCGATGAGACGACGCTTGGCGTCACCGCGCTAGCGATGGACCGGATCGGCGAAGGCACGAGGCGTGCCAGCGGCGGGCTGAGACGCGGCGGCGGCGCGGGGCAGAAGTTGAGGTGGACCGCGATGCATCGAGCAGGCGCCAGCCGGGACATCTGGCGCAGCACTGCGCTCGCCCAGTCGCCTGCTTGCCCGGCGTAGAAGGGGAAGCCGAGCGCACGCATGAGGGCATCCATGATGCGCGCCTCGTCTAGAGAATGGTCAGATTGGCAAGTCGTCTAACGCAATAGCGGCACCTCGCTCACCTTTGACGAGAAAGTCGCCATCAGGGCCCGAGTACCTGCCCTGTGCCGTCTGGCCGCCCTTGCCCGGGCGCACCGGAGGCTGCGAGCTGAAAGCGTAGCCTGTGTGGGACGGCACGATGACGTCGAACGCCGGCACACTCGGCGGCGCGCTCGGTCCGGGGTGCTGAAGGTTTTGCGTCAGCAGAGCAAGCCGGCTTCGGAGGCAATGCAACTCACTGCCAGTGGCTGTATCACATCAAGGAACTCGAGGAAGCCTGCGACGAGAGAATGCTCAGCGGGGATGACCAGACAAGCTGGCAGTTGACGTACTGCCGGGCCACCCATGCATCAGCAGAAGCGGAATGACTCGCCGGCCGGTGCGCTCGGCCTCCTCGTAGTCGGGCTTCTCGCGGATGTAGTGGATTGTCACGTCGTTTACTGAGCGATCAGCGTATCAGCATCTGTTCCTCTGAGGGGGAAGCCGCAACGCACCATCAATCTGGTAGTGCTGGAAACCGGAGATGCGCTTCTGCTGCGCTGCCCAGGTGTCGTCATCGGCACCCGGTCGCCGATTATTGGTCTGCTTTTGCGCCTCAGCACCGTCCAGGAACGCCGACCAGGAGCGCAACAGGCCCATGAAGCGATCGTGCGTCAAGCCTGCCCCAGCTGTCAGCCGTGATCCCTCGGCTGCTATCTCCACTGCTCACCAAAGCGCGTCTTGTCCGCCTCGAACGGGCTCGACGGACCTTTGCCGTCGCGCTCCTCGAGTGCAGCGTCCACCTTCGACCGCAAGTTCTCCAGGCTCTCCTTCGACAGCGTCGGCTCGAATGGCCGCGGCTCGGGTCGGCCCTCGAGATCGCACCGGCGCACCTCCGGCTCCAAACCGACGGCGCGCCAGAAGTCGTTGCCTTCCAGGCTGCGCTGTATGAAACGCGGAGCAGTCTGGCTGCTGTTCTTGGAGAGCGGACGCGGCAGCGCGGACACGGCATGCTTGCGGCACAGCTGCGCGACCCACTCGACGCCATTTTCGAGCGGCAGCGGCCGCAGCGTCAGCGCAAGCAGCCACCAGTCGTACGTCTGCCCATCGGACACGATCCAGCGGCGGCCCCAGATCTGCGCGTTCTCGCGCGCCTCGTACGCTGCAACGACTGCCCGCGCCACGTCGCGGCCGTGCACGAGGTGCACACTGCCTTTCTCGCCGAGCTTCTCGATCGACGAGCCGACACGCTTGGCGAAGTTCGACGGGATCCGCTCGCCGCCGTAGAGGCCAGCACTGCACACGGCTGTCAGATGAGCAGCACAGGCGCCTCTTTGCTGTCCTCACAGATTCAGCACGATGATCTGCCGGCCGTTCTTGCGGTGGAGGTCCAGCAAGGCGGACTCTGCCATGGCCCGCCCATTCTTGGGGTCAACGGGGCTCTTCGACGTGAAGTGACCCTCTGCGGTCGGCGTGCGTGAGTGTGCAGCGCAGTCTCAGGGGCGCCGCGGCACGCACCCGACCCCCACGCGCCCGTGCTGCCGAGGGCGATCCAGTTCGTCGCGCCGTGCGCCAGCTCGTAGCTCTCGACGATGGCGTGTGCCGCCGCCCGGCTGCGCAGCGGGAAGACGATGACCACGCAGCGCGCTTGAGGCAGCGCCTGCCATGCCGCGCGCGAGGCGGCGCCCTCAGCCGACACGGCAAAGGTGAGCGCCTCGGAGCCGGCGCGCGGCGTGCGGCTCGTGTATGCGTGCGAGATGCGGCGCTCGTGCAGCAGCGGCAGCAGGAACGAGCTCGTCCAGCCGGAGCCGAGCAGCAGCACGTCGACGGGCGCGGGCGTCATCGCGGGCAGGGTTGGTGCGGGTGGTTGCTCCCTGGCTTGAGATGGTGGTCCGGAGCCAAGTGTCAGCGGCCGCCGCGGCTGGCCTGTGCGCCCGGAATTCTGCACGCAGCGCGTGCCGGAAATCGCGCGTCACGTCGCGCGAGGTGGAGTCGAGCGACGGCGGATGAAGAGCAGCTTGCCTTCGCACACCAACACCCACGCCTCTCCCTCGCGCCAGCGCATCCGCGGCTGCATCGCTTGCCGCCATGCCGGTGGCCACGACGTCCGGCGACGCCAGCTATGTGCCCATCCTGACGCTGCATGGCCACTCGCGCTCCATTGCCGCGCTGGCCTTCTCGCCGTGCGGCCTCTACATCGCCTCGGCCGGCGCCGACGCCGCGCTGCGGGTCTGGCGGGTCGGCGTGCACGCAGCATCAGCTGGTTCTGCGGCCTCAGCTTCGGGTGCGCCAGACGCGGCGCTGCGCACCATCCGCCGGGCGCACGAGCTCGGCATCAACCACCTGGCATGGAGCAGCGACGGGCGTTACATCGCCACGGCCAGCGACGACCGCTCGGTGCGCGTGTGGGACTGGCGCAAGGTGAGCATCGCTGCGAGTCGTTGTGATCGGTTCCGAAACCTTCAGTAGAGGCCGCACGGGCTGGAATGTCACGCTGCTCGAAGAGGCGGGAGCGACGAAGTGCAGAGCCCGGGCGCGTTTCTGCGTGAGGCCGCCCGCTTCACGCTGCCGCTGCTCACACCTCTGAGTCAACAGGGCACACAGGCGCGTCTCTTTGAGGGCCACACATCATACGTCTTCTGCCTGGCCTACAACCCGCAGAGCACGCTCATCGCCTCGGGCGGCTTCGACGAGACGATCCGGCTGTGGGACGTGCGGCGCAAGACTGGTGCGCCCTGACAGTTGCGATGTCTCTTGGCATCTGCTGGCATCTGCTGACGCGAGTTTGGCAGATCAATGTCACCGCACCATCCCTGCGCACTCCGAGGCAGTCACTGGGCTGGACTTCAGCCGAGATGGCGCTACTATTGCGTCGTGCTCTTACGATGGCCTCATGTGCGTGACCTGCTTGCATCTCAACTATGCTCTCGCTCACGTGCCGATTGCACAGCCGCCTGTGGTCGACGTCCACCTCACACTGTCTCAAGACGCTGCTGCCGCCCGACTCGAAGCCCGTCTCCTACGTGCACTTTACGCCTTCCTCCAACCACCTGCTCGCTGCGTCACTCGACTCCACGATCCGTCTGTGGGACGTGCCCAACGATCGTGTGCTCAAGACGTACACGGGGCACCGCAATGTCAAGTGGGCCATTCCCGCTGCGCTCACGCGCGCCACGCCGCTCTCGGACGAGGAGGGCAAGCGGCATCCGCGCGACGCAGAGATGAGGCATAGAAATCTGCCGAGCATCCACGTCGTGGCAGGCTCGGAGGACAACCGGATATACCTGTGGGACTTGCAGACGAAGGAGGTGCGGCATGTGGTGGAGGGGCACAAGGAGCCGGTCATCTGCATCGCGGTGAGTCGAGGGGCTTGAGCGCGCTGCAGGGCGCATGGGCTGACGCTGCGCTTGACTTGCCAGACACATCCTACGCAGGACATCATCGCCAGCGCCTCGCTCGACGTGACGCCGACGATCAAGATCTGGGAGCTGCGTGGACCCGCTGCGCGGCCCACAGACGTGCTGGAAGCGCCCGCGGAGATCGCACAGTCGCAGGACGCTGCTGGAAGCGAAGTGCAGCCGCGAGATGCTGCTGGAAGCGAGGCGCAGCCAGAGCAGGTCGAGACGGTGGATGTGGTCGAGCGGCAGGACGAGCAGATGAGCGATGCCGCCATGCAATGACAGCCCCTGCCGTCAAGGACGACGCTACGGTCAGATGCTTTGGCCTCAGCCACCACCCCAGAGAGCCGCACGCGGCCCTCGGCAGGGGAGCGAAGGCGCGAAGTCGCCCGTGGCCGAGGCGTGCGTGGCTGAGCGCGCTGCTGGCGGCCGGGTGGCGCGATGCAGGCTGAGGCGGGGAGCAGCCACGCGTGCGCATGCCGCCCGTCAGAGTGCAAGGATCGAGAGCCGCAGCATCGTCTGCCAGCATCAGCAACGCGCGTACGCAAGGGCCGGCGGCAGCAGCGAAGAGCGAAGAGCGACGGTCGATGCCGACGCCGCACCCGCCGCCGCGTCGGCGGCGCTGCGCCCGCTTGCTGCCAAATGCGGGGTTGCTTCCATGGCAGAGCGGCGAGACTGGCGGCGTGCCGTAGAAGCGCACATCGCGCTTCTACGCGGTGCCGCCGGCACCTGACGCGGCACAAACGCAGCGGACGGCGAGCCGTCGGCAAAAAGGGCTCACGGAGGGCACGGCCGTTCCTCCTCCCGCCGCCGCTGCCGCACTCTTACTGTCGGTCTGTCAGCAGCCTCTCGTGAGGCAGCGCAGCCCACAGAAGCAGCGCAGGACGTCGGTCTGCTGAGAAGCCAGGGACGGGAGACGGCGGGAGCGGCCTGCCGAGGGATCTGAAATTGGCGGGGCCGGCAAGCGCTGATGCATGCAGGTGCCGGGCAGGAGCGCCGGCGGCGGCGGGCGGCGGCGGGCGGTGCGGGCACGGAGGCGAGGCGCACGCCGGCCGGCCAACCCCCTCGCTGTGGCGCGTGCGCTTTGGCCACCCGCTCCCTGATGGGCCGGTCTCCGACGCGGCACAAGTGGCCTGAGCCGCAGGATGCGGGCGCAGCGGCGTGATGAGGCCTTTTCGCCCCGCCGCCGCTCCAAGGCACACCGGGCAGGCACACAGACAGTGCGCACAGCAGCGGCACCGAACGATGACCGCGGCTGGAACAGCGGCATGTGTCGAGCGCCGCGACAGCAGCATGCTGCAGCAGACTCTCGCTGCGGCGCCTCTTGCTTCCTCTCCACATCCTACCACCTCTCTTCGTGCCACCTCGCTCATCCACCATGTTCTTCCGCGCTCCTCTCATCCTCGCCGCGCTCGCCGCGTGCGTGTCGGCGGCCAACATCACCGTGCAGGTCGGCCAGGGCGGCGACAAGTTCTCGGTGCGTCGTGCTCTTGCTCCTCCGCTTCGTGCCAGACGCTCACGCTCTTCCACAGCCTACGAGCGTCACCGCAGCGCAGGGCGACACGATCTCCTTCGTCTTCCAGTCAGTATGCCCGCACTCGTCTCTCGAGTCCTGCGCTCACCAGTTCTTCCCACAGTGAGAACATGGAGCACAACGTGATCGAGGCCCAGGGCACGGACACGGCGACCGCATGCCAGCCCAAGGAGGGCGCGCTGCACTCGGCGCTGCAGAACGAGGCCGCCGTCGTCAGCGTGCCGGTCAACAGCACCGATCCCGTGTACATCTTGTGCGTGCAGCTTCCGTGCAGCCCGCGCTAGCCCAGGCTGACGCACACCCACTCAGCTGCGGCCCGCACTGCGAGTCGAAGGGCATGGTCTTCATCATCAACCCGGGCACTGTGAGCGTGGAGCAGTACGCCGCCGCCGCCAAGGGCCAGTCCTCGTCCTCCTCTTCGGCCGCCTCCAGCGGCTCGTCCACGGCCGCCGCCTCGTCGAGCACGCGCGCCGCCTCGTCGTCTGCCGCCGGCGCCGCGAGCAGCAGCTCGGGCAGCTCGGCGCCGGCAGCCACGAGCGCACGCACGGGCGCGGCGCAGGTCGCCAAGCCCGTTCTCGGCGCTGGCGTCGCTGGTGTGCTCCTGGCGGCCCTGCTCGCCTAAGCTATGAGGCCATGTGCCGCAATGTGTTTAGCTCTGGCGTCGCGCCGCCATCTCTCCCGCTCGCTGTACTCGAGCTGCGTTCAATCTATGTATTGGCTTACTCGCCAAAGTACTTCTCGCGGTAGGCGCGCATCGCCTTGAGCTGCTCCTCCCAGCCGCCCTCCTTCTCCAGATGTGTCATGATGTCGTCGACGTTGACGATGCTCCAGACGGGCACGCCAAGCTCGCGCTGCACCTTCTTTGCCGTGCTCTCTGGCTCCTCGCCCGCGCGCTCCTGGCGGTTGAGCGCCATGGCGATGCCCACCAGCTTGGCCTCGGGCGCGGCGTCGATGTAGGCAACCGACTCGCGGATCGCCGTGCCGGCCGTCATGACGTCGTCGATGATGAGCACGCGGCCCTTGAGCGGCGCACCGACGAGCACGCCGCCCTCGCCGTGCGTCTTGGCCTCCTTGCGGTTGTACACGAAGCCGACGCTGCGCCCGTGCTTCTCATACAGCGCCTGAGCGACCGTCGCGGCGAGCGGAATGCCCTGAAGGAGCGCAAGCGGGTCAGCGTCCTGTTTGCGGGCGTCGTCCATGCCACAGCTCTGCGCCATGCAGCCATCTCTGTCATGCGCTGCCTCTTGTGCGCCCACATCTTCCGCTGGCTGCAGCGCTCTCGCTGGATGCGGGCCTTCGACGCCCATAGTTTGTGTTCGCCTCTCGCCGCACCTCAATCCCTGCCGTGCTGACTCCTGCCTATGTGGTGCCTACTCCTCCTGCTGCCGTGCCTATGCCTTGCTCCATTGTGCTTGCCCTCTTCGAGCTCCTCCCTCCCATGTGCTCCCTCCTCCCGCTGCCGCGACTGGCCCTAGCTGCTCACCTTGTACGCCGGGCCCAGAATCACGTCCACCTCCACCCCGGCATCGACGATCATCTGCGCATAGCACTGGGCGATGGTGGCGATGCTCTCGCCGTCGCAGAAGAGGCCGGCGTTGAAGAAGTAAGGCGAGGCGCGGCCGCTCTTGAGCGTGAAGGGGCCGTCGAAGCGCAGGATCTTGCGCGAGACGGAGAGGCGGATGTAGTCCTGCTGGTACGGTGCGAGAGTGCGCGACATGGCGGGCCAGTGTGTGTGGAGGTGGTGGGCAGACGATAAGGGGCTCGAAGTCGCTTCCACACGAGAAGATCCAGCACCCACTGCTGCGAGAGAGTCGCGCACGCACAGAAATCTGGAGCGGCAGCGTGGGAACCACCGCGCGCCGGCCCGCCAGCCGGTTCTGCCGGTGCACACGAGCCGGAGTGCGGGGAACCACGACAGCTTGGCGGGCGAGCACCGTCTGTCCCACCCTCACCGCCACCAACCAGCCATGCCCGCCTCTGTCCTGCACAACCCGCACCCTGCCGTGCGCACCCTCGACGCCGCGGCCTTCGACTACAAGGGCTATGGGTGGCGCCACGTCACCGTCGCGCTCGACGAGTTCGGCGTGCTGCTCCTCACGCTCAACCGCCCCGAGCGCCAGTGAGTGGGCAGAGAGCAGCGCGGCTCGGCAGCGAGTCGCGGCAGTGCTGCTGCAGCGTTGCTGAACCTTTTGCTGGTAGCAACGCGTATACCAATGAGATGTGCCACGACATCGTCTTCGCCCTCGAGCTGGCCGACGCGGACCCGCGCGTCAAGGTGAGCGCCCGCCCGAGACGCGAGGCCGACTTCTGCTCACATGCGTTGACAGGCCGTCGTGATGACCGGCGCAGGCAAGTCGTACTGCGCAGGCGCAGATCTGGCCGGCGGCTTCGGCGCGTCCGACCCGAATCTCTCCCTCAACCAGCACAGAGACGGCGGCGGCCAGGCGTCGGGCGCCGTGCTGCGCTGCCGTAAGCTCGTCGTGGCGGCAGTGAACGGCAATGCCGTTGGCGTCGGCGTGAGTGTTCAGTGTGCGACCGCATGTGCAGTAGCTGATGACATAGACAGATCACGATGATCCTGCCTGCCGACCTGCGCCTCGTCAGCAAGGAGTGAGCTCTCGCGCGCTGTGCTGTTGTGTATATGCGCTGACGCGTCCTCGCCAGCGCCAAGGTCGGACTGCCATTCACCAAGCGCGGCATCACGCTCGAGGGCATGTCGGCTTACATCCTGCCGCGCCTCGTCGGCCATGCCAGTGAGCGAGAGAGCCGAGCTGCTGGCTGGACTTGCCTGACGCTCCGCCTCACAGATGCACTTGAGATCGCCATGACCGGCGGTGAGGCAGCAGCCGATCTGCGTCGTGATCATCACTAACGCAGGCGCCTCAGACGTTTACCCGGCCACCTCGCCAAAGTGGGCGCAGCTGTGGAACCAGGTGCTGCCGGCTGAAGAAGTGCTGCCGACAGCCCTTGCGCTCGCGCGGCGTCTGGCGCAGGAGAACAGCGTTGTCAGGTGAGCGGCACTCTTACTCGCTCCATGCCGCAGTGCGCCAATGCTGACGGCAAGAGCGATCTCTCACAGTATGGCGCTCAACAAGCAGCTGCTCTGGCGCACGCCAGACACGCCAGAGGCGACGCATCTGCTCGACTCCAAGTGCATCTACGAGACGAGCCGCGGCGATGCGCAAGAGGGTGAGCTCGACAGCAGAGACGGCGTGCCGACTACTGACACCACCTGCAACCAGGCATCAAGAGCTTCATGGAGAAGCGCAAGGCGCAGTTTCCGGGCACGATGAAGGACCTCGAGCGTGAGTCTCTCGACTGTTCACCCGCAGGCGGCTTGCTGACGGGTGCGTGCCTCTTCTGCAGGCTTCGGGTGCGTCGGCACTCGCACGGCGCTGCCGTGCCTCACACTGACCTCCTTCGCAGCTTCTACCCCTGGTGGACACAGCCAGACGTCGAGGGCACCAAGACGCGGGGGCTCGCGAAGCTGTAGCTTGCATGTGCGCCGCGCGCGAGGAATGCACCGATCTACGCGACGCACGCCCAGACGCGCCAGGCTCAGCAGAGGACTGTCATTGCGTCGTCCGGTCCGCGTGATCTCCTCCGCCGACGCCATGGCCCCACTGCCCTGCCTGCCCTCACTGCTGCTGCGCCGGCTGCGGCGGCGCGGTGGACGGAGCGGCCTGCTGCTGCGCAGCCGGCCCGTGAGGCGGCTGCTGCTGCTGCTGCTGCGGCTGCGGCGGCTGGTGCGGGCCCTGCTGGCCCTGCTGCTGCTGACCCTGCTGCGGGTGGTGCTGCTGGTGCTGCTGCTGCTGCGGGTGCTGCCCGGGCTCCATGGGCGGCGCCGATCCCGGCGGGAACGGCTGGGCTCCGGGCGGGAACGGCGCAGGGTATGTCATGCCCGGCACTATTGCACTTGCATGAGCTCAGGTGCAGCACACACGCCAGGGCGATACTCACTGGGCTGCTGGAAGAACATCGTCGGCGGCACCTTGCCTTGCATGTGCGGCGGCACCTGCCCAGGCCGCGGCGGCGCACCGCCTCCTGCGCTCGGCGGCGCGCCAGGACCGGGGTGTCCCGGGCTTCCGGGTCCCTGCGGCATGAACTGGCCGTGCGGGCCAGGCGCAGCCATGTTGCCCATCTGCGGGCTGTACATGCCGGCTGTGACGAGCGTGAGCGCGTGGTCAGGTAGCGTCTCTGCGCATCACTCACGTGGCCCGCCGTGCGCTGGCATGGGCGGCGAGAACGACATGAAGTGCGGCGGCATCGCTCCGTACGGCACAGGTCCGCCTTGCGGCATCGGCATCTGCATGAGGTGCTGCTGCTGCGAAGACAATCAGGGCGAGCGCTTGGCGGTGTGGCGAGATAGAAGGCGACTCACCTGGCCGTGGAAGCGGTACGGGCCATATGGCTGGTACACCATGCCGAACGGCTGGCCGGGCGCCGGCGCACCAGGCGGGCCAGAGTGCGGCGGCCCTTGCATCTGACCGGCCTGCGCAGGCCCCTGTCCCGGCGGCATCGGGCTGCCCGGCAGGCCCTGCGCCATGTGTGGCGGCGGATGCGGTCCGCCCGGCTGGCCCATCTGCTGCGGGTGCGGCATGCCAGCAGGCTGCATGCCGACAGCGGACTCGTCGAAGCCGGCGACGGGCACCTGAGGGCCCATGCCCATGCCGGCAGGGCCGACAGGCGGCATCGTCGAGAAGAGCTGCCGGTATGGCTTGCCAGTGAAGCCCCAGACCGGACCTGAGCAGGAGCGTGTCAGCAGGAGTGTCTGCGTGCTGACTGCGGCGTGGCCCTCACCAACAGCGGGCGCCTCGGGCACCTTGCCATTCTTGAATGGGTTGAAGTCCTCGCGCACGTGGATCGGCGACTGCGCAGTGGGGCGCTTGAGGAAGCGCGCACCAAAGAAGGGGTTGAGCGGGGCTTGAGGCACAGCGGGAGGCGTCTGCAGAGGACATCGCGCTTTAGTCAGGTGCGCATACAGCTGGCCACGGTCAGGCACACGCACCGCATCAGGCTTCTTGGCAGCCGCAGCGCCGCCCGGCGTGAAGGCCGCAGCAGCAGGGTTGAAGGGCTTGAAGGAGCTAGCCTTGGCGCTCAGCTTCGTCGATGCGGCGGCGGCGCCTGCGTTGCTCGTCACAGGAGACGCCGTCGCTGCCGCAGGCACGATCTGGGGCGACGTCGAGGCCGACGCCGCGCCCGGCGGCGCCTTCTTCTTGGCAGCTGCGGCATTGAAGGGCGGGATCTTCGGGATCGTCATGCCAGCCAGTGAGACCTTGGCGTCGAGCAGACGCGGCGCAACCTTTGGCGACGGCACCATGGACGAGGTGCCGCTCGCGCGCTCGCCGCCGGTCGGGCGCGAGGAGTCGTTCGCGTGGACGGTCTGCGGGCTGAGACTCTTTTGTGCGGACGGATCGCGCGGCTTGTCTGCTGCCTGTGCTGCGCCCGATGCATTCTTGGCTGAGCCAGCGGACGCAGCAGCGCCGTCGCCGGAGGACGGAGTCTTGAGCTTGAAGTTGTCGCCCCACTGCTTGAGCTCGGCCAGACGCGCGTCCTTCTCCTTCTTTGCCAGTGCGGCCTTCTTCTTCTCGAGACGCTCGCGCTCCTTGCTCACAAAGTCGCGGAAGTCGCCCATCAGCGGGTTGCCCTCGCCAGGCTGGGCAGAGGCGAGAAGATCAGCAGGTGTCACGAACATGCGCGAACCTTCGACTCACCTTCTTGGACGCATCGCCGCCCTCGGGCGTGCTGCTGAGCACCGGCGTCGGCGCCTGCATCTGCAGAGAGGGCGGCATGGGTGCGCTGCTCTCCACGATGGCCGGGTCATTGTGTAGACCCGCTGCGGCGGGCGGCGCAGCGGCTGCAGCTGGCTGGCCTGCCGGACTGCCGTTTGCCTTAGGTGCGGCAGCAGGGCCTGCACCGGCGCGGCGCAGCGCAGGCGGGACGTATGCGTTCGCGTTGCGCACCACAGCGCCGTAGCTGCGCAAGCCAAAGAGTGAGCAGATGGCGACAAGACGGGTGCGACTGCGACTCACCGGTCCTCCTCCGTGATGCCCGAGTCCGCAAGACCACGCTCCTCGGCCATGTGCGAGTTGCTTGTAGCAGACTGTAATGGGTTCAGCAGAGCACGCGGCAGGCCAGCACGATGCGACTGACGTTCATGATCTCGCGGGCCTTGCGGTCCGCCTCGCGCTCGCGCTCCTTGAAGTCCTTGCCGCTGCGGTCGAGCTGCGTCGTGTACATCTCGTCTTGGTAGTCCGTCTTGAGCCCGAAGCGGGCCTCGTTGGTCTTGAACTGGTCCCAGCCGCCAGTGCTCGTCATGGACTCGAGGCCACCAGCGCCGGAGGGCCCCTCGATCGGGGAGAGGTCAGGGTCGTCTGACCACTTTTGCAGCGTGCGACCTCCACCGAAGGCATCCAGCGCCGTCTTGGAGATCTCCGTGTCGGTGCGGAAGCCTGCGCCCATGTCAATACAGTGTCACGCGCGCCATGCACGCGCCAACACTCACCCTCGCGGTCGCGCGGCTCATTCTGCACCTCACCCAGGCGCACCTCTGACGCTTGAATGTCGTCCAGGTCCTCGCCGTTGATCATCAGCAGCTTGCGCAGCGGGCCGAAGCCGCCGGGCAGCACCTCCTGGGCGCTAGACAGCGCGACACCGACATCGGCGACGTCAGGGCTCGTGGCGCTCAGGATGCCGATGAATTTGAAGCCGCCGTGCGTAGTGGCCACGACCGGCGTGCCCTGCGCGATTCTTGGATGAGCCCCCTGTATGCCTAGCTGCAAGGCAGACAAGCTGTACTCACCACGAGGGACGCGAGCACGAAGGTCAGACGCTCGCGCATCTTGGCAGCGGCGGCATCGAGCACCACGGGCTTTGCGCCAAGCGCAGGGAACGCCGACGACGCAGGCGACTGTCCAGCAGCCGCAGGCTTGTTCTGCTGGTGCTGCTGGTGGTTCGCAGGGCCACGCTGGCCCTGGCCTTGCGGCTGACCGCCCTGGGGGCCGCGCGGCGGTCCGCTGGCCCAGCGCGAGCCCGGCGCCTGCTGCTGCGGGTGCTGCTGCTGCTGGCTATACTGCTGGTTTTGCTGGTTCGGGTGCTGCTGGCCGTGCTGCTGCTGCATGTGCGGCGGACCGCCCGGCGACTGTGCTCCGTTGCCTGGGCCACGCTGCTGCCCGCCGCCGGGCTGGCCGCCGCCGGCGCCGTTGGCACGCCAGGAGCTGGCCGAGCCCGACGAGAGCTTCGGCCCGCCGCCGCGACCTCCGCGCATGGAAGTCGTCATTGTTCGCGTGGAGAGTGAGCCGGAAGCTCTGGAAGAAGGAGCGACGTGGGGCGTGCGCGGTGCGTGCACACGACTCGGCGGAGACTAGAAGTCTAGAGCGCTAGACGACGAGCTGCCGCACAAGACAGCTGCGCGGGCTGCAGCGCGGTGGTCGTGTCTGCACCGTGCTGCTCTGTGCTCAAGCAGCGATGGAGCGCCGACGGCCGTGGTGTGCACGTGCAGCGAGAGGTCGTGCGCCGGTGGGCACCCGAGGGCTGCAGCGGGCCTGGAGCTGCTGGCGCGCAAGGGCGGCGCAGCGCTGACACAGGCACCGGGTAGCGAGCGGCGTCGCGCGCGGGGAGTGGGGAGCGACGGCCGTGCAGGAGCTCGGCGGGTCGGATGGAGAGGAAGCAAGGTGCGCGGATCGCCGGGCAATCGGAGATGCCAGACTCGACTGGACGGGCGCCGCACGGCGCGCGACGGGGCAGCGGCAGCCCCGGCGGCCGCACGGCGGCGACGGCGCAGGCGCGGCAGCAGCACGCCTCGAGGGCGGCGGAGCAGCGAGCACCGCCGCCGCGCCTCGCTCGCTGCGTGCGCGCCGTGCGCGAGCTCGCCGTTGGGGCAGCCGCTCGCCCAGACGAGGCGGCCACTCAGGCTCGTCCTTCTTCTTCTCCACACGAAGCAGCATCGCAGCGTGCAGAGCTGGCTGGCGCTTGGAGCGCCCGTCCCTCTCTCGTTCCCACGTAGCAGACGCCGGGCCGCCGCAGCCATTTGATGCCCGTCTAGGGGCACCTCTTGAGTGCGGCGGCCGTGCCGCATCACGTGGGCCTGTTCCCACGCTTTCCGCCGCTCGGCTTGCCGCGCCGCGGTGCGCTGCTCCTGCTTCCCCACCACAACAGCCACGATGCAGGGTCTCTGGCCGTCGGTCCGCGAGCAGCAGCCGGCAGCGAGCGGGTCGACGCCAGCTCTGCGCCCATCAAGCCGCATCGCCGATGAGGACGCGGGCACGCGAGACGAGGCCGTGTTGACGCGTCTGCGCAGTGCGCTCAAGGAGCCGCAGCCGTCCGCCGAGGCGCTGCTCGCTGCCTTGTGCACGCCGCTCGACCTCGTAGGCATGTCGCTCCCGCCGGGGCTCGAGCGCTATGCCGCTTCGCCCAGCTCCGTCCTCAGAGGCGCCCGCACCACGGCGTTGCGACCGCCGTTGGTTGCAGAAGTACAGACGGCGCTCCTCACCTCGCTCGCCGTGACGTGGGCCGCAGTGCTGCGTGAAGCCGGCCAATGGGAGCCGCTGCTACAGTGCTGGTTCTGGCCGACAGCAAAGGAGGACTGCCGCTCGTTCGCAGCAGCGATCCAGCACAGCACGCTCCGCAACATGCAGGCCTGGCTGCCGCCCTTCGGCCAGCATCCCGAGACGCGCGCCGCTCTGCGCATCGTTCTTGATCGCATCCCTGCGGCGCTGGACTTCACCGCGCTCGCTGCCGAGGCTGCAAAGGAGACCTCGCCCGCTCGGTCCGCTCTGCTCTGGGACGAGGCGCTCAAGTCCATCTGCAGTCTCGAGACGCGCGTCGCGAACTGGTCTCGAGGCGGCATGCCACCGGCATGGCGCGAGGAGTGAGTGTGCTTTCTTGATGTAGCAATGTGGCACCAGCTGACCTTGAGCACACGATCAGCGCATTCGCAGCGTCCATCGGAGAGCAAAGCGCGCTCCTCATACTCGTCAGGGCCAACCGGGCGGCCATGCCAGACACCGCCACAGCCACGCTCTTCAGCAAGCTCGCCGGCTTCTCGTCTTCGTCTGCATTCTGGCCTGCTCTTCTATGGACTGCACTGCGCTCAGCTCCCTGGAGCGAGATGTACCGCAGAGCCTGGCGAGAAGCGCTGGGCCCCTTGACACCCTTCAAGCGGAGATCGTTCGTGGAAGGTGCGATTGGCTTCCTCGCCCGCAAGATCGATGTCGGGCTTGTGGCTGCCAGCGAGAGGGCGTCGTCACAGGAAGGGACACTCTTCACCTCGGCCGAAGCATCAGCAAAGCGCGAAGCGGCGAGGGCCATCTTGTCTCTCTTCGGCCTCGATGCGCGCCAGACGCGCGAGCGGGTCCAGTGGGCGGACAGCGAGGGTGAAGACGATGCGCTCAACGATCTTCACAGCATCCTGTTCTCAGGCATCAGCTGGGTGAAGCCAACCGCGATGTGTGTCGTTCTTGCGTCGCTGGCCACCGACACAGCCCAGGCAGGCAGGCTTGCGGCCGCGGTGCTCAAGACGTGGGGTAATCCGCAGCGCGTGCGCAGCGACACGCTCGAGCGTTCTCTCTGTGAGTGTCGGTGCTCGCTCCCGTGAATTCACTTGCGCTGACGAGACCATGAACAGACTGGACCACGCTCGTGATCCTCCTGCCGTTACCCACGCCCTTCGACTCGCATCTGCTCAGCGGCGTCTCGGCGCACCTCGAGCATAACCAGCCGGCTATTCGCAGGCTCGGCATGCTCGTTGCTGAGCTCGTCAGCGTCAAGGCTGCTGCATCGGGCGCGACGGGAAGCAAGCCGCTGACCTTTGGTCGCGCTCTGTGGGATGGACCTGGAGACGGCCGCTCGGAGGCAAGAGCGCTCCGCCGTCTGCATGCTGCGCCGCAGCTTGTGGGAGGCGGCGTGCCGACCGACGCCGTACAGCTGCTGGGCCTAGGCGCTTCTCTTTCGCCACCGCCACCGCCTCCTGCGGCGACTCTTCCTGTCGTTCCTCGCCATCGGTCAGCGCCGATCAGCGAGGCACTGCCGAGACGAGTGCCAGCGCCGCAGCGGTCGCGCCCTCTCATCCAGGCGCTATCTGACGACGAGCTCGATAGCGAAATCTCGCTGCAGCCAAGCACCGGTTCGAAGCCGTTGGTCTCGCGCATGTCGGACTGGTCGTCGTCGTCATCTTCTGAGGACAACTCGTCTTCGTCCTCTGGCGACGAGATGCCTCTAGCGGGCCTGGAGGAGCTTGGCATTGGCCCGGACGCGATACCCGGTCTCAGCAAGCCCAAGGACGAGGAGGAGTTCGGCATGGGCGTGCCGAAGAAGAAGCGCCGGCGCACGCCGGTCTATGTGGGCGAGCTTGCGCCTCTCTTGCGCGAGCAGGACCGCTCTGCCAACCGGCTGGGCCTGAAGTCTGCAGCGTCGTTGCTGCGCAGGAAGCGAGGGTGGGGCGGAGAGATCGACGACAACGCCGTCGATCTTGCCTTCGCGCTCTGCGGCATGCAAGACAACTACAGTCTGAAGGCCTTCGAGACTCGGAGAGGGCAAGCCTTGTCGGCTCTGCTTGTGGCGTCGCCGCGTCTCGCCGCGCCGTGAGTCCAGAGTAGCTGCACGGGATGAGCTTTGTGCTGAGTGCGGCCCTTTCGCAGCGCGATCATCGAACAGTTCTTCCATCACCAATATTCGCAAGCACAGCGATCTGCGATGCTGATCGCGTTGGCGACCGCAACGCGAGAGCTGTCGGGGCTGGCGCCGATGCCGGACGCCTTGCCGACGGTCGAGGCTCTAGCTGAGGATCTGACGCACGCGGCCGCCATGCGAGCCCGCGAAGAGGGAGAGGCGCGCGAGCCCGCAATCCAGAAGGAGAAGGCTTTGCGGCTCGGTCGGGCGCAGACTCGCCTCTCCGCGGTCACCGCCCGCAGCGCGCAGTCTACGCTCCCTGGCGCCGTCGTGCGTCCAACCGAGCGCTACGCAGACCTCGCCGGCAGCGCGTTCCTGTTTCCTCTCATCGGCCACACCTGGCGAGCGCTCGAGAGCGTCGGAAGCCGCGGCCGGACAGCGGCAGGGGCAGGCGGCCTGCTGGCGCCGTCGATGGTCTCGCGGCTGCTCGACACACTGGCCGTCATGTCGCACGCCGCACGACACGCTCCTCCCTTCCGCGCTCAGCTCGTACCCGAGCTGCTCGAGCTGGTATTGGCCGTCTGTCGCACGCCTCTGCAAGACTCGGAGCAGGCATCTCTCGACAGCGGCCGCGAAGCCGTCGCTGGCTCTGCGGCCAGCCTGGCGCTCGTTCTCCTCGACGCTGTCTGGGAGCTGGACGGCGGCGCGTCGCTGTTCCGCGGCCGAATCGGCCTGCTCATCGACGTGGGCGATTGGGCGCAGCAGCTCTTTGCGCGCGAAGACAGTCGAGGCCAGTCTGCGGCCGCGATGGGACGGGCGGGCCGAGCAAGCGCTGCTCTGCTACTGCGCATCCATGAGATGCGGTCTCTGAGGCAAGGAGGATGACGTGCAGGAGTATACGCACGTACGGACATCACCAATCATTCATTCATAGCGATCGCGCTCTGAACTTGAGCTACTTCTCTACTCGCGAGGCCCAGCCTTCCTCCTCCATCACACGCTTGCGCTCCTCGGAGCGCGGCGTGATCGTAAGCTTGAAAGGCAGCGGCTCGGAGCTCAGCTGTTGCAGGTGGATCAGCGACAGTACCGCAGCACGAGCTGCAGGTAACTCACGGTGTCACTGAAGGCCAGCGGATCGATCGGGATCTGGTTGCCCTGCTCGTCGAGTGCATGTGCGAATTCGAAGCCCCAAAGCAGCGCAGGGATGCTCGTTCCGAGAGAGCGCATGGCGAGATTCATGCCCTGGGCACGTGGGCGTCAGCTGTCTCAAGCCAACGCGCAGCATGAGCCACCCACGGGACAGATGCGACGGCCCTGCGCGAAGGAGTAAGAATACGGTAGTGATGTGATCTGCACAGGCAAGCTCACAAAGCCAAAGGGGTGGATCATGAGCTTGTCCTTGGCGTGAGCGAGGTCGAGAATCGCCTCGGCCTCGCCCTGGTGCAGCCATCTCTCCGGCTTGAACGCGTGCGGCTCGTCGAACACGGCCTCATCGTTGTGGCTCGACTCTGCGCCGTAGGAGGGGTCTTAGCAGGGCAAGGCGAGGGATCACAAGAGACGCACCGGTGTTGCCGAGGATAAATGCGCCCTTGGGAATGTGGTAGCCCATGTACTCGTCGTCGCGGGTGAGGCGGTGTGGCATGCCGCCCGGCACGAACGGGCGCCAACGCATGAGCTGCAACGTGAGCTGCATCAGCTTTCTGGATCAGGCCTGCCATGCGGTGTGGGTACCTCTTTGATGAAGGAGGCGGTGTATGGCAGGCTCATGAGATCCTCGTGCGTGGGCAAGCGGTCGCTGCCGACCAGACAGTCGATCTCGTGACGTGCCTTGTCGGCAGCCTCGGGAAACAGCACGAAGGCCATCATCGCCACCAGCAGCGCAGAGGTCAGCGCGTTGCTGCCGGCGCTGAAGCTCGAGCCGCACACGAAGGCCGCCTCGTCGTCGCTCAGACCGTTGGGCTCCGCCTGCGAGCGAATGATGTCGAGCCCGTAGCAGTCAGGCGCCGCGCCGTGGCGGTCGGCCTCGCGGACCTCGCCAAGCATGCGCTTGAAGACGTCTAGAGCCTCCAGCAGCCACTGCATGCCGGTTTTCTTCGTGGGCAGAATCCAGGTCGGCAGCTTCTCGATCACGGTGAATGCGTCAACGAGCCAGTGTCCTGGCCTCACGGCTGCGAACAAGTGTTCCTGCCCCGGCGCGTCAGTCGGCGTGAGGGGCGTGTAGCGAGCTCGCTCACGTTGATCTCGAGGCTGGTGCCATGTCAGCGTCAGCGAGCTACCTGAGGCTCGCCGCGGAACCTGACTCACATGGTCTGCACGTCAGGGCTCGTCTTGGCATCGGGCACGCGGAAGCCGTAGATGATCTGCACGATCGACGAGACATGGTAGCGGTCGACGTGCGTGCGGAACTCGAGTGGGCTCTTGACGAGGTCACGCAGCAGCACGCGGACCTCCTTGTCGATGCCGCCCTGCAGCCGGGCGCATTTCGGCTTGGTCAGGGCCGGCTGCATCGCCGCGCGATGCTTGCGGAAGAGCGAGCCATAGGGCGTCAGGAGGATGGAGAGGCCCATCTCAGCCATATCGTTGCCCATGATCAGGCGCGGACGACAGCTGTACTGCGGGGGGGAGTCAGACTCCCGCAGCCTCGAGTGCTGACTCTGACTCGCGCACTCTTACTCACGATGGACCCGCGGTGCTGTAGCAGATCCGTGATGGCTGTGGTGGTGCCCAGCACGACGTACGTGTCGTGGCCCTTGACGACGCGGTAGATGGGGCCGTAGTGCTTCCTCCAGGCGGCCAGGTGGCGCCAAGTGTACGTGCGAGGCACACCCACGCAGCCGATGAAAGGGATGGAGAAGGGGCCAGGCAGCGGCTTGAGGCCGCGCCGGCGCAGCTGGTGGTGCGAGTGCAGCCACGTCGAGCTCATCGCCATGACGAGCAGCAGCACCACTGCGCCGAACGTGTTGGTCGCGTTGAGCTCGATTGACCAGACGGGCATCTTGCCGCGGTCGTGGGGTTGATGGTGGTTGCGACGAGAGAGGTACCAGGCTCGCTCGCTCCGACCCGCCCTCCTCTCACTGAGACACATACGGCGCCAACAGGGCGAAAGTGCTGCCCTCGCTCCCACGCCGCTGCGGCTCACCTCCTGAGCTCTGGCCTATACCGGTGCTGCGCACGTCGCCTCGCCAACTCTTCATCTCGCCTGGCGAGCATGGCACCTCGCTGCAGCAGCTGCCGGCTTGTCGAGCCAGCCGTCTCTCATTTGGCGTGACATATGCAATTTGGCGCACACAGCCCTCATATGTCCACGCCCTTGCTCGCCAGATACTCCTTCGCGTCCTTGATGTCCTGCTCAACCAGAGCAGGTTAGCACGAGCAGCCTTCACGGCTGGCGGGAGATGGGCCGGAAGGCCGCCTATGCCACATTGCCGGCAAGTGTACTCACCCCCATCAGCTCCTGGTACGCCTCGGGCACGTCGTTGAAGTTCCAGAGGCCCCAGCCCACGTTGCCCAGCAGCCACGAGCCGGTCGCGACGAGCGCCCACCACGGCAGCTGCGAGAAGAGATGGTGAGCCTACTGACGGAGCTATCACGCAGAGGCTGCGCAGTGTACAGCCCGCCAGAAGCGCATCGCCGCACTCTCTTATCTGTCCGCTGCACTCACTGTAGGCAGGATCTGATCCCGCACCTCTGTCCCGAGCCACGGCAGCGGCATGATGTGCAGCAGCAGCAGCACGTACACGAGGCCAAAGGCCGCGATGGCCGTGGCGAAGCGTGTGGCGCGGGTCATGCTGGAGTCCTGAGAGGTAGCGACGGGTGATGGTGGAGTGAAGAGAAGCGCGGGCGTTGCGAGAGCGCGCGAGATCAGCCGCGGCGGCGCGCCCGTGCACGCCAACCGCGCTCCTCGCTCGGCGCGCTTCTCCTCGTGCGGCGCTGTGTGCATCTCCACATCACCCTCGTGCGGCCCGCCATGCGCCCTTCAGCCCGCCCGCTCCTGGCGCCTCTGCGCGCCGCTGCGGTGCGCTCAAGCACCAGCAGTGCTGGCGCCGTCGGCACTGCCAGCTCCTCCACTCCGCATGCCGCACCGGCACGGCGAGCGCTGCGCACCTCTGCGCGCGTCTCGTCGTACTACCCGCCGCCAGAGCCCTTCACGTCGGCGCCCGTGCCCGAGGCTAGCTCATCGACATCGCGCTCAGCGTCGCCGCTGTATGACGCCGACGTCGACTCGCCCGGCGCGCTGCTCTCCACATTCGGTGCCGACGCCGCGCTGCTCTCGGCGCACCTGGCACGTCCGCCGACGTCGCTGACGCTGCGCTCGCTGCTGGCGCTCGGCGGCTCGCCGGGTAGCACGCCTTCGCGCGCCCACATCCTCCAATCTGCCCGATTCACTGCCGGCGAGCTGCCGCTGCGCCTGGCCCGCCGTGTCGCCGCCTTCCGCGAGCTGCCGTTCATCGTTGGCAGCAACCCGCACATCCAGGCCGTCGCGCGCCTCTACGCCGGCAGCTTCCAGGCCATTGCCAGCCTGCCGCGCATCGCAGACGACGCAGACAATGAGCGCTTCACGCGTGCGCTCGAGGCGATGGTGCAGGACCATGCTGAGAACATCCCGACGTTGGCGCGCGGTGAGTCATGAGTGCGCAACAATCGGTGAAGGGTGGGCACTTCGCGAACGGCAGCGGAGACTGATGCTCGCCGCAGGCTTCCTGGAGTGCAAGCGCTACATGTCACCAGCGGCGATCTCAGCCTTCCTGGACGGCGCGATTCACTCTCGTATCGGTGAGTAGTGCCGGGACTTGATTACGCTTTGCAGCTCCTGAGTTCCTCGACCGCAGGCATTCGCCTCATTGCCGAGCAGCACTTGGCACTCTCTGCCTCGCACACTGCCGGTCCCGCGTCGAAGACAAGCGTCGGCATCATCGACACCTGTCTCTCTGCCGCGCAGCTCGTGCAGGGCTGCGCCGACTTTGTGGGCCAGCTCTGCGAGAGCTCGCTCGGCTGTGCGCCGGAGTTGATCCTAGAGGGAGATACGAAGAGCACATTCGTTGGCGTCGCAAGCCACCTTGTGAGTCGCTTCAGTCAAAGCAGGCGAAGTGGCGCTGACGCAGTGACGACGTGCAGACGTACACGGTGACCGAGCTGCTCAAGAACAGCTACCGTGCCACTGCTGAGAAGCACGGCCGTGCCGGCGGTGATGTGCCGCCGGTGCGCATCACCATCGCGCGCTCGCGGAAACACCTGACCATGCGGATCCGCGACGAGGGCGGCGGCATCAGTCCTCGTGCGTGCTGGCGCGCGGAGCCATCATCGCGGCTTGCTGACCTGTTCGCTCGTCAGAAAACTTCCCCAAGGTCTTCCAATACACCTTCACCACTGCGTCGTTCGACGAGGCGGCTGCGAACGCAGCAGTCGATGGCGACGACGGTCCGTACGCGCTGCAGCAGATGGGCGGCATGGCGGGCGGAGGCGACGTGCTTGCTCAGATGGGCCAGGGACCGGGAGTCGGCGGCGGCATGGGCACCCTGGCTGGCTTGGGCTATGGTCTGCCGATGAGCCGGTGAGCAGCGCGGTGCCGTCTAGATGTACGCCGAGGCTCACGCTCGCTATTAGCATCTACGCACAGCACGGACGCGGCAGCCTCGACATCGTCTCCATCTGGCCGCACGGCTGCGACTCGTTCCTGGCCATCCGCGCCAATCCGCTCGACGAGCGATGACCGTCACCCGGATAGCTGACTCGCATCATGATTATCATTCGCCACGGGCACAGAGGTAACGGAGGGGTCGCGCAGGAGCGCACATTATAGGAATCACATCACGGAACATGGGAATAAAGAGGCCCGTCACCATTCGCAGTGGAAGCAGATCGTCGGAAGGAAGCACCGCTCAGACCGCAGCGGCGGCGGATGCCTTGACGGGCAGATTCAGGATGGTGAAGCGCGGGCTAGCGTTGCCTGAGTCGCCGAAGAGCACGACGCTGTGGAGACGGGCGTGAGATGCGAGGCTGCCAAAGCAAGGAGCACGTCGACCTACATGTAGTTGTCGCGGCTTGGCAGGTCGTCTGGCAGCTCGAAGCGGACGATGCCCTTGCCCAGCGGGAAGCCCTCGGCCAGCGTAGTGGCTGTTTGGCGCTGCGTGAGCGCCTGGATCCGCTGCGGCCCACGGTGCGGCATCACTCACTTAGATGCTCGTCCAGCCCAGTCTCATCCGATGTCCAGCCCAGCTTGAGCACGCCCGAGTAGGTGCGCAGCACAGCAGGCATGCCGGACAGCGACCATTCGACGCGGTGCGTGCCGCCCGCGAGCCAGACGGTGTTCTCGGTGGGATAGATGATGGGCGGGTTGTAGACGATGCGCTCGACCAGAGCCTCGCTGCTGCGTTTCTCGAGCTCCGGCAGGATGCCCTCGTTGGAGCCGAGGGAGAACTCGGGTGCGGGCGCGGCCGCGGTGAGGACGGCGCTGAGCGCGGCGAGCAGCGTCGGCAGTGCGAAGCGCATGCTTGGGGCTTTGGAGGTAGCTAGAGATGTAGAGCAATGTGCGGACTGGCAGAGAGACGCTGCTTTTGTAGTCGATGTGCAAAGAGCGGGGCTGTGGTGGGAGGCAAGCTCCTGGGGCCTCCGGCGGCGCGCGAGAAGCAACACCAGAGAGGTGCCCCGCGCGCGCGTCAGCGGCCCTCGGAGCGGCGGGCCCGAGGGCGCTCGGCGAGGTGGAGCCCCGCTGCTCAGCGCAGCGTCAGACCCCACCACAGCGCCGGAGCGCCGGCGGCCGCGTGTCTCATCCGCAAATAGCCGTTGGGTGCGGCACACTCCTGTCGTCGAGGCCCCGGGGCACCCAAAGTGGCAAGTCTGCGTGAAGTGCCCGCACCGACGCCGGCAACGGCGCGCCTGCAGCATCGAAGCACGCGCGGCGGCCTCATCTCGCCGGCCTCGGCCCTCATCTTGTCGTCACCACGCGGCCGTGCGCCCCAGACAGGAGCTCTCTGAATAGCCCAGAATACCCAGATCAGTCCTTCTGAGGGACTGATGCCAGCATTCGGCGTCTTTGCTCAGACGCGAGGCAGATAACAGGTCTCGAGGCTGCGGCTCCGTCCGTGGCCAAGGAGACGCGGGGCAGCTTCGTCATCCTCACCACTTCGGCGCTCCTCCTATTTCGCTCCAGTGCCGGCCCTTCTATCTATGCACGGAAGCGCTTGCGGCTATCACGGGCATCTCGTGCCTCTGCCGCCTCATCATCGCGCCCAGAGATCACAGGACCTCATCAGGCCGCGCTTCCTCGCACGGCACCATCAGAGGGCAGATGTGCTGCTGCGGGAGAGATCCCTTCGCTGTGACGAACAGGCACGGCACTCTCCGTCGACACTTCAGGCACACACAGCACCGCAGCTTCGGCACAGCACCGCAGCTTCGGCAGACTTGCCCGACTCGGCGGCCTCGGAGGGCTGCGCGGCACGGCCCGTTGGCGGAACCTCCAACGGCGCCCGCCGCGGCGCTCGGCATGCACGCCTCCGACGCTGCGGCGGGCCGCCATGGTAGCGAGGGATAGGCCTGACGCGGGAAGGGCTTCATGACGCCTCGGAAGGCCGTGTGCTCTTCGACGCTCAAATGCGAGGTACAGACACGGCCACGAATACCCGACGCTCACACTCCGAGGGCCGGTGCCCATCTTCCCTGCAATCGCGTGCCGCACCGTCTCCTCACAGCTGGGTGTCTGCTCGACACGGGCTTCGGCTAAGCATCTCATTGCCATTTATGAGCCTACGAGGCCACCTTCTGCCTCTTGATGTGCGGGTTGCTCGCAGCACTCGCGGCCAGCTTGGCGGCTCGCCGTTCCATCAGCAGACTGGGAAGCGGCGGTGCCAGGCGCGCAGCCTCCGCCTTCTCCTTCTCCGCCTCGATCTCGGCAGCCCGGATGGCCTCGGCATCGCCCTCGACGCTCTTGAGCTTCTCCTTCGGCAGCTTCGGCACCACGACCCGGCCGAAGAAGTCGAGCGCAGCCTTCTGCGGTACCGCAGCGGCAGGCTGGGGACCGGAGCGCGTGTACGCGGCAATGGCGCCCGCTGCTGCCCGCGCGGCCAGCTCCTTGTACTCGAGCGGGTTGCCGTGCTCGTCTGTGCATCTGGAGTCAGTATCGAGGCGGGAAGGATGCTGGCGCATTCACGCACCGACCGCGTCTGCACCAACGACCTTCATGCGCAGCTTGGCCGACTCCATCTCGCGCGCGATCATCTGGCGCACGGCAAAGCGCGCCGGTCCGACAGTAGTCGAGCGCTTGCCCTCGTACTGCACAAAGGCATCGAGCGCCGGCTCAAGACGGTAGATGAGCTGGCCCTCTTCGGCGCGGTCTTGCACGAAGTTGAGGTTGAGGCCCAGCATGATCTGCACGACGGCAGCGAGCGTGATGCGCTCGTCGGGACGCGTCACTTGCGAGTTGACCTGCGTTGCATGTAAGCGCCGGTCCAGGCGTAGCCACAGGACTACTCACTGGTCGCAGGTCCGGGCTGAGCATGCGCATCAGACTGGGGCCCAGCTCAGTGACGATGGACTCCTTGCTGAACAGGACGCGCAGGCCTGTCGGAATCGCAGTGTGCAGCTCAGCCGCAACCTCTTCGAAAGCAGTGCGCTTCAGCTTCGCCTGTGAAACATAGTCTGTGAGCATACGCCTGATGCGAGCGCGACCTCGCCAGCACCTACCTCGTAGTCCGCACGCGGGTATGCTGGCATCTCGTTGACGGTGTTGGCGAACAGGAAGTGCCACGGCACGAAGCTCCACGCCGAGTACTGCATGAGCTCCGTCGTGCCGAGCTCCCAGCCCTTGTCGCTGAGCTGCTCGCCCCAGACGATCCAGTCGTGCATCTTGCTGTAGCGCCACCAGCCGTCGTCCTGCGGCCGCAGCAGCGGATAGTGCTCGAAGCAGCCGTGCAGCAGCCGCTCGTGCTCGCCGCTGGACACCACCTCGTGCGTGATGCGCGCCATCATCTCGTGGCCGTCGCGCGGCGCAGAGCCTCGTGCGCGCTCCTTCGGCGAAGGCGTGCGGAAGAGGAGCTCAAAGACGCGCTGCGTGTTGGTGCTCCCGTCCTTGATGCCCAAGCCGTTGCCGTCGCGGTCACGCACCATCGACGGCACCAGAGTCGGGCCCCGAGCGCGTGCCATCTGCAGAGCATTGAGGCAGGAGCGCACGTCGCAAGATGTCAGCTCGGCGAGCAGCGTGAGGCTGCGCGTGTCCGTCGCCAGCGACTCCTTCTCGCAGATGGCGCGAAGACGCGGCACGAGGTGGTTGGTCGTCGGCTTGGGCAGGCGCACCAAGCGGGCGATGGCGCGCAGAGGGCGCAGCGCAGGCGCGTAGCTGTAAAGAAGCGTCAGCACGGTTCGCCCACTTTGCCTCCATCACACTCACAGGTCGTTGCAGATGCAAATGATCGGCCGCAGCAGGGCACGGTTCTTCTTCTTCTTGCGGCCGCCCTTGCCCTTGCCGCCCGAGTTACCCTTGCCCATCTCGATGAGGCGCACAAGACTCTTGATGAAGCCCTGGCCCTCGGCAGTGCCGCCCGTCGCACCGTCAATCTCATCGATGACCACGCACGTTGGCCGCACCTCGCCAATGGCGGTGCTCTCCAGCGCGACGCGCACGCGATCCTCCACAGCGCCGGCTGTGCGCGCATCGGACGCGTTGAGCTCGTGCACTGCGTACCCACATGTTGCCGCTACGACGTGGGCAAGGGTGGTCTTGCCGAGGCCGGGCGGGCCGGAGAGAAGAAGCACGCGCTGCTCTGGTCGATCCCACGCATCGTAGTAGGGCATCGGACCAGAGTCGTCGCCAAAGCGGCTCGGGCCCGCGGCGGCCTGGGCAGCAGGCTCGTCGCGCGGCCGCTTGCGTGCCTTGCGTTTGAAGACGCACGGGTCCCAGCTCTTGAGCCACGAGAGCACGTCGCGGTGCACGCGGTCCTCGCCGAGCAGCTCGGTAAAGCGCGTCGGGCGGTAGCGCTCGACCCAGACGCCCATCTTCTGCTTCTGCGCGGCGGCCGAGAGCTTCACGTCCGTGACGGCTCGTGCCTTGCGCGACTCGGCACGGTCGGCATTGTCCGCGACTGCCGTAGCTGCGAGCGCCTCGGCTGCTTGCATGACCTGATAGGCGGGCTTTGCCAGGAGCCCAGTGGTGCCGAGGCCGTAGTGCGGCGGAGCAGCCTGTGCAAAGAATCAGCGGAGAGGCCCTGGCGAGCGCAGAGCGTCACTCACGTGCCAGCCTCGCATGCGCTTTCGGCGCTCGAACCGCACCGTGTTGCCATCCATCGTCGTCGCGCCCCACGTGCCCGCCGGGATGTACTTAGGGATGCCTCCAATGCCCAGCAGTGGATCTCTGGCGCGCACGGGCTGGGCCACAGCCACAGGAGCACTTCGTGGAACCGGCACTGCCTTCGCGACCGAGGCTTGCGCGGGTCTGTCGTCGTGCGCATCGAGGCGGGCGCTTGACGGCCCTGCTGCAGCGCTGGCCGTTCTGGCACTAGCACGCACCACCTGCACGTCATCGTCGATGTGGTAGACGAGCTCAGGACGCGTCACGCCCTGCTCCACGTACTCCTCCTCGACGTCTGACGGCGGCTGCTCCTCCTCAGCCTCGGCCAGAGCCAAGTCGGCGTCAGGGTCAAAGTCGTAGCCATCGTCCTCCTCCTCCATGCCGACTTCGTGCAGGTCCAGCCGGCGTTCAGAGGGCCTCGGAGCTGGCGCAGGCTCCTCGTCCATCGCCTCGGCCTCTGCGAGCATGGCCGCCTCCTCGTCATCGGCGGGCGCCGGAGCTCGCGGCGGCGTCGGCGAGCGGCCAAAGGCGTTGAGCGCATCGATGGCGTTGATGTCGCGAGCACCCAGAGCGGGCGTGGCGCTTAAACGCGGCGATGCGCCGCTCGGGAGGAGCGAGGCTGAGGCGCTGCTGGCAGCCAGGACCACAGCGGCCTTGCTCGGCGACTGCGAGAGCGGCGGCGAGGGCAGCAGGCCGAGCTCGGCGGCAGCGCTGTCGTCGCCGGTGCCGAAGATGTCGTCGTCGTCGAGGCGCATGCGCCGGGGTGAGGAAGGGATCGACATGGCGTGCCCGGGGTCAGGCGGCGTGATGGTGCGGAGCAGAGGGGAGCGGCGAGAGGCCAACAGGCGCGCTCGCGCCGCAAGCAACACCCGCGCCCGCCACGCGTCGCGTCGGCGGGCAAAAGTGCCGTGGGAGAGGCGCCGCCGCGCCGCTCGCTCCCGCCGCATGCGCATCTTGCCACGAGCTCCCATCCATCTTGCCTCCGCCGTCGATCTCGCTGAGCGACAAGCTGGCCGGCGAGCGCGGGCACCCAACGCATCGCCCTCGCTCTGGCCGCCTGGAATGGAGCGCAGCAGCGGCTGAGCGTCACGCTGCATACGTCAAGCGCCGCGACGAGCACCTCAACCGCGATGCCCCACTCGACACCCACGCAAGACAGCAAGGCTGCCGCGTGAAGAGAGCCATCAGAGCCATCTAATGCTCTCACAGCCATGTCTTCCTCTCGCTGTGCTGTGTGCCTCGATATGGCCGTGCATCTCGAGGTCGATGGCAGGCTACGACTGACGCAAGCGTGCCTCGACGCCGATTAGATCTGGCGTCACCGGTGAGGTCGTCACGCCCCAGGCGCCTCACCTCGAAGGTCACACGCCCGCGCCGTTGCTTCCGACCCAGCAGCGCCCTTCGAGCACCCTCACGGTCACACAGCCCCGATGATGCTGCTCATAAAGCGCAGCCGAGCTGTCAGGCAGTTGGGCGCGCTCGGCACGAAGGTCTTGTCCCGCTTCAGAGCGATTCGAAGATGCCTCTTGCCCACCACCGACTCACTCCGTCGCAGCTCATCATGCCGCCCTCCGAGCTCGACTTGCCGCTGCCAGCGCATCTGCCACCTCTGGCGCCAGTCTCCATCTCGCCGCACGCCTTCTTCGACCTGATCGTCATCGGCTCGGTGGGTTTTCTTCAGGTCCGCAAACGCACCACAGCTGACCCCTGTGCAGGGCCCTGCGGCGCTGGCGCTCGTCTCGCGCATCTTGGAGCAGCGTCCAGCTGCGCTGTACACCGACGCCGAACACCAGCACCTGCACTGGCTGAAGCGCAGCTCGGCCTCACGGGGCGGCATCCGCTCGGCCCGCACGCTGCGCACCAAGGCCCGCGGCTCGCAGCGTGCTCTGGCCGGCGGCAATGGGCCGCCTGACGATGAGGAGAGGCCGGCGGCCGGCGACTGCGAGTGCGAGGGCGTGATGCGTATCTTGGTCGTCGACCGCCTCGGCGGCTGGCTGAAGCACTGGGACACGCTCTTTGCTGCATTCGAGATCAGCCATCTGCGAAGCCCGATGTGGTTCCAGCCCGCGCCCTCCGACCTTGACGCACTCGTCGCGTTCGCCGAGAAGCACGGCTGCGTCCCTCGCAGCGCAATTGCGGCACCGTCGGAAGCCAGAGGCCGCTCCCAGCGTCGCGAGCGTGGTCTGCCGGGCAACATGCGCGTGGAAGACGGGCCCGCAGCACCGGCAAAGGACTATAGCCTGATCGAGATCGGCGGCTGTGTGGGCAAGGAGGCTAGCAAGCACCGCAAGAAGAAGCTCGCAAACAGCAGCGCATACAAACGTCTGCACCGTGACATCGGACCGGCGGTCAACGAACGCGACCGGCAAGACTATCACACGCCATCCACGGCGCTCTTCCGCGAGTGAGTGGACGTTTCGGAATTTCCATCAATTTCCTTCGCTGACAGAGCGCAGCTTTGTGCAGCAGGAGGTCGTCGAGCGCTACGGTCTCGACGGCAAGTGGACGATTGCAAAGGAGACGCTCGCGCCCGTGCAGAGCGACACAGATACCGAGCCGCCTGCGATCACTCTGGTGCGCGGTGAGGTCTCGAAGATGCAATACGGCGACCTGCACGTCGCCGGCTACGAGCGCATCGAGGGCTTCAGCGTCGAGACGGCGTGCGGTGGCCGAGCCGGTGGACGAGCGGTCGTGTGTGCGCTCGGACCTGGCGGGCCTCCGGCTCTGCCCGCCTGGCTCCGGCGTCCGACTACTCAACCTTGCGCCGGCAAAGGGTGGGCGCACACCAGTGCGCTCGGATCGCCGTCGTTCAAATTCCCACCGGCGCACGTCAAGGAGCGAGGAGGCGGCACGCTGCTCGTCGTCGGAGGGGGGCTGACCTCAGCGTGAGTGCAACCGGCAGAGCCCACCACAGGACAGCGGCTGATCCTGTTGCAGGCAAATCTGCGACCTGGGTCTGCGCAAGGGCTTCGACAAGTGCATCCTCATCATGCGAGGCCACATGAAGGGTGAGTAGCCTAGGCAATTGTCCCTCGGCCGCTGCTGAACGACCATTACAGTCAAGCCGTTTGACGTCGGACTCGAGTGGATGGCGCGCTACTCGGCCCTCTCGAAGATGCAGTTCTGGCAAGAGGAGGACGCCACGAAGTGAGCTGCTTTGTCCGCTTCGTGCTTCCTCATTCTTCTGCTGATGCCTCTGCTGCAGGCGGCTCGAGATGCTGCGAGGAGCGCGAAAGGGCGGCTCGATCACGCCGCCTTGGGCAGCTCGCATCCGCCAGCTCGAGACGACCGGCTCCCTGCAGATCTGCACGCACACGACGGTCTCGACCGCCTCGTGGGACAACACGCAGCAACGCTGGTCGCTCGACCTGGTCACCACGACCGACGGCCGCGAAGTGCACTCGCAGGCGACGCCAGACTACATCGTCGCTGCGACTGGTGCTGCACCTGGCTTCTCGTCGTTGCCGTTCGTCAAGGACTTTGCGCAGCGTCATCCCCTTCCCGAGGTCGGAGGTCTGCCGTGCTTGACGCAAGACCGTGAGTGACATCGAGGCAATGCAGAGCCGTCGCTGACCCGCGCCTTGCAGTCCAATACGGAGAGCTTCCGCTGTTCTGCGTTGGTGGCCTGGCAGGACTGCAGATGTGATTGCTGCAGACTCGCTTCGGACGCCCAGGCTGACTCGAGCATACGCAGCGGACCCGCGGCCGGCAATCTGGGCGGCATGCGCGAGGCAGCGGACCGTGTGGCGACGCGGCTCGGCGAGCTGTCGCTCGGCACGCCCAGCAACACGACGGAGGCCTCAGGTTCGTCGGGCGAGGGGCTGCCCGCTGAAGAGAGCCAGGCGACCGCGGGCGGGCGCGAGTGGTTCGGCTTCAGCGCGCTGGCCGTCGAGGGATGATAGATGGATATTGTGACGAAATGACATGTGGCCTAGCCTTTCACGATGCAGCGAGAGCCGGCGAGTTGGTTCACAGGCCACGCGGCTCGCTGTGCCGAAGAAATAGAGGTATATGAGCAGCGGGCCGGGGCGATCTAGGATGGTGTCGGTCGGATCACGAACGCCGCAGCACAGAGAGGCCGCCGTGCACGCGGCGCTGCTGCACGAGCCACGAGACGGGCGTCGGCTGTGCGCCGGGCGCCGTGAGGATGCTGGCGGCGTTCGACTTGGCGCGCAGCAGTGCGAGTCCCTGCTCGTGGTATGCCGAGGCAACGAGACGCAGCTCGCGCCGAAGGACGGAGACCTCCTGCTGCAGCGACGTCTGTGCGAGGCGGGTGAGCAGAGCCGGAGAAGAGAGGGCGTGAGGCTACGCACGAGGAGCGGTGCAGTGGCTGCGTCGTTCGGCGAAGCCTTGAGACGGCGATCTTGCTCTTTGATGAGCTGCGGCCGACACATCAGCACGGGAGACAGAGCCACTCTTGCCAGAACGCTCACCTTGCGCGCTGCAGACAGCTTCTCCCGCGTGGCGTCGGCGTCGCGCCGGCGCGCAAAGTACACCGAAAGGGTCTTGTTGGCCTCGCGCAGCTCGCGGACCTCTCTCTGCAGAGCTGAGAGGACACATCTGCGTCAGTCGACAGAGAGAGAGAGAGAGAGAGAGAGAGAGAGAGAGAGAGAGAGAGAGAGAGAGAGAGAGAGAGAG